TTGAATGTATAGAGGATGGAGTAAGAATGGCTGGGTGATGAGGGGGTGTGTGCCAGTATTCAGCCCTGAATCCAAAACAGCCCCTGACGGACATAATTACATAAGGTCCGAGCACAAGTGCCCGATGACGTCGGGCATTCCTGGATTTCACGTGATCGCGCACTTTCTCCGGGCAGCCAGAGCGACCACTACTGTCGTCTACTCCCCCCCCCAGAAGCCCGGGTTATCGTCCATGCTCCATTTGTTCATCTCATCCACCCATCCCTACCAGACCTCAGGATCCTTTCATCTTCTTCCCCCAAAGATTTGGTCCATCAACCCCCTTCCCGTCCCCTACATCACCCGAGGGGATTCTTTGTTTCTGAAAAATTTTTTTGGGATTTTTCTCTCGATTTTTTGCTTCCCTTTCGCTCTCTTCCTGGGGATATTTGTCCATCAACGTGACACGGTCGCGTCTTCTTCCCTCCCCCCTTGACATAAAATTTTCCATTGTGCATCTTTGGTCTCTCCACTTCCCCGGACATACTTCCGCATCCGTCTGTAACTATACAACCAACGGATTCCGTCTCATTGTTGACCGAATTGATCGTCGATGTGCTGGTCCTCCCGGTAATTCCTTTCACCACGCATTGACCGATCGTTCTTCCGCCCTCGTCGCGGTTTCGCCTCTTTCTTCACCGTGGCCCCTATCTCTACCCGCATCCCCCCCAGTGGCCGAGTGACCGGGCAATGGGGGATGCCTCCTCTGTCAGCTTACACTCCGTTTGAATCTCTTCTCTTCTTCCAGTCTCTGGCTGCTCATGATACGCGCCCTGCCAATTTTCTGTCCATCTCCGACCGCTTGCGCAACAACCCATTCATACGCCAGAATGTCGCCTTTGACGCGACGCGTCTCGCTCCCGAGGCCCTCGAGGACCTCTACACCACTTTGATGCGCGATGGCGCCGACCTAGAACCCAATGGTGGCCATGTCGATGGCAGTAATCCGAAGAAACGAAAGATTGTCAATGTGCGACCCGAATCCCTGGGGGACAAGGAAATAAATCATGCCACTTTCGTGCCCGGTTTAGTCTCTCACCTGTACGCTAGGTATAAGGACCTGGTCACGCGTGAGATTCGGAACGAAGAGAAGCGATTTAAGGATATCCGCGATGAAATCGACCGTTTACAGAAGGAGGAGCGCGAGGCGCTTCTGGACTCTTCCCAATCAAAGATTGTCCAGCAGAAGCCAGTGCCGCAGCCATCCTCCGCCAAGTTTGAGGCCGTCGCCGAATCTGCGCCCATGGATGTCGACACGAAGCGGGAAAGGGATGTGCCCGTCCAGCAACCTCTCAAGCCTGCGTCGCAGAATCCCATCAACTCGACTCCCGCGACGGATGGGAAGCGAACTTCCATCGAATCCCAGCCGAAGAAACTCGCCCAGGAACTAGCAACCCCTGTGCCACGCCCGGCTGCTGTACAAGCACCTGCACAGCCGCAGCAGGAACAAGCATCGAAATCTCAGCCCCAAACTCAACCTCCATCCCATCCTCAACTACCATCACAACCGCTACCCCCAAACCAAACTCCCCTATACCCTCAACCTGCGGCCTCATCTATCCCCCATACGCAAACTGTGAACGGAGTGGGTACAATCCCGCCGAAGCCAATTGCCCCGCGAAATGTCCCTCCTCAAGGCGTCGCAGCAACACCTGCGCAAGCGGCTGGACCCGGTCATGGACCCAAACCTTCCCTCGACCGGGGCCATGTCGGTCCGCCGTCGCAGACACCCCAGGCTATGGGCATTCCTCCGTCCGCAGCTGTTCAGAAGCCTCCTGCGACTGCTAGACCTTCTGGCCAAGAGCCCTCATCTATGGCCGCACCTTCGCCCGCTCAGCGTCCTCCGCCGCAACCTACCTTCCAGCAATGGTCTTTAAACCAACCTCAAACACCGCGTCCTCCACATACCATACCCACCCCCGCGACACAGGCACCCATCAGACCTACACTACCACATACTCCGCAACTAGCCCCAAAGACGGAGCCTAAGAAAGGCCCTAAGGCTCCTCAACCTACACAACCGACACCTGTGCCATCTACCCCGGGACCTGCCTTTTCAGGTATCCAGTCACCTGCTCCGAGTGGCCTGACACCTGGTTTCCAGACTCCTGTGGGGCCAGCCCAATCCTTACCACTTGCGGAGCTGCGTGGACGGCCACGTATGTCTATCGACACCTCTGGCTCTCTCACGCCGTGGAAACGAACCCCCCAGTTAAGTATACCGACATCGCCGCGCTCGCCTGAGCGTCCGAGACCCGAGGATGTGAGCCCAATCAGTGAGACCGCCCCGTCTCTACCGGGATCACGGGAACCGACCCCCGAGGCGACGGGACCTCCACGCAAGCGTCGCCGAAACGAAGCCAGGACCGCAGAACGTGGTCGAGAGTCGAGTTTTGCCGATGGAGAGAGCAAGACCGGACTACGGGCAAAGCCGGAAAAACTAGCCGTGTCGGGAAGCAAAAGGCGCGACCGCAGCACCGCTTCCTCCAGAAGTCGTGGGCGCTCCGTTTTGTCCCGGGATGACGAAGCGGAAGCTGGGCCAATTAGTAAGATCAAGCACGAGTTGCCGAGTACGCCAGCCGGTGTTCCTGAGACCGTTGAGACGGACCAGCGTGCAACTGGACGAAGAGGCGCCCAAGCCCTAGAGGAACGATCTGGCAGGGGCCGGCCCAAACGTAAACGCAGCGAGGCGTTCGAGCCGGAGTCGCTCACCAATGAGCTTGGTCGTCCGGACCCGAACCAGTCAACACCCTACGTCCTGTGTGCCCGCAACTTTCCTCGAACGGGAGCCCCAATCATGAATGATGTAACAACCCACAAGCATGCATCAATCTTCACTAAACCCCTGACCGAGCGAGACGCACCGGGCTACCGTGACCTAATCTACCGACCCCAAGATCTCAAATCCATCAAGTCATCCATTCACCAAGGCAGCAAAGCTGTAGCGGCTGCCACGGAAGCCGCGAATACTCCGGTGGCGGATGGAGAGTCTCCTGCTCCCTCTAAAAACGCGGTCCTCATGCTACAGAAGACTGAAGATGTCATCCCACCCAAGGGAATCGTCAACTCAGCACAGTTGGAGAAGGAACTGATCCGCATGTTCGCCAATGCAGTCATGTTCAATCCCGTCCCGCAGCGTGGGTTCGGTCCGGCTTTCCCGATGACCAGTGACGGCGGGTCGAGGGCGAGTACTCAGGTCCCCGAGGCTGACGAGGGCGGCATCATCAAGGACACGATTGAGATGTTTGAGGATGTTGAACAGGCCGTCACTCGGTGGCGCGCTGCTGAGCGAACTGCGGATGAATTGGCGAGCAAGAGCGTGCTCTCGCTTCGTCGCGGCAGTGCCAGCGATCCCAATGCGGACAGTGCCGATGAGGTCAAGGGATGATTGAACATGTGTGACGACTATGGAATCTTGTATTATTATAGCGAATAACATTGTAATCACTGTCAAGGATACATTGGATAAGCCTAATGTGCTTTTGAACAAGAATATCTCCAACCGGTTCCTAGGACAATCATTAGGAGACCAGCCGATCCTTCCAGTTGATTCCTGCAATGTGACTTGGGCTGGGTCTGGGGAATTCGGGATTCTTCTGCCGTTGGACACACTATGCAAAACATCAGATGGCGCCATGGCATTCAATCTCAAACAAACTATTACCATGTAGTCCAGACGAGTTCTCGTTCTAGGATCCTATGATGACCATCCGTGCACCCCATCATTCCTGGCCATAGAGAAAGCCTCACTTTCACATCCGTTTCGCCTCTCCTCCGTGGAACGTCATCCTATCTGCGCAAAACTTAGCCCCTGGCTGGCTGGAGTAGAATGCAAATGGATTCCGCTGTCGACTGAGGATGGAACATTTCCGTAAGAGCTTCCGGAGCTGTCCCTTCCTAGATTCTTCTCCTGTTGGCGAATAAACACCAAAGAGACCCTCCACATCGGCTATGATATCCGTGAATGTTGCTTCCTGCGCATCTTCTGTGAGTGTCCCAATGGTCATTGCGTTGCAACTCTCCAGTTCTGTGCCATGGCCTCCGGACCTGAAGAGCTTAGTTAGTAGTATAGCGCAGAGACAATGTACACCTACAGATCTCCTTATGGCCGTTTTCAAGATTCCTAATGAAGCCACCCCAAGGCTCATCGGCTATTCCGAATATATATGGCGTGAATATGCAATGGTGTATGTAACTAGTAACGTGCGCCTGGATCCAGGCTCGCCGCTGATGGGAGTTTCCCGGGAAGACACCATTGGGTGTATACCGGATGCTAACGTGATATATAGTGACGAGATCGATGACATCTTTGGACCTATTGTGCAAGAACTTGAGGAGCTTGTATCCCGGTAGATGAAAGGCATACAAAACATCGGACTACAGGCCAAGGTTAGTAAAGCAAGTCAACAACAACACAAGGACAACTTCCTAATCGTGAACAGGCTATTATCCGAGTAGGTGGATTTGGGTCTTCTGAATATCTATATACCCACTTGCGTGATGCCTACCGCAATGTGATAGTTCGTCAACCATCCAACGCGTAGGTAGTTACACCGTCGTCCTCAAAAGCATGCTAGTTAGGGTACAGATGGGCTGCAATCATGAGGTACAGTGCTTGTGGATCATGACAGTTGACAGACCACTAACAGCTTATTCAAAGCGGCGCCGTGAGCCATGGACTTGACGGGACCAGAGTCGAAAGTCGAATTGCTCGCCGGCATTACGGAGTTGTATGCAGGGCGGCGCCGTACCACGAGGCATTGCATAGCCCGGCCAACAGAGTTTGGGATCATCTCCAAGAGGAGTACAAAGCAGAAAGACAGATGAAGTGGTATATTAACAAGGTACCAATACCCTCTGATGAGACTCCATATCTTTGCTAACTGCTTATTTATAGCATTCGAAACTGTGCGAGGATGAGCCCATCAAAGATGGACTTCAAAGTTGTGCCAACTCGCAACGTGGAGCGCTTGAAATTTACAGAGTACCTTCACTTCTGCAATCATGATGACGCCCTGCAGGAACAAGACCAGAGTCAGTCTATCCGTAAGAAAGTGCTTTCTCTGGCTGCCGATGACAGTGTACGGAGTAGGAGTTATGAAACTATGTGCCATGGAAGTGGATCTTCGCACCATCCGACCAGAGCTATTTGAGAAGAGGCAAAATTCGCAAGGAGAGGAGTATTACAAGATAGCCTGCATAAACAAAGTGATCCCAACATCAGCGTCACTGCTGTTTGAGTTGGAATTCAATGGGGTGTCGTATGGAAGAGTTCGATCAAAGTACTGATCGAGGTGGATAGCCAATCGCAGGGATAATGGAAACGACGAGTAAATTGGTGACGGCTGCCCTGAGCAACCCACTGAGCGACCCTGAGTTACTGAGTACCCTTATAGATGCGGATTAGCGGAGGAAAGTATCCTGATTAGATCAAATTGCTAGACATTTGAATCAGTTACAGACATCCGTACTGTATTCTGTCTTGGCCTTCAGGAGCGATACCAGTATTTCCAACGTCCACAGTCAAGAACGTACTCCGTACCTAGCCGCCTATTATTAGACTAGCCCGGTGGCAGATGGTGGGTGGGTTGGTGGGGGCTCTATGTATATTCTAGAATCCTGTCTGTATTGGAAGCAAATCTGTCACTTCCGAGACTTCATCGTGGAGCCTGCAAAGTTTTCCCATAGTTTACTACTCCGTAGAGCAGCTTCTCGTCTAATGGAGTACCTAGAGCAGAGGATCTTTCGAGTACAACCTGATTACACATGCTACGCCATACCAGATTGGGAAAGCCATGGCGTCTCGGTAAAGTACTCCGAAAGGTTTCTTTCATCCTCGATTGACTCATCGTCCACCTGAACCGGGGATGTCTTTGCAACTCCATTACTCCACCGCTTTCAAAACATCAACACACGAAAACAAGATAGACATGCAAACCATTACTGTCGCCTCAAAGGCCAATGGCGGCTTAGTCCTTCCTGCGTTGCTTGCGGCAACATACTTCTCGCAGTGCAGCCCTGACGACGCCATTTCAGTCGAATGCAAAGACGTGGAGACTCATGGACACGAAAATGCCAAAACCATCCTCCTGAGAACAAACGATGGGAAATTTATCGCTGACGGATTCGTGATCAAGCACTTGGTGGACCATATTCAACTCCCATGGGGAGTGAGGAAGAGCGATGTTTGTTTAGCGAATCTCCCAAGCTGTTTTCTGACATTGCTCATTCTTTCCTAGCTCATCGAATGGCTGGATCGCTCGGCGGCCCTTGCAGTCCCTGACTTCAAGTTGTTGGATCAGCCCATGAAGGAGCTGGAGTCTCACCTCGCCTTGCGTTCTCACATCCTTGGACACACCCTGACCTTGGCTGATGTTGCGGTTTGGGGTGCTCTTCGTGGAAACAAAGTTAGCACCAGAATCCGCCGGAACTACGCCAACATAAACCGTTGGTTTGACTACGTTGAAGCTTCGAATCCTTGGATGACGGATGTTGTCGTGGATCTTAGCAACGCCGCACGGCAGAGAAAGGCCGCAGCGAGTGCAGCTGGTGCAAGTTATAACATCGGTCTGAAAAACACCGAAAATGGCATTGTCACGAGATTTCCTCCTGAACCCTCTGGATACCTTCATATCGGTCATGCAAAGGCAGCCTTGCTGAATGACTATTTTGCCCACGAATACCTTGGGTCTGACTCACGCGGGGTTCTCATTTGTCGATTTGATGACACGAACCCTTCGAAAGAGTCCGAAGAGTTTCAGGATTCAATTCTGGAGGACTTAGCATTGATTGGTATCTATCCTGACAGAATTACTTATTCCAGTGACTACTTTCAGCAGATGTATGAAGCTTGTGTCAAGCTCATCCAGGGAGGCAAGGCATATGCGGATAATACGCCGAAGGAGGTCATGGGAGAACAAAGGGGGAAAGGTATTGCGAGTCTTAATCGAGACATGAGCGTTGCGAATAGCCTTGACCGGCTCGAAAAGATGAAGGATGGCACAGGGCTAGAATGGTGTATCCGTGCGAAGATTTCCGTCGACGACCCAGTGAAATGCCTACGCGATCCAGTCATCTACCGCTGCAACCTCCAGCCTCATCATCGAACTGGCACAACCTGGAAGATTTACCCCACGTACGACTTCTGTGCTCCTTTTCTTGATTCTCTAGAGGGTGTGACTCATGCGCTCCGAACTAATGAGTATCGGGACCGTAACCCACAGTATACATGGATTCAAGAGGCTCTCGGTATCCGGCAGGTAGAAATTTGGGACTTCTCTCGCCTCAATTTCGTTCGCACTGTGCTTTCTAAGCGAAAGCTTACTGTCTTAGTTGACAATGGTGCCGTTTGGGGTTGGGACGATCCTCGAATGCCTACCGTTCGTGGTATCCGACGCAGAGGAATGACAGTACCTGCTCTTCGAGAATTTATTCTGAAACAGGGACCGAGTCAGAACGTCATCAATCTCGAATGGTCGTCTCTCTGGGCCACCAATAAGAAATACATCGATCCCGTTGCTCCGAGACATACTGCTATCCCCAAAGATAATGCCGTTACTGTGATTGTCAATGGTGTGAATCGGACCAGTTCTGAAGAAAAGCCACGACACAACAAGAACGCAGACCTGGGCACGAAAAAGGTCTTTTTCTCTAGAAAGATTCTTCTAAGCCAAGAAGATGCCGCATCTTTGAAGTTGGCCGAGGAAATCACACTCATGAATTGGGGCAATGCGATTGTCAAAAAAGTCTCTTCCAGTCCGTCCAGCATTGTCTCCGAAATGGAGGTAGACCTTCACCTCGAAGGCGACTTCAAGAAGACCGAGAAGAAGTTGACTTGGCTAGCAAAGGAGGCATTCAATATGGTCCCTGCCGAACTCGTCGATTTTGACTACTTGATCACCAAGGACAAACTCGACAAGGAGGATGATCTCTTCTCTTTTGTGACACCGAAGAGTGAGTTTCGGACTGAGGCCTGGGCCGACTGCAATGTCATGAGCCTCGCTCGAGATGATATTATTCAATTTGACCGTATTGGATTTTTCCGAGTCGACCAAGCTTATGAGGAGGGAAAACCCGTCGTTCTTTTCAGCATCCCAACGGGTAAAGGCGCTTGAGTATCAAGGACACCCACTTGTGGTACGAGTAGTTTATGACTCGATCTTATTCTTAGTTAGAACGGCATACCTCATGTCGTTTGTAAACAATACATTGTTCTAGGTACTGGCGATACGCCAACGCCATCGATAATACTTGAGGCAACTGACTTGCTTCTTCTTTAAAGCAGAGTAGTTCAAATGGGATAAACTTCACGAAGTGACAGATTCGGCTAAAGATGATGCCGCGGAAGAACAACAGAATGACGAAGGAGACCATAAAGACTAGGTAGACGCTTAAAGTGGCGTCAATGGTGATGTTTTCAGCACCCAATCTACCGCCACCTAGCATCATTGTTTAGTTCTAGCTAACGAGACTTCTTTATTCTTCAATCATTTTTAATGGTGCACTCAAAGCTTTCAGGCGTATTCCAAGCGGTTGTAGACTACATGTCATAAGCATAGATTTATAGAGAGCTGTCTTATAGTGGGCGCCATCATACTAAGTCCAAGTCAGTCAACATCTGTCGAAGTTGCAATACACCTGGTAGCTTCCAGGTCCTTATTCCAATCAAGCATCTTGCTTTCCAAAGCCGCCACACAATCAGATCCCAGAGGAAGTCGAAGGTAGTCATGTCCATTCTCAACAGCACCGAGTATAGCCCTTGCAGCCCTCCCAGGATCGCCTTTGATACAGGCCGGCATTTCCTTCATATTACAAGTCCCAGCAACCATTTGCGCAACAGCAGTGCCACGATAGACCTCACTGAAGCCACCAACGCTCGCATATTGTGCAGGTGTGATGATCCGGCTGGCAAAGGGGGTGCGAAAAGCGCCAGGCTCTACGATCAACACCTTGATCCCAAATGTCTGGACCTCCTGAGACAGCGCCTCATGGATAGCTTCTATGGCGAACTTGCTTGCCGAATACGTCCCTCGACCCGGTCTCGCGATGAATCTATTACCCACAGGGGTGGCCTCATCAGTGTCATTCTCAGTAGAGAGAGGATAAGTGGAACAAAAGTCTGGCGACTAACCCGGCGCCACTGCTAATGAGCACAATATTTCCAGACCGTTTCTCGCGCATGCTTGGGAGCAGCGCGCGCACAGTTCGGAGCGGCCCATAGAAGTTGACTTCCATCTGCGAGCGAACCTCGTTTTCACTACATACGAGGCGCGTTAGTTCCGGCCATACATTACAGAGATAGACTTACCTAGTGTCCTCGATCCCGCCGATAAATGCGTAACCGGCGTTGTTCACCAGCACGTCAATACTGTATTCCTTCGAGAACTGGACCACCTGGGCGTATGCTGCCGCGTCTCCCGGGTCCAGCTTCATCCATGAACCACCTTTTGTTTCGAACTTGGGAAAAGAGATCTGTGCTTTCTCAACGTCGCGGGTTGTGCCGATTACCCTGTGTCCTGCGTTTAGGGCTTCCAGGGCAAGCGCTTGGCCGAGGCCGGATGAGGCCCCGGTGATGAACCATGTGAGGGGTGCCATTCTTCGGTGTGTACGAAGATTATGCAGAGCTAAATGACTGGTTGAATGAGGACACGGATTATGATCTATATAGTGCAACCTTGGGGTGGGTTTAACCGGACTTAAGAGAGGATTATAACCGAAACGTTCGCGCATAATGAATGTTAAGTCCACAACAGGTCAGCAGAAATAAGGAATTTGGTCTGTGCGGTATTTACTACCTCGTGTTATACAACGTATTTCTCGACATTATATATACTCCTGGCCAGAGAAGAGCCCAAAAAATGACTGCAGTGCATTGGCCTCGAACAAGTTATCAAAAGACCCCCATATTGGGTCGGAGTCGAACCCGATCAACCCACCGTCGATTTCAGATTGTAACGCCGAAGAGACGTGCTGGTCTGCAGTAGTCTCCATGAAGCTGCCCGGGCTCTGCAACATGGTATAATTCATTTGCTCGATAGGCGCACTATCTGGACCAGGTGTCTCGCGGTTGGCCTGTCTTGCAGGAAGCAGCGACGGGGTCGCAGGCTGCATGGCGTCAGGCACTGCGCTATCCAGAGAAGAGCCTTTTGCCAATCGCTCATTGGCCATCATGTTGATAATGTGTCGGACAGTGTCTCGTGAGATCTTGTCAAGCATGTCTTCCAGGTTGTTGGTGGCAAAGGCAGGCCAACGCTCCCTCATAACCGCCATGACGACGCAGAGCTTGCGCACCCATCGTGTGATGCTGTCCAGGAGGTTATCGAATCCTAACCGCTTGGACAAGACTATTGCGTTGGTTCTTGCGGTGACAATCATCGACACGGCCGACAGCGTAAGGCCCTGCAGCAACATCCACGAATTGGGGAGACGGAACTGCCGGATCAGCTGGTCGTGGATCTCAATCACTCTCCCTGAGGACATGAAGCATCGTTCATGCGATGGAGGTGCTGGACGCGGAACAAGCGGAGTCGGTCGTGATAGAGCGGCCGACGTGGAATAGTGCAGTCGGTCCCAGTATTCGACTGGGTAAGGTGAGGTGGATTGTCTGTGGAGCTCGTACAGTTCGAGGTGCCATCGATCTAGCTGGTCCTGGAGTTTGTCCAGGATGAGCTGAGTCTCCTCTGTTGATGTAGGTATGTTGCGTTTCCTCCCGCGGTAGACCTGCGACAACATCTGTTCCTGGATCTGGCGATGTCGAAAATGGTGTATGGGCATTATCATGTCCTCTGTCGCCTTGGGAAATGGCGCATCGGCGTCTTCAAAAGAGATGCTAGCTGGCCTTCCAAGGTTGAAGGCTAGGGTTATCTCGATGGCATATGTGGTCCAGAACACTCGACGCCGCAGGTCCAGTTCATCCTCTGACAGTTTCCAGTTATCGTTGTGACGGTGGAGTCCCAGCTCAATCGCCAGCTTTTCAAAGATGTCAGCACACTATAGACGCATCTTAGGGAGCCATTACTTACTCTGATGGCAATGCCGCCTATATGCCACTGTTTGTTATCAGACGGGCGATGGGACGCGTAAATAGATATAAGGTTGAGGATCTGGACCAAGGAGATACGAGGGGCCAGGTTTTGAATGCCAGTTTCGAGTACATCAATAGCTTTTCGGTACAGGGCTTCCGCAGACAGACCCTGAGTGAAGGCGTTGCGGTAGGCTTGAATGCCCGTATCACCTTTAAGGTCGTTCAGAAGATGTGCTTGCTCGGCATGAACGGCACCTATCGACACTACCAGGTAGAATATGACTGTGGTATCATTATTCTCCTGGTGGTCATCATTCGAACGGCTGAGAGATTCCAGCATGGTCACGAATCCAGTCGTAAAAAGAGGGTATATGCTGTGGACCCATCGCATGTAACAGCGTAGAAGAAAAGGATATGTTTCGGACGTTGCCCAATGTTCCGGTGAATACACCGGCGTCAGTCTGTCGGCTGTTGTCGAAGGATGCACTCCATGCCCTTCAGGGTAATCGTGGAGCTCAGCCGTGTTGGACGAAAAACACCGAGCGAGGTTGGCAATATACTTGGCGAAGAAGGAACCACTCGATGCACCCATATAACGTACTTCGCCGGTGGCGTTCAACGCCAGGAGACTTATGTCTGGGTCAACTTCATGAAGCCTTACAGACCGATGTTCATCTGGGAGCGAGGCATGCGGGCAGCAAGGCGTCTGAGACGGAGTGACTTCTGAAATCCCTCTTGGGGCATCTTCCTCTCCATCCCGAACATGATGACTGTGCTGAGAGAGGGAGTCAAGAGGTGTCCCTGTTCCAACGTCCCGGATATCAACTCCAAAGACCCGATGGAGTTCCTGTTCCAGCCAGGAAACCCTCTGGGACGCTTCGGAGTAATGAACATCTGTGGCGAGTGCGGGTCCAGCAGTCACCCGACGGCGCCTTTCATGTGGTCTACAGACAGCCTGCGCCCTGAGACAATTCCGGCAACTGGGGCTTGCTCCATCACACTGCGGTTGATGTCAGGCAAGAGCTCCCTCTATCCAAGCCCGTACATGCTCACCTTGATCTTGCGTTCATGACAAAGAGCACAGGCCTTTCGAGATTTCAACCGGGGCTGCATCGACACTTATCTGTGACACATATTGGTTAGTATCTCGGTGTCTACACGGGGGCAGCGTCTATACATTGTCGCGGGTCCGCTATCGGTGGCGCCTTCGGCGATTTCGGACTTCATGGTCTGATCGTTGGAGTTTGTGGGTCTCGGCGTTTAGAACGCCGTGATAGTGATCAATCACGTGGAAGGCCAACCCTAAGGGTCTACCATCTCTCATCAGACCGAGATCTAGAAAGATGCTAAACGAGACTGCAGCAGCTACTGCGTACTATATACTGCTGCGCTATCTTTCCGTGTGTGCTTTTGAAGCAATCACCATCCAATGACGCAATCAAAATGAGCCAGGGACCATTCCAACTGGTAGTATATCCACCAACTGCTGTTCTTCCTACAGTCTACTAAACAAGCATTGCATTGCAAACCCACCGGCTGATCACCGTCAACCGAAACACCGAAACACCGCGCGAGCGAGCATTGTTGAGAAAGCGGGTCGAACTTATCTGTCTCTATTCGACTATCTGCACTGACAAGACCAATGAAATCCATAATAGTATCTCTCTGCTCCGTCGGTTATCATGGGTCCCTCCTCCCCGGGTTGGGAAAACCTGGGGTACATATATAGCGGTATACCAAGTAGACAGGGGTGTAAGTAGAGTAATCTAACCACCACCCTAACGATATGTTCTCCAAAGAAAAGACCGACGATCAATTTGACCCATCAGGGCGCAATGGCAGCATCGATATTGAAGTCGGCCCCCATGAAGATGCCTCCGGTCCACAAGATTCCTCCAAGGCCCTGAAAAGAGGTCTCAAGTCCCGCCACGTAGGGATGTTCTCCATTGCTGGTGCCATAGGAACCGGACTTATCATCGGCAGTGGCACAGCACTGTCACAAGGCGGGCCTGGCAGTATGTTCATTGCATATTGTTTTGTCGGCATGCTCGTTTTGAACATCATGTCTGCTTTGGGCGAGATGGCTGTGTATATGCCTATGGACCAGGGCTTTGGCGGCTATGCGACGCGTTTGGTAGATCCGGCCTTTGGGTAAGTCATCCTTCACCGTCAAGGGTACTAGTTGGGGACACTTACTAAACATCGAGATCAGTTTTGCAACGGGGATGAACTACTTCCTCAAATATGTCGTGCTGCTAGCCAACAATCTCACAGCCTCCGGCATCATCATGCAATACTGGCTACCGGGTATTAACGTGGCCGTCTGGGTCGTTTCCTTTGCGGTTCCCATCATTCTTATCAATGTATGGCACTCTCCAACAACTAAAATTCAATCACATCTAACCGTCTGTGTCTCTAGTTTGCCCCTGTGAAATACTTTGGCGAAGTCGAGTTCGGCGCGGCATGCATCAAAACAGTGACCATCGTCGGCCTCATGATCCTGTGTCTCGTTATCGATCTGGGTGGCAGTCCCCAAGGGCGAATTGGGTTCCGCTACTGGAACAACCCCGGTGCTTTCAAAGAGTTTCTCGTGGAGGGCTCCACAGGCCGCTTCCTTGGCTTCTGGGCCAGCGTGACCAACGCGGCGTTTGCCTACATGGGCAGCGAGATGGTGGGCATGACGTTTGGTGAAGCGAGCAAGCCATGGAGAACGATCCCGAAGGCAATCAATGCTACGTTCTGGCGTATCTCGTTTTTCTACATTGGAGGTGTCTTTTGTCTGGGACTTGTTGTGTCGTCCTCAAGTGATCGTTTGATCAACGCTACCAAGGCAAGCACTGGCGCAGGTAAGCTACTACAGAAAGCTCTTGTGCTTGCTCGTGGTAGACAGAAAACTGACGTTGGCAGGTGCCTCGCCGTTTGTCGTCGCCATTGTCGATTCAGGAATTGCCGTGCTTCCGCATATTATCAACGGGTGTCTGCTCGTCTTTGTGCTCAGCGCGGCCAACACAGGTAAATTGTGCATATTCTTGATCTGCTAATTTGGTGCGCTGACATCAAGCAAAGATATCTACATCGCCTCTCGCACTATGTACGGCCTGTCGAAGGACGGCTACATACCGTCCGTGTTTAAAGTCACGAAGAACTCAATCCCCGTATTCTCAGTCGGATTATCTGCGGCATTCTTCCTCCTTGCCCTGCTTAACATCAGCTCCGGAAGTACCGTTGTATTCTCGTACTTGGTCTCGCTGTCCACGATCCTTGGCCTTCTGAACTGGGTCAGCATCCTTGTCTCTTACCTGTTTTTTCAACAAGGAATGAAAGCGCAGGGCATCAGTCGGAGTGTGCTCCCATATTCAGGGAAGTTCCAGCAGCCCAGAGCCATGATAACGCTGTTCTTCACGGGGCTCATCATCATAACCAACGGTAAGTACCAAGAAGCGTGGTTGATGTTGATTTGATGCTAAATTTGGGATATTAGGATTTGATAGCTTTATACACAGATTCAACGCGAAGGACTTTGTGGTCAGCTATATTGGGATTGTCATATATATCTTCCTGATTATCTCCTACAAGCTGATCCGGCGGACAAAGTTCGCGGGCTTCAACACTATGGATATCACAACGGGTGTCATGACGAATGACCATGTGCAACAGATAGAGCGTGAAAATTCGGATGATTAGGTAGCCAATGTAGTTTGGTAGTAATGGAGTTTGCACGAGTATCATGTCTTTTCTGTGTCCTCTATCTCGATCCCTTGAGTTTGTCCGCCATCCCACACCACAGGGCCGGATCCTGGCCTAGACCGGAGACTTTTAAATTATCTAGATAGTCCCGAACGATAATTATCATACTGGATGAGGCGATGAACAGGCCGGTTAAGATGGAGTGGATCTCAACCAGATATGGCATCACGGAGAATGCGGCGTTTCGGCGGTTTTTCGCCGAGCCGGGGACATAGTAGACGGCCAACAACCAGTCTGGCGACGATATTTAAAAAAGCATGGCTCGTGAAACACATCGTTCTCGGTAATATTATACTCATAGTCATACAACAGCCATGGCCAACATCGTTACATCGACAGCTGCAAAGCTGCACATCTCCCCGACCCTTGGGATCAACGAGCTTGTCCTCAAGACACGCGCGGAGGGCAAGCATGTTGTGCACCTGGGCTTTGGCGAGGCTACATTTCCCATCCAGAAAGATGTTCTACAGATTCACAAAGACGGTTCCAATACGGCAAGTTACATGCCGGTGGCCGGAACGCAGGAACTGCGGAAGGTTTGTGATTCAATATCTGCTGCGCTTCGGGAATATATCAGACTAACGAGGATAAAGGCAATCGCGGATTTCAACGCCGAGAGACTGGGAGTTTCGATTAGCCCAGAGCAGGTGGTTGTCGCTCCTGGCTCTAAGCCCCTTCTGTTTGCGCTGTTCGACATCCTGCAGGGCGATGTGCTTCTTCCTCGTCCATCATGGGTTAGCTACGAACCGCAGGTGCTCCATGCCGGAAAGAAGCTCTTCTGGGTTGAGACGGACCCTCACGACCGGCATTCTATCACTGGTACGTTAGCCTGAAACCAAATTAGTCATCTGTTGTCAGGAATTAATCGATACGGCAGAGACTTCTCTAACGGCTGCATATGAAAAGGCCATTTCCGAGGGTGCAGACCCCCGGACTATGCTGGTGAACAGCCCGTCAAACCCCACGGGACATGTCTTCTCAGCGGAATGCGTCCAGATCATCAAATCCTTCTGTAGGTCGAAGGGTATTGTGTTGATAACCGATGAGATTTATTCGGACATCTGCTTCGATGAATCCCAAAAGACCGTCAGCGCTTTCGACAGCAGTCCTGATGCGTCTGAGACCGTCATCCTGACCGGTGGCTTGTCCAAGGTATGATAAACGAAGACCGTTGTTATCCCACCCATCTAACTCGGTAACAGACATATTCCGCGGGGGGCTGGCGCGTTGGCTACGCCATCTTCCCGCCCACACCAGCAGGCGAGACAATCCGGCAGACAACACTGGCATACGCGTCAGAATGCTGGTCCGCGGCCTCAGCCCCGGCCCAACTGGCGTCTGTCAAAGCCTTCTCCACCTGTCCCGAGATGAACATGTACCGCAAGTCAGTGACGGCACTACACAGATACTGCACCACGCGACTCTATCAGGCGCTCAAGGACTTCGGGCTGGACGTGGGCAAGCCCCGCGGCGCCTTTTACGTGTACCCATCATTCCATCCGTACTCAGCGCAGCTGAACAAGCTGGGTGTCTTTACCAGCGCCGAGCTGTCGAAGTGGCTGATCCAGGAATGCGGGCTGGCTGCGCTTCCTGGTTCGGCCTTCGGCGAGGATGACAACGGTCCCGTTTGTGGGCGGTTTCGTCTGCGGATGGCGACGAGTTATCTGTATTTCCGGGATGAGATCGATCGGTATGAGAATGGGTATGCGTTGTTGGAAGCTTGTGCGGCGGGTCAGGAGATCGAGCTGCCGTATCTGGAGGAGGCGATTAAGGTGCTTGGGGAGGCTGTGGCGAAGTTGAAGGCTGTTTCTGCTTGAAGGGGGCTTTATTTCGTGTATCATAGAATGTATCTGGCTATGGGGTTATTACCCAAGTGTGAGATGTCCACGTGTTCCAGTTAGAGTGAATGTTCGATGTGACCGGCACAATATATATATTCGAAATTCTGTAGCTACCAACGCCATCTACAATGCGCATGCCAAATAAGGACAAGTCTAGTACGGAAATCATGCAGTCCCTGAAACAGTCTGTGGCTTTGTCCTGCCCAGCCCGTCCTTCGCATAAAAGTCCATCGGATAGATACCTTGGTTAGCGGTATCCCAATCCTCACGCACACCGAGTGCAATCAGCGCCTCATACGGCGTCAGCAGCGGGCGCGGGAACGCGTAACCCCAATCAATACTTAACCGCGGACAGGCGATCTGTACCCAGCATTCGACATCAGCCATGGCGGCCAGCTTGCCAGGGAAGATTTCACTAAGAAGGAGGTTCACAAAGGGGATCCCCTGTGCGCGGAGATGGTTCTCGATCATGGCCATGGTGTGCGGGTTACCCTGGCGGCCGAGCGCACCGAGGATGATGCCCCATTTGCGGGCCGATTTGGCGGTGTTGATGGCGTCGCGGCGTAGTGTGTGCATCTCGTCGTGGACGTAGGTCTCGCGCGACAACGTGCGCGAGTATGGGTCGTAGCGGTACGCTGGGATGGAGGGGTTGTGGATCATCGCTGATTCGAGATGGAAACGGCCGTCACCGAGATAGAGGAGGATGTCGATCTCGGAGGAGAGCTGGGGCGAGGTGCAGCCGAGAATTTCACCCTTGGATAACGGGGTGATCTGTGGAATGACGACGTTGAATCCGGCGCGCTCGAGGACCGGTTTGAGTCCGTGCAGGGTTGCGTTGAATTGGATCGTCCCGACGGTGGCGATGGTCTTGCCTCGCGGGAAGTTGCGCTCTAGCGTCGCGAGGAGATGCGTCGTGTCGATGCTGATATCAACGAAAATATAGAGGGTCTTGATTTGCGTGACATCCACGGGAATGAGACAGCTGTGCGCATAGTGTACGAGCAGGTCGCAGCCTAGAGCGCGTGCGGTGTAGTCGTCGATGCAGCAGGCGCCGTAGGTCACGTCGCCCATAATGAGGGTTTCAATCCCAGGACAGAATTGTGTGAGGATATCAGATATCGTCGTCGCGAAGATGAGGAGGCCCTCGGGGAACTGTAGAGCGACCCGCTTGGCGCCAGAGCTGCGGATGCGGTGGATCGTCTTGGGTATTTCGAAAGAATAATTGCGCGGGAGGAGTTCGATGGCGGCTTTGATATCGGGATCCTCTAGGATCTCAGGCGGAACTTGATTCAGAGTACGAGGAGTCCGTCGGGGAGTCGCTGTTTAACATTAGTGTGTCGGATCTTTGGTATGGGAAGATACTCTCACGACTGACCTCGTTGGACACTCGTGGATTCGACATCCTGCTGCGCAGCGGGGTCTTTTTGAGCCTGGGCGTCGGCAGTACGTTTGCCAACAAACCTCTTCTTGGGCTGTTTGAGGGTATTCGTTGGCGGAGCTGCGTCCATGGTGAGATATGGTGGGATTGAAGAAGATGAAGCCGAAGAGGATAAAATGATCTGATATCAGGATATCAAAGTGGGATGAAAATTGATAGGGCTGAGTCAGCCGGTCAGGTGGGGTTCGGCTTCTCCGCATTTTCCTTAACGATGATCGCTCCAGGTATGCTCCTCCTCTTTCTCTCCAACTCGCCCTCCTTTTTGTCTCTGTTTCTCTGTGCGATTGTACGCTATCAGACTCTACATTAATTCAGGGTACTGTCAGCATCATGATCCGTCCTCGACTCAATCTCTTCTCTGCCCTGCGGACTCCCCCCGTTCGTAGGTCCTTTGCGACCGAGGCGCGGTTAACCTCGGACCATGTTCGCGTCGTCGAAGTCGGCCCTCGAGATGGACTGCAGAACGAAAAGAAGTCTATTCCCTTGGAGACAAAGCTCCAGCTCATTGAAAAGCTCGCAAAAACAGGAGTAACCACCATTGAGGCCGGTTCTTTCGTCCCTGCGAAATGGGTGCCACAGGTATGGCCTGATCGCATTCCCCCAACGTCAAAGGGCAAAGGTGAACAATATGCCGACTGATCACGTCCAACGCAGATGGCAAGTACAGCAGAAATCTGCGAACATCTCCTCAAAACACCACCTCAATCACCAAGTACCATCGCCTACAACTACCTGGTCCCGAATGTGAGGGGGTTGGAGAACCTCATTAAAGTTATGGACGCCACAGGGGTTCCCGCGGGAACGTCATCATCGCAGTCGGCCACGACGACCGAAATCTCCCTATTTGCGGCCGCGACAGAAGCATTCTCGAAAGCAAACACCAACTGCACTATCGACGAGTCGCTTGAGCGCATCCGTCCTATTGTTGCCTTGGCGAAGACCAAGGACATCCGTGTGCGCGGTTACGTCTCGGTTGCCCTCGGCTGTCCGTATGAAGGACCGGACGTCCCTCCCGCAAAGGTCGCGGATATCACGGCCACGCTTCTCGAAATGGGAGCCGATGAGGTGTCCGTCGCCGACACGACGGGAATGGGTACCGCTCCCCGCACCATGGAACTCCTGCAGGCGTTGAAGGCGGCGGGTATCGCCAACAATGACCTGGCATTGCATTTCCACGACACATATGGCCAAGCATTGGTTAACACGATTGTTGGACTGGAGCATGGGGTTCGAATTTTCGACAGCAGCGTGGGTGGTCTGGGTGGATGCCCATACTCAAAGGGAGCTACTGGCAATGTTTCCACCGAGGATCTTGTGCATACCCTGCACAGCCTTGGTATGCATACTGGGATTAGTCTGGACGAGATGTCGCGGATTGGTGCCTGGATCAGTGGTGAACTGGGCCGTGCCAATGAAAGTCGGGCTGGGAAGGCCACTATGGCCCGACTGGAGGGTAAATGCTAGTGTGTAACTCGACCTTTTATCTTTGCACTGGATTGAAGCGCTCCCTGTTTGATCTTTCTCTTGCATCACCCCGATATTAACAAAGTGTATTATGTTGCATAGCCACATTCCAATATCAAGGACAGTCTAATATGGGCATCCTTACGCAGTTTCCAATTGTTATTAAGGCAGGGTGGTATTAACCCTCCATCACTGCTCAGTATTGCCGAGATCCTTATCATCTTGGGCTCCCTATCCGATTCTTCTAACCAGCTTGGATTAAGAGGCTGGAAGCAACGAGATGGTACTACGTCAGTTCTGGGCTGCCAATTGAGATGCATTAAAAAGCTGATATTGGGATTTCGGTTCCCTTCTGACCATGAACACCGACGGGATGCCATTCACTGTGCTCAATCAATGATACATTTCAGGTGGATTCGAAGGGAGAACGCCATCGTGTGAATCCAAGAGTGATAGCCTTGGATGATGACAGAATAGCTGTGCGTATGCGGATTGTTAACATTTGGTGAGAGTCTCTCGGAAACAGGGATACCTCGAGCTGTTCGCGCCGCAGGAGTCGTAGTGCCATCCGCGGCACACACTCCCTACCTGGGCATACCAGTCCTCAAAGCTCTAGAACTGGGCATTGGAACACGAACTGTCTGACTTGCCGAGAAATGCATCAACTCGACATGTCTAACCGAACCTGTGTCACCGGGATGGAGTAGATACTGCGTTCGCCATGCAGGCATTTCTTCATGGAGATGATGTTTCTTGAAGAACGCTAGGAATCGACTACTTATCCCTATGGTATCAGAGTTACCCCGTGGAAAGTCGCAATCCGAGAATGGCTGGCTTGGACGACGGGGCATGATATAAACGTCGTCCAGACACCGCCTTGTAGAACGTCTCAAACACGACCCAGGACAGGAAAGCTCCATTCTTCATCCGATTCCATATACATACCAGACCACCAGTCAATGAGTCCAACAACATGGTCCCAGATGCTGTTGTCATTCCCACAGGCGGCCCTCCCAAGGTCGTCGGCCCAAAGACCAAGACTATCGCACGCCCAACCAACAAACTGCTCCGGTACGTCCATGAGACGGCGGCTTTTGCCTGGCATTATGACAGCTTCCCCTTTGTCTGCGTGACAATGCCTTCGGACTGCACTGGTATGGTGGGAGAAGAGACGGCGTTGAAGACCGCGACTGGGGAGATTATGGAAGTGCGAGGGCCCGCCATGGTAAGCTTCCCTCATCGTAAATTCTCGATTATTCAAGGATGCGCGGTTAAGTCAGTCCTAGGGTAAAGCCGTGGTCATGCGAGGCCGCTACATTGAACATCGGGCACTGAAGGCTCTTGGGGGTCGCGAGCGGATTACCATGGTCACCTCCTTCCGTCCAAAACCGCCCTTCATGAAGGACGAGAGCATCCTCACTGGCATTCGGGGCATAAGTCCCTTGACTGAAATTTATAGCCAGTACACCCAGTATCGATTGGAGATTTTGGAAGAGCGAATTCGTGCACGGCTGAAGAAGGAGCAGCGCCGGGAGATTGCCAAACCACCCTTCGACGTCCCCAATATCAGAGCTTTCTTGACGGAACAGAAGGATTTTCTAGAGGCTATGTTGGAGGAGCTATATTAGGTGCCACGGAAGCTCCTCCTATTTATTCTCTGTCATGGCTCAGCCATGTCAAGCCTGTTAAAGATGAGACCAGTCGCACGTGTTTAAATTCGGATCTGGCTTCTCCGCGTGCAATAATGCGAAGAGGGATCGAAGTTGGGAGACTTTTCTCTATTACTCATCTAGTACCCAAAAAAGAAAACACAATCAACTAGTGGTATGTCTAAAAAAACCGACAGTCATCAAATGCTTGGACGCAGATCGAACGTAAAGAGACTTAAGCAACAGCTTCGAATGCTTGCTCGAGGATCTTAAGACCAGACTTGATTTGGTCCTCAGTTATGGTCAGAGGAGGAACGAACCGGAGACAACCGTCGCCGGCAGAGATGATCAGCAGTCCCCGTTCACGGGCCGCAGTGATCAGGTCACCCATCTTGGGGGTGAATTCTTTGGAGAGCTGAGCACCCAGGATGAGACCCCGACCACGAATCTCGGAGATAACCCCGGGGTATTGCTTCTGCAGTTCCTGGAGGCCCGAGACAAGTTGAGCCGACTTGATCTCAACCGAGTTCTGGAGCTCTGACGAAGCAAGGCGCTGAACGATGTGATGGGCGACACGGCAGACCAACGGGTTGCCGCCAAACGTAGTGCCGTGATCACCGGGATTGATGAACTGAGTAACCGCCTTTTCAGAGACAATGGTGGCTCCGATGGGGACACCGTTACCAAGGGCCTTCGCCGTGGTCAGGATGTCGGGGTGTGCGGCCTCGCCAGATGCCGGGGCAAGAGAAGGATGGGCGTGAGCCCAGAGGGTACCAGTACGGGAGAGACCGCACTGAATCTCGTCAAAGATCAGGACAGCGCCGACCTCGTCGCAACGTTTGCGCAGGGCAACAAGGAATTCCGGAGTCGCAACGTTAACTCCACCTTCACCTTGGATGGGCTCAACAATCACACCGCAGGTCTTCTCCGTGATGAGACTCTGCAGCTGCTCCACATCATTGTAGTTTCCGTATTTGAATCCGGGGACCATGGGAGAGAAAGGGGTCTGGTATTTGGGGTTGGGGGTAGCGGAGAGGGCGCCCATAGTCCGGCCGTGGAAGGAATTGTGGAAAGAAACAAACTCGTGCTTGTTGCCAGAGGGGTCGCGAGAGCGACCGACCTTGCGGGCGAACTTGATGGCGGCCTCGTTGGCCTCAGTTCCGGAGTTGGCGATGAAGACCTGGGATGCATCACGCATGGCGCCGGACTCGCGAGTGGTCTCGATCAGCAGCTTGCTAAGGGCACCGGTCCAAGCATTGTGGTAGAGGTTCGAGGCGTGGATTAGGGTTTCGGCCTTGTACCAAGCATTAGAATTATGACTCCCTATGACACCTTATGAGTCAACGCTGTATGGCGAGGAAACACACCTGCTCGGCAATGATCTTGGAAATCTCGGGATCGCAGTGTCCCAGGGAGTTCACAGCGATACCAGCAGTCATATCCAAATACCGCCTGTTCTCCATATCCCACAAATAACAGCCTTGTCCCTTCACCATCATCGGCGCAGGTCGCACGTAGGTGGGGACCATGTAGGGTGCGCGGTCTTGAACGAAGGCCATTGTGGCCGAATCGGTGGCCGGATCGGGGTTTGGAACAGAGGCAGTTTTCTTGGGACTCGTTAGAATGCTATAATATATGGAACTCGTTGACAAGGCAACAAAATACCTTGGTTTGAGCGTTGGACGCAGTCGAAGCAAATCCGCGATGGAGCGGTGACTCAAGTCCGGGGATGAGTCGCTTCGCGAGCGGCAGGCGCCGCGAGGCCATACGAAACGCCATCAGAGAGTAGATTAAAATAAAAAGAATGAATTCAAAGAATGAATTGGGGAAGAGAGAAGAAGGGGGAAGAGAAAGGAAGTGTGCGACTCGAGAGGAGTTGGAGAAGAAATGCCGCAGCGGGAAGAAAGTCGCGCGATATCGGCAATGAGTCGGAGATTTGCTTATCTGATCCGCCACTCCGCATCAACACTTCTTCTCCCATTCTGTTTCTTTTCCTCTTCCTACTCGACTCTGTCTTCACCTTCTCCCACGCTAACACTGCCATATATAAAACTTGCTTCTCATCACCATGGCGTTCCTCCCCCGTCGCATCCTCACCTCTCGAGTTGCCGCCTCCCGCACCTTCTCCAGCCGCGCCATCCTCCGCAGCGACCAGCCTCCGTTCGCCTTCCGCTCCGGACCATCGCCCCCACGCCTCCCCAAGGAAGAGCAGGAAATCTTCGAGGAGCTCCAACGAAAGTCCACGGGCGCCTTCAGTACTCCCCAAATCAACCAGTCTCCCGACTCCGAGCCTGCGCCGGACAGCCCTGAGATCAAAGCCAGTGGCAAGGGGGAGGAGCTCCATCCAGACCTGCGTTCTGGCGTGCGGCCGGAATTTGAAGGCGAGAAGAACCCGAAAACCGGCGAGATTGGCGGTCCTAAGAATGAGCCCTTGCGATGGGGTTCAGAGGGTGATTGGAGTTACGGAGGTCGCGTGACGGACTTTTGATTCGATTGCGATTAGCATATCTGCCCTGGTGTATGGGTGCAGAGATACTGCGTGATGGCTCTGAATGCATTTATGGCGTTGGTTCCTTTCTTATCTACAATCTACCGATCCGAAATCATTTCGCGGGAGTGATATATCAGCCTCTTTGCTACGGCTTTATTGTTGATAACCTTCCGATCTGATTCCCTTTGGTGATCCAAGACCTCATTTGTATAATTCCTGAATAGCAAACACTGTACATTATTATCCCGTGAACCTTCACGACTCAATCCTGAAAATTGTGTTTACAGCTTTGCTTCCTTCCGACATCTTGAGACACATCCACGAGCAAAGTAGTTTAGCCGAGCCCCTCTACCACAAACTTGTTTACGAGATAACCAAACCCTCAATATCTGGACCTATGGAGCCGATTAGCCTGAAAAGATATAATGCGCTTGTAGCCTTCTTCTCACAATATTGTCCCTTATAAGCCGAGAAGCTGATGATATTGGAGCTTCCCTGGCTGAAGTCTGCATTGAGAACACTGACTCCCAGACTCTGTGGACCACCAGTCGGCAGAAAAGCCAGCACGTGGACCTGTCCGTTAACAGTGACGGTGCAATAACGTTGCGTGCTATCGCCATTGCCGTATGATATCTGCACGGTGTTTTCTCCAGCATCAGCGAAAGACACCGAGTTGAATGTCAATGTGCCGTTATTGGGTCCGCCAATGTAGCCGATGATTTCTGAGCTGCACCCGGAACAGGACAGCGCTTTCGCGGATCCACCTATGGTTCCGGATGATTTGGATCCCAAATTGGTGGTGTTCGAGACGGAAGTCCAGCTTCCATCTTGTAAGGATGGAGTCCAAGGGGCATTGCTGTCCTGCGAGGTCGTCAGGGGAGAGAGGAAATTGGGCAGACCGGCGCACGCACCATCGACGCGGTCGTCCCAGAAATAGTGAGAGGAAGCCACATGTATTTTGACGATGCAAGGTCATTGGAGAGCCATCGATCGCCCATGTATCTAATACTGTTAGCGCCTTGAGGACATGACTCGTAATCAAGAGTGTTATACATCACAAGACCATTGACATCCAAGATAAATGTTGTTTGAGAGGTATATGTATTTGTCCCCGAGGGGGCGAAATCAGACCAGTCTGACCAAGGCTATGTTTATTGTTAGCTTTATTTGACTAGCTGACCATGATGCATCATGTCCGACGGGACAAGAGACTGTGGCTGACCCCTGATAGACTGGTGGCAGTTGAATATCGATTGTCATTTGCGTCTGCAGTGTTGTTTAGTGGCGTAGACTGAGACCGAGGAGTGATACGTACTCCACCCTGCTCGGAGTTAGCTACGTCGCGAGTGCTCATAGAAATAATGGTGAGAAATACCTGTGAGCTGACTGGCAAACATAAAGTAGACATCTCCTGACTTGTGGATCGCGGGCGACTCGTAGTCAGCCGTGAAGGTATAAACGTTGGACTCGACAGTAAGGTAATTAGTCGATAGCTTGTCGATTCGGAGACCGTTTTCTCTCTGGATGACTTAGAGACTGCTGTGGGGATATTCGGTGCACATACATCTTCAGTCAATAGATACGCGGACCCGTCCGTGTCTGTGACTTCATAGTAAGCCAGTGTCATGAAACACAGATCGGAAATACAAACCCTTGAAGAGACCCATATCACGAGACTGGTAACCTAGAGGCCGAGAAGAGTTCCTAGAAGCCTTAGCACCCTCACTCGGGCAAAAGCACGATTGCTTACAAGTAGGTGTAGTCCCCGCATACTGATGACCCGACGGCAACCCCAGCTTTTGCCTCGCTGTAGTCGGAGCTATCAATGTGCATCCACATGACATACTGTTTGTTCTCCTCGTTGTAAATAACCTTTGGTCGTTCCACTACACGGTTTGGGCCCAGGTCACCGGATCCTTGAAGGGTGAGGAGCTCATTTTCGAAGGTCCAGTCAACGAGGTTCTGAAGTTGTTAGAGACATATCGGTGAGATGTGGATGGATTCATGCCTTGCTGGAGTAGCAGTTGATGGACTGAAACGATGAACCATTCAATTTGTTCTCCCCAATCATGTACCACACCCCATCAACTTGAATGATCCCTACAGTCAAGAGTTTGAGATACAATTAATACAATTCTCACATTAAGCCAAGTAGATGGCCGAAGCTTACCTGCGCCATGGGCTTGGATGTGTTGGTTAGTGCCCGCAGCCGTCCAGGTAGCACCAGGCACCTATTCCGAATAGGGTCAGCAAGATCTCGTCTTTATAAAAGATAGGAAAGCTGCTTACTATATCCAGGGACGCCAGGGCGTTTTGGACAAGGGCCAAGAAAGCAGTGGTCGCAAGAGTGGAATGCATGTTGTTGCAATTGGGGTTATTGCAAGGACGATCGATGCCCTATTTATATACCTCTACCGGGTCAAGGGTGTTGCCCCGCAACTGTAGGTCACAATATCTTATGTATGATTCTTTGTATGGATCTACAGGCACTCGGATCCTCATTCGACGCAGAGTCGCGAAGCCTTGTACCGTTCCAACGCAGCGTGATATCAACCTTCGGCCAAATACCGCACATAGACTGGGCCTGCTGATCTTCAGCATGTTGAAGATGCAGAAATGACTTTGTGACTATGGTAAATTCTCCATCAATCAAGGCCTCTACACCTGCGGGGAACTGAGTATTCTGCCGGGTTCTCCGCACTGCAATATCAACCGATCGTCGAGTACAGATTTACCCGAGACAGCGAGATGTGAGTTTATAACAGAACATCAAGCTCCCAGGATATTTGGTTGAACGTATGTTCTGACCGAAATGGCGAGAATATTACCCGCTCTCGTGCTTTCAGAAAGGCTCGTCTCGACAACAGCCAGCCATCGCAACAGTACCTTTACTAATCCAATTCTTCGCGGAGTCCACCCCATCCCAATTTGCATATTCGTCCCAGCATGGGATAAGACATATTCCTGTGCATCAAGTAGCCTCGGTACGTTTCCAGAGATCCCAATCCATGCATCTAGAGAGCCGCGGAACTGGAAGCCTCGGAAATGCCAACTCGGGACCAGAAATGTTGCCGGAACTGGCCACTACGAACAAAACAACAAGTGGCATATGTATATGGTCACCGTGGTGCTATCGACGAACATTAACGGAGCGTATGAGCCTGCCCCGCACAATCCATTCCTACAAAGCGGACACCACGGCGTTCTCAAACAGTGGGCCACGCTGATCTGTTTCAGGATGCTGGCGGGAACTAGTGGGTTGCCGCGCTGTCAACGGGCTCCGGGCCGGATGTCAAAATTACCCGATGGGCAGGGAGACGGCCCTGACGCCGGTTGCTTGGGATGCAGGAGACGGGCCCATCTTTCGGAGGAAGCGGGACTGAGACCGGATGGTACTTTTGCTCCAAACACGGCGTTGCCGATGCATTGGATCCATTGGCACTGCTAACATCCGATACCTGTCTTGTCTCCTCGCCGAGATACGCGAATTCCCTTCTCCTTCGGTCATCGTTGTTGAATCTGACTTCGTTCGGTGGATCCTCTACGGTTGGGAGCAGTGAATCAGCATACCGGATGAGGGGAAATCAGATTGTTGATCCCGTGATTGATAGAGGTGTCACCACGCATTGCTGTCCAGATATTACCTTATTCGAGACCCTGGACACGCGATACGCTGGTACGCTAGGGACAACAGGGAAAGGCACCAGGATTGTAGGGCATTTGAAAAAACAAAAACGCAAACACAAGGAAAAAGTGAGTTGCATCCAATTTTAAGAAAGAAAGAGTCTAACAGTACGTCTCCTTTATATCTAACTCGCCCGTGGCCTCAAGCGCATCGCCCAATGAATATTGGATCCTCGGGTGGGAACGAGATGAATCCTTGACGATGATTCTTATCGGAACTGTCCTTGTCAGAGTCCCTGACAAACCGGCGCCCCGCAGCTGGTCAAGATTATCTCCTCGGATGCCCGACAAAACTGAGATCAAACCGAATCCCTTTCCGATGGGGGTTTTGTAGCAGAAGCAGATTGAAAGCAGCATCACCGTGCAGAGGACAGGGTGGATGCATAGCGTGAGGTACATACCCCAATCCGCTTTGAGGGTTAACCGTGTTGAACGGATAGTTTCGCTAGCTGGGGGATAGTACATTTCGGGATACACTTTGTTTGTCGGATTCATGTAGATGATGCGAGCCCAGAACATGCTTGCAACGGAGGTTGTCAATGATGGGAGCAGCCACGGCGACTGGCTTTGGGATCGTGCTGGGGAGTGCCGAATCAACCATGTCGCCAAAACAGGCAGCGTGTCGGCGTAATACGGCGTGGTGCTGTTGAACACGACTTGCTTTATCCTTTCTCCAGTACAGTGGCCACTGGTCAGTTGGATGCTACTGCGGGTCACTGTCCAATGCGCCTGACATTTTTCTCGCTGGATGTCGAACTTGGGGGCGTTCTTTCTGAAAGCGAGACTGGTGGGTTCAGTTGTGTTGCTGTAGATGTTCAGCCCGTACGCATTTCCCTCGAAGAAGCCAATCAGACAAAACGGGTCCGGGTTCTCGCTATGCAAGTTGTCCAAGCCATTAATCATCCCCATCTGATAGCCATTGTAGAGGGAGATCGTCGACAGACCGGTTGGATTATAGGAGTGGTTGAAAGAAGTGGTCCAAAAGGCGTCATTGTCTTTATAGGACGATGTCGATGAATTATATCGGGCGACTGTTCCGCCCACAGCTGCTGACATGGTCCAAAACTCACCGTCGGTCAGGTTCTGCTGGATAGAAGAGAGAAAATCTGGCGAAGGTAAGTCGAGCAACGCCGTGGACGTGTTGTCCAGGATGACGGTGTTAAATCCGTACACGGCTGGGAACTGTGGAATCGAACGAGGGCTCGATGATGCTGCTATGTACGGAACGCTTGCATTGATCATGTAATAGATCGAATTGTTCATCACGTTCAATGTGCCCAGAGGAAGCGGCACGAGGCCGTAGAACCGTGGAAAGTTGCTATGGATCTCTATCGTGCTGCTTCCTCCGATGAGCTTCTTGTATGCTGCACTGAGTCCCAGAGGGAGGAGAGTGAGGATGAAGAAGCATGCACGCCAGCGTACGTCTGCTTTATCCAGAAACACGCTCTTCTTGATAATGGCCTCGTAGTTCTGCAGCGTCGGGCTCTTTCGTCGGGTCTCGAGAATAAGGAAGAATGTCGGCGCCAGAATGCCGGTACATTCATTCATCAGACTTAGCAACAATCCGACGACGACCAGCTGGTTAGTCAACCCCAGATTCCAAGACAGGCTCCACGTGGGTCCGATCGTAGGTTGGATAGCAAGGATCGAAACCATGAAGCATATCACGCAGCCCAACAGAGCGAGTACATGACTCTGGTCACAGTACCATCGCCTTTCTGGCACTCCAAGCGACTTGGACGTTCCTGATGGGACCTGAGGGTACATCATGGAGTCAACAATTGTACTGGTGCAACGTTCAGGGTTAGAGATGATGGAAACTCGAAAGCTTTCACCACTCAACCCTCCAGTTTATATCACTGTCGCCCTCCAGCGCCATGTATCCTTTGATGCATGTAAGAGACGGGGCAACCCAGAGGTTTCGGTTTCTCAGCCTCGTTTTCAGCTGCCTGATGGCCGCATGATGATCGATTTCTCCCAATTAGGATATGTGTGACTCTGAGTAGTACAGGCTTGCTTTTTGTGTGAACGGGTGATTGGACTTTGTGGTAAGGCTGGCGCAAACCCCCCTCTTAGATGCGCTATTCTGTTCCCTGCAAAGGAGCAAACAGTTCCGCTATTCATATACATGCAGTAAAACCTGGTTATAACGAATCATTCTTTGCAAGGGTTTCAATTCGTTAACCAAGGTATTCGGTATATCCAGGACCCCCCAAATTCCTCACCAAAAACCCAGGAATATCGCTGACGCCTATTTTCCACTCCAGCCCTCTGCAAATCGCTCTCAGCTTGCCGTAGCCGCTTAAGATAAGCAAGGTCAAATGATTTCTGCTGCTAATAGTAGGTCATGAGCCATTGGATGTGGTATAGGGCCTAATCTAATAGCCAGAAACCTGCCCTCCGAGCCCAACATCATTTAAGCCTTATCTTTCTAATATAGCGCTTCAAAAGTGGTTTCAAGAAACATACAATCAGCTAATCACTCCTTCTTCAATATCACGGATCCTCTCTCCTCCCTACGCATTCCTCGATTCCCTGCGTAGTAGTAAAACCGAGATCTGGAGTAAAAAATAGAGGCTGTGAAGAGAAGAGAGCTTTCATGGATAAGAAGAGAGTTGGGAAGACCAAGAATTATTATGAGACATGCTGGCAGGAAGAGGGCAGGAAAAGATATAGTTCGTATGATGGAACTTGGGGCTGGAGTATTTATGGAATCATAGCAAACAAGGTGGTCACGAGGGAGCCAAAATTGGCTTCCCTCAGGAAGAGACTAAGTTTAAAAAGGAAAACGAAATTAGTTATCAATTTTTCTAGAATAATTGTAAGAAAATAATAAAATAACAAGTTGTATAGCTTTAAGGGAGGTAGAATATAGAAGAGGGATTCTATCGGTCTGGGTTATGGTTCATGACACTAGTACGTTTCAATTGATCACAAGACCGATCTTAGCTTCCAAATTCTATCTAGTGGTACCTGGATTCTCCTTTGTTTAGATCCCTATCCGAGAATAGACTCTGTTCTAGATCGGCTATGCCACATGGATCTTAAAACCACGCATACATTATCAGCATTGAAGAACCGAAGAAGTATTTGAATGCAATTGCCTCGGTGGTCATAGATTTCTCGAGAAGGAGAGAGGATTCGCTCAAACGATTCTTGGATGTCTATAGAACTTTCGATCCGCATTAATAATATTTCATTTCTACTGTATTACTGCACGAATGACAACCCCTATCCATCGAGGAGACGATATTCATTAGCTGTACAGATATGTCAGGGCGAACCCGATCGAATCTATGCGATGGTCACAAGACTCGGACTGATATCAATATGACTGCACTGGGTCAATCTTGACCTGATTCAGTCGTTATGAGCCCTGGTGGCGCTGCACCGCGGCACCACTATGTGGAAATTATTAGGGAATAATGCACTGCATTGGGGCACTATTGCGGACTAATTATAGCACCGATGACGGTCTAGATCCACAGGGATGGCGGCTACCGCCTGCCAGATGGGGCAGGCAACCGTGGTACTCCATCAGGAAAAAGCAGGTTTTCCGGGGTAGCTTAGAAATCGGCGGTCGACACAAAGACGCGGCGAGGGGGGCGCACCTGCATTGGGAAACCTTCCAGATGCGCTAAAGCCGGCCAGAAAAAAGAAAAGGGGCCGCAGAGTTTTTTCTCGAATGAAAAACTGAGTTTCCGGGGATTTTAAGCTCCCGCGTGATGTAATAGAGTTTGCCTGCACATTTTTCTGCGGATCAGCCGACTAAGCAGACGGAAGCGGCGGTGACGCTCCCTGATAAGCTGTTGTTCTCCATCCGGTCTCGCCACAACAAACTCTTCTTAACTCACTCTCTCACTCGCCTTCCCTCTCCTTCCTCTCCTCTCCTCCTATCTCCTTTCTCTCGAACTCGCCATTGTCCTTCTCTCAATTCATCACATACAATGGCTCCCCTCAAGCTCAACAGCCGAAACCTCGCCCAGATCTTCGCCGCTGGCAAGGACCGCGTCAAGGTCCCGACCTACCAACGCGGTAGCGCGGTGAAGGAGGGAATCGTCCATGTCGGTGTCGGAGGCTTCCATCGCGCCCATCTGGCCGTCTACGTCGACCAATTGATGCAGAATCATGGCGTGAACGACTACGCCATCTGCGGTGTGGGCTTGCAGCCCTTCGACGCCGCCATGCGCGACGCCCTGCGCTCTCAGGATCATCTGTACACCGTCATTGAGCGGTCGGCCAAGGGAAGCTTTGCCCATGTGGTCGGCAGCATCAACTCCTACCTCTTCGCCCCGGACAACCGCGAGGCCGTGATTGCCAAGATGGCGCACCCAGATACCCACATTGTGTCGCTGACCATCACCGAGAGCGGCTACTACTACAATGAAAACACCCACGAGCTCCAAGCGGAGCACCCCGACATCCAGTTCGATCTCGACCCCGCCAACGAGAAGACCCCCCGTACCACCTTCGGTTTCCTCTATGCTGCCCTGGCCCGGCGCCACCAGCAGGGGCTCCGGCCTTTCACTGTCCTGTCCTGCGACAACATGCAGAAGAACGGCTCCATCACCCGTCACATGCTCGAGTCCTTTGCACGCCTACGCAACCCTGAGCTTGCCAAGTGGATTGCCGAGCAGGGTGCCTTCCCCAACGCCATGGTCGACCGTATCACACCGCAGACATCCCCCACGGACAAGAAGGCACTCGCAGAAACTATCGGGATCGAAGACTCCTGGCCGGTAGTCACGGAGCCTTTCATGCAGTGGGTGCTTGAGGATCAGTTCTCCGACGGCCGTCCGCCTTTTGAAAAGGCCGGCGCCCAGGTGGTCAAGAACGTCCACGACGTGGAGCAGTTCGAGAAGCACAAGCTGCGCCTGCTGAACGGCAGCCACTCGGCCATCGGCTACGCCGGTCAGATGGCCGGGTTTGAATACGTCCACGAGGTCATGGAGCACCCGCTGTACAACCGGTTTGTATGGCAGATGATGCAGGAGGAGGTGAAGCCGCTCTTGCCCGAGATTCCGGGCGTCGACATTGACGAGTACTGCAAGACGCTCATGGAGCGCTTCTCCAACCCCACGATCATGGACCAGCTGCCGCGCATCTGTTTGAACGCGTCCGGCAAGATCCCGCAGTTCATCATGCCGTCCATTGCCGAGGCGATCTGGGTGACGGGCCCCTTCCGGCGTCTGTGCTTCGTCGCGGCCGCATGGTTCCGCTACCTGAACGGCATTGACGACAGCGGCAAGACGTTCAACGTGGACGATCCGATGCGCGAGGAGCTCCAGGCGAAGGCGCGTGCGGGTGGCACCAACCCAGCGGAGCTGCTCAACGTCAAGAGCCTGTTCGGAGATGACCTGCGCAGCGACAAGCGCTTCCTCCAGGAGATTACGACAGCGATGGAAGCCATTGCCCGGGATGGCATCATGAAGACGATGCCCAAGTACGTTGATTGATTGATCGGCGATAAGAAGGTACATTTGCGTCTGCGACCGATGTTTGGAGTCTTTTTGTATAGGGTCATTTGGATGTGATTTGGAAGCGAACGACGGCATAGAATTAGACGATAGACAAAACGGCAGTTCTTGTGTTGTTGGATTGATAATATGGTTGATTTGGGGCCTGGCACGGCCGGTAATTTGGGATAGGATTATGGTTAGTTTCGGTTTCTACCGCTGGCATTCAATACATGATGGTTATGATTATCAGTATTATGTAAATGAAGGATCTATCTAGACGCTTGAAGTGAATGTCTGCTACATAGGAGATGTCTACTACTATAGACTTAAATTCAGAGATGGCTTATTCCAGAGCCTCAGGCTCCTGAATTGCTTCTTTGGGCCTAGCGTCTCCCTGCCTTGATATGTAGACCTCAGGACCTCATCCACAACTCAACTTGACAATCCTCCTTGATCAGTCCCTTGGTAGCTTCTATATGCTGTCCGTTACACGCATATCAGTGATTTTTTGTGAACGAGATCAAGTCACCAACTCAGCAAGCACTACAACGCCATTATTTGTTGCGCCAGGAACTAATCCAAGCGATCGCTATAGTCCACACTACTATGCCCAGTCCTTGTGGTATATTTGTTCTCTTCCAAAAGAGGAAAGGCAGTGTCCACAAGCTCCTGAAGGATAACGGTATCTGGATATCGTTGGATTCCTGCAACAACCTGGATCGTCGAACCCGTCTGTCAGCTTTCGAACTCCATCATTTCCAACGGAAATGTCCCTGGTGAGTGCGTGAATCCCTCCAGTAAGATAGATAGACCCTTCGCAAACACGAACAGGGTCTTGGACCCTGGATATTTCGATCGACGATCTGCAACCAGCGTTCATACGCTAACTGCACTAGGGTGTCGATTCGTCCCGTGTCTCAACCGGCCCCATGCGAGTGCATAAACAAGACCCTGAAGCTATCCTCTATTGTCTAACGGTCAGAATCTCCGTCGTCAGATTGGCCATACTAGGCAGGGTTCAAGACCCTGGCTCCATCTCAAGAACGAACTTCGTCGCACTAAACCGGGTTTCCACCATGATTAGGCTGATATTGGACAAGACCACACAATCTACGCTTGAGAGTCCTAATTTTGCAGTCCGATATAAGACAGCAATTGACCACCATGGCTGGATTTTCGCATCCGAACCACCCACAAAATGCGCTCCCTCAGCTATGCCGTTGTAGCTCTCGCTGCTGTGCAATCCGCCCTGGCAGCCAAGGATAGCTGGGACGTGCTGGCTGCAGAGGCTCTCCATAACCAGGTTGCCCACTACCACACCACAGCGATGAACAGCACATGCACACCGCAGACGGCGTCCGTTCGCAGAGAATGGTCCGATACCCATTGACTACCACCGCACCCCCTGATGCTAACAGTCATCCACTAGGGGCTCCCTCTCCAAGCCCGAGCGCAGAGAATATATCGACGCCGTGCTCTGTCTCGCGTCCCGACCCTCCCAGTCCGATCCTGCCATCGTGCCAGGCGCACGCAATCGTTACGATGACTTTGTTGCCGTCCACATTAACCAGACCCACTTCATCCACGGGACTGTACGTTCCCCTCTACTCAGCCCGGGCAAGCTCTAAGAAGACATAGGGAAACTTCCTAACATGGCACCGTTACTTTACCTGGGCATACGAGCAGGCCCTGCGTGATGAGTGCGGCTACGCCGGCGACCTGCCGTACTGGGCGTGGAATAAATACGCGGCCGACCCGCTCCATTCGCCGGTCTTCGACGGCTCGCCGTACAGCATGTCCGGGGACGGGACGTACATCCCTCACAACGGCACCGAAGCGGCGCCGGGTTTTGTCATTGCTGCGGGGCACGGTGGGGGGTGCGTCGAGATGGGGCCTTTCAAGAAGTGAGTGATCACCCATCTCTACCTGTGGTGGTCGGATATTTTGTAACCAGCCTAGTTGGACCGTGAACCTCGGCCCGGTCAATCCGACGCTGCAGGTCCCCGGGGTCGCGGCGCAGAACGGCTCCGGGCTGGAGTATAACCCGCGGTGTCTGCGACGCGATATTTCCGCCGACGCTGCGCGCTGGACCGCGACGCCGTATGTGCTCGATCTGATCGTGAACAAGACGACCATCACAACGTTCCAAGGCGACCTCCAGGGCGACTTTCCCAAGGGGTTATTCGGCGTCCACGCTGGGGGTCACTTTACCATTGGAGGAGACCCGGGTGGAGTGCGTTCTTTCTCTTTGCCCATTTTCAGAGACACAGCTAACGGGTGCAAAGGACTTCTTCGCCTCGCCAGGTGACCCGGTGTTTTTCCTGCACCATGCTGCCATCGACCGGCTGTACTGGACGTGGCAGAACCAGGCTCCGGCGTCGCGCAAGTACGTTGTTGACGGGCCGACCGTTATGGGCGATCTGTCATCCCGGAACACGACGTTGGACGATGTGGTGGATATTACTTTGGGGAAGCTGGCGAAGCCGAAGATGATTCGCGAGCTGGTGGATACGTTGTCTGGGCCGTTTTGTTATGTCTACGCTTAGGGTATGGATGCCTGGGCTATAGCGATGGACATGCGGTGGTAGACTTCGCTATCCCTGAGTGCTATATTTGAAGATGTTTGGATAGAAGAGAGTCGGCTGCATGGTCATCTTTAACGTGGAAGCGGAAGCGGAAGCGGGTGAGCGTCAACTAGAATAAGGAACAGTGGGAATCGACCCATGGAAAGGTTCCCAGTCAACCATGGTCATTCACCTTCTACAGTTTCCAGGACCATTCGTCCAGATTGCCTTCTCTGGGATCTCATGTTCTAAACCATAATTCTATTGCACATCGATTCACCAGGAATCTATATAACCACCTATACGACAGATAACCTAAGAATTATCCGCACACGACCAAGCCGCCGACCCACCCGTCTTCTTATAACTATCAATAATCGTAACAATCGAGCCATACGTCCCCCCAATCATGAGGAACGTCCCCGAAAGCACGACAAACGCACACCAGGCCACCATGGCCATCCACCACAGCGACTTGCGCGCCTTGCCCGAGCTCCAGTTGTCGTACAGCCACATGCCGGCCATGGGCTGGAAGCACATGGGGGTGCCGAGGAGGGCGCCGACGAGCGAGACGAGGTCGCTGAAGACGGGGATGGCGCTGGCGATGATGTAGGCGACGAGGGCGATGCCGAAGGTGCAGCCGATCCAGACGGCCCAGTGCGTGAGGGTGTTGGCGGTGAGGTGCCTGGAGCCCTGGAGGATGCGGACGAAGATGTATTTGGCTGAGATCTGTTGCGGTTGTCAGTGCCGAGGGACTTGTGGAAGGGGTTGGTGAGGGGGAGCTTACGTGGATGAAGAGCAGGGTGCTCACGAGCAAACCGGGCAGGGCAAAGGCGTAGCTGACGATTTTGAGGGTCGGGCCGGCGGAGCCCAGGGCAGGCGAGGAGACGTACGACCCGCAGAAGTAGTAGACGACGACGCCGATGACGATGTAGAAGGCGGTGACGACGGACTGGCAGAGCACGAGGGCGCGGCCGTAGTGGGCGGGGTCGCGCATTTCGGCGGCGATGGAGAAGAAGGCCGGGGTGCCGGCGTAGGCGAAGACGATGGTGGTGAGGGCGGTGATGGCGCTGTTGAAGTCGGGGCTGCCGACGATCTTGTAGTCGGAGACCCAGACGCCGTCTTGCGGGGCGGCGGAGGGGCGGTCTTGGACGCCGACGCCGATGGTCACGATCATGACTGGGGTTGTTAGATGGTTCTATCGAGGTATACGGTCTGTGGGGACGCACTAGCGGTGAGAATGCAGACCAGACCGACCCAGGCCAGCCAGGAGATGCGGCCGAGGGTCTGGATGCTCGACAGGATGAAGGTGACGATCATGGCGACGGCCACATAGACGGCGGTGCAGGTGGCATGGGAGGAGACGGCGTTGAGGGCGATTGAGATGCCCAGCATGCCGGAGCCGGCGACAAACGTCCACCCTGGGGACCTTAGTCAGTGATGTGTACGGAGTATAGAGCGGTGCACGGCGGGACACTCACAAAGGAGGAATGCAGCGCCGAGGACAATCCTGCCGGTACGGCCGAACAGCAGCGCACCCACGTCGTCGATGCCGTAGACGTCCCGATGGCGCAGCTTGAAGATGCCGATGATATAGTCGGACCAGGTGGTGATGCCGCCAATGACAATGAGACAGATGACGCCGGGGACGATCCCGAGGGCATCAAAGGCAACGGGAATGGAGAGCACGCCGAGACCGATTTGCGTCTTCATCATGAGCACGGAAGTTCCCAGCCAGCCGACCTGGACGCTGTCAGTATCCTCATTCTTCTCACTCCCAGCCACACCAAATGCGTACATTGCGATAGTTGGGGCCCTCGCCCGTTACTTCACCCCAGACGGCATCCTCAGTGACCTGGCCCACCCTGAGATCGGAGGGGGTGGGAGAGAGAGAGTCGTCTTGCTTCTTTTCGGCCATTGTGAGACATGTAGTGTGCTGTACTGTGCCAGGTGGAGGGATACACGGCACACGGATGCGGCGCCGAGTACTTATAAAGGCAGGCTTACCGGTTAGCCCCGGGCATCAGACCGGACCGGCTGGTCCTGGTGCAGAATTAGGTTCCCTCAGAGTTCTTGGGGCGTCCAGGTTCAGGGGTAACTAATCAGGTCGTTGGTTTATCTCGTCTTGCGCGGCGGGAGATAAGCCTTGGGCGGCCAGATAAGCCTTGCGGTCCGGTTGCCACCATCTCGGCGGGATTCCGTCTAGTCCGGAGTATAGAGTACCCAGCTCTTATCTTTTCTCTTCGTTTATGTACACTCTATCCCAGTATACCATCTATAACTACTCTTGTAGTTCCTATGATGTTGCTAATCCCCAGATCAGCAGCCGTCCATGCGACTAGAATCCGCCCCCGCAATCGGACCACCTTTTGGCCACGCTGGAACCACTTTTTAGCGTACCGTGTACCGCCCACGGCTATATTTTGTACGTAATTCCCTCAATCCTCGGTTATTGCCTGCGCTTCTATACGGGATCATTGGCTGACTGCGGTACTCGGTTCCACCGCATACGACCGTCATCCTTTGCCCCGTTGTCCCGTGTCCTTGTATCCCCAGACTCCACGTCTCGTCCAGTCTAGGTCGTCTATGGCATGGTGGGTGTTGATCAAGGGTTTGGCTGAACTTCGCCACCGGGGGAGGTCTCAGCCAGTCTTCCAGAAGAATACCCACCCGGGACTCTGCTTATCGGCAGCGGGTCATCTTAATTGCGCAGCCTGTCGACGGCCTTCTTCCGAATCAAACTTTTCAATTCCACTTTTCAAGCCCACGATCCGCTGACAGCGAGATAAATGAGTTGCTGACTTTGATAGAGTCCTCATTAGACTATCCGGTTGTTACCCGGCTGTGGACTAGAGACATCTCATCCTACCATTCCTACAGGATTCTTGTTTGACCGGAAAGGGTGACACAGGGAGAACCGGACCAGGTTGAAACGCGATCGTCGCAATCCACTCCACACACAAGACGACAGACGACCGAATGCCCCGGGAGGGTATATTGGCTGCAGATTAATTCCTTGGCTTGGGGGGAGTGAAGTGGCGGAAGAGGTTAGAAGCCTTCTATTATATCCCTCAACCACGACGGCAGCCTATTGTAGGGCATGTTTTGAAAAAGCAGACCCTGTATCCCCTTCTGTTCACCAAAGACAAGCCACGTCAATTTTCCCTTCATAAGTGCGGTCATTATTGTTCTTAGCGTCTATGAACTGTGTCTTGGACTTCCGCCTACATTAATTAGTCCTATCTAAGCTGCTACTCCACGCCGCCTAACGTAGCAGTGATTAGCCCTAATTGCCTCTCTCCATGCGCTGTGAGGTAATTAACCACCGAGGCGTCTCCACTGGCCGCAGCAAGCTTGTCACACGTTCTTCGCACAGATTACTTCAAAAGCCTCCTTATTGGCATTACCTTATTGCTTTACCCAACGATAGAACTCCAGGTGCAAGGGGAGATTTTAGTTTATCTGTGGAGACTCTAACAATCGCCGTACCCATTGCAACAGATATTCACCATATTTAGGTTCCAGTCGCCTAGCTTCCTTGCCCCAGATACAGGCCGTCTAGCGATACTCAAACACGAACAGGGACGATAAATATGGATATATATACCCTCTTTCGATCCGAGATCTGTCACAGGAGAGTTATATCAGCTCAGAAAAAAACCTATCGAAGATGCTCTATAGCCTCAGGGAGATGTACACCAAGCACAAAAACCTCATCTGGCCTCTGCCGCCCTTCAATTCATAGACACCTGGGCCATGCTACTAGAATTCTCACGAATCAACGCTGCCATCTTGCACAAAGTAGGATTGGCCTGTAGTTCGTGAAGGAAAACCGTGGCGTCGAAAGCAAGCTGGATCTGCTGGACGAGATACGCTCCCTGAAACTCACTGCGAATGAATTCAAAAAAATTGTCTCCGCCGGTGAATTTCACGGACGGCATAGCAAGGACTCCAGCCCAGACGTGGGCAAGCTTCTGCTCGGTTGTGGCAGCACACTCTTTGCCATTTCCCTGTATGTAAGGTTCCCACTCGGCGAGATATTTCCGAGTCAGCTCTGCGCGATTGACCTTGAAGTGCCGATTGAGGGGGAAGCGATCAATGATTCGGATGTGTGGCATAGCCTCCGGGTATGGCAGATGTGGCGACAGCGCGCTCTCAATCCCTTCCAGAACGTCGTCTAAACCCTCATGCGGGATGACATATGCAACCAGTATCTTGCCCATTTCTTTGATGGGAGAGTCGACTGCAAGTGCGACGGCATCCGCGAATCTACCGGTCCGCATGAGTGCGGCTTTCACCGCCGCTAATTCAATCCGCATCGTGAAAATCGTAACCTGATGGTCCTGCCGGCCAAGGTAGTAAACCAGCCCCGACAACGGGTCCCGTCGAACCAGGTCTCCCGTCCTATAAAAACGAGTGCGTTCATCCGAGCCCGGACGGATCTGGATGTCAGTAAACGAAGTCACGTTCTTCTCGCTGTTGAGGTACCCGCGAGATACCCCGGGCCCACCTATAAGGAGTTCTCCCACGTTGCCGTCGGAGACAGGTCGCATTGCATCGTCGACGATACAAGCAATCGTATCTCCGGTCGGGGTTCCAATGCTCACCGGCTCAGAGTGAGTGTCCTTTATGGACAGTTCGTGTGTAAAAGACCAACAGCATGTCTCAGTCGGGCCATAGGCATTGATTAATCGGCTTGGAGGGCCGCCGCTTTCGAGCAATCTCGCAACGGCCTTGGGGCTAGCAGCATCACCGCCGAAAAGAACCATCCGCAATGTCGAAAAAGCCTTTGGTCTGGTGATAGAGACCAGATTGAGCAAGGCAGTCACGATGATCATGACGGTGACCCCCTGCTTACGGAGGGCTGCTTCGAGGGTGCGCCCGTCGAAAGCATCCGCGTAGGGGAGAATAGCGATCCGCGCCCCCGCCATCAGCGGCGCCCAGATTTCCACGAGGGTATAGTCGAATGTGGTAGGGATATAGTGTGCCATGACGTCTGAGCTCTCCAGCGGGCTGGTGGGGACGTGGTGGATGATGTGGAGGAGGGAGAGCGCGGAGATCTGCACCCCTTTCGGCTCTCCCGTCGTGCCTGAGGTGAACAATATGTGGGTTCGGTGGTGGAGAGTGGTGGTGACTGGGATGGTGTCGCTCTGTCCATCCAATTGTGCTGAGGATGCGCCTGGACTCAGGTCACTCAGCAAGATGCAGGTAAACATCGGCAGGCGGGTCCTGTTTGGTGCGTCGACGATCACATATCTCGCCCCGACACCAGTCAGCTTGCATCTGATCTTCTCATCGCTTTCATCTGGATGGACAGGAACTATGGTCCCGCCAGCGTACACCACTGCTAACTGGGTGATAACGTTCCATGATCCAGGGCTGACCAAGACTCCCGTCGGTTCCTCCAAGGAGTATTCCTTCCTGCGTAATTGGACGGCCAGGGAGACTGCTCTAGTGTGAAGTTCCTCAAAAGTGATGATCGAGTCGATGTCGATAATAGCCGGAGACTTTGGCTGTCGACGGACGTTGTTGATGAATAGTTGCGCGATAGAGGCGTAGGCCTCAACACGCTGGTGGTAGAGGGAGTTAGGAGAGACGTTCCTCAAAAGACTCGTTTCCGATACCTCCTGAAGATCGTCGTGCTGAAGTTGGTGTTCGCCATTAAGGCTACACTGCGTGCTATTATCTGCCATCGTGCACTCAGTACTTGTCATATACGTCTTCTCTGCGGCTGCAATGATGAGGTGTACAGTCAATCTGCAGGTGTCCAAGATACTGCTGATGTACTGGTAAATTAGGACTGTAGCAGGGTCTTAAATTCATATAAAATCTAGTTAAGACCCTATTTCGACCCTTTTTCTACTGAAACTTCCGACCACTTCCGAATGTGCGGTCTGCAGACGAGGCGCGAGGGCTGACCGCTATGCCTATTTTGCATGGACGGTGAAGCCATTGCACTCTGTACAAGACGGCCTATATTGACAACATGAAAGTCAAAGTGCCGTGATATATGGGGGTACTTCGATATTAAATGGCAGGTAAGGATACATTACACACCGCTATTTCTATGTCGTGCTGACTGCATGATAAAAATGGTGAACTGCAGCATGGTGTTGTCTACCTGTCCCGATAGACGCCTCGTGGCTTGTATGTTTTGCCATGCTTCCAATCATTGGACAGCAAGGATGATTTGCGAGTCATGCTGTAGCGAGCTGATACACTTAAGCTCCTTCTCGTTCGACCTGGCGGCAGGACAGGAATGCCATCTCACCTTGGTGTCTCTCTGCTTAGAGTCCGATTCCTTTCGGACCTCTCAGGGCAGATTCACATCATCGACGTATTTTGTAGGAACGCCCCCATGGTTCGACTCGGATAGGATTGGAGTGGAATGTCCACGTGTTGAAGTTGAAGTTTCCGACATAGTCTCATTAGCGTGTGAACTATTAATGTCTAAATCTTTTAGTGTTGTTGACGACCCAACTGTGCTGGATATTGCCCGAAAGCTGGATAAGGACCCTGAACAGTAATCACAAAAAGCATCATACCTTCCTGTACAGAAGGAACTGAGTCCTTATTGCATAAACTCTCATGTCTCTAGATGAAGAAGTACAACCAACTCTCCTCTGAATCACAATAGATTACAAGCCCGGGTGATATCTAAAGTGGAATAGAGCCTTGAAAATATGTCTGCGCCAAGGCCTCATGGTTCTCCGGCTAGCCCGCATGGGGATACAGCTAAACAGGTCTGGACCATAGGCTGGCCCACCGTTCAGTCTACTCTGTAGTCCCGGGAGTAATTGAGGAGCAGTTCACTGTTGTATCCCCGGTCCTTCCCCGACAGAAGTTTGTTTGTTGGTTGTCTCGGCTGTTTGCCACTTACGCCAGGGCTATGACATATATTTCACATCACCGGATTCCAACCTAGATATAAAGACACCAGCAGTGATTGATTACAGCTTTTCTTACCATCATCATTACCACTTATATTAGGAGCACAATGGCTGATTTACCCGAATTTTCTCGCAAAGAGCCGTCCACAGGTAAAGCCCCTCGCTATAGGCCTTGTAACTTTCACTGACGCCCACGGTATTGACAACAGGCACTCTTTTACAACAATCAAGGGAGAGGTCAGATAATATCAAAGAGAATCTTTCGAATCCATCTACCGAACCAACAGCCGGTGTTAGCAACGATCAGGGACGGGCTCCAGTACAGCAAGATCTAGGAAAAGGTAGTGTACAGCGTGCGCAAGTTGATGGAGGGGGCTCCGCGAGAACGTAAGTCCATCCCCTCTCCTTCAATTCTGGTTGGTCATATATATATACATGCTAACACTGTAATGGGTCTGTTCAGAGTGGATCATATCGGGAATTGGAGTGGTGTAAGTTAAGCCTGAACTTATCACCCTGTGCATAAAAGTAAATATACTACAATCGACGTGGAATGTAGTCTAGGAGAATAAGCAATGCAATTTTTTAAAGTATTAGAGAAGTGAATATAGTTATAATAGCACCTAACTATAGGCGAATATCAATAGGGCTGAACTATGTTTTGCGCACCTCCAGCGCTTGCTCCTCCCGTTCGAGCTGTGACTGGAATGTTAATTGCATGTTGAGTACGACATATTTCCCAGGATCCTCTGTTGTCTGTTATCAAAATAAACAGACGTGCAACGTCACGGACTTTTATAGTGAGGCGCTAGAGCAGAGTAGGTCCTGAGTATAGCAAGGTTGATTCTTAACAGTAGAGGATCGGATAAATGCACATTACAGAGTACAAGCATGCTACCATTGAGTGTAGCTAACTATGCCCGAGTTATAGTATCTGAAGCATCCCTTATCATCCGAATGGAGAGGTAATTGGGTTATCACCTGAGTCGTAAGGTGGCCCTGCTGCAGAAAAGCCTCCGCTAGATAACGCAGATTGAATCATGAAATAATCACGCCGTTCAAGCCTGACGTCTATTACCGAGGTGGCCGACGTGGTGGGACGTACGACCCCGTTCGCGTCAATGTTATGTGTTCAGAAACACGTCACATTGGATGTTCGCGTCGCCTCCTTCTCAATATCCAGCACTGGGAGATTGACGAAAGTACTACGAAATGGAAGTCCTCCAGGTACCAGAGGACGTGAATACGGTATATCCATTGCTTTCTGTGCTCCTGGAGAGAAGCTGTCCTAGCAAAACCTTCGCCCTCCAGTGATTCTGCTAATGGATACTGACGTCATGTCTCGCACACAACAAGAACCGCCAAAACCTATACCAACAACAGCAACCAAGGGCGACCTTGACTCAGACCTTCGACAATTCTTTTCTGAGAGACCGTCACTATGCTTGGGTGGAAGCGACCTGTTCAAGGAGAGACGACAACACTCCGAAATCTTTAGCTTGGCCGCGCATCCGCCGTCGAAGCGAGCCAGCATCGGGCACAGTGAATATACAGCAATCCAAGGACCCTACGGATCCATTCCACTACGCATCCTTTCTCCATCGAGGACCGACGGAAAAAGCACGAATGGACTATATCCAGCGCTGCTCTACGTCCATGGGGGGGGATACTCGGTCGGTTGCGCGGACGAGTTTGAGAACGGTTGCCGTGTCTTGGCAGAGAAAGCCGGGATGCAGGTGTACATTATAGACTATCGGCTCGCTCCGGAGTGAAAATACCCAACTCAACTCAACGAATGCGAGTGTGTCCTGCGGTGGCTGCGAGGCGAAGACGGCAAGGCACGCTCTGTCGACCCTAGTCGGATTTTCGCAGCCGGAGACAGTGCAGGCGGTAACATGATCGCCAGCCTCTCGCTCAGATTACTCGACGAAGGAAAATGCCCGTTTAATGGCTTGTTTCTTCTATACTCAGAGCCGGAACTTCCGTTTAATACCCCTGCCGCGGAGGAAAACAACTCCGGTCCCTACCTGCAATGTGCGTATTCTCCCATCGGAACTGGAAAAGAGGCCAGCCTAACAATGGAAGGTAATGGGATCCTCCGCTTCGCAGCAAACTACGTTCCGCTTGGGGTGCCCCTCACCTCGAGATACATCTCTCCTGGCCAGCAGCCCGTCGACTCGCTCCGCGGAATGCCCCCCGTGGCCGTGTACACCTGTGGGCTTGACTGCCTCGGGGACGTCGGGACTCGATTTGCGCAGTCTCTAAGAAATGCTGGAAACTGTGTCATTTGGCGACATTACGACGATCTCTGCCATGGGTTTCTGCAACTGGCTCCCTGGAGCGGAGCCGCTATGACTGCGCTTGAAGAGGTTGCCGAGGACATCTCGACATTAGCCGAATCAGAAGGGCCTAATTCAGAGGCAGATTGATACTTGTTGAAACGGCTGGAGCGTGTTGCAATATGAATTCCTACGATGTTAGGTAGATATGCGTATGGAGCTTACATCCGCCTCGATAATCCACAACAACCAGGCCAAGCCCTCTCGCCGCATGTTTCAAAACAGGAAGTGCGTGAGAGGATAAGAATACTTTGATACTCGGGATATATACTGCTAGACGATAAGTGGCCGCTTTTAGACTTCGAAAAACTTTCTGCTTTCACTAGCGGTGGGTTCGGCGTGAACAATTGAGCCTGCGGACCACTAGCCAGACCATGGGTTGGACAGATCTTCGCTTCAGTGCATTGGTATATTATATACGTTCAAAGCAGGACTATTTCTTATCCTCGGGCCCCAACGCTGTCTTCCCCGCCTGTTCCACATTCTCCCTCTTCTCCCGAGCTGATTTGGCTGGGTCATTGTACACGTATTCTGTCGTGGTGGACGGTTCCTCGCCTTCGTGCTTTTCGCTCGCGGGACCGCGTTGGCTTGAGATTGGAGACTGAACGGACTTCGTGTCTGGCGTATCATCATGACGCGACTCCTTGCCTCGCGACATGTTAATAGCCTGCGATTCTGGGTTGCTCGAGCGCGGATTTGTGACGTTGGACGATTGACCCGGGGCCGCCCCTTTAGTGGCAAGGTATCGCACGCCAGATCCTAGAGGTATTAGCGAGAGCCTCTATTAATTTAGGATGTGATTACCGTATGGGAAACGGGGCCTCAATTGCCTAAGGAGATAAGACATGGTGGATACTGTGGGTGATGCTATTCTTTTTTTGCTCGGATAATGTTGAAATGCTGTGTGTAGCGAGTCGTCTAGCACGTTCATATATGCGGCGATATGGTCGTTGGCTGGGTGATTTCATTCAGTCGTCACTGCCCCCATGCGAGCTACCCGCATTTCCGTGGATTGCCAGCGGCCCCCTCCTTGGTTCTTGTTTACGGAGTATAGGCTCTAAAACACTTAGGTATAGCAGGTGGATATGCACACTGCGACAAACATCACTTTGCCGTCGAGCTGATATTGTGGACCCTGGTCGGGCGAATTATGAGCTTCGTTGCCTTGCTAGCCACGGGCAGGAAGTGGTCTATAACGGGATCCATGAGATCGATGACGAATGGTGACGAGCATGTACCAACAGGTCTTTGACTACTAGATAGACTAGGAACATGATATATAGCCGTGCTACGCAAACCTGTACGCAATGATAAGGTTATTACTGGTAGATCCGCAGTCCGCTACATTGATGACAGAATAGTCCAGGGTGAACATAAAGGCTGCCATTCCTCTGAGCCATGTCCGACCAAACAAACAAAAATCACATTAGCAACAAGTATTCTACTCATCCTAAGATAATGTGGCTAGTTCAAACGAATTTGAAACGTTATGTTTAGCTAAAGCAGCTGTGGCACCCTGACGAAACCTGTCAAACCTGATATGGACCATATAGCGCCCCATGAGTGTGTTCGCACTTTTGGTGGCCTAGCGGTCATTTCGATTGACAAAATAAAACCCCCTATTCTATTTGACAGACTTGGAATCCGCCATCTATGGGGATGGTTTCTCGGTAATATGACGGCGTTAGTTCCATATCAGCAATGATATTCACAGGGACCAATAATCAGCCCCTTGATCTTGCGCGGCCAACATCCCAAGATACCATAGTGCCAGCAAAACGGTCAGCTGAGGTTGCTGAACCGTGCCACGAGTCGCAAATGGTATGGGCGCGGCAAGCTCGAGGTTGCCTTGGTAATCCAGCCGCCGAATTGCGACCAACTCACGGTCTGTGAGGATGAACCCATACCTGGTCTGGTGCTGCTTCATGTAGTAGTTCACCTGGGCCAGTACCTGCTTGTACCTGGTACGATTCGCTGTAGCATTGTCCGTACCAGCGCTAGTCCATTTCCAGGACGGTTTGTAATCCCCAGGCGCCCGATTGGGACTTGTACCCGATGCAACTGTGGGATCAAAGTAAGCGGTGTCGGGTGTGTACTGGTGGATTTTCTTTGCAAAACCTCCTGAGCCGTACACAATAGCCGTGGTCCCACCGTCTTGTCCAGTGGCAGCTAGGTGACCGAACCCAGCCCGAAGGGCGCGCCGAACCCTGGGGGTTATGTATTCGTTCAGCTTCTCCTTTAGAGCATCCTCAGTTGGCACTGGACGAGGAGGAGAAGCTGGAATTGGGTCTGCAGCTAGCTGGGTCTGGTTCAGAACAGTCCGGTAGTCCTGCATGATCGTGTTTAGGTTGAATGCTTGCCATACTGCGGTGCTGTGGATATCGCTGGCCCTGTAACATCTGTTCGTAGTGTTACGGCCCGGACGCGCTGGAGGGTTTGTGGGGATCGCAGGAGGTGCAGTCTGCAAGTACGACAGGAGAGATATTTGGTTAGCCATCTCGATCAAGCGGAAGTCTGATTCCTGTCCCAGCGGGTGTACTCTACATGACAGAATCTGAGCAAGCTACGACATATATACTCCTAAATATCACGCCTCCAATTCACTGTTCTTGAGTTTCCCTTCACTAGTGAAACCAACATGCGATCCAGCATTTCGCATGGTCCTACTTGTAGCTCCCCTTTGTTTTCTTGAGCACTCTGTCACCTGACCAAGCCCATAATCGTGGCGGTCTCGTCATAATTTCTCACATCCATCGAGGATCCTCAAACGCTCATCAGCATAAGAAAGATGCATTTTGAGAACGTCATGCCAACCGAGATACGCTTCGAGGACGAGCTCTATTCATCAGAGTATTCCCACCTCTTTCTTGTGATTGTTCGGGATGTCACCTGTGTCATGAAGGTGGTAAGTGAAATCCATCAGAAACCGGTATAACATGGCACCTTAGCTGACGCAACTAGCATCATGGAAGGGGTCCCCGAGAATTTTATGAGCCCGACGACCGAGAACTTGACATTCATGTTTGTGAGAGCTCAGCCTATCGCCGGTTGAAGAGTCATGGGCTATGTGACAAAGGACTTGTGCCCAAATACTTTGGCTCTATGAGAAAATTCGACCCCAGCCTCTGCGAGCCGCACTTGGATGCGTTCCTGGATGATGAATATCTGCCCAGCGCCATCTTCATCGAGTACATCCCGGGAATGGAAATGCTCGACATCGAGACCTGCACGGAACCTCGCTTCAATAATATTATCCAGGGCATCAAGGAAATACACAAGGCTCTAGTGGAGCATGGAGACCCCAAACCGAGGAACATTATGGTCTTCAAGGATGATCCAGAAAGAGTAGTGTGGATAGACTTCGACAGAGCCGATACATTCGATGAGGACAGAATCACCGAGAGACAAAAACAAAGACTCGATGAAGAAGAGCAGATGGTTTCTGAGTTGGTCGATTGCCTGGTGAGTGCTGCTTATAATTCCATTCTGTTCTACACTCCTGTTGCTCTTCGCACTAATCAAAAATAGCGAGCCGACTCTAAGAAGGGGAAACTGGACGAAGCGTACTTGTTCTACTGTTCTTGAGCTGGCCGTGATACAGGAAGGGCATTTGATGGCGTCATTGGACTAGAGGAATCATTGCAGGAGGAAAATCGGGTTGGCGTTATTTTTGAGCAAGAATGAATAGTTGGAATCTGAGAGACTCTATAGGGCTGATATTGCCGGCTGGATCGAGTAGGCGGTAGGAACAAGCATATCAGGTCCCTCCCCCGCCAGATCCACTATATCTTCATCTCTCACACACTCTCTCCTCTACCAACATCACAATGGCCACTATCCAGATCCTCGACGGCGGCCTAGGGACCTCCCTACAAGATCAGTATGGCGTGGAGTTCTCCAGCACCACCACCCCTCTCTGGTCCTCTCACCTCCTAGTCTCCGATCCCGGCACGCTGCAATCCTGCCAACACGATTTTGGCGTCGCCGGCGTGGACGTGCTCCTGACCGCCACCTACCAGGTGTCCATCGAGGGATTTGCGCGGACAAAAACCGCCGACTTCCCAAACGGCATCCCCAAGACCGCCATTGCCCCCTACCTGCAGACGGCCGTGACCGTCGCAGAGCAAGCCAAGGCCCGCGACAGCGCCAAGATCGCGCTGAGTCTGGGTCCGTACGGCGCGTGCATGATCCCCGGTCAGGAGTACAGCGGGGAGTACGATGCTGAGCATGACAGCGAGGAGGCGCTGTTCCGCTGGCATCTGGAGCGGCTGCGGCTGTTTCAGGACGCGGAGGGCGATCTGATCAGCCGCGTGCAGTATGTGGCGTTTGAGACGCTGCCACGGTTGGATGAGGTGCGCGCGGTGCGGAGGGCTATTCGTGCGGCCGGCATTGCTGTCCCGTTCTGGGTTTCGTGTGTCTTTCCGCGGGAGGATGATCTTCTACCGGATGGGAGTTCTATCGAACAGGTGGTTGATGCGGCTCTAGCGCCTATGAGTGATGGAGGGGTTCCCTGGGGGATTGGGGCGAATTGTACGAAGATTCATAAGCTACCCGGTTTGGTGGGCAAGCTGGGTGAATATGTCGCCAAGCGCGTTGCGTCGGGGCAGATCTCTACAGTTCCCAGTCTGGTCTTGTACCCTGATGGCACCAATGGGGAAGTGTACAACACGACGACGCAACAGTGGGAGAAGCCGGATGGACAGGAAAGTGCTGGGAGAGACACGGTATGGCATTTTTCCCCTCCGGATGGCAATATGCTGACCGTACAGCGTTCCTGGGAAACCCAACTCGCGCAGGTCGTCAAGGACGCTCGTGAAACAGGGCCCTTCAGCTCCTTTTTGGTGGGAGGGTGCTGCAAAGCATCGCATCACGACATCAAGAAACTTCGACAACAGTTCGCCACTGAATGAACTCCAGGCGTATGGGTAAAGCAATAGCTGCAAACTCTAATCGAATTATATCCAATATGGGTATCACCATCTAGTACATCTATATACAATGCCAGTCTCAGGCCAGCCAGTCTATCACTCTTCTCCACCAAGGACCCCCTCTGATCGTCTTTACGACCACTTCTCCCTCCTGGAGACGGCCAGACCACAAGTCGATTTCAGTCGAGCGAAGGAACTGGTCCAGAATCAGCAATAGCACATAAGAGGCAAACGCATGGATGCTCACCTTTGTACGTTTAAACAGCTTCCATCCAATGATGGGAACTATGAAAATGGGAATGCCGATGTACGAGGCAACAAAGTCCGAGGTATTCCAGTTGCCTTTCAAGAACACGGGGAATCCAGCGACGAGCGTGATAATGGTGGACCCGACGAATCCAACCCACGCCGTGTACGGCTGGAACGGTCCCTTCCAGGGAAGCGAGTCTCGACTGATGCCCTGCGCCTTGAGCGCAGAGTGGAAGCGAATGTAGCAAAACGACAGCGTGGCCCAGGCGATGAGCCCAGCAACAGTGCTAAGATTCAACAGCCAGCTGAATGCCTGTGCGGCACCACCGGAACCGAGACCTGTACATCCATGTTAGTCGTGCATTTGCATCAGACAAAAACGTCCAACTTACTCAGATATGCAAGTGGTCCAAAGAGCCACGAAGCGATGACAGCCACATACGGCACACCCTTCTTGTTGACCCGGCCGAAGATCTGAGGCAGCTGATGATCGGTCGTCATGGCTACGATCATGCGCGAGCCGACCCAGCAGTAGGAGTTGCCAGCGGACCAGGCGGAGATCAGGATACAAGCGTTCACAATCGACGGAAGGGCGTTGATGCCGGCTTCCCGGATCGCAATGACGAATGGCGAGCTGTTTGCGTTTCCGGAGCCAGAGACAAGATCCTTGTTCCTCGGGTCAACAATCAGGCCGATCAGGAATGCGCCGAGGATGTAGAAGAAGGCAATCCGGTAGGTCACCCGGCGCGCGGCCTTGGGAATCGCGTTGTGGGGGTCCATCGACTCGGCCGCCGTGATGACGACTGTCTCAACGCCGATGAAACTGAACGAGGCGTTGACGAAGGCGGAAAGAAACCCGAGAAAGTGGCCGGTGGTACCTGTGATACCGTTGTAGTTCGTCCAGGGCCCTGGATTATGCCAGTAGCGGAAACCGATGGTCTCGTGGTTCGGGCCCCCGCCGGCAGTGATGACAATCGACACAAAGACCAAGCCCACGAAGCAGAGCACTTTGATCGAGCCGGCGACGACCTCTGTTTCGCCGTAGAACCGCACATTCATCAGGTTGATAGCCAGGATCAGCACCAGCCCCACCGTGATGACCACCGCCGGCGTTATGTCCGTCCAGTAGGACACGATGACGGCTGCGGCAGACACCTCTGACGCGATGGCAATGGTGTAGCAGTAGCCGTACGAGATCGCCAGCGAAAAGCCAAAGGCCGGGTCAATGAAGCGAGTTGCCCAATGCGGGAATGAACCTGCTGTCGGCAACAACGTCGCCAACTCGCCGATGCTCTGCATCACACACCACAGGACCAAGCCCACGACACCATATGCGAGCAACAGGCCAGCCGGACCGGCCTTCGCATACGCAGCACCGGTTCCCACGAACAGACCGGTTCCAATACCACCACAGAACCCGATCATTCGCACCTGGTAGTTCCGCAGCCGCCGCTGCGTCCCTCCACGACCACCGACGTTGAGCTGCATCTCACCCTTGAGCGAGGGCGCATCCTCGCCGTCCCAGTTGGGCGCGGGCTTCTGCTGCTGGATAGCATCATCGGAGTCCAGCTGGGGCGCGGATTTCTCCTGCGCCGGAGACGTCGTGGCGACCATGCTGAGTCTGGAGCCTGGGGAGAATTCCACCGCAGGGCGTGCAAGTCCCGTGTAGGAAGGATGGTTTTATGTAAAAGTTTTCCCCGGGACTGACGGTCCCATGTCAGTCATGCGTGGCGGGGGGTGGAATTTTTCCCATGAAATTTTCCGACCTCTTGGATCGCGACATCGGGCCCAGGCCTCGCACCATGCTTATTTGATTCTAAGCTTCCGTCTGTTTTCTCCACCGCCACCAGACTTCGGAAATGCCCCGGGATGGCAAATGTCAGAAGGATTTGCTGACAGGGTCTGATGGAGCAGGGACTGGAGTTGGAGTTCTTCTATACCGATGCATACAGTATGTGTCCAGCCCATATGTGCAGATTGACGCTTTTTGCAGTTTTCATACATCGACATTGGCCTGCTCAGCGTGATTCTACTCGCCTCCGGCCAACGGAGCAGACTTTGCGGGTGGTGGGTCGCTCCATGGATCGATGACTGTTCCTGTTCTTGGCCCGGAGGCGAATCGCTGGGGAGAAAGCACGCAATGGTGACATGGCGTTTGTTGTGCGTCTACGTGAGATTACTCCGTACGGAGTAGGTGGATAGGATCTGAAAGCATTACAAATGGGTATTATGTAGGGCGAGCTGCTGTGATAGTCTTTTCTTAGGACATCTCATCATCCGAGTTGTGAAGTGGAAGTATATATATATGCTGGTTTCATGACTGCTGGAAGGTGTGTGGACCACAACATTAGTTTACCAGATTAGTTAGTGTTGGATAAACCATGCCAGGAGCTATTGTAGTTGGCATAAGTCACAAATATCCCCATACGACTCTGTACTCAATGCTAAAAGAGGAATGATTGAGTCTGGCTTGTCCTAGGTATCTATATTCCTGCCTCAGGCATGAGATGTGAAAGGCAAGACGTCACGTGCCATACCGACCATCGTCATCATCCCCTTCAACTTCCACCACCGTCATAAACATCTCCAACCTCAACATCTCTTCGCTTCAAGCCCTCCATACAACTCCCACGCCTATCATGACGGGAGAATATCTACAACAGCTACTAACGAACGACTAGCCTCCCTAGCCACCCAGATCCTTCTGTAGCACTCGACTCCCCTGATAGCACCCCGACGCGCTTTCTTGATGCCTAGATCCTCCCTTCGAGAGGAAACACCAATGTTACCTCTTCCAGGCGCGCCGTCTTCCTCGTGGGCTCAATTTCGACAGCGACTCGCTGCCACCTTCCATGGCGCTGACCCCCGGGTCTGCGTCGCCTTCTGGCTGTTTGGTAAGCGGCACATCGTATAGTTAGTCGGCGACCATCATCCAGGGCCCTCTCTAACTGGCTCCTCTCGGAAATGTGAATGTACAGGCCTCATAAACAATGTCCTCTACGTGATCATCCTCTCAGCCGCCTTAGACCTCGTCGGTCCGACCGTCCCCAAGGGCGTCGTCCTCCTCGCCGATGTGCTCCCCTCATTCGGCACGAAACTCGTCGCGCCGTATTTCATCCACATAGTCCCATACTCGGTGCGCGTTGTAATCTTCGTCCTTCTCTCCGCGATCGGCATGCTCCTCGTCGCACTGAGCCCCGGTTACGCCGACGGTGGCACGATCTCGACCAAGATTGCCGGCATCATCCTGGCCAGTCTGTCCAGCGGGGCCGGGGAATTGAGCTTCCTCGGTTTGACACATTTCTACGGGCCGTTTAGCTTGGCTGCGTGGGGGAGCGGCACCGGCGCGGCTGGGTTGGTTGGTGCTGGAGCGTATGCGTTGGCTACGACGTCCCTTGGACTGGGGGTGAGGAACACCCTGTTGGCGTCGGCGTGTCTGCCAGCGGTGATGGTGGTGAGCTTCTTTGCCATCTTGCCGAGATCACCGGTCCATCCGCTGGCTTCTGTGCCGGCGGAGTATCGGGCCATTGGGACGAGGGATCTGCTTGCTGAGGAACGGGGGGACGATGAGCGGGATGAACGGGAGGAGCGCGTGGGTGAGCGAGATGGGCTTCTTGCCTCTGTGCGGGAGGATACCCAGAAGGTAGGCTGCGATGGTGGGAGGATCGGATGGGGGCAGATCAGAGCCAATATGAACCGGGCCAAGGGGCTCTTCTTTCCATTGTGAGTGGCCCTCTCTTGATTGTGATGGACAGTCATTTACAGGTCCTACGCAGCATGCTTCCCCTTCTCCTAGTGTATGTCGCCGAATATACAATCAACCAGGGGGTGTCGCCGACTCTGCTCTTCCCCCTGGCCTCGTCCCCGTTCGCCCACTATCGCGCCTTTTACCCAGCATACAACGCCATCTACCAGGTCGGGGTCTTCATCTCGCGTTCGTCGACGCCGTTTTTCCGCATCCACGACCTGTACTTCCCGTCGTTTCTGCAAATCGCCAATCTGGTGCTGCTGACCCTGCACGCCCTGTTCGACTTCATACCCAGCGTGTATATCATCTTCATCGTCATTTTCTGGGAGGGGCTGCTGGGCGGACTGGTGTATGTCAACACTTTTGCGGAGATCGGCGAGCGGGTGCCCAAGGCCGACCGCGAGTTCTCGCTGGGGGCGACGACGGTGAGCGACTCGGCGGGCATCTGCATTGCGGGCTTTGTCAGTATGGTGTTTGAGGTGTGGCTGTGTGACTGGCAGACGGCGCATGGACGCGATTACTGTCGGAAGACGTAGTTCAGTCAGTGATTTAGTTGGTACAATACAAGTATACAGGCTAGCATCACGGGAGCAATGCATGTGACAGTTAACAACTGTGAGAATGATTACTTAAGGCGGCTGTGGAGACTTTCACATGTGTTTCTACGATCCATGGATAACCTCACCCTCTCCTCTCCATATCCTGCTGGCCTTTTCGCCAGACTGCCCGTCAGTCCCTCTGTCGCTCCTCTGATCCTGCTTCTCCATTCGCCATTCTGCGGAGTCGGACTCTCCGTAGAGCGGGTTCTTTGTCGCCTTGTATGAGAATGGCACTGGTCTGGGCTTTATAGATCGAGTATTGCTTCTTATTCTGTTTGTTATTCTACGAATCTTTCCTGCACCGATAGATCTATCACATCGTACCTGCAACATGATCGACCATGTGCTGGGAAGACCATCCACCAAATTCCGCAAGATCCAAGTCTGCGCCGTGCTCCTCTTCTGGTCATCGTATCTCCTGGGGTAAGACTCCAGATGCAGACTGTCGCCAAACGCTCTCACTAACGAACTCAGCGGAAACAAACACGGTCCCCCCGGCATCCGCAATGTCTCCTCGCGCATCTCGGGCAAGCTGACGGCATGGCAAACCACGGTAGGCGTCTTCCTCTGGCTCTACGTGTGCCGCAACTTTGCAAAGATCGTGGGCCTCGAATGCCCCGAGCCCATGGCGAACCTCTACTCGCGATCCTTCTTCCGCGCAACCTGGTTCATGACAGCATTAGACGCCGGCTTCTGGACCGCCATGAAGATCAAGCCGAAATGGCTGCGCGATATCGCCTCCCTGATCTTCAGCATCTACTACCTCTTCGCAGCGGAGCAAGCGGACGACAAGGTCCGCCGCGTGCGCGCAACCCTCACCGTCGACCATCTCCGCGTCGCCTGGAACAAAGGCACAACCCCGTACCTCTGGGCGCTGGGGAAGCTCGCCCGCCCGCGCCTGACCACCTACGGACCCCGCGCGATCCGCATTCCGCGCCCCACGCACTCGTCCTACACGGAACCCACCCACGCCTGGCTGTACTTTGACGGGCCGCTCAGCGCGCTGCGCGACCAGACCAGCGTGGTGTTGGACTTCCCCGGCGGCGGGTACGTGGCCATGAGCCCGCGCGCGGCCGAAGACCGCCTACTCGCGTGGGCCGGCAAGACCAAGGTGCCCATCCTCAGTCTGGACTACAAGAAGGCGCCGGAGTATCCGTACCCGTACGCGCTGCACGAGTGCTACGACGTGTACCACATGCTAGTAGCCACGCGCGGCCGCTGCATCGGGCTGAGCGGGCACACGCGTCCGCACATCGTGCTCTCGGGCGACAGCGCCGGCGGCAACCTCGCCGTCGGGACCATGCTCATGCTCCTGCAGGCCGGGAGCGAGGACACGCCGCGCTGGCAGCCCGAGCACGTCCTCCCGCGGCCGGCCGGCCTCGTCCTCGCGTACCCGTCGCTGAACATGCGCGTCGAGAGCTGGATGACCGAGGAGCAGATGGCGCTCATCCAGGACAAGAGCGCGCGCCGCACGAACGAGGGCATCGTCCGCCGCAAGGCCGCCGACTACCAGCGTTTGACGCCCGGCACCTCGCCGGTCGTGTCGGCCAGCGACGTCCGTGCCAGCGCAGACAGCGACCCCGCGGCGGCTCCGCCGGTCGCCGCGAAGCCCACGAAAGGCACGCTGGCGGCGCAGGCGGCCGCCGTCGCCGAGTACCACCACCCAAAGCAGATCCGCACGCGGCTCGCCGTGTCATCCATGATCTCGTACGTGCACGACCGCATCCTGACACCGGAGATGATGCGCGCCATGATCATTCTCTACATCGGGCCGCACAACCGCCCCGACTTTAGCACGGACTTTCTGCTCTCGCCGGTGCTCGCGCCGGAGGCGCTCCTCGCGCGCTTCCCAAAGACATACATCATCACGGGCGAGCGCGACCCGCTCGTCGACGACACGGTGATCTTCGCGGGCCGGTTGCGGCAGGCGAAGCTGCGGCAGTTCCGCGAGCGCCAGGAGCTCGGGCTGGAGAAGTCGCACCGCGAGTTCAACGAAAAGGAGCACGTGGAGATCTCGCTGCTGCCGGGCGTGTCGCACGGGTTCCTGCACATCGCCGGGTTCTTCCCGGAGAGCTGGAAGCATATTCACCGGTGCGGGGGGTGGATCGTGGAGTTGTTTGCTGCGGCGACGGCACGGGGGGAGAGGCAGTTGCCAGAGAAAGCGAAGGCGAAGGAGAAATCGTCCGCGGGTTTTGCGCCGGGGTCGTACGACGGTGGCACGGGGGAAATGAGGGACGCGCACGGGGACGGCGACTATGTGCGGCACCATGTGCGGCGTCTGACGGGGGAGTCGTCGGGCGACGAGGATCGGCCGTTGGAGATGGGGGTTGGGAAGATGACGCCTGCGGTTCAGAAGGGGGATATGCCTTTGCAGGATGCGCGTTCGGGTGCGGTGGAGGACAGGGGAAGGTCTGTCGGTGGCCTGAGGCGAAAGCGGCGTCTTGCGCCGAGTATGAGGATTACGATGCCGTCGAACGAGGAGCTGCCGGCGGAGGAGACGGTGGCACGGCGACGCAGAGACCCCAGTCTGGGGAGTCTTCCCAGCGAGGAGGATCTTTTGGATCGCCGGATGAATGGGCTGGCTGGGGGGTTGATGGGGATAGGTGAAGGGGCGCAGACGCCGTAGATGAGTATAGAATGTAACATGAGATATGAGTATGAATACAGCATTTCAATTTATAGCATTTGCATTAATTATGCTTCACTCTGCACTCTTATGCTTGGCTTTTTGCACTCATTATACTTCACTTCATGCAGTCATAAAATCTATGCAAAGTCAGTGATGTAAACGCAAGCTTCGCAAGCTTCGACAAGCATCGAGAAGCTCTGGAAGTTATCCGGATGCGCCAAAATCGGGGGAATGCCACGCACGTCAGCGGGAGTTTATCTATCTAGACGGCTTCCACATGGACGCTGATGGCGTCGACAGTCGGACCTGCCGGCTATTCACGACTATATCTGGTGGCTCGTCGTGGTGGCAGGTAAGGATCGCTGTACTGATCCCTCTAGGCAATCGTCTAGTCTGATGGTGGACCAGCTAACGCTGTGACAACGACGCTATATCGGGTGGAATGACCCATGAATCATCGCCTGATGCGACAATGGACTATTGCCAAGCAAGACGTCTCAAGAGCTTTCGATATGGATGCATGTGAATGCAAGAATGCACTCGCATGTGAATATGGACTTACCTCGCTTCCCAGTCCAGGTCCAAGTCCACAAGCTACCAGCAAACACAGCAGTAAGTATAGCTCATGACGATAGCCCTCGAGCTTGCTATCTCCCTCTACTCTCATCACACTGCAATCATACTTCGGCATGCCGTGTCGGCCCGCCATCACCATGACTCCCATCACAGGCAACGGCCCGAACCACGGGAGCTGACAGTCTCGATCGATTGTCCACGCATTCGCATCCTGTAATCGGCCGTCATGGCGGTGATGTGTAGGGCTGACGCGGGTGTCAACCGCGGTAGGATGCATCAGCCCAGGGCGCACGCATCTATCCGATCTGTCCTGTGGCCTGGCCCATGGGGCGATGCTTCATGACTCACGGCGATAGCTACGTGACCGATCAGTCGTAGAAGCGAGTAGACGAAACCTGCTCAGTCACCCACCGTTCGGCCGTGCCTCGGTCACTCGGGCTGTCCGACATCCACCTATGCGGTGGAAGAGCAAGAGCTTAATACCGTTCAGTCCATATCAACCCTGCTATATCCGGAGACGCCGACGACGTGGATCACTGCTGCGGTGGGTCCAGATCGGTTGACCTGATTGACATGATGGCCATGATGGCCATGATATGATGATATGATACGATGTACGGCAGGGTATCCTTCCGTTGGGCGGTTTCATAGTTTGGTCTTGTGTAGCAGTGAAGGGCCCTTGATGCAGGAAACAACCGTGGTTGAGTAACGCCAGACGGAATGTGCCGCAGCGTATATGAGCTGGTTCTTTTTCGACTGTTCGTCTGTTGTCGTTTGTCTGTTTCCCATCCCTGATAGAGCTTCTACAGTCGTATTGTGTGCTCTCTGACCCTCGTTTGTCCTTCTAGACACTGCTAGACCCATAGACTACTCTCGTCGATATCATGTCAGAAGAGTATTTCGCCTCGAAAGAAAACGTCACGGCCAGTGCAATGTCGCCCAAGCAGGACAATCTCGTCGACTTTGATGGCCCTGGCGACCCTCTGCATCCGTATAACTGGCCCATGAAAAAACGGTGCGCTCTCTCCTTGCACAGTAGCAAGCCTAGCTAACCAAGCTGCCTCAGAGTCAAGATCGCTCTCGTCTTCGTCCTCACCACCATGGTCGTCTCGTTCGCCAGCAGCATCTACGCCCCCACCGTCCCCTACCACATGACAGAATACGGGATCAGTCGCGAAGTGTCGACCCTAGGCGTGTCGCTGTACGTGTTCGGCTTCGCCTTTGGCCCGCTGATCTTTGGTCCCTTCTCCGAGCTCAAGGGCCGGTACATGCCTCTGGTGGTGTGCGGCATCGGCTTCACCGTCTTCTCGTTCGCCACCGCCGTCTCCAAAGACCTCGCCTCGCTCTTCATCCTGCGCTTCTTCACCGGCTTCTTCGGCTCCGGCCCGCTGACGGTCTGCGTGGCCGGGCTGTCGGACCTCTTCTCGCCCAGCGAGCGCGGCATCCCCATCACGCTCTTCTGTCTGACCGTCTTCACCGGCCCGCTGGTCGCCCCCTTCGTCGGCGGCTTCATCATGCTGAACCCGCACCTGGGCTGGCGCTGGACGTCCTACGTCCCCGGCATCCTCGGCGGCGGCAACCTGGTGCTCACGACCTTCTTCCTCTCCGAAACCTACCACCCGCTGCTGCTCGCCCGCAAGGCCGACGACCTGCGCCGCGCCACGGGCGACTGGAGCATTCGCGCCGCGCATGAGCAGGCCCGCTTCGACGCGCGCGCCGTCCTCACCGAGTACCTCGCGCTGCCGCTGAAGATGCTCGTCTGGGACCCGATCACGCTGTGCATGTGCGTCTTCGGCGCCTTCGTCTACGGCCTGCTCTACCTCTTCCTGACCGCCTACCCGCGCATCTTCCAGGAGACCTACCGCATGAACGCGGGCGTCGGCAACCTGCCCTACCTCGGGGTCATCATCGGCCAGCTGCTCGGCGCCGTCGCCATGGCCGCCATGCAGCCCTGGATCGTGCGCCGCATCGCCCGCAACGACGGCGTCATGCTGCCCGAGTGGCGGCTGCCCGTCGCTGTGCCCGGGGCGGTGGCCTTCTCCGCCGGGCTGTTCTGGCTGGGCTGGACGGGGTACACGACGCGGTTTCACTGGATCGTGCCGACCGCGTCCGGGCTGCTGACGGGGTTCGGGCTGTTGACGATGTTTTTGCCATCGCTCGCGTATCTGGTCGAAGCGAGGCCGTTACGGTTAGTTCGGTTATCTGTTATCGTATCTATTTCGGGCTGTGTCAGAGTGAAACTAACCGATTGGGGGCTGTAGGTCGGCGTCGGCTGTGGCCGCCCATACGTTTTTGCGCTCGGCGGCCGCGGGCGGGTTCCCTCTTTTTGCGTGGAAAATGGTGCGTCCACACTATCTCCTTTGAGCTAGCCTTATTTACTTGTTGGCTCGCGCTAACGGGGCGCAGTTTGATGGTCTCGGAGTCGAGTGGGCCTGTACGCTGCTGGGCTGTGTTGCGGCCGTGATGGTGCCCATTCCGCTGGTGCTGTATGTGTACGGGGCGCGGATTCGGGGGAAGAGTCAGTTGGATGTGTAGATGATGATTGATTGGGATTGAAGAGAATGAATTAGAATGGAATGAGAATGGGTGTATCTATCCAAGTCTAGATGGTGTGCTGAGTACTACTCTCAACCCTAACTAAGCCTAGCTGGACCCTGAATACCACACTGCACGCCACTCCACCATCGCCCCATCCATCCGCAGTCAAGTAAGACAAGCGAGACAGTCTCAGAGTCAATTCCGAGCTAAGTTCTATTATTATTTCAGCATCGGAATGTGCTGCTGTCCGTCATGTTGGACGATCCGCCCTCCTCGACGGCCGCATACCGCATCCGGCACCAGCCCTATAACCATCGCTCCCGCATATTGCGTGCTCTGCAATCATCCACTCCCGCGATCAGCTCATCTCGCTCTCCTATTTATTCATGAATGTGTCACCGCCTGCATCCGTACACCCTCGTGTTTCCTCTGCTGCAGGGTGCTGGGTTGGAATTCCGCCTGCTGTCGGTGGTGGCGTCGCTTTGTTCGTCCAAACTGCTACATAAACCCCGACAACAACAACTGCAGCAATCTATTAGTCTTTATCCCCACATCGGGCTGCTGATCCCATGCGACCGAACGCCTGCTGTCGAGGATAATAAATAGATAAATACCCGATCTGCTCGATCTTCTCTCGGATCTCGTTCTTGTCACTCGTGAGACTCAGCGCCGCACCACCATGGCGGCCTCCGAGTCGCCCCCCTGTCGCACAGCCGACCTCCTCCAGCCCGACGAATACGACGAATATTCGTGGATGCTGCTGGAGGACCATCCGCTGCGCTCGCATCCGACAGACTGCTGGCCGGATGTATTCGCCTTCCTGGGCCGCTGCTACACAGCCCTCAAGCAGCGCTGGACCGAGAGACTGTTCCCGGTGCTCTGTCTGTTCCTGATGTTTACGTACGTCTACCCAGACACATCCATCGACTCTGCTAATATGCAATAGTATGGTCGTCCAGTTCATCGCCTCGCTCCCCTACGGCATCTCCCATCTCCTCCTGCGCAAGGAACTCGACAACCTGGGCACCGTGCAGTGGCCCGCCGAGTTCGGAGACTCCCCCGCCGCCTGTCTGGCGTATAACCCGCTTGCCCACGCCGACGCCATCACCTACGCCGTCGACGCGGGCTGCACCGGCGTGCGCGCCGACGTCTGGCTCGGACGCCACGAGCAGCTGACGGTCGGCGCGAAGCCCGCCGCAGACGCCACCCTGCAGACCGTCTATCTCGAGCCGCTGCTCGCCCAGCTGGACGACGCAAACCGGGACCCTGCCGCGGCCCCGGCGGGCGTCTTCCCGGCGGATCCCACGCGCCCGTTCGTGCTGCTTCTCGAGCTGCACGCGCCGCTGCATGCGGTCCAGCCGCGGCTGGACGCACTGCTGGCCCCGTTCCGCGAGCGCGGGTATCTCTCGTTCACGAATGGCTCGCGGACGGTCTCGCGGTCGCTGACGGTCGTGCTGGGAGGTGATCTGTCCGTGGACGCGGCCGACGTCGACCCGGCAGCTGTGTCGAGCAGTCTCTTCTTCGACGTGCCTGCAACCGCCCCTGCGGAGCACGAACACGAACACGAACACGAGCCGAATACGGCTCATCCTATGATGCACCCATACACCGCATCCACAAACTTCACCAGCACAATCGGCGCCCCCCGCCGCGGCCGCTTCTCGCGCCCCCAGCTCGACCAGGTGCGCGCCCAGGTGCGTGCCGCTCATGCGCGCGGCGCCCGCGCGCGCTTCACGGATATCCCGTGCTACTCGGCGCGGCTGCGCCGGGTGATCTGGCGGATGCTGGTGCGCGAGGGCGCGGACGTCGTCGAGGTGGATTGGTCGGGGTGTCAGGGGCGGTGGTGGCGGGGGTTTATTACGTTTGGGGGGCATGCATGATATCCTGTCTTCCGATGGAGATATATGTGTATATATTGAATGAATGTACATAATGGATCAACAAATCATGAACGTCCGACATCACATAGCATCACTGCGTAGCCCAGCTATAGTATTGTATACTGTAGAGTGGTGTGTAGGCTACTTCCACTGTCCGGCATCCTCCACACCCTTGGCCACACTGCCCACGCCGTTCTCGATGCCCGTGCCGGCGCTGCCGATCGCGTTTCCGACCGGTTTGCCTGCGTCGCCGGTCGTCTTGGTGATGGTGTCGCCGACGCCTCGGGCGGCGGTGCCCGTGACGCCGCCGACGGTGCGGGAGAGGCCGCCGACGGCGTTGCCCAGGGTGGAGGTGACGAATTTGGCGGCGCCTGTGACGCCTTCGGAGGAAGAGGAGGAGGATTGGGGCATGGTTGGTAGGTAGTAGTGTAGTTTGTAAAATGTAAAATGTAGAATGATGGTTGAGGATGGGATGGTGAGGATGAGGAAAAGGAGGATAGAAATACTGTGTTTGTGTTTGTATATTGGATGACGTCAGTGTCTGTCAACGTGATCAGCCGCATACCTGCTTTTCTACTATACTCCCAGACTAGCCTTCAACATCATTCATCAGGAAATACAGGATTATACACAAGTTGTCGTATGTACCTACTGGTTTCGGCAGGGAATTTCCGCCCCGATTTTTGAATACATATTCTTCCGTCAACTGGTGCAACAGGTCTCATGCTTACGTAGTGTCAGTAGCGTCGCCAGAGGACTAATTTGTCTTCAAATAAACAGTCTAGTGAAGAGGGAGGGTAAATGACACGGACTGAATGGTCTCCGCAGCTATAATATGAACTCGTAGCAGCCCTGGCGAGATTGTAGTAGACGGGTTGACATTTCAGTGAAGGGGAATGATATAGACCTCAATTAATACTTTTGTATACTTTCTCGGTGACTTGCTGAAGAAATCATCCCAGTGCGAAACATATGGAACTCAGCCTTGAGTCCGTATGCGAGTGGCTGTTCCTTCAAGCCAACAGGGGTCCTTTTATCTCTAGTACGCCATGATGAATGCATGTAGCAACCTTAGACATGACATGACCTAGAATTGCGCGGTTAATTCTTCGACGTCCACGTATGCTTGATGTAACCCAGGTTCGAGTAAGGAGTCAAGATAGCAGACATATGGTTCGTATTCCTGTTCTACCTCACCATACCAAAAAGCCTTCGCAATCAGGCCATTGGTGAGTTTGAGCTCGAGCAACTGATTAATGGCGATGTCAAGACTACCAGGTAGATTAGGCCATGGATGTTAACTATTAACTGAAAAGGACAGGTCAAGGCGCGCGCTGGTTGATCAGAATTGGATGGTAGTTACACAAGCATTCCCATCATCCACGGACCCGAGGGGACAACAGGTTCATGTGGGCAACGCGGATGGATGCGCACGGTTGATCTTGCTTTCCAATAGATGTAGACGGCTTCATTGGAACAGCTCCGGCTGGCCCATCTATCCGCCGAACTCAAGCCCGATAAACGGGAGGCAGCCCCAGACGGGGAAGTCGTATAACGTACCGCTGGGGCATGGGGGATCGTCATCGGACACACAAAGCTCCCCTATGCGACTGAAGCTAGCAGGATAGACTGGTCCAAAGGGGCCCACAAGAACAGTTCTGCCCAGTGAGACATGATGAGATGAGGGCTGGGTCTTCGATTTGCAGAGGCCACCATAGTAACTGCATCCTCTCTGCATTTGGATGTGCCTTTCTTGAGGCGCGGCTTCGGGCACTCGGGCTCACTTAACACAGGCAACTCGGGTGCAAGAGAGACAGGCTCCACACAAGATAAAGGTGTCTAGATCGGGACATCAAGGGATGCTCCAGGAGCAAATCGTGCCATCAAAAACGGCATTATCGAAGTTTGGAATGCCCGTCGCATCATAATGCCCATCTACATATGCGTCCGGGTTGGAACACTCTGCTTTGGCGGGCGAAATGACATTGACCCAGTTCCAGCTCTCTCTGGACCGCACGAGATAATCCAATATGGTCTGCATGCAGTGCCCGTCCAAGGAGATTCTTGTATCGCTCCATAGCCGCGATGATCTCCAGCATCTCCGCCTTCTTCAGCGGCCATTTGATCGTCTTGCCCACTTTCCTGAGCCCTTTCGCCGGGGCGAGAAACCCCCTCCAGTCGCGTCAACAACGCCGCATAATTTTTGAGGGGCTCTTCCAGCATCCGGGTGTTGGCCATGGTGTCGGCGTCATGTGTCGCGCCCTGTCCGACGTTCCACGGCAGATCGAGAATGCCCTTGGTCGCGCCCATCTCGAGAAGCAAGGTGTTGCGGTAGCCGGTCGCATCGGTGACATCCCTCACGTATCTTGCCACTTTTATGGACAGCTGCATGGCTGCGATGATGCTCGCAGTAATCGACAGACGGTCAGCCATGATGGGTCGCCGGTGAAGTAAGGGGATGCAGGGTCAAACGGACGAGAATGCGGGAGTGGAGAAAGAGAAGTGCCCTCTGCCTCGGAACCCCAGCGTTGCGATGGCGATGGTGGCTTGTATAGCACTGTACTCGAAGAGCCCTGGAGGACCGACCAGCATACATTCCTTCATCCTCCGTCGTAGTCTTCGCCCTCCTGATTAGGCTGTGGTATGTGCGCCCGTGGGCGTGCATGCGTGGACCAACCATGATTATCGTTGCTTTTTCTTGACGGTCAATCGTGGTTAGAAGTATCTATTGCTGTACGGTGCTTAGTACTTACCCCTCTGATGAGGCGTCGCATGGGTCCATGCGGGGGACTTGAGATGAGCACTGCCTCGGCTGCTGCGCCAAAGGTGATCTATTGTAGGAACAAGGAGTATCGCGACCGAGGGTATAGTGCATATATAGCTCAAGTAATGGAATCATGAAGAGGACGGGCTTGGTATAAATGCCCCTTACTATCCTCCAGGCGCCTAGTCGCTGAGAGATATATACCCCCTTTGGCATTCGACTTGGCCGACAAAAGGATGAAAAGTCATAACTGAATTTCGTGACTGATCTTCCTGGGCATGTACAGAGAAAGCAATGAGGAGATTACTATAATCGAATGTATTGCCATACCTTGTAGTACAGAGAGTATACCTGAGCGGTGGTATAAAGATACTGCATGGAACCCAACCCCTGCACACTTCACGACTCCGCATAGATAACAGACAAGGCTTGATCTTCATAAAATTAGATAGTGACTATGCCTCCACATCGACAATATTATTAACATGTACAATATAGTCTATAACAGGACCAGCTAATGCTCTGATAATTCATGTCCCCGCATGTTGGGCCGCACTGATTGGCCGTCTCTTCTCCAGCTGTCGCATGTCCTTTTTAGTTCTGCCTTTAGACCGACTATTGACTGTTTGTTGATTTTTTCCATCATCCACTTCTCTTCCCCCATAATATCGTCTCCCATTTAATCCCGGAGTGTCAGTCATCCAGAATCCGGCTTAGAATTTTCTCTTCCACGGTTCCAAGTTGTTCCCGTGGTGCGCTGGCTCCGGCCCAACTTCCACCGCCATTTCATCCGCCCAACAACGCATCCATCCACCCTCACTCAACTAAAGTCCCTCAGATTACTTCCTCCACCATGATGGATTTTCAGAAGTCTTCTCCCTACCCCATGTATTATCCACGACACCCGCCCCGATCCACGGGAGTCGCCCCCGTCGCGCCTCCAGATCCTCAGATTGCACCTCCTCCACTGCCAACAACCTCCTACGCCACTGTGACCACTGCCATCACCACGCCTCCCACGTCTACCGCTCCGACCGCTCCGACCGCTGCCCAAGAGACGTATATCCTGCAGACCACCGCCTTTCCCCCGCGAGACGAGATCCCTCGATCGACCATGGTCTATCGATACCCCCCGCCGCCCTCACCGGCTGTCACCATCGCATCGACCCCGTACCCCCCTGAGAAGGCATATGCGTCGGCGCGGACAGAGCACCACCAGCGGTATCACGTCACACCAACCAGCCGTGGCTCCACGAAACAGCCGCCGGAAAGAGCGTACCCAGCACACCCGAGTTCTGAGGGATGGAGAGAGGGTGAGTATCTCTTTTCCGTGTTCTTCCTTCTCCCTTGTTCCTTTCTTTCCTCTTATTGTATCTATCGTCATCACCCTCCCTACGATGAAGATCCACATTATTGAAAGGTACCCGAACTTTGTGCCGGGGCTAGCCGACCAATCCGGGGAGGCGGATCGCCTTCCTGCGCAACCGCCCTCGGGAACGCTAGCCCCGAAGGGGTCTAGTGGGTGGATTCCCAAGCATCTTGCTCCTTTGGGCCTAGCGGCGCCCGGAAGGACTAGACCCAGGGTCACGGGACCACCCATCATCCTCATCTGCATCTGCATCTGCATCTCCATCTCCATCATCAGCTGCTCTCCGTCTCCTGTCTTCCTCGCTTCTCTCTTTCTTCTTTTCCGTCGCGTCTTTCTGCTCTCTGTACCACTTCTGCTTCTGCTTCCCTCCCGTCACTCCCCATGAACCCCCCTCCCTCCCACGACCACGCGCGTCGGAGGTCTTTGGGCAGCAGCGCCAGTTCCGCGTTTCCTGGTGAGTCTGGCTGCTCGCGTGTTCGCACAGGACAAATCCTGTCATCATATCGATGATCCTCCCTGCTATCTACTCATCCGCGCTCCTTGTTCTTCCTGTCGCTGCTCTTCTCTACCTCTACCTCCACCTCCATCTCCATCTCCCTCCTTCCTCCTTCCTCCAAGCTAACCCCGGATTTTCCCGCCCCTGTCAGGTCCCCATTCCCAAGATTCATCCTCATCCGCCCCTTTGGGCCACCGCCGAATGCCGCCCCCCTCGCCCCCCCAACCCTATCCGTCGCGATCCCAGTCGGGGAATGCGCCCTCTCCCTTCCTCTCGCGTGAGCCTCCCACCAACCCTCCGGCTCACCATCGCCCCGGCAGCAGCATGTCCATCTCCTCCATGCTCGGCGCCTCCGACCTGGACCGCCCCGCCCGGGATGTAGGCTCATCCGCTCTCTTTTCTCGTCTTCCAGTCTCCTCCGCCCCGTTTGGGAGTGTTCCGCCCCCCGCGGCCGCCCCCGGCGCCATGTCGCCGCCCATGGCACCCGCCAGACCTTCCGCGCTCGATTATTCGCCCTTCCGTCGGTCGCAGACCCCCGACAAGTCCTTCTCCAAGCCGCCGCCCGGGAAACCATACCGTTCAAACTCGGGGGGAATGACCTCGTCGACCAGCGACTCCAGCAAATTCGGGGGTTTGTCGCGCGGGCCACCCTCGTCGCAGTACCCCGACAAGCCGAGTTCTGCGCACCCCTCGCCCCAAGTCTCCTCCGTAGAGCCCTACAACGAACCCCGTCGGTTGAGCTTCGGTGCCCCGGCGCGTCCCAGCAGCCAACCCCAGCATCTCGACGCCCCGGGCCGACCCGGCTACTCCTCGTTGACGCGCCCGTCCGCATCCGCTGGTGAGGGTCCGTTTGGCCAACGATCCGCCTCGTTTATGGGCCACGAGTCTCACGGTCGTTTCAGCGGTCTGTATGCCGACCGACACATGGAGGAGCAGGCCCATCGGGAGCGGGAACGCGCCCTGGCACAGGAGAACGAAGCAAAGTCGCATGGTCCCTCGCGGTATCCCTCCCACTTTCCGGAGCGGGAAACATCGAGTCGGCCCCAGAGCACATGGGAGTTGGGTCGCTCCCAGCCCTCGTCGCCAGAGGCCAAACGGTATTCGGCGGCGGAGTCCGGCGGGGGTTTTGGCTTTGGGGCCATCCAGAGCTACACCAAGTCTCTGGGTTCTCAACTTGGGAGCTGACAACTCTCAATGTCCATCTCACCGCGCCAGGGACAACCGACGTCCGCCGCTGCCGCAGCACGAACAGCCATCGTATCTGAGCAAGCTGCAAACGGGAGGGTCGTTCTGTTCTCTACTCTCGGGAGCATCATCGCTGGCCTCAGTCATCCCGAAGACTCAGTCGGCGAAAAGGCAGCGAGGAAACTAACCTACAACATTCGAAATTCTACTGGGGGTCGGCTTAGATGCGAAACGGAGTGGCCGAGCCTCTCCGCTCCCTCAAGCCGTCCAAGGCGCCCTGGGTCCGACTGGAGAGGGAGGCCTCAAGAACGACCTGGGGCGTGTGTTTTCGGGGATTGGGAGCGGTGTTGGCGGCGTGACCGCCTCCTCTGGCAGTGGACCGTCCACTCCCATGGCTGCGAGCCCTTTCAAGCGGGATAGTGTGACGGCGCGTTCGGCCAACAGTGAGACAACCGATGAGACCAAGGCTGCGCGACCGGGGTCCGCCACCGGAAAGCGACAAAGGAGATCGCGAGATGAGGAGGCTGCCGAGGTCGAGGCCGACCTTCGAGCCGGTGCGGCCGCTCGAGGGGTGCGGCGAAATCGCCATCTTCACCACCACCATCACCAGTAAGTGTCGTGTGAGCAAACGGCAGCTGAAGGTGCTAACATGTCTAGTCATCACCATCATCGACCCAAACCAGAGGATGACCCGTTCAGCGCGCATCGGGGTCCTTCATCGTCCGTCTTCCCACGGACTTCCACCCCCGCTGAAGGCGCACCTGCACCGCATGCGCACCACCACCACCACCATCATCATCACCATCACCACCACCATGCTCGGCCCTCTGCGCCTAGTGCGGTGGTACCCATGCGCGAACCCCGGACGGTCGTGACGATCGAGCCCACTCTGGCTAGCGTGGCTCATCTCCCGCGGCATCATCTTGGCTCGACGCTGTACAACCCCATCATTGGCATCCCGACAGAAAAAGCCAGTTTGGAGAGCGCGAAATTCGGCTACACAACGACCCCTCGACCTTTGCCGCGTTTCGAGGGGAAGGCCAACTGCACGTTTACTGTTCGGGTGCCGCGTTTCCGTATTGATGCCAGCCATCGGGAGGAAATTTGCGCGCGACGGGCGCTCTGGGGCACGGGCATCTACACCGACGACTCGGATCCGGTCGCGGCGGCCGTCCATTCGGGATTCATCCGCGGCGCCTGGGGGGAGGACGTCGATGTGGAGATGCTGGATCTGGAGATCAAGGACGCGTACCAACACTGCCCGAAGACGGCGCAAGAGATGGGATTACCGGAGGGAGATCGTCCAAAGGAGCCGCCTGTGCCGCCTACCGACAAGGACCTGCACATCACCCTGCTTGTGCTGCCCCCGCTGGAACGCTACGACTCAACCGTGCTGTTTGGCTTGAAGTCGCGGTCGTGGGAGAAGTCCCATGATGGCATGAGCTTCAAGGTGCTGCGGGTGGAATGGGTCGAGGAGGGGGTTGGACGGGGTGAAGAGCGCAGTGGCGAGGCGCGGCGCAAGCGTCTGCGCAATCTGATGCAGAGCGGACGTATCTGCACGGGACCGGGCGTAGTGAAGCTTGAGCATCTGCGTAACGGGATTAGTGTGCCGCGACGCACACCGAAGGCGATGAACGGGGAGTCGAGCGCGATGCAGACGGTGTCATGACCTACGTTTGTTTGTGGCTTGTTGGCGTGGAGTTGGTTAGCGGGCGTTGTTTTTAGCATAGTAGTCTAATGTGATGACTTGTACGTTATATGAATGCGTTACAGCCTGCGGCACTGATTCAGGGCGATTTTCGGCTCAACAGAACTCCGTAGGAAGTGTATTGTAGTTGATGTATGATAGATCAGACCTCAACTGGCTCTAACATCATGGCTCTAATCCATACCCTAAACACATTTCCTTCATACCGGTCAAGAGTCCCCACCAAGCTATCCCTCCATGTCCTCCCCCCGAACCGGCTTCGAGCCGTATTGCGACATCTCAAACGGACAAAGGTCTACATCCTTCCAGAGCACGTACCGTCTAAAAATATACGGCAGATGAATCCTCAACCGGTACCGCACCAAATCCCTCGTTCTCGTCTCAAAAACGGCACCCATGTCCTCCAACGCCTGCCCGGCCGTCTCTCTCATGACCAGATAAACAAAGATCGTAGCGACGATTTGCACAGCACTAAAGCATGTCAGCATACTTCCACCCAAAACGTACGGAAGTTGGAGACGGGTACCCAAAGCAAATAAGCGCAGTCAACGAGTAATACGTGTCCGAGAACTCGCCATTCTTGGGCGCCACCTTGTACCGGACGATGAGCCAGCGCGCGGCCATCTCACTCGCAAACAGCAGCGACGCGCCGACCGTCATCCCGACATCTATCCCATCAGGATTAGCATATACCCTGGAAGACAAAAGAGAGGAAGGGGCACCTCGAAACTCCAGCGGAAACGCCTCCGCCGCATAAACAACCGGCAGCAGCGTCTGCACCGCAATCGGCAGCAGCAGCAGCAGATGCGCGCACGCCACGAGCGCCCAGCTCTTCGCCCGCAGACCGATACACTCTATGAAGACGATCAACGGGGTGATGAGCATAGCGGCGAGGACGAGCCGTCGGCGGCTGAGCAGGTCCAGAACGGGCAGGGAGATCGGTCTCACGCCCACGAACAGCGTGATGAGTAGGATGAATCCTGATGCCCGAGTACCCAGAGGTCGAGGTGCAGCTGCATGTACACGATCAGGACGCGGGGGATGATCTGGGCTGTTACGAGCGATGGCGATGGGATGCGGTGGCGCGGAGGGTGGCGCGGGAGGGGAGGAAAGGGGGACTTGGGGGGTGCCTTTCTGGGTGAAGAAGAGGATGCGGTAGAGATCGCAGACGGCGAGGATCTTGTGTTTCCCGCGCGCGACACAGCGTCTCGTAGGCTTCTTGGGCGTTGCCTTTGCCGACGGAACTGTAGGGCGATTCGGCGGTGAACCAGCATACGAGGAGGAGACAGGATGTTGTTAGGAGGGTGCCGATGCCGATGCCTAGCAGGCTGACTACGGTGAAGGTGTTGAAGATGAACAGGATGGAGATGGTTTGGTTGCTGGTGGCTGTTAGCAGCGTTCGGTATGAAGCGCGGTTGGATAGAGGGGAGGGGGTTACAGAATCCAGCTGGATACGACAGCGCCGCGGCTTTGCGCCGGACTCATCTCGGCCAGGTATGGCGCCGCGGTGCACTGGAACACACCGACTGCCGCTGCGAACAGCGCCACGGCGGTGTACCCTAGGGCTGGGATTGCGTCGGGGTTGGCGCCGTAGCTTGCTGGGATCATGGTCGCGGCGGCGGCGCAGAGGGTGCGCCGTCGCCCGAGGTATTTGTTGCTGGGGAGGGCGAGCCAGAATCCGAGAAATTTGATGCCGAACCATATAGCCCTGCGGGGGATATAGATATCAGATATAAGGTACTGAATGGTTGTGGTGATGGACGTACATGCGCGTGGGAGATATCTCCGCTTTACCGACGTAGGCGACGAAGTTTCCCATTGCGAAGAGCTCTGCGGAGGAGCTATAATCGTCACTATTATCTTCTATATCTTGGGAATGGTAGACTTACAAGAGGACCCCTCCGACATGGCATAGATACGTGGGTAACCCCCAGCGTCGAAAGAGGAACCGAGAGCAACACGACCGCTTTTTCTTTTTGCCCTGGAGAGCGTCGATTTCCTCTTCTGTCAGTCCGGCCACTCGGTCGAGATTGTCAGGATCATCGATCAACAGCGCGGCCTTGCGGATTTGGTTGCGGATATCATCCAGCGCGTGCTGGGTGACCAGCTCATCCGCTTCGAGGAGGAGCTGGCGTTCGTTTTGCGGTAGACCGTCGTCACATCTGCACCAGTTAGGCGGATTCATGGTGTGTAGTGTGACTCAGACTTACACTGTACTGTTGTCTTCGCATTCTATTGCCTCCTGGTGAAGCTCTTGGAGCGGAAGCTCCGCTGGTGGTGCGGACTGAGGGAGGTTGTCGTTTTGGACTGCCATGATGGTTTCCAGAATTGGAGGGACAGAGTCTCTAAAGGCAGGAAGGTTACATATTATATTTGTATGATTCACCGGTGAAAACCCTGAACTCGAGTGAGACATGCCTGATGGCTCGGCTAATGATGCTTGAATCAACAAGCTAATGCGGCTCAGACAGACGGAGTTTAGCTTGGGTATGGCGCAGGAGGATACGACCTGCTACTGTTCTCCGGTCTCCGGTGCATTTTGGAAGAGGCGTTAGAGGAGTAGGGGAATTTGGATGCAGTGGATACTTGAATAGGATTCTTCGTATGTTCATTTGTATACCTAAGTTATAGTAGTACTAAAAGCCTTTGCGAGTCAGGGTCTAGGGCTAGGGTTTGCGGAGGCTTCGAAGTGGCGATACTATCTTATCGTACTAGTCATGTAGTATTCATTTAGTGCATTCATAGAATTAAATTGCTGTAGGTAGTGACCGGGCGAGTGTCCTTTAAAAGTTTGTACTACTGTCTAGGCTTAGGCATATCTATCCAGAGCAAGAAAAAAAAAAAAAATAAAATAAAATAAAAATAAAATAATTGACTAGAAGTTTATAGGCCTGTCTGTGGCAGCCAGAGATATATATATTAGCCAAGCTCGACTCTCTATCCAGAAAAACATGGTATCTATACAAAGAAGCTCATCGTGCTGGAATATAATAATAGAACGCTAGGAGTAGCCTTGGTATCTTCCTCAAGAAATAGCTAAAGAGACTATATTTAAAATCATCTACAGAAGCGCCGCAGCTATTAAATACTATCCTTCTTGACTAGTGTATCTAGATGCGGTAGGATATTATAGCTAGTCTGGTTGCTTCTAAAAGATAGTAACACTTCATCGCTGGCTACGGGTAACAGCAAACTAATGTATGCAGCAGTTTTGGATAAATACGGTGGGTAGTAATATGGTGATTTACCTGTCTCCAGACCCTGACCTTCAACATGATGGCTGGGTACTGAGTAAGTGACGGGCTCGAAACCGAGGGTCCTGAACAAAATGACTTCGCTAATTATCAAGAGATGCTACCCACTTCCTTGATACAATACTCTGAGGTTACCATACTCTGAACTTTGTCTCTGCAGTTTATCGACTGGCATTATCTAGGGCTTCCATCACCACCGCTAGCTGCGATCTGCCCTTATCTTCCCAAACCACGGGCTGGGTATCAGTCCATTCATCATCTAAAAACAAATAGACCATATTCAGGCTACACTATTCCTAAGAAGCAATTGCACGACGAAAGGGAGGACAGGCTCCGCTAAAACCCTATGTATCCAGCGAACACCGCCAGGGAGTATCACTTTTCACTCTACTATTAGAACCCGCAGCCAGCGCGGACTGTAGCTTTCGTAACCCGTACCGCACCGCTGCGGGTTGCGGTGCGGGTTGACATCCCTACAGCAGATAAAGTCTAACAGCTGCTTTGTACAGTGGATTGGTGTTTAAAGTAGATGGTCGTCCGCGTATAGACCCCCATTGACGTCTAGTTTGTTGAGGATCCTCCGTCGTGCGGGGATATCTGTGAATATCTGCAGGAAGTTGAACACAGATGCTCGATAATATAGTCTCAAGAATATTATACGACGGCCTCGAGTTAAGATGCAGGTGCCTATATTTATATATTGAAACGGTGTATGGATAGAGTGTAAGAGCATTCAGGCTACTTAAGTACATGCTCACGCTATGCGTGTCGACCAGAGATTCTCAGAATCGTCGAAACCGAGGGTTCCTAGCGCATCCATGTTGAGCCTTACTTGCCTATACAGGCTGGGATGTGCTTTCTAAGAATATTCCAGCATCGTTACCATAATGCTCCGCACCTTCAGTCATCTCACTAAGTTATATATGCGGGTTGGCAGATCGCAACATGGGGTGAGACTTGGACGGTGGTTGTAGTGGTTTCTGCGAGCGTAGCAAAGGAAATTTCTGTACCGAGCTGGGTGGACACTGTTCTCCCGTCAGGTTGCCTGATGCGTGCAGCGATCTTCTTGTCCTCCGTCGTCGTCGACGTGACTCGATAGCATTTCAATTGGTCCTTATCGCTGACAGAGAGGGCAAGTGTCTCTGGTGGGACGTTGGATAGGTCAGTGCCTGAATAAGACCAGCCCTCTGGAAGCTGGTGATCGGTGTGAAAATCGACAAGCTCAATGGCCTGAAGTTCATCTTCCGTGAGGAAGTAGCGGTCGCTGGTGCCCTTTATATTCGCTTTGAGAGAGACATAAACAAATACATGCATCTTGCCATCGGCGTTGACGATGGCTGGCGCAGATTCAGGGACAACTGTGTGGATTTGGAAATCAACCACATCCCACGACGCCATGGTCAATGTTTCAGTGAGGGTACAGAATAACGCAATGTAGTAGGTTTTCTCGCGTAGACGATTGGCTTGAAAGAGTCTGTATGCTGAACCAAGGTGGGTAAGAGAGCTCCGGATTTGAAGTCTAATGCGATTCTGCAGTGCTTTTATATACCGACGATATTGCAAGATCTTATCTGTTATTGTTTCAGGCTCCGGTCATGTGCAGCGTTGCATACATCGGGCACACACAAGTAGTATTTGTTCAGCTCTACCGGGCCTAGAACTGTTCTCCATATCCCTGTCATACTTATACGAGCCGGATTCAGCTCGCCTGGTCTTCCACATCGCCCTTAATCGACCCTTTGCTCAGCTCTGTCTGTGTTCGCTGGGGTCGCAGCTTGATCTGAAAATGATCACTTGCATCTGCCAAGATTATTTTGATGCCTCATAGAGCTATCTTCACTAGGATTTGCGCCCCATCCTGATCCTATATGGCAATCTCTGCCGAGTACGTCGCGGGTTTGATTTAACCCCGGAAGGACCCCGGGAGGTCAGGCGTGTGGCAAGCTGGACCCTAGCGGAAAGACCCTTTGCGTAGCGCTAAATGGCGCGCATTGCGCATCATACCAGTGCCCCAGCCGGGTGGTGCACAGAAGTTCTTGGCCCCAAGCTATCAAACAAGGACTAGATAGTTTCGTGGTGGCCAGCCATTCGAACGAGGTCATTTTACTTTAACCTGGGCTGGCTGGGACGGAAGAGACTGGCGTACTATACTTAGAGTCTGTGTATCCTGAATTATAGAGATGGCTTCCACTGATTGCGATTCGGTGCCACCATGTGTTCATGCATCTCACTAGTTATGCAGCACTTTTCGCTATACGGAGTACACCACTTGTGTGGAGTCATCTTACAGAGGCGCAGTGTCGACCAGAGAGGGTGGGTATTCGTTACCTTGTCGGCTAAACTAACTTCCTATGGAAGATTCAGCTGTTACACTGGTTAGGGACTCCATAAGCAGGATGTATTGACGATCTATGAAGAGATATCTGTTACCCACGAAAGTATAGCATCCGAAGTTCCCTGCATCCGCTGCGATTGTTAGTGGCGTGTCGAGGGATTGAGGCCTCCTCGGAGATCCCGACACATGTACGTTGGAGCGATGCTACCGTTGCTGGTTATTTGACCGGTAACAACTTCCTTTTATTCGTGCAAGTTTGACACATAAGCTATATGATCTGCCATGGTCCCTCCGCTTTCATATTAAGACGTCTAAGCTCCCTCGGCCGCTCTACTCAGTACAGTACCCAGTCGGCCATTTCCCTTTTTCATCCCTTGCTTTCGTGTATCTTCGATGGCCGGAACCTCGTCTCGACGTATAAGCGCCAGGGACGTCACCAGGAGGCAGCAAATCTCAATTGCCAGCGTGCCGAGACCTGCAAGATCCGGTTCGGCGTTGACCATGACAACGCGCTGGCTAGCATGGTCGATCTAGCATCCGCATATTGGCAGCATGGGCCAGTGGGAAGAGGCCGAGAAGATGCTCGTGTAGCTGGTAGACATTAAAAAGGCACAGCTGGGCGAAGATCACCCTGGTACATTGAACAGCATGAACAACCTCGCCATGACATACATGAATCTGGAGCGATGGAGTGATGCCAAGCAGCTCTCATCATCCGGGTTCTAGAGACTCTCACGGTCAAGTTCGGTGTTGATAATCTCGCCACGCTGGTCGCTATGGCGAATCTCGCTTTTGTCTGGATGTCTTTAGGCCATGAGGCTCAAGCCATTGATCTCCTTCGAGACTCTGTTGCTGGGCGGAAACGATTGGGGCACAGTGATGCTCAGACTTTGTCGAATGCTGAGACTTTGCTGGAATGGGAAGCAAAAGGGCAGCATCGTGATTCCTAGGGGAACTATAGTATATACATTACATAGCTAAGTATAAGGAATACTTAAGTAATTGTGACAGTCAGATGGACCGAGGCAGTGACGTCGACAGGCGTCGGCCGCCGGTCTCCGTATTACCGGATATCGGCGGGCGGCCGCGGGGGAGCGGCGTAATTTACGGTACGGATACCTCCCCGCGGTCGGCATCCTTTCAGCCGAGGCTGTTTTGGGCTTCTTCCTCTTCTCCATCTGCTTCTTTGCTTCTCTTCTCTGCTTCTACTTTTTTTCCTCTCCATCGTACTTCTTCTTCTTCTCTCACCTCTTCCTTCTTCACATCTCCTTACCTCTCTAATCTCCCCCAATCCCTCCCTTCTCACTCTATCCATACATCAAGAGGCATGTTCACAGCCTCTGCTCGAAGCCGGCTCTCCACCTCTCTCGCGCGGCCCCGTCTCTCTCCCACCAACTCCCTCCTGGCCCGATCTGCTGCCGTATGCTCTTTTCCTCTACCTTTTGAGTACCCTTCTTTCTCTGCACGAGAGCTAACGAGTTATTCTTAGTCCCCCATCATGGCGCGCAAAGCTTCCTCCGTCCCTGAGGGTGAGTGATCACATGTCGGAGCTGTTCCGTGCGGATCCACTGACTTTCACAGGCTACAAAGAAGATCTCTCCAAGGGGAGACTCCTCCGTTTCGAAGACTCCCTCCCCCGTCTGCCAGTTCCTTCTCTCGAAGAAACCGGCCGTCGCTACCTCAAATCCGTCCACGCCGTCGTCTCCGAGGCCGAGTACGAGCGCACCAAGAAGGCCGTCGAGGCCTTCATCCGCCCCGGCGGTGAGGGCCAGCCGCTCCAGGAGCGTCTCCTCGCCCGCGCCGCCGACCCCAACTGCAAGAACTGGCTGACCGAATGGTGGAACCACGCCGCCTACCTCGGTTACCGGGACCCCGTCATCCCCTATGTCTCGTACTTCTACTCCTACCGCGATGACCGCGCCCGCCGGGACCCCGCCAAGCGGGCCGCCTCGGTCACCTCGGCCGCGCTCGAATTCAAGCGCCAGGTCGACGACGGCTCTCTGGAGCCCGAGTACATGCGCGGCCAGCCCATGGCCATGAGCTCCTACCAGTACATGTTTAACTGCTGCCGCATCCCCGCCGAGGGCGCCGACTACCCCCAGAAGTACCCGGCCGCCGAGCACGAGCACATCGTCGTCGTGCGCAAGAACCAGTTCTTCAAGGTGCCCCTGGTCGTGAACGGTCAGCGCCTCAACAACTCCGAGATCGAGCAGCAGTTCCGTCGCATCTACCAGGTCGCGCAGCGCGCGGACCCCGTCGGTGTGCTCACGGTCGCCAACCGTGACCTCTGGACGGACGCTCGCAAGAAGCTGCTGGCGGCTCACCCGGCCAACGAGCAGACGCTCCGCGACATTGAATCCGCTGGCTTCGTCGTCTGCCTGGACGACGCCACCCCCGTGACCCTGGAGGAGCGCGCCCACCAGTACTGGCACGGCGACGGCATGAACCGCTGGTTCGACAAGCCCCTGCAGTTCATCATCAACGACAACGGCACCGCCGGGTTCATGGGCGAGCACAGCATGATGGACGGCAGCCCCACCCACCGCATGAACGACCACCTCAACAACCTCATCTTCAACAACAAGATCGACCTGTCGGAGAAGTCCGTGCGTTCGGACCTGCCCGACCCGCGCCCCCTCAACTTCCACCTCAACCAGGAGGTGCGCGAGGCGATCGACGCTGCCACCAAGGAGCATCGTAGCCAGATCGCGGCCCATGAGCTGCGCGTGCAGGCGTACCAGGGCTACGGCAAGGGTCTGATCAAGAAGTTCAAGTGCAGCCCCGATGCCTACGTCCAGATGATCATCCAGCTGGCCTACTTCAAGATGTACGGCAAGAACCGCCCCACCTACGAGTCCGCGTCGACCCGGAAGTTCCAGGAGGGCCGCACCGAGACCATCCGCTCGGTGTCGGACGACAGCGTCGCCTTCTGCAAGGCCATCTCCGACCCCGCCGTTCCCCGCGAGGAGGCCGTGCGCCTCTTCCGCCAAGCGCTTGCCGCGCACTCCAAGTACACTGCCGAGGCCAGCGACGGCCGTGGTGTCGACCGCCACCTCTTCGGTCTGAAGAAGCTCCTCCGCGAGGGCGAGAAGCTGCCCGCCCTGTACGAGGACCCCGCCTACGCCTACAGTGGATCGTGGTACCTCTCCACCAGCCAGCTGAGCTCGGAGTTCTTCAATGGATACGGATGGTCGCAGGTGATTGACGATGGATTCGGCATCGCCTACATGATCAACGAGAACAGGTATGTTCCTCCGGCTAATTGTCAGGCGCATATACTAACGATAGCAGCCTTAACTTCAACATTGTTTGCAAGCGGATTGGAGCCGACCGCATGAGCTACTACCTGAACGAGGCGGCCACTGACCTGCGCGACATGCTGATGCCCGACCTGGCTGCGCAGGCCGAGAAGGCGAAGATGTAAGGTGTATGATATAGAGGTAGAGAACATAGATGTGGTTATTGTAGGTTAATGGGAAGACATTTGAACATCTAATCTTTAGCGTATACCGCGGATCTTGTAGACTGGAACAAACATCGTAGAGGCTCTCGTCTTCAGTCGTCCATCTCTTTATGAGATTGTATCTTGGCTCACGCCATCCTTTGTTACGGTCCATTCTTCCTGGTGTTGTTCGCGCATGACTGTCTGTGAGGAGTCATGAAGACTACAGACACCAATTTCTTCCATGTCCTCTCGGGAGATATCTCCACCTGGGTGGAGACGAACACTCGGTGTAGAGATTTTGATACTGGTTGAGGGGTAGAATGGAAGGAGGATTGTGGAGATGCACGACATAACTTCAGGCGGAACATAGCACAATAGCTGGTCTTTAGACAATATATACAAGGGTCCCATTCGTCGTATAGATAGTTTCATGCAGTATGTATTCAGAATCCCAGATCCTTTATGGTTGCACCTGCAGTATATCAGGTCAATTCGAAGATGCATCAGGGTATCACAGTCACGCTATACTAAACCAAGCAATCTCTCCAACACCAGCAAACCAACAAGCAAACTGAGACCCAGAAAGTCTGCGCTAATGAAACACGGAGAGAAGCTGTATACAATAAAACCAACTATATAGACATAGCCACCCAGTCCTAATCGTCCCATCCAACTCAAGCACTATCTTCTCCCTTGTTGCCAGCTTCGATTGCTGCAGGCCAACCCAACCCGAAAAGATCCGCCACCTCCTCCAGGTACATCACCGAACCTCCGCTGTCGACAAGGGCCGCTCCCAGGACCGCCTGCACGGTGGTCGCCATCACGTCCATCTGGCAACGCTCGTGGGGAAATTGCACTTGATCGGTGCTCCAACCTTGCGAGTAGAAATGGTGGGAGAGGGCATCTTTCATCGGCTCGATATGAGTGACGAACGAGGAGGACTGTTCGTCAGTCCATCCCTGGGCGCACAAGAAGTCGTAAAGTCTCTTCTCGGGAAGACTCAGGCTCGAGGGGTCGATGGGTGTGGAGGGAGTTTGACTTGGGTCTGGGAGACCAGGAGCAGACGGAGGGGTTTTCTTATGTGCTTCAACAGACATGTTAAGACTGGCAAATTCAATGAACAATAACCAGGGACGATGCCGTATGAGAACGGAGGTGGGAGCACCTCGACAAGATCTTCCGCATTGAGTATGACAAAGAACGACAGGGGGAACAACGCCGAGAGAGGCTTAATGTCAACAATTTACCTTCATGCCCGATTTGATGCTTAATGAGTAATAGCAGAATGCGAAAACGGTGTTGAAGGTGGGCATTTTTGACTGGCAGATGACAGTTTCACTATTTTATGGAGAACTATATTTTCGAGCAGTACCCGGAGTCGTTGGTGGTAATGGATGTTGGACGACTAATATAGGCCACCACGTAGGCAGTGCGATTTATACATCTACATAACCTTGCAGTAGTGCTGGCACATTCACAAGAACCAGGGTGATGCTGATCCTGATCTCCGCAACGGTTGTGTCTCGGGTATACTCCGTACCCGACCTCGGCACCGAGCATCAGGAGCTTCTCCACAGCCATAGCCTCATATACCACAAAGTCATTCATCCCAGGTAGCTCAACTGCAAGCAAACCACCATTTCAGACCTCACAATGCCCCAATTTCACTCTCCACCCCCCAAAACAACCCGCTATGCCCTCGCCTTCCCCAGCCCAGGCATCCTCCTGGTAACCATCACGCGCGAGAAGCGCATGAACTCCATCGACACCCAGGGCCACTGGGAGGGCGATGCCCTGTGGGCCTGGTTCGACGACGAGCCCTCCATGCGCGTGGCCATCATCACCGGCGCCGGGACAAAAGCTTTCTCCGCCGGCGCCGATCTCCTCGAGCAGCACGACCGCGCCCAATCCGCCGAGGACGAGGACCGCGTCGCGAAGCCCGTAGGCATGCCGCCGAGCGGCTTCGCCGGCATCAGTCGGCGGCGGGGGAAGAAGCCCATCATTGCGGCGGTGAATGGATTTGCACTTGGTGGGGGGTTTGAGATCTGCCTGAACTGGTACCAGCCCTTCCTTGTTTTATGGAACGCTTCCGGTTGAAGCTGTTGTGAATGAAGCTGCTAATGAAAACAGTGATATGATCGTTGCTTCGCCGACAGCCTCCTTCGCCCTGCCGGAGGTGGAACGAGGGCTGTACGCCGCGGCCGGTGGACTCGCACGCATTGTGCGCGAGGTCGGCATGCACGTAGGCAGCGAGCTCGCGCTGACGGGACGGCGGCTCAGCGCGCAGGAGGCGTTCGATCTGCGGCTGGTAAACGTCGTGTCGCGGTCGCCAGACACGCTGCTCGACGAGGCGATGCGCATGGCGAAAAAGGTGGCTAGTCTGTCGCCCGACGCGGTAATCGTCACACACGACGGCCTGCGCGAGGCCTGGGAGAGCGGCAGCGTCGAGCAGGCGTCGCGCGTCACGGATGGCCGGTATTTGCGGGCGTTGATGCAGTCGGAGAATTTGAAGATTGGGCTTGCGGCGTTTGCGATGAAGAAGGAGCCGAAGTGGGTGGATTCGAAGTTGTAGCTTCATACCTTACAGAGGTGTATTGAGTGCGGATTTTTGAAATGTATTGTTGTGTGGATATGTAGGCAACTATAGATGTGCGGTCCCGAATGAGAACAGGTTCCGCCCCGACTCCGTGTCATTCTGTACCCAGCCCGTCCGTCCGATCTGCTCCGCGCTCGTGCTGCTTAGTTCCTTCAGCGTCGCGGCGTCGGCGGCATTCGCGATGAACCGGTGTCCGTTCTCCAGTCTGCCGACCACGTAGCCCTCGCCGGGTGAACCGTCGCGCTGGAATTGCACGGTATATGTCTGCTAGAGTTAGAAAGGAGACTGGAATCAGTATGGGAAAGCGCACCTCAATGACTGCTGGTCCTGCGGCTTTGGCTGCAATCGGTGGCGGCGAGATGTCTTCCGCATACTCCGGCAAAGGATTCTGCGCTGGGTACGGGGATCCATCTGCGCGCGGCGCCGCAGACAGACACACCGTGTAGTGGTAGGAGAGGACGCCACCATTGGCCAACACGAGGCCCGTACGACCACGGCCGGCTCGGATGTCACGGACGACTTGTGTGATAGCCTGCCTTGGTCAGTATACTGGATGGTATGGTAGGGGACGGACGTACATGCAGAGAGTAATTGTTTCCCGCTCCGCCGAACGACGTCAACCCCCCGAGCACAGTCAACGGCCGGGCCTTGTACGTGATAGGCAGGTCGAGGTGGTATGCGGCCAGTTTGGGGACGATGGGGAAGCATCTATCTTATTAGCGGTGGAATGCAAGACCCAAACGGGGACATACGAGTAGAAGTCGTAGAGGTCAATGTCGTCTTTCTTCAGGCCGGAGACTCTAAGCGCTTCGTTGAGCGAGCTGGATATACTCGGGCTGAAGTAGAAGTTCGTCCGTTCCCAGACTGGAATCACATCAGTATAGTCCGTTCGGGTAGGTAGGCAACGTACAGTTCGCGGCGTCGCTAGTTCCAGCACCCCCGAGCGGATAGATCCAGCGGGATTCAGGGACACCCAGCTCGCGGGCATATCCCACCGAAGTGACGATGCAGGCGGCGGCGAGGTTGACCGTGTTGAAGGCGTTCATCAGCAGGGGGTCTACTCAGTATTAGTAGCGGTTGCAGTGCGCATTGCTCACGATGCACATACAAGGAGAGCAGATCATGCGGTTCTTCTTCGACACCGTGCCGATAGTGCTGGCCGTGTCGGCGGGCTTCCCATAGTTCCACGAAAGGGGATTCTTCGCTGCGATCTCTGCAAAGTTTGCATACAGCTCCGCCGACTCGCGGTGGTTCTCGGCGTAGGTCTGCTGTCGGAGGGCGCGGAAGCCAGCTTCGTACAGGGGGTATACCTGGATGGGCAGGCCGATGGAGTGGAGGGTGCCGAGGTCTACTTCGTCAGCGTGTTCACCACTGGGAGGGCACGTACGCACTATCACGCTGGGTGCGGTCCCAGATGGAAGAATGATCGTCCACCGGGGTCCAGTGCTTGGGAGGGAAGTTCTTCGCTGCTGCCAGCGCGGCCACTGCGGAAGTCAGACGGACCTCATGCTTGATATGCTTAGTGCAGGTGTACGAACAAGTTGCCAGCGCTTCACCACCCGTCACAACAGCCACACGACACTCTCCCTTAGACACCCGTCTGGCCGCCTCGTCGAGCAGCTTCGCCGGTGCGTTTCCGCCATGTCCGCTCTCATACTTGTGCACCGGACGCACGCCTAACCGGTCCGCGAGCAGATCCGTGATGTTCGGATAGGGCCAGGTCCAGTTCGCCACGACGTCGATGCTGTCAATTGCCGCGGTCAACTGCTCCTCGGGCACAGAGCTGTCGTCGATGGCCGCTGCAATAGCCTGCAGCATCAGATCGAGCGGCTCGTACGCATGTTCGGGCTTTCGAGAGGTGTTCTTGATATCCCCGACGCCGATTACGACAGGGGTTGAGTTTGAAGCGCGCGACATCTTGACCTGCAGTTACTGTATACAATGTAGATAGAGACAGGGGTATATGCACTTCGCCAATCTAATTGACCTAAATGCTCGTGATCCTCTATCTCCACCGTATCTCCTCCGGCTACGCGGTCTCCAGCCCGCTGGATCGACTTAGGCCGAGCAACCTCGGTAGTCGATCTCCGCCATCCTTCCACTTATGCACCGCATTGTAGGGACTCATAGAAAAGAAGGGCTCTGCATCATGTCAAGCAGAATGTACACTTCGCTGTTGCCTGATTGATTGACATTGCGAACCCTACACACATCCCAGCTTCTCCACCACAATGGCATCTCCACGTACGTCCAGACACCCCATATCCGAACAGGACTGACCAGTGCAGAGAAAATCCGCACCCCAGCTACGGATCTGCTTGGCATAAAGCACCCCGTACTGCTGGCCGGCATGTTCAACGTGGCCTCGCCGCGCCTCGCCGCCGCGGTGTCCAACGCCGGCGGGCTGGGTGTCATCGGCGGCGTGGCGTACACCCCCGAGAAGCTCCGCGAGGCGTTGGATGAGCTCAAGGGCTATCTCGTGGACAAGTCCGCGCCGTTCGGGGTGGACCTTCTCATTCCGCAGGTTGGCGGCAACGCCCGAAAGACCAAGTACTCCACGCCCCCTCCTCTAGGGATGTATAAACGTACGCAATGACAAGTTACGACTACTCCCACGGCAAGCTCGACGAGTTAATCGAAATCATCATCTCAAGCGGCGCGAAACTCTTCGTCTGCGCGGTAGGCGTTCCCCCGAAACGGGTCGTTGACCGCCGCTCTACATGAACATGATCGGACACCCGAAGCATGCGCAGAAAGCCATCGACGCCGGCGCGGATCTCCTCTGCGCCCAGGGCGGCGAGGGCGGCGGCCACACGGGCGAGATCCCCACAGTCGTGCTCATCCCGGCCGTGTCGCAGATCGTCCGCGGGCAGAAGAGCGCTTTCACAGGCCATGAGGTGCTCCTTGTCGCGGCGGGCGGCATGTTCAACGGGCAGACACTGGCAGCGGCGCTGATGCTGGGCGCCAGCGCGGTGTGGGTGGGCACGCGGTTCATCCTGGCCGAGGAGTCGGGGGCGTCGGAGATGCACAAGAAGGGGCTGGAGGAGGCGGGCTTTGACGATATTATCCGCACGACGGTGTTCTCGGGCCGGCCGTTGAATACGCGCACGACGCCGTATCTGCGGCGGTGGGAGGGCGAGCGCAAGGATGAGATGCTCGCGTTGCAGGCTAGGGGTGTTATTCCCATTGCACATGATATGGACACTAAGCCGGAGGATGATGAGGTCTTGGATAATGCGCACCCGGTGCTGATGGGCCGGGTCGCTGGGTTGGTGAATGAGCGGCTCACGGCGAAGCAGATTGTTGATGGGATGGTCGAGGAGGCTAATGCGTTGTTGATCCGCGGTGGGCAGATGGCGAGACTGTAGCGAGGGCTGTTGAGTTAGCTCGTTGGTGATGTAGATCTGTGCAGACATACGTACTTGATTTTATGCCTTTATCACCGTCTCTCTACTTCTATCCTACCTAGGTACTCCGTCCCGCCATTTCCATCACAGAAATGATGAATGAACGATGATATTCTACATCCTGACTGAACACGGACCTATATAAGAACACATACTAATAAATAATAATAGAGGCTGTCTCACTGGATGGCATCACCTGAACGCCTTTCCCTCATCGCCGGAATTTGAATAGTGTTCGAGGTATGCATCAACAACACTCATATCGCGATATATCTTTTAGAAGGCTCTAATGCAGGACTTGAAATACCACCTAACCAAAATAAAATTATGTCTTCTGGATCCCACTTGTCTTTGCTTATGCTTTAAGCAGGACTCCTCAGTTGCATGGATATTCATATGGTTCGATGATGTTAAACTATACAATCCAAACCTTCCTAGCCTTGAAAAGCATTGTCTACCAGGACCCAGACATTGCTAGAACAAAATGCGGATACACTTTGCTTGTGGTAATCTCAAAAGCGTCCTATCTACACGGCGAAGATTCCAGGCACTCAGACTAGAGCAGACAACAAGTTTCATACATTCAAGGTAGATTAGGTGCATCTACCCAGGTACCTGCCTCTCCAGTTATTCTGTACTTAAAAGACCATCCGTTGCGACGTCCTAGTAACCAGTCAGACCTAGGAAGTAACTACTCCCCTCGCTCGTAAGAAAGGAAACCCCACTAGACAAGTCCTGGCTCTTAAGTATATGCACCGATGATGTACAGGAAGGCGCAGACGACACAAAGAGAGCATAGATCACCCCCAACCCTCCCCCGTAGACTCTTCTTTCTCCTTCGTAACTGATCCTTCTCATTGTCTCGCCATTCTCAGCATCGTCACGTCTCTCTTATGCCATATGTGCCTCTCAGGGACTGTGAATGACTCCACAACCTGAATATCATCATCGAGGCAGGCTATGCAACCATCCCGTGTCAGCGGAGGAAGCAGCTTGCTCATCACCATCACCCTCTTTTCATGGGCCGTTTCAGTGCCATCCGAATGGACGCTCATCATTAAGGCAAGCGATGAACACTGTGGTAACTCGGACGGCCTTCGGCCTAAGACGACACCCCTACTTCTGATGCTCAGCTCCGGCTGACTTTTTAGGGGACTTATAAGTTCGACTGGGACAGGGAAACGATGGCAGGACATGCATAGGAAATGAGACTTATCCTTTCCGGCGGGCCTTTCAGTGCTGTCCGAACGGACGTACGCTCATCATCAAGGCAAGTGATGAACAACTGTGGTAACTCGTATAGGCTTTGCTGCTCAGCCCCGACTGACTTTTCAAGCTATGTAGCCAGTCGAATGTGACGAGGGATGGATATGATGGGATATCGATATGGGATGAGATGTAAGGGAGAACATACCTTGGTGATTGAAAGAGAAAGAGGGGAGAGCGCGGGACGAGAGAATAAAAGTTTGATCCCCATTGGTGCTCAGTGTCATAGTGCTGTGAGAATGACATGGTCCTTAAATATGGTATCAGACGTCTTTCCTATAGTTCGCATCTGGTATAAAAGCTCCTGTCCTTGCTCTGCCCAGTAAAGAGAAATACCTCCAATGTAAATACAATGTACACTTTCAGCAGTCTATAAAGAAAAATAGGACTGTCCGGTATCGATATCAACAAGACAATATTTCAAGAAGTATCTTAGCAAAACAAACTTCTACGTTTTAATATGGTCGATGATCTTATCCTTGGGTAAGACACTCTTAATCCTCGGTCAAATTGATGAGAAAGGCACCGTCTATACAGAATATAACTCGCTCTAAACTTTGCCCGAATTCCACTCGTCGTAGCTTCTTTGAATGCAGGTACTTTGGCTGATGTAAATCTTTTCTGTACTAAACCACAATATCAACGCTCAAATCAGTTGGCCACTTGGCCTGATCCACCCCGTTTCCTCTAGTCCCGACGTTATACTTCAGCTCCACCGCGTTATTCGCAAACTGCGCAACGGGCTTCGCCAGGATGAACGTCGCTCCAACCGCCTTGGACGTCCTCCGTTCAAAGAAGCCTGGATTGAAGAGAGCATCCTTGTCATGGGCATGCAGCAGCTTCAGCATCTCCGGAATTAGATGCTGCATCGTATGGTAGTGGCGAAATACTGGCGAGCCATGCCGCTGCCAGACCTCGTTCCATACGTCGGCGTTGTAGGTGCCGCAGGTTCGGACCAGCCATTGAGAGTAGTAGTTCAACGATGTCTAGCTTTGTTAAATTATAAAAATCTCTGGGCTCAAAAGGGACGTACATCCACGGCATAGCTTCCTCCCTTTTCGGCCCTCTGCATCAGGGCATCGAGAACACCACAGCAACCCATCACCCCGGTACTGTTTTGATCAGCGCCAGCCGCTAATCACAGAGAACAACCTACCAGTAGTCTGAATTGGGAAAGATGGGGGTGACGGCCTCATTGAGCCCCATCGCTTGTCCGTATGCGAGCGAAACGCCACAGCACTGGCCCCATGAGTACACCATCACAATCAATGACATAGTGGAATTGGGCCAACGTACCGCGTCACTGATCTGCTGCCATCCGCTGCGATGGCTCCACGGTCCATGCCAGCCATAGCAGTTCTCGCGAACATGAATGATACCGCGGTCTCTTCCGCGGACAAGATCGAATACCGCCTCGCGTCCGAAACCAAGGCGCTCCATAACTCCAGGACGGTATCCATCAACGACAACATCCGCATCCCGAATCAGCGCGCGGAGCTTCTCCTTGTCACCCTCATCCTTCAAATGCAGAAACGCATTCCACTTCCCCCAGTTCAGGTCCTGGTGCAATGCCGACAAGTCCGTCACATACGGTGAGGTCACACGCATCACGCTGGCGCCCAGCTCTGCCAGACTGCGACTGATAGTCGGGCCCGCAATCACGCGCGTCAAGTCGACGACCTTGAGTCCGGCGAGAGGGCGCCTGGGCGAAGACGGGAGCGTCGCGTTCTCGGGCCACCAGCTGGGCGGCTGTGTCGAGGCCCCGTCCCTGGTCAGCTCGTACAGTCCGGCCTTCCCGCTTTGCTGGCCGTGCTCGCTGGCGAGGTACTCGTCCACGCTCCAGGCGACGGTGCCCGCCTGCCGGTACTGCTCGTTCATTAGCTCGTCGAGGTCGGCGGCGGTGTACTGCTTGACGCGCGCTTGGATGCGCTCCACGATGGCGTCGTATGTGTCGTGGGGCTCGCCGTCTACGGGCAGGCCCAGTGCGGTTAGGGTTGGGTCGGGGTTCATGCTGCCTGTGGATATCAGGACGGCTTGTCTAGAAGGTAAGAGAGCGGTGGATACCGTGCGTGTGGTAGAACCGGCCGTCCTTGGTCTTGTAGATGTTCGTCACCAGTGTGCGGTGGAGAGTCCCCATCGCGCGGTGCTTGTCTTGGTTGGGGAAGAGTTTGTTCATGAGCTCTGCGCTAGAGTGACCAAACGGCTGGGGGTTGCCGTCGTCGCCGATGATTTGGGCGATGAGCGGAGACATGAAAAACAGGGATGCATGGTTGCTGTTGTCGTTAACAGCATGCTGAATCTTGGGTTCGGCTCAAACATACGTGTTGATCGTGACATCAACCGGCTCGGTCTTGTACTTCCGAGTAAGCAGGAGATTGATGAATGTAGCTTCGAGACCTTTGAGGGCGGAGATGCTCTCTCTGCAAAGCGCCAGTTAATGGGGATGCTAGGCTTGTCGTTTCCCTCGAAGTGGATCTTCTTGCCGAGGTCGTTCAGCTCGGCTGGGAGGTTGGCTAGATGGGGGTTTTTGAAGATGCCATCCTGTAGGAGGGTCTTGGCTTCGTGGGGCACGGAATAGTCGATGGAGCCCATTTGATCAGTCAATACAGTGACATAAAGCACAGAGATGCGGATAGAACGGGCACTGTTTATATGTTACGGTGGTGGACGATGAACAGGTGAGGTTATCCAGGCGCTCTCTTCATACAGCTGCATAAGCGACCCCGCATGATCTACCATAATAGCATGGAAGTATATTTCCTTTAGGAGAGAAAATCCTCATCTAAGCTTCCATCATAGTGCCATATTCTGCTGCCTACAGAGCTCTGTCAATGAATAGCATCCGAATAGGTTGTACATATATAGGCGCTTACTCTGCCAGACTCTCTTCATCTCACAAGGCCCTCCCGCCAATTCTCAAGAACAGCTTGGATCTTACGAGGCCTGAATTAGGCCTCCAATTAACTAGTCCGTGCGTAGTAAGTCTTGCTCGTCAGTCGATACGAGACTTTATTCGTCGACGTTCAGCCCCGAATACGAGCTATACATTTCTGGGCACACACTGCCATGGGCAGTCCAACGATCAAAACAAATATATAGACCGAAAATGTCGAAAGACAACTATCAACATTTCTATTTCTATCACTCAAAAATGAAAATAGATGCATTGTGTTGAAACTAACCCAGCACAGCCAGAATCCTCGACTACAGCCCTCAATCTGCTCCAACCATAGACCGCGCTTTGGAAATGAAAAAGTCGCGGCCCTTGACCAGCCGGACGAATATACTCCACGGGGTCACTCCAAAGAGCTGTCCGGTTCCTCCGTTTGCTCCAATCGGAACTACCATGAGCACACTGGAGCCCTGGCTGTATGTGCGTCTCTTCGGCAACCCTAGGATGTCGGCTTTCAGATTGGCAGCAACGACAGGCGCTTGCTCGTTCGCCTTGTAGCCCAGACGCATCGAGTGGATGGTGATGTCCCCCGCCCCGTAGATGGGCAAGACCTCGTTCTCGTCGCCTTGCACGCGAAGCTCGCTGTCGACCTTGAGCCAGCCGGCTTCGTCCAGCAGCCTTGGAGGAATAAACTCATTATTCGGATAGATCCCCGTGGTGGGGATGTAGAGATCCGTCTCCATCTTCTCGCCGTTGTCCAGCTCGACAGTCCATTTTTGGGTGTCTTTCGAGCGAGTCGCATTGACAACCTTGCGGGACGTGCCGAGCTTGACACCAAGTTTACTCAGAATAGATGCAGCAGCATCGCTACCGGATTTCTTCAGCACAGGAAGCACCCGCTCGGTCGCTGACACCAGCGTGACGGTCTGGTCTCGGCGCTTTTCCGCCGCCGCTTCTGCGATCTCCCCCGCCAGCTCCACACCTATGGGTCCTGCGCCGCCGATGACGATGCTCTTCGCCTCGGCGATCGCCTTTTGCGTCTCTTCAATCAGGCTCTGGACGTTGTCGCGGCCGGTCTGTTTGAAGGGGATTTGCATCTCGTTGGCGGGGTTTGTTGCGGCGGTGGTGCTGCCCGACGCGATGACCAGGTAGTCGAACGGCACAGTTTGCTGGTCGTCTACGGTGACGGTCTTTCCGTCTGTATCGAGCGATGTCGCATGTCCTTGGATGAACTCGAACACCTCCGACGGGTATTTGTCGAAGGCTGCGGCGAGCGGAATGAGATATTGGTCTGGCTGGAAGGCTTCGGGTTTCGCAAAGACCCGCGGCGCCGCGATCGGGAAATAAAAGGTGGGCGTCGGGTTGATTAGGATCACTTTGACGCGGTCGATGTCTTTGAGGACTGCATTTGCGATGGTGCAGCCTGCAAAGGAGCCGCCGATGATGGCGATTCTCACTGGGGAGCCCATCTTTGCTGTGGGAAGATGAGGGAGAAGATGAGGTTCAGGTTGGAATGTTGCACAGGGGCTGCCAAGAGATTCGGCCGATATTAGATATTCTCCGAAAGGTTGTCCGGTATAGGTCCCTACGGTATATATAAGGGATTGTTGGATCGCACCTCTGTTGATGGCTCTGAGGTGAGTAGAGCGATCAGACACTAGACATCGCCGCGTGAGAATTGAACCGCCAACTCAAGCAACGCATTCCATCGGGTGGTGGACGAGGGATATATATACCGCCTCTATACATCCGGAGTATATCAACAACAAACGTATCCCGGATGGCCCGGAGGTATGGTATCCTCTCTGCATTTTGACTTCATTCTAAGCAGGGGTCTACGGAAATTACCGGATGACTACGAAGAACCGTGACTAGGTACTTCCAGTCAACGAGCTTGTACGCTCTGTTCCTCTCCCATGCTAGACCGTAGTGCCAATCTCCTAGGGGATATCTTACTTTGCTTGGTGCTGAAAAACACGCACATCCAGAATATAGTTCTCGTTCTTTTAGCTACTATGCATTGAAACTGCTAGTAATTCATTGAGAATCTTGACAATGATGTCTAGCGGGATCAATTAAGTTCGATTGTAGTAGGCGAATATTTAGTACACCAAGTCTCGGCCTTGGTCCACCTAAGTAACCTGCCGCAGTTCCTTCTATCTCTATAAGATTGCTCGAGTAGATTTTCAATTAGTTAGAGATGCCTAAAGGCCTCTAATTCAGTGATGATCTCTTTTGATCGAGCCCAGGTGTGATCGACAGAGTTAAATCAAACAAGCATAGCGGGTGTTCGAGACTAGAGATTATATTCTTTCCACCTACTTCTTTACATGCCATGGGACGATAAATTAACGTAAAAAAGAACTATACCCTGGCTTAGATCAGCTAACACTTATGATTCCGGTCTGGTAGCCCTGTAAAAAAAAATGCTCCAGTAGGAAGCGTCACACCCACCCTGAGGCATTTCTAGTGCAAATTTCCACTAATATTGTCTCTGGGATTCAATTCCCACGGAAGTATTCGTTGCTTTTGCAAGCCCAAGCATATCTGGTCCTCCTTCCAATCCTGATCCTCACCTATTGATGACAGTTGTTACCTTCGAATGCAATCTGGCTTGAGAGCATGACCGCTTCAGAGACCTCAGGACTTCGCTCTCCGGCGGCACTGGAGCTGACTAGCATCTAGTAGGGCTTGGCTAAGACTAGCCTGCATGACAGTGAGTATCGCCAGCCCTAAAGGCCGCGCGATTTGCCGGCATTTGCGGGGCCGAGTTCTTCACGTTAAATTAAGTACCGGCGTATTTGGATATCCACCAATAAATGCCCCTTGGCCGGAGAAATGGCTTTTCTAGTATAGCCACAAGACCCTCTGGGCACGGAGGTCTTCCAGGCATCATGCTGGTGATAGTGGGACATTCAGGAGAAAACTAGTGCGGAGCAGGACATATATAACCAGCGGTCACGCCACCCAGATATCCAAACAACAGGCTCTTGTCAGCATTTGCCAGGTGATACGCGCGATCATGAAGTTCCCGGCTTTCATCACGGCGATCATAAGCATCGCTTCCCTGTCCTCTGCTATCAGCGTCTCTGGAGCCGCAGAGGGATTTGCAAAGGGCGTCACCGGTGGTGGCAGCGCAACTCCGGTGTATCCCAGCACCATCAGCGAGCTTGTATCTTACCTGAAGGATAGTCAACCGCGCGTGGTCGTGCTGACCAAAACGTGAGTAGCATCTGTTGATAGGAACCAGCGCTGCTGACTGACTGTCTGTTAGATTCGACTTCAGAGGCAGCGAAGGAACTACCACCGGGACGGGTTGTGCTCCCTGGGGTACGGCCTCGAACTGCCAGCTGGCCATCAACAAAGACAATTGGTGTACTAATTATCAGCCCAATGCGCCCTCTGCCTCGGTCTCCTAGTAAGTCACTTGACTATCCCCTGTCTCCCTCTTGTCTCCCCACACCAATGGCTAATGATGTTGCAGTGACAACGCCGGCGTCCTTGGGATTACTATCACTTCCGACAAGACCTTGATCGGCCAGGGGTCCAGTGGTGTGATCAAGGGCAAGGGTATTCGCATTGTCAGTGGGGCCAAGAATGTTATTATCCAGTGAGGCCAATGCATGCTTCAGTCGTGGGACGCTCGTTGACGGCGTATAGGAACATTGCAATCACCGATATCAACCCCAAGTATGTCTGGGGTGGTGATGCCATCACACTGAACAATTGCGATATGGTTTGGATTGACCATGTCACGGTATGATCTCTGGAATCAAAGTGAACATACAGCAGATACTAACACGAGATACACTACAGACTGCTCGCATCGGCCGCCAACACCTTGTCCTCGGTACCAGTGCCTCCAACCGAGTGACAGTCTCCAACTCGTACTTCAACGGAGTCTCAGACTATTCCGCAACATGCAATGGATACCATTACTGGGGCATCTACTTCGCCGGGTCCAACGACATGGTCACCCTGAAAGGGAACTACATATACCATATGAGCGGCAGAAGTCCCAAGGTCCAATCTAACACACTTCTCCACGCGGTGAGTTATGCCGACACCTTATGTTGAAAGTACCCTTCTAATAGTCACTAGGTCAACAACTACTGGTACGACATTTCCGGTCATGCCTTTGAGATTGGCGCAGGTGGCTATGTGCTAGCAGAAGGAAACGTGTTCCAGAACGTCCCCACCATTCTGGAGGAAGATGACGGCCAACTGTTTACCTCGCCTAACTCGAACACAAACCAGGTCTGTTCCACATACTTGGGCCATGTGTGCCAGGTGAATGGATTTGGAAGCTCCGGCACTTTCAGTTCCGCCGACACGGGCTTCTTGGTGAACTTCCAGGGCAAGAATGTTGCGTCTGCTTCGGCATACACTGTTGCACAGAGTAGTGTGCCGTCGAATGCTGGACAGGGCAAGCTGTGATACTGGCTATGGATGTCCTTTCAGCAGTGCACATATCATCTGTGTCCTGCCATATTTTTTGTCCCGATTCACACGGCCTACCTTGGCAGGCAGCGTATGTGTTTTACACTTGTTTACCCTCTCCAAATTGCCCTCAAATTGTCCTGAAATCGCTTTGAGTGATTAATTTACGCATCATGGACCGCATGAAAGAGGCCGAGCCATTGGTTCATCCCAAGCTCATGTATTCGGTTTCAGTCCCTACCAGAGAGACTCAGCAATTATCAAGCACTAATTAACCAGAACGGCTACCATGTAATCCCCTCAATCCTTTATCGCGGCTTCTTCGTTGTGCCTATAAGTGTCAAGTTAGTAAACTAGGACTTGTCCAAATATGGAGCATTATCAAACCGAAAAGGAGAGATATACTTTTGTTTCCTTAGAGACGCATCGTCGCCACTTTCAATACTGTCAATCACTGGATGTCTCTGAACACGCTTGTACGCATTGAACCAAGGGCCTTTAAACAGCGCATCGACTTCCTCGACACTCAGACCCGCCATCTCCGGCACCATCAAGAACACATAGACCAGTCCCAGGAAGCACCAGCCGGCGAAGAAGAGAAACGCCCCCCAGTTATCCGTGTTCTTGAGAAGCGACGGGATACTGTACTTGATGGCATAGATGAAGAGCCAGTGGAATGTTTGGCCGACCGAGCCACCGAACGAACGAATCCGGTTGGGCCAAAGCTCTCCCCCAAAGACGTATGGAAGGACCAAGAGTCCTGTTGTCGATCAGTAAACGCTGTCTAGCTCATCTACACCAGTAGTACTTACCGATGGCGTAGCCAAAAGCATGGAAAAAGAGTGCTGCCACCGCTGCCTGTGACGCACCAGAAGGGACAGAACCTTCTTGGTGGTACTTGATGAACACGCCAATGTAGATATGTGAGAGCAGCTGCACAGATATGCCGATAAATAGAGATCGGCGCCGTCCGAGGGCATCGATGAAGAAAAACGAGGCGAGGAGGGTGAAGAAGAACTTGGACAGGCAGTACATGCCGCTCAAGAACATGCTGCGATCGGTTCCTCCGCCCAGGCCGATGATACTCATGATCGGGACAAAGTAAGATGTCACGGAGTTGGCGCCTGACAGTTGAGCGAGGGCATATGAGATCAAGACTTGCTGAAGACGTCGCAGGTTGGAGGGAACGGTAAACGTCTCTTTGACGATTTCCGTAAAGCTGGCGCCCACTCCCCGCAGCGAATCCTCGATATCGTTGATCTCTTTCTGCAGGCGAGGGTGGTCCGAAGGCAGACATCGCACCTCGGACAACACCGCGATTGCATCGTCTCGTCGGCCCGTCATCATCAGCCACCTGGGGGATTCGCTGATGAAGAAGCTCGCGAGGACAGCGAGAGCCATGAAAATGGCCGGCGAGAACCAGACCACTTGGTACTGCAGTCGACCGGCAGGCATATGCAGATAAGCGCCATATACGCAAAAGACCGCGATGAATAGCGCGCTGCCCATGGCCACCGTGTACCAAGCTGTGAGCAAGCCGCGGATCTCCGCCGGTGCAATCTCAACGATAGACAACGGGCCCGTGACGCTGAGAGAGCCGATTCCTATGCCTGATATGATTCGCGCGGTGTATAGTGCAGCCCGATTCGGAGAGCACGTCGCGATGATCTGTCCCACGATCCAAATCGTAGCATAGAGACGAAACGACCATCGGCGACCAATTCGATCGTTGACGAAAAATGAGCAGGCCGCACCGACCGCATAGCCGATGTAGATGATTGAGATGAGATTCTGGACGTCGCTGGCCTTTGCGCCGGATTCAATATTATATTGCTTCTGGAAGCCTGGCAGCGAGGACACCACAGAGGTCGATCCCTGGTCCCAGGCTGGTGGCTGTCAGTCCACAACGTCCACGATTACCCACGACCTGCGGAGGGGGACTGACATGGCGGTAGGCCTGCCAAAGCGTAGACAGCGCAGGATATGAGCAGACGTGGATTGACCATCATCTCTCGTGGAGTTTCCCGAATACTGCGTGCATAGTTCGCCAGCACTGAGCGCGTAAATATTTCTTTGAAAGCCATTATCCTCTGGGGATTGACTATCAGGGAGGTCTAATTGATAAGTGAGCGGACATTTACCATATTTATAGACATGCTTCGTTTGTGTTTGATAGCGAAACCCACCATGTCCACTGACCGACTATATCGTGCTGATATCAGGATGGCGACCCCATCCGAGGCAGTTCGGAAGAATACGAAGAACGAATCGGACACAAAGAACTGGTACTTTATGACCTGTCGTAACTTAGTACTTATCCGGAAACTTCCGAGCACTGATTCAAGCATCTGAGCTGATACACCGCTTCGATCCCAGCCTGTATCTCGGCCTGTATCTCCAGAGTCCATGCGTATCATATTCCCCGCATTGACGATCATCATCAGTATCCACATCCACCGCCACTCCATCCCAACACATTGACGTTGCCCTCCAGGCAGTATGCCACCGACATTGGGCCCAAATACCCTGTTCAGGGTCAACCGGCGGCGGCGTGTTGCTGGAAGCCGAGCACGTCAGGCATGCATGAACTGCAAGGACAAGAAGCTGAAGGTACGTAATATGAACGTGGACCTTGTACCCTGGCGAATCCCATCCAGTGCGAATGTTGATCTTCTCCGGCAGTGTGACGAGGGCATTCCCGCCTGTGGCAATTGTAGTAGGACTGGTACCTGTAAGGGGGAGACTCCAGTAAAGTGATATGACACGTACGAGGCCGGCGGCTCATCTACCTCAACAGCCTGTCTTGTCCAAGACCCCCAGACCAAAAGACACCGTCCTCGCAACCACGTGGAATGGCTCGAGGAGCGCGTCGCCAGTCTAGAAGGTCGCGACCAACGGGACCCTTCAGACTCTTCGCAGACTCCCCGTTCGGTGACTTCATGCAACGACCCCGACAGCGCCCAGTCGAACGCCTGCACGCATGGGCGAGCGGACAGAGCGAACGATTTGGCCTCGAGAGTCGGCATGTTGGACTTCCGAACAACCCAGATGGAGCCGCAGTATCTAGGCTCTTCGTCCGCGTTCGCTTTCTCGCACATCATCAACCGCTCGCTCAGTCGGGATCTCCCCGTTGAACAAGGCTCAGGCGCCGTGGGTAACAGACGTCAGTCATCGCCGTCACCGTGTATGCTGCCTGAATATGATGTCGCAGTAGCGCTGAGTGATGCCTATTTCAAATACATTCATCCACAGTATCCCTTCCTCCATGAACCGACGTTCCGGGCATGGGAAACAACACTTTACTATCCACCTGAAGATTTCACCGCAGATAGCCTCCCTTCGGCAGCATTGTTCTTCCTCAACATGGTAAGCTCAGACAGAGCTACTTTGTAACTGGTCTGCTGATGCTGGATACAGGTGTATGCTGTCGCTGCTCTGCTCCAATCTAAAACCCAGTCCTCGGCTGAAGTGCGTTGGTTCCTCCCGCCGGATATATTCATTTCCTGAATACTAGAAGCTGATGATATCTAGCAATTCTACCTGTCCGCTCAGCTCTACGCCGACGTGCTATCGAATGATAACCTCAAGTCCATTCAAGCCCTGCTGTGCTACGCCATGTACTCTCTCCGCTCTCCGACTGGCCCATCCCTATGGTACGACCGGTTTCCACGCACTTGTGTTGGCAACAGTGTCTAATCGCCATCTAGGAAGATATCCGGCCTCGCACTGCGCCAATGTATCGAACTGGGCTACCACCGGGGCTCCAAGCGACTCGTCCCGACCGCCAATCCCCTCCAGCGAGAAATGCGAAAAAAGGTCTTTTGGGTTGCCCAGGGAATCGATTGCACCATCGCTCTGAGACTGGGCCGGCCTCTAGGTATTGCATTGCGGGAAGTGGACGCTGAGGTATTCAACTTCATTCAGACGTTCCATTGCAGATACTTGGCGCTAATTTCATTCCGCCTGTAGTTTCCGTCGGATGTCGACGACTCTTCCATCACGGAGGCTGGAATCACTTGTCCCTGCAGGACCGACAACAGTCAGCCGTTAACAACAATGTCGACCGCCATACATGTGTTCAAGCTCCGGCGCATCTGGAGTCGAATCCACACCTCGCTCTTCTCAGACGTATCCCGTTCAAATTTCGAAGCCGACGAATACGTTTCTCGGATTGAGCAACTACGGGCAGACCTGGACGACTGGCTGGCCACAGCCCCCCCGTCTCGGCCAGGGACGAAAGACGACCTGTCGATCTTTTCGATAAGCACCTGGTATGAATTGAACTATGACTACACGATACTCCTCCTCTACCGCGACCGACTAGCGGAGTATAAAGACTCGTCTCGTCGTATGTTCGACGAGTGCCTGCGAGCGTCCAGGAACATCTGCCAGGGTTATCGCCAGTTATATATCGGCACAGCCGTGCGGTACACCTGGGGAACTCTTCACTGTCTCTTCTTGGCTGGTTTGACATACCTGCATTGTCTTTGGACGTCGCCGACGATCCGGGCATCGGTGCGGCTAGAAGACGTGACTAAGACATGCACAGATTGCACCATGGTACTCGTGGCTATAGCTGAAGGATGGGATGGAGCAGCCCCCTACCGCGATACGTTCGAGGCTCTCGCCAATCGTACGGTGACCATGGTTATCAACAGATACCAAGAAGACCCGCCCCCACTCTCTCCGCCGGGTTCGTTCGATCTGTCTGGTGATGGGGACTGGGCACATTTGATATATGACATGGCCGAGGCTGGGGCTTTGGATGGGGTTGAGGGGCTTTCGGCGAGCTTTGTTAACAATTTCATTGTACAGCCTGATAGTGGAGGGAGTTTATAAAGTGAATATCAATGGTTTCTCCTTGTACATGAAAGGAAGACTCAATCTTGTTCTGCTCCAACGACCCCTTCTTGAGGAGCTTGATACTCGTCTTACAGCTTCTCCAATGGATTCTGCATATTATGAGTTTGACACTCCATTATCACATAAATGAGCTTACCTGCTTGAACTTGAAGTCTCGTTCTATCATAGAATCAGCACTCCGACCCGACTACGCAGCCACTTTGGGACTGGAACCCACCGGATGCCATTTCGAGCTTGGAAATTTCCCTCGGACCATTCTCTCCTTCGGACAGCCCGTTATTAGGTTTGCCTTGCACGGCAGTGCGCCACCTCCAGGACGAGGTGAACTGATCAGACACACGCTCGAGTTGGTTTTTTACATGCTATCACGCTTTCAGTGATTGAGGCCGGACGGTGCTGGGGTGCATGGACATACCTTGCCCAGGACAGGCAGAAATTTGAAGGCATGGCCCCTGTGTATACATTTAGTGAACTGACGAGGACTGGCAGATGAGTAGGGCAACTAACGAGCCACCTGTACAGATAAACAGGGTATCGGAATACCCAGGCACGTAATCAATTACGTACTATGTCGTTAGTAGGGAACGACAAGGCCTGGTGGCAACGATACTCACATCATTGTCGATACTGTCCGTATACCAACACAGCTAGGCCATTCAGTTAGTATGATCAAGTGAGCAAATTCTGCAAACGAACTCACACGACTATCCGAGAAGCCAAATTCTACCAACTCAGGAAAGCCTTGCGCAATAACCTCTTTCATGCGCGAGAGGCCATACAATGGCACCGTGTTAATGCGCTCGTCGGTGTACTTGGTTCGGGGTGTCGAAATCCGGCTATTTCTTGTCAGCTCATATGAACATTGTTCGAAGCACGAGACTTACAGATTCGGTTGCGTTGGATGGTCTCGGAAGTTGGTAAACTGTCTCGGTGGTGAGCATTAAGGTCATGAAGAGGCTTGGGACCATACCTTTCGACCGCGAAAGCCAAACTTGAGACGCCCTTGCTTCGAGATCGGGAATCCGCCACCTTGATAGTAACTATGATCATTCAGCCGCTGTTCTGGAGAGGAAGGGCATTGGGCAAAACTGGACTGACTTGTCTCCATCCCCCCTGCGGTAGGACCACACAGGGTAGTTATCGGGGTGGAATCTCTTCCAAAGGTCCTGTCTGTGTTTTGGAATGTCGATGAACATCAATATCCCTGCTGTCGCTTCCACTGTCTGGTGGGCTTCGGGGATGATGGATGCAGTCCAGCTGCCGGCTGTACGTTCGTCAGTCTCCGGTAGATGTATATAGAATATGGGTAGACTGAACCGGCTACGATGACAAGGTCTCCAAAATGACGAACTCCATCACAGGTCTGAATTCCGGCGACCTTATTGTTTACGCCATCATTCTCAATGATCAAGTTAGAAAGCTTTCCATGAGGGTCGCCCAGAATAAACTTGACTCCGGCTTGTTCACATAAGAATCTTGCGTAGACGCAGGCCTGGAACAGGTGAATTCGTATCAGTACAAATGAGAATACCAAAGCAGTTCCAACGTACTTTATCTGCGATTGTGATTCCTGCCTGGATATCGAGGAAACCATTGGTGTTTCCGCCGTTGATCTTGTCTATAACGTGATACTTTTCCGCCCATTTCGGATCAATCTCGCGGAGCCTTTTTTCATCGTCTGCATTTCCCTAATGATAGACAGTGTTAGCGTGAACCACAGTCATTAGCTGGCGAATGTAGCATTGGTACCTTGACAAATTGCATTTTGCGAAACTCCGGCGCCGTCTTAGCCATATTGTCCAAACTATCCGCATAGTAGTCTCTCATTTCCGCTCCCTCGGCCAGAAAATACGTCCCACAGTTATGGAAGACTTTATCCTCTGGAGTCAGCCCCTTGGGCAGGTCGGAGGCGCCAGCTTCGGCAATGGCTTTGTTCCATGCGACCCATGAATCTCTCGCCTCGATCGCCAGGTCCTGGTAACTACGCAAATATTAGCATTGTCGCCACACAAACCAGGAGCAACTCACTCGGTTCTGTCTGCGTAGGCCATGCGAAAGACTTTGTTGATGTCTGCTGAGGCGCCATCGCAGCCGTTGGAAGGATCATAGAAGTTCCGGTCAAAGGCACATCTATCAAACACGGTGACGTCTTTGTACCCGCCGCGTGCGAGCCATAGAGCAGTACTGAGGCCGAAGACGCCACCTCCGACGATAATGATTTTAGAGTCCTGTGAAGGCATGGCGGCTGAAGTGAGTCTGTGCAGCAGAATGTCAGTTGAGATTGTTGGAACTGCAGGGATCTCCTCACCGCTGGTATTTATCGGTGCTTTCGGTCTGAATAATCGTCATCTGTCGTATTCTTCCGAGCCGCCGGATATCGAGACTCGGCTTATCAGCATTTCCCGAGTTGCAGTCGGAAGTCACCGAGTAAGGAATTTATGGACATGCTATTTGGGATATATCGTCGGAAGTTATTATCATACCAAGTATCGGAACGAGTCTTTGTAGCCGGTGGGGAGCATCTGTTTGCTCCGTTCGTTAATGCTTCATACAGAAGTCACAACTCTATATACCAACTCACTCGGTAAAGTTCAGTCCGGCCTTAGGCTCAGCGATCTGCTCCGCTCGGACACGGAAAAGATCAGAGATACGCATTACTTATTATTTAACACGTAGGAACGTAACTAGATTTTCAATGGACGCCCAACTTACCGGATAGCTTACCACCTTGCATAAGCGCCTTGCTATGGCTCTCATGGATATCACCGCCTCAGGGGGAGCAAGCACATGTCTATCCATGGTTCGACATATATATAGAAGGTATCGGCTGCTTTCCCAGGCAATCAACCGTACGCGCCTCCAACCATGCCATTCTCCCTTCCGTATTTCCGGGATGCTCGTCAATTACCAGCGCCTCTTTCAGATCAGGATGATATTGAACGGGCAACACAAACCCTTCCCAAGGGATCAGACTACGGTGGGCGCCTGGTCGTGATCAGAGACACATATGTAGTGAAATATGGCTCCCCTTATGACCGAAAATGAGGGATATGCTCTTCTTTTTGTTGAAGAACGGCTCAACATCGCAGCGCCACGACTCTACGCCATGTACCGCGATCAGGACACCGTGTATATCATTATGGGATATGTTCCCGGCGTTTCGCTAGGAACGGTGTGGCCTTCGCTCACAGGCAAATAAAAATTTAATTGTCGGACAATTGCGATGCACCTTCGATGAAATGAGAGCGCTGCCATCGCCCGGATTCTACGGCAGTGTCAATCGAGGACCCATCCCCCACAGGTATTTCTTCTCTCGTGAAGGAGCTGCCGCCCCAGACGGAAAAAGAATTTGGAAAAGCCATCGCGCTTCGCTCACAAACCATGTGGAGCGAATCTAAGAGTCACAGCTTTCTCTCCGACTTTCTTGCCCGCCACCTCCCATATGCCCTGCGCAATCATCCGCCGACGTTCACCCACGGAGATCTCTACAAAGAGAATGTCCTCGTGAGGAAGGCTGCCAAGTCTGTCACGAATGATGAAAAGTATGAAGTAGCTGGTCTGGTGGACTGGGAAACGGCGGGATTGTATCCCTCGTACTGGGAATACGCGCATATATTCCCTTTATTGCAGTTGATTGACGACTGGCCGGAGTATACTGAGAATGTTCTTGATCCTTTGACCCTGGAGGGAGCCATGATGCGGTTTGTCTTTAGTGATCTGGAGTTCTAGACGTCGGATCCGGGATTCATCCTCGGCCGGTGCACCTGGTATAGCTAACACTATCCACTGCCTAGTAGCTTTTCCTCAAGTCAATTACATTTACACGAATGAAGGATACTATAAATATAATGAGTAAAGCAGGTAGAAGACCGGCCAGGAATACGGCCTTGAAATACTTTCGAACAGATGGTCTCCTCCGCCAGGAACTTCGCCCGGATGTACATCCGGACTGCATCCACGGCGGTTTCCGACGTGGAAGCTTGCCGATATGCTCAAAGGATCCTTCTCCACAGGCGTCGTTCTTTCTACTGAGTCTATTGGTTAGACCAACCTGCCAGCGCTGTCTTCATCAGACTAACTAACCTCGCTTCGCACGCTATATTCGTCTCTCCACCACCCTCCGCAGTCGGTGGTAGGGAACTGAATGGAAGATAACAATGACTGACTGCTAGAGACACACTTGGCTCTCGGATGTCGCTCTTGGGCCATACGTATGCCCTATCTGGTTGCATAATTCTTATAGTCCTGATGTCCGCCTCAATATCAAGAAGCATCGTCCAATCCACAAGACATACTAGAGCTCATTACGTTATATGAACCGGCCCTCCAGGTCATCTCCAACTATCTGTGTCGTTGAGACGATCCATCGATGGAGAAACGACGATATCGGCCAATGGCCTACAATTAGTCCCCCAGCTGGGGCCGACGATGCCAATCGAGCAAAACAGACGAGGTGGATGACTCTGGGGTTCTCCAGACGTCCTTCGCCCCATCCTCTCCACAAGAATGGAGTATGGGGCCGGATGTGAATCCGGGGATGGAGACGCTGTATGGATGTTGGGTGCAAAAGAAGACGCCTAGTGCGCTCGCACTCCCTCGAATGCTCTGGCCATTCTCTGATTCCTCCTCCATCACAATCATGAGCGACCACAGCAGTATCCTCCCAGAGACCCATACCCAAGCATCCGAGTTATACAATGCAGAAAGGAAACGCCGCGACTCGCACGCGGCAGACTCTGTCCACCATGGCAAAGTCACCGACGTCGAAGAACAGCTTACCGCGACAGGGGAGGCAAAATACCACCGTCTGGGCTGGAAACAGCTCACCCTCATGCTGGTAGTCCAAGCCATCGCGCTCGGCTCCCTCTCGATCCCTTCCGCCTTTGCACCGCTGGGCATGGTCGTCGGCGTCGTGTGCGTGGTCGGCATCGGCCTGATGGCCATCTACACATCCTACATCATCGGCCAGGTGAAGCTGGCCTTCCCGTCTGTGCAGCATTACGGCGACGCCGGCACGTTGCTGATGGGCCGGTTCGGGTACGAGCTGCTCTCCGCCGTCTTCATCATCCAGCTCGTCTTCGTCGTAGGCTCGCACTGTCTGACGGGGACCATCGCCTTGCGCATGATCACCGAAAGCACCCTCTGCTCCGTGGTGTTCGGCGTCGTCGCTGCCGTCGTCCTCTTCCTGTTCGCCATCCCGTCGTCCTTCGCCGACGTCACCATCCTCGGATACATCGACTTCGCCTCCATCGTCTCCGCTATCGGCATCACGATCGTCGCAACGGGCGTCCAGGCCGCCAACCAGCCCGGCGGCCTGGCCGCCGTACCCTGGACAGCGCTCCGTTCGCCGCACGTCACCTTCACGGACGTCTACATCGCCCTGGGCAACATCATCTTCGCGTACTCGTTCGCCGCGTGCCAGTTCTCCTTCATGAGCGAGATGCACACGCCCGCGGACTTCCCCAAGGCCATCCTCACGCTCGGCGTCCTGGAGATCTGCATCTACACCGTCACCGGGGCGACCATCTACGCCTTCGTCGGGCCGGACGTGCAGTCGCCCGCGCTGCTCTCCGCTGGCAGCACCATCAGCCGGGTTGCGTTCGGCGTGGCGCTGCCCGTCATCTTCATCTCGGGATCCATCAACACGATCGTCTCCGGGCGCATGGTGCACCATAGGCTGTACGCGGACAGCGTGACGCGGTATATCAACACGCGCAAGGGCTGGGCGACTTGGCTGGCGGTCGTTGCGGCCATCACGAGCGTCGCGTGGGTGATTGCCGAGGCGATTCCGTTCTTCGATGACCTGTTGTCTATTGCGTCGTCGCTGTTCACGTCTGGGTTCTCGTTCTATCTGCCGCCTGTTATGTGGTTTGTGCTTCTGCGGAGGGGGAAGTGGTATGCGCGGAGGAATTTGGGGTTGGCCCTGCTGAACGGGCTGGTGTGTCTGTTTGGTCTGGCTGTGCTGGTCTGCGGGCTGTACTCGAGCATTGAGGATATAGTGAGTGTTGTGTTGATTGTGGTTGACGGCTGATCTGCTGACTTCTATAGCGATACCGCTACCGCGCTGGGAAAGTTAGGAGTCCGTTTAGCTGTGCTGCGGTCTCATAGGTCTGCTTGTTCGATGTTGGTAGATTCGTGTAAATGGTGCAAAAGGGAGCCAGAGCTGCGAAGATCATGTAGCATTGTATGGATTATTGAATTGCGACATAGTTCTTGTATCGGTAGAATTTGTGTACCAACCTTGTACGAGAGCCTTACATACCTATGTACACTGGTGTCTAATGCAACCTCAAGCTGTAAGCTACACCTATCAACGTCTTAATATGCCAACGGCTGTGATATCACTTACAAAGAGAAAGAAAGTGGAACAATGCATGTAGCATCGTGTCAATAATACAACACAGCATATTGTTATTGTAAGTAGGGAATGCATCACAGATGAGTTTTAGATGAGATTTCGAATTAATTGCCACGATTGATTCGCCGACTGATGCAGATATGTAAGGGCAATGACAACAACTCTTGACGCATCCTTTCAACCTTTAGAGTGCGAGGCGAACTTCGCTAACTGCCAAAGCTGACCAGCCGCCTGCATAAGAAATATAGTGCAGGGAGTGCTTCGATTATGCATCGTAATCTCAGCTGAGCAAGCATCGACTCCTTGCGTATGATGCAGCCAGGCCACCAACCTTGTCCTCTAGGCCCGATGCATCTGCGCTTGCCCCTCCTATGAAACTAATACAATGTAGTCATTGGTACTCAATGCATCATGCGCAGATTCTTGGCATGGCCTTTCCGAGAATTGTATTCCCATAGTCTCGAGCCCAACATAAATCGGAGCAAGCAGAAGAATCTCCGTGGCGATCATCTGGGGTCTGGAGAAGGACCAATCAGACACTGTGCAGAAAAATATCCTCCTCCCGTCAGGGTTTGTCCGTGAACTCACCAGCCGATCCTGCACCGACTGTCGCGTGGGGATCGGTGGTTGCAGCCCCTTCAGCGGCAGGTGGCGTGGCCGACCGTTCAGCTGCGGATACTGTCAACTCGCTCACCTGGCGTTCTGTCTCTTGTCAGCATGCAGTTTTTCGGAGGATGGTGGTGAATGTATTGGGAGAGCTCACCTAGTTCACGGATGCGTTGGCGCAGGATCTGGTTCTCTCTGCCTAGCATAGCTGCCTCGGCTTGGTAGAACGCAGTCTCATCCCTGCTGCTCCGGCGAGTCTGACTTGGACTAGTCCCTGTGACCCACTCCAGCGTCTCCGGGCCCCGTGGATGATCGGCTAGGGGTCGGAGACTTGGGGGGGAAGCCGTTTGACTCGACGGACGGGACGGACGGCGGTGAGACAGGGACGATCGATTGCTTGTGCCTGAAAGGGGAGGGAGCGGAGGAACAGGCGGAATGGATGAAGAGCGATCCGATGGTGCGGAGTCATCGACGACGGTGCCGTGAGTGTTGTGTTGCTGCTGCTGGAGTTGCTGGAGCTGGGTTTGTTGACTACGAATCATCTGCAAGAGCCGGTTCTGAGCACAACAAAGTCATTAGCATCCAGAGACAAATGGTTTGCAAGAGCCGAGGTCAAAGCCAATGTAGCGCGTACCACTTGCGCTTCTTGTTCGTTTTCGAGCTCCTGATGCAACTCGCCCAACGACGGGGCCCGTTGGTGATGGGGATCGCCAGTGGTGATGATGGGGCTGCCTCCGAGACTCGACGGGCTGGATGTGCGAAATACATGGCGATGGTTGTCAGAGGTCGGCACAGAATCGTCGATGTGCTCCCCATCGCCTCCCCCAGATCGACGACGTTCGATGTCGACGATCTCCCACGGAGTCGCAGAGTATCGACGAGGACCGCGAGGGTTTCCTCTCCGATTCATATGGGACTGGTTGCTGGAGCCATTCATGTTCGCTGGTGTCCTGGGAGCAACGCTGGATGAGGCAGGTTGCGACGTGTTGGACGAAGAAGGACGATTCCGCGACTGTTGCGGGGAGGTGGAGGAGGGTCGAGAGGAGGGTCGAGAGGGAGGGAGAGAGTTGATATCCGGACACATGGTGAGGAGGAGGTATCCAGAGAGGGAACTATAACATAGGCGTGTACACTGATTGGGAGATGGAGGTCTGGAAACGGCGTAATGGAGAAGAGTTGTTCCTGGGCCGAAGAACGATCTACAACAGAATGATTGTTGTTGCAAAGCCATGATGAATTGCGCCGTCATTATTGAGAGGATGCAAGGCGGTGACCCCGTTCCAGCAGGCGGTGTCTATGCTGACACAGCAGGATTTCCCGATTGGGCTAGGCAGCATCCCGCTACCCGAAAACAGAAAGCGGCTTGTTACAGCCGCCAGATGGTATGCGGATCTCTGGCTAAATAATGCTCTGGAAGCAACACGGAATTGGTGCTCAGCCGATATTCATAGTGTTGCTATTTTGGCTGATCAGTTCAAGTCCGCAAATGTTTTCACATTTCCCAAACGGGGTACTTTACGTCTGTTATCGGCTACTAGAGCGTGATATATTCCAAGACAAGTACGCTCGATGCTCTGGCATGTGTAGAATCCAAACAGGTCTCGTGACAGACCGATACTATTTTAAATGCTATAACAGCCCGACCTGGCCCAATTCGGGTGGGCTCGGAATGGTCTAGAGTCGCGGCTGTTCTGCGACTACTTGCACTATAACGCTGTACTACACAGCGTGACAAAGTTCAGGCAGAGTCGGTGGAAGGATAAGGCGATACAATGCATCCGTGATAAGCCTAATCGGCGATCGGCTAAAGTCAACTCATTGGTTAACTTGGTTACTCCATCGTTCGATAACTTATAGTAGGAGTCTGGCCTGATCTACGGAGTAATATCGGTGTCGGTAGGGCTCTGACCCAAATCAGACCATCGTGTCTATCTGCCTAGAATGTAAGGGGGACATGTGATACCTGTCGATTCTCCTTGCATATCTGCCCCACGAGGGATTTGGAAATACGAGAATCCGATGCAATCGAACATTCTACGGTGAAACAAACGAGCTTCATGCTCTCAATGCAGCACAACCACTCGCAACAAGCCCTTTCTCATCGGCCGGATCTTACCTGAGGGCTCACCGGGCGACTCGGCGCGCTTGGCGATTGACTGGGCGCCGCTAGTTAGTTCGTCAGACAAGACCTTAGCCTCATGCGATGTTGCTTAATGTTGACGCGATCCCATGGTCCAACGCCGATGATCCTCGCTCCCGGACCTCGATCCTTTTCATGCGTATTGCGGCTTTTATTGACGTGAGGGATTTACGTGGGGGATATGCGCAACAGTTGCACCACTGTTGCTTGTCTGCGATGCGACTGTTGGGAGGTGGCTTGGGTGATTAGGTTGCATCTGATGATGAACGTGGCCGCAGATCGGAGGCGTTTCTATATTGTCTGGTTTCGCCTGCAACTGCACAGTTGTAAAGCCATTGCTCGATGATGATCATCCGGAGTATTATTTATTAACGGGGATTTTGTAACTTCGCCACTCTTTTGACACCAGGATCGTCATGTTGTACGTATCCTGGTGGAAGCACGTAGAGTGACACAGATCCACAGGACGGGTTGGATCTTCGAGAAGACCATTCTCCGTAGATTTAGGTTCAATGGTAGACAGAGGGCACAACCAGTAACTACAGTATAAGTTACCTGGTTCTTTCAAGATGAGGATGGACAACCAGGGTTAACTCCCATTGACGTCATAAGCGGCCTCTCCGGAAAGACTCGGTCAGCATCCCCGTGGGTGGACAAAGGCAGGGAAAAAGTAACATGGGGGCGCAAGCTGGAGTAACCTGAGAGAAAGGGCCAGCATCTTGCATCCTGCCTTTCTTTTTTTTCTGCCCCAAGTGGATCACCTCAAGATTTCTCTTACTTTTTGACTTCAGCCAAATGGGAACCCTGAGCCAACAAGCGCCACTCCGGCCTGCAAAGCTGGCTGGTTCCAGTCGGTAGGGATCCGACCGCCTCGGGACCGCCACGCAATCCTCCCATATGGTGACCGTCAATGCCGACTCCTTGCGTCGGGAACCCAGAACTTAACCCTAACCTCTGTCCGGGGTTGGGGGAGACCGGCTGTCCCTGATGTCGGGGAAGAGTGATGATCACTTTCTGATGTGTATTTTCCCTACTGTTATACCCATCAGGAACTCGTATTATTATGCAGCGGAGATGGGGACGACAGTCCTGTACACTGTGTGGGCCTGAATGCCGTCCGTCCCCATGTCATGCTTTCCCGAAGCGGGCATTCCTAGAGCGTCTCTCGGCCCAGAACGGCTTTTCTAGTGTGGTGGTACGGAGGACTCTCCCCCATTCTCTACCCCGGGTGGAGAAGCCGAAACCACCGATTCTCGTCTGATTGCGGGCACTTTCCTGCTGGCCCGTGGAGCCTGTTCCCGGTTTCCCACCAACAAGATGACCGCGTTATGATGTTAGGAGAAAAAAAAAATTTCTGGGAGGTCAACAGGGCTAGTGTGGCAACCGGTCCTGATCTCCTCCAATTGTCTGCTTTGAGGTGGAAAGAATGCTTGTCCCGATTTGGCATTTGATGGTCCGTGGGCCGTCCATCTCCGTCTGATACTGGGATCACGGGGGTGTCTGTCTAGTGGATAATTTACGAGCCCTGTATTCTGAGTACGGAGTATGCTTGCATCTGTTGATTGAATCGTATTAGTGTGGGGGATGTATGTCACCAAGATTAGGAGAAAACTCGCAGGAGAGGATGGGAGGACCGAGGTCGATGTCCATCGTCGAAGCATGTCACATAGACTCGGATCCCGAAAGGGATGAAAAGATGCACATCCAAATCCAAATCCAATCTCGATCACCCACGATCAGCCATGTGGTCGGAGTTATGCGCATGTCGCCTAGACTCCATATTTGATCTTCTATCGGAACGAACCAGGTTACTGGCGAAAGACAAGGTAGCATCGGTGGACTGGTGGCTGAGGCGATGTAGTCTGGAGCATGTCCCTCGTGGACGCACTCCCCCAAAGTGACCTCGTCCTGTAGGCAAAAATACATGGAGGAGCAGGTACCGGTTGGGGATTACTGACACATCAGTACAAGCTGGGCCACCCCCAGACCGTTCTTTTTCCTTTTCTGGGGTTCCTGCCTAATCGAGAAGACCCTGACCCTCTTCCTCTCTTGCCCTTTTTCTTTTCCTTTCTCTCTCTTCTTTTCTTCTTAACTTCTCATCTCTCCCCGTCTGACTCCGTCTTTCTTTCTCTCTTCTCTCACCACACTTTCTTCTTCTTCTCGATCGTGATCTTCTTCACATACAACTAAATCCTCCTTGAACCTTTCACACCTTCCACACCTTCTGCTTAACCTCACACAAACCCTCTGTGCCTGATCTCTGGTCACCACAGACTTACCCTGGTGAGTGTCACAATCCTCATGTTACACTGCGTTTTGTCAACCCGAGCAAATATTTCTTCCCCATACCTTCTTCCTTCCCTCTCTCCCTTCACGCTTTGCATGCCGTGACTTTCTTGCTAACCTGACTCCAAGAGCCCACCATGGCTTCTCCACCTCCTGGAAAGGACTTCGGCACGGAGGATAAACTCCACGAGTCTGAAGTTTCCTCCTCTTCTCAGGCCGATGCGGCCATTGACCCCGCGACGGAAAAGCCGCGCAGAACTGAGCTGGGACTCGCAAATGATCCTGCTACCACCCTCCATCAATTGGAGCATACGTCAGACAAGGTCGAGCTGACCGAAGATGAGTGCTATGAGCAGCTCGGCTATTCCTTTCCCAGCTGGCGCAAGTGGATGATCATCTCCGTCATCTTTCTTGTGCAGACCTCCATGAACTTCAACACCAGCCTGTATTCCAACGCTCTGACTGGCATCTCCGAAGAGTTTGGTGTCAGTATGCAGGCCGCTCGCTGCGGTGCCATGATCTTCCTTGTCCTCTACGCGTTCGGTTGCGAACTCTGGGCCCCATGGAGTGAAGAGCTTGGTCGCAAGCCCATCCTGCAAGCCAGTCTGTTTCTGGTGAATATCTGGCAGCTTCCCGTTGCCCTTGCCCCGAATTTTGCCTCGATCATGGTGGGTCGTGCTCTGGGTGGTCTTAGTTCTGCAGGTGGTTCTGTCACTCTCGGAATGATTGCAGACCTTTGGGAAGCCGATGATCAGCAGTATGCGGTGGCCTGTGTCGTGTTTTCCTCTGTCGGTGGATCGGTCATTGGTCCCGTGGTCGGTGGATTTGTCGAAGCGTATCTGCCCTGGCGCTGGAATATCTGGATCCAGCTCATCTTTGGCGGTTTTGTTCAAATCGCTCATCTCCTCCTTGTCCCGGAGACGCGCACTACCATCCTGATGGACCGCATCGCTAAGAAGAAGCGCGAGAGTGGCGAAAACCCCAACCTCTATGGGCCTAACGAACTCGTCCCCTTCAAGGAACGCTTCTCCATGAGAGAGATCTTGCTCACCTGGGTCCGTCCGTTCAAGATGTTTCTCACCGAGCCGATTGTGCTCTGTCTGTCGCTTCTCAGCGGTTTCAGTGACGCTCTTATTTTCATGTTTATCCAGTCTTTCGGCCTCGTGTATAAACAGTGGAACTTCAGCACCGTGGCTTTGGGTCTCTCGTTCCTCCCCATTCTTGTTGGCTACTTCATTGCCTGGGCCTCCTTCATTCCGGCCATCAAACGAAACATCGCTGAGCGCAAACGGAAGCCAGAGGACGAGCATACACAGTACGAATCCCGGCTCTGGTGGTTACTCTATACTGTCCCATGTCTCCCTATTGGCCTGATCGGATTTGCGTGGACGAGCCTGCCCCAGTGCCACTGGATTGGAACCATGGTCTTTTCGGCTATTGTTGGAATTGCCAACTACAGTATCTACATGGCGACCATTGACTACATGATCTGTGCATACGGTCCGTATTCTGCCTCCGCGACTGGTGGCAATGGATGGGCCAGAGACTTTTTGGCCGGTGTGCTCACCATTCCCGCGACGCCTTTCTTCACCAGTAAGTTGTGTAGCTCCTCCCCCCAGCTCTGGATCGCATCTCACCATCGCTAGATATCGGCGGCAAATACCACCTCGAATACGCCTCCACCATCCTCTGTAAGTTCCATTCAACCTGCCTGTTCCACCTCCGTCTCACAAACGTCTAGTTTGCATCTCCTTCGTCCTGGTAATTGCTGTTTACGTGATCTACTGGTATGGGCCAACTCTCCGCAAGAGATCGCCATTCGCCCAGCAGCTCTCCGATGCCCGCGCCGAAGTCTTGCACAACTCTGGACGACGCCTTTCCCACATCCCGACCTCACGGGCAAACTCTTTTGCTCGATCCCAGCAGAATCTGCGCGTTCGGCAGGCTCTGGGGAGCCGAGCCGGCAGCTATGTGGCCTCCCGGCCCGCCTCCCAAGCGAATTCTCGTGTGGCCTCTCGCCGGAATAGTGTGATCCAGTGATCCGGCACACTTGACATTGAAAGTCGTCGGCTTGGAATAGACCGACTCGCATGTTGATGATGTTACGATCAAATGAATTACGAGATTGACACCTGCTCCCGCGACAACCGCATGGCTGCCTCGAGGTGGAAGTCGGTTTCTGTGTCCGGAAACAGGTCCCAGGTCGCCGACCTGTTTCTTTTGAATTCTTTCATCTGTCATCCACGACATGCGGTTACAGTTAATGCGTTAATGCCCTTTGCCTTCCTCCTGACTCGTGCAAAAAGCGTGATTCCCCAAGGAGATGCGTGCTTTAGGATCCCTCGACCGGTCTCACTCTATGTTCTATCACTCCTCTGTGGCGTTTTGCTTCTTTTTTTCCCTGTTGAACTCCTTTTCGTGTGTACGTATTTTGCGCGGTCCTAGACCTTTCCCGGACGGAAAAGGCGTCGGCTTGTGAGGCCCAACTTTGTTCAAGGCTGGACCTTTAGAACTTAATGGAACGCCAGATAGTGGATGTATCATGGACGATCCTTTTGCTCGCGTCATTGACTCCTAGTTGTCTCTGCGATGTAACCCTCCGCGCCGAGACTGATCTAGATCTGCCACATCCAAAATCCGGGGACCCAAGCGATCTCCGGACCAATGCGGGCTGCCTGGATGCAATGTAGCGCGGGGAGATCGGAAGTTGTAATGAGCCGCGCGGAGAGGAATGGCTGTTAGTATTGCTGGTTCCGGCAGATCGGTTCCTACGTAGGTAGCTAGCTAGCGATGTCGACTAGACCATTTCCGTCGTTCTGGAATCTTTGCTGGAAGCTCGAAGCCAAGACGAACAGTGGCATGGTCCATTTCCTAAACACTAGCGATCGTCGAGTTGGTTCCTTACTGTTCGGAGATAGATACCTATCTTAGGTAGTGGGATGAGGTCTTTCGTCATCATCATGTGACCTCGGGCGGCCAGTCTGTCGCCAAGCATATTGTGTTTGCTTGTGTCCAGGATTGTTGCTTGAATACCTCTCTACCCTCCAGCATGGAAGCCGCCGTCAGGTCTTTTCAACTCCGCCGCCGAGGGTTCGTATCTCGTCTTCCGTCGCTTTGTGCCCGACGCGCTCCGCCATCGACAGTGGTTCTCCGGGCTTACGCTTCACGCTCTTCCATCACCAACAGCCACTCTATCCATCCTCAGACTCCCCGATCACCTCGCACACTTCCCGCCCCACGCTTATTCTCAACTATGACTACAATTCAGCCGCGGTTCGCCGAGGGCGCCGACACGAGTGACACGCGCGCAGGGTTGGATGCAATCATCCAGCGCGGATGGGCGCTCGACGAGGAGGGCATGGGGATTAAAAAGACGTTTTACTTCAAGTCCTACTTCAAGGCAGTGGTAGGTCTTTATCGCGGAGGGGATATCCGGGATAGTGACGGAATGCTGAATGAGTGGCAGAGCTTCGTGAATGTTATCGCATCCCAGAGCACCAGCAAGAAGCACCATGCTACTATGACCCTTGTAAGTGGAATCCGCTCACGCCCCTTCCCGAGTAAACGAACATGGACTCCTGCTAAGTGATTTCCCGGCGACAGCGAATTGGCTCGGTCGACATCCATTGGACCACTCACCAGCCCCGGGGTCTCACCGATAAGGATCTCACCATGGCGCAGTTCTGTGAAGAGGCCGCGCAGTTGATGGGCGCGGTGGAGGAGGGACAGGGCAAGAAGTGCGGGCCGGGGCCTAGTGGCGCGTAGTATCTCGTCGGGTATAGTTGCAATGTGTATAAGACTGTATATTGGATTGTTGTGATAGCTGTGGCATCTAGGGCTGATCAGGTACCTATTGAACCTGCTGCGAGTCAGGTGTGATGACGATCCGCTTAGTCAGGGAGATTAGTCATGGCGGAAGCAAGTCGCGGAACTCCACCGCATTTCGGAACCGACAGGAACAAAACAAACACAGTGAAGCTCATCCTTCATACACGCCAACAACGTCCTTGCGATGGAATGGTGATCACACCGCTCATGCAAGCCTTTGTGATGAATCCTGCGGAATGCGTGTCTCACACGGAAGTCTGCAGATGCCATCATCAACGGCCTCGTGCGCCTCCCCAAGGATCACCATCGCTTAACTAGGATGAGGGGACTAAGTCCAATTAGCGGAAAACCGTTATCCGGAGTGGAGACCTTCGAGGGGTCAATTCAATCGATTCAGGGGCGTCCACGAGCAAACTGGGCGCCGTGATGGGCAAATCACCGTCTCGCGTCATGGGTCAACAATTGGGCGTCCCCTATTCTTCCAACACCACGGCTTCCGCGGGTAGTGAAATATCGTTTCGAATGGCATCATCCGGTTGTTGACCTCGGATCGGGTCCCATCAACTCCTTTATCCTCCCTCTCCACTCAGGGGTTTCGCTTGTGGACAACGGTTTCAGATCTTCGCACGCCCTAGGCTCCCGGCGAGCTGGCTTAGTCGCGAGCTAGTCCGGTGGATTGGCACGTCCAATTTAGCTTTAACACAAAGGGTAAAAAATCATTCCCCTGGAGATTGACTCGACTGTGCCCGGCCTGGACGATTTCTCGCGTGGAGTCAACCTTTCTCCTGACTCCCATCTCCCATCTTGCCCCCTCGGCACATTTCACGCTCATGAGGCAAACAATGACCTCATGTAACTCGGGGGAGTAACCGCTTGCCCTGTTGACGGTCATGATCACGGCCGAGCCATAATCCTTTGACGTTGGTGTACCACTCTTTGGATCCCCGGGCCAAATCCACCTCCACACCACACGACATCAACGGACGGTCCACAGGCAACGCCTCCTCGGGAGTATCTCGCCGGTCTGCATTCGACCAACCCCTCTACAGCCCTCGCCCTCTGATCAATGCACGATCTCCGACCCAGCGCCTTCTCCAACGTGCCATTCCATTTGTCCCAGTGTAGTCTGTGGAGTAACACGACCCATACGGAGCCATCACCTTTGCGTCCGATTCCTATCTGCCTCTTGATCCACCGATATATGTTCAGACGCTCGATGCGGATCCTGTTTCAGTTTACGCTTCGCGAAGGTCACTAGGCGTGGGAGAGCCTGTATCTGTCGCATCCGCTGTGACCTTCATTCACCCGACACACTCCGGGTAGACTGCGTCTGCAAGACCGCCCTTGGCATTCCATAATGTCATTGAATATCCCTCATCCGAAGCCATCAGTCGGCGAGCGCAGAGGGCACCGACTGGCGCCCCTGCAGACGAATTTCAGCCGGCCTACATCACAAGCAGTTGCGGTTCCTGCGCGCCCTCCACGACCATACAGACCCCGACCGGAAGAATACCCAGAGATTGCTGAGCAAGTCGACCGGGTGCCATTGCAGCCCAATGTGAAGCGGCAATCATCCAAGTCCGGACTTCGCAGCCTCTTTGGCCGCGACAAGCCTCGCAAGTCAGATACTAAGCTCCCTCACATCAACGAGTTGAAGCATCCCACGACCCACCCAACACCATCTCGATCCACTACCATGACCGACTCACCCTCGTGTGCTACGCCGAAAACTCTCATCTCCCACTCCCTGGTGGCCTCCCCTACATCCGAATCACACCACTCGATACCTCCTCCAGCCAGAAATCATACCCATTCGATTGAAGACCGGTCTACAGTGAGTGACACGGTCTGGAAACCTCCACCCTTGTTCCAAGCCTACCCGCAGGCCATTAAGCATGACAGTCTCCCTGCACCTGCACTATCGGCAGACTCCATCTTGCGTTTTCAGGGCTCGAATGCGAAGAGCAGCTCCCGAGACGAAGACCGCCAGGGCGGCCATCCCCACAGAGGCGATACCGCGGAAGACTTGGCGGCTCGCATGAAGAAGGAGGAAAAGGAGAAATCGAAGCACATGCGCTCTCTTTCGGAGACGATCGGGAAGTCTGAATGGACGCAAAAGGTATACATCCTCTCGACCTCGGGCTACATCCTGCAGTACGCCGGCAGTGGCAAGCATGACCGGTTACCAGAGAAGATGCTGTTGTTGGGACCGAAATCCGTCGCGTTTGCCAGCGACGCAATTCCCGGCCGCCATTGGGTCCTCCAAGTATCCCAGGCCTCAGAGGAGGATGGAGCTGCTGTTGATTCGTCGCGTCATCGCTTCTCGCGTTTCGGCTTCCACCGCTCTCATGCGCGCCGCCTGGCTCGCAGCTTCTTGCTCATCTTCAACAATCCCGAAGACCTCAGCTCATGGCTGCTTGCGGTGCGTGCTCAGATCGAGGCCCGTGGTGGGAAGAAGTACGTATCGGAGAAATTATATGACGAGGAATTGGAGCATCAACTGCACCCCAAGACCAGCACGCGACAACTGGTTAAAAGAGATCCCAACAGATTTTCCCAGGTTTACCTACAACCGCAGCTGGTTGTCACCGATTCAAAAGATGTAAACCGAAGCGACCAGTCCCTCCGGAGCTCGCCTGTTTCGTCCAATCCCCCGGTCGACATCCAACCTAACTCGGAATCTCGCTCCGCGTCGGTATCTACCACGCATACAGAAATGACTGCAGCGAGTGCAGGTCAGCCGCGTTTCTACACTGCAGTCCCTCCACCGAACGCGAACCCCGCCTCACCACCGAACGGCAGTGCCATATCAGCCGTCCTAACTGCTCTTGATGTTCCCGCGTCTCCAACCGTTGCCAGCCCGAGAAAGCGACAGTCGTTGTATCTACCCAAGATATCTGACACACCAGAGTCCTCAGACCAGCTGCGATCACAGTCGACAGTACCGGGAGCCGGTTATTCGAAGCACATCACCGCCGGCCCCGAATTTCAGCGTGCCCTCATTCAGTCGAAGATTTGCTGCGAAAACACCCCGACCCCCTCCCTCCCAGTCCCATGGGCCTGCCAGCCCTAGTGAAGAGCATAACTCGACCACTACTGCCCTGTCTTACTTCCCTTCTCCACCATTATCTCCAGTCAAGAGCATAGATAGTCTTGCGTGGAGCGAGTCGCCAGACCAACACCCAGCATTTCAGACGCTGCCTAGGAGGCGATCGCTGCGCGCATCTAACTCCGAGGCTTCTCTGGCTGACCCCGCGCGGATGCAGAGCCGCAAGCTTCACCGCATGTCGAGACTTGCCAGCCGGCACGATACGGCTGCGTCTGGCACCCCCGAGTCACGACCACTGAGTCTCGTCAGCGACGGATGTGTAGAAGACGCCATCCAGCTCCCTGCTCAACTGCCACCAGAACCCGGAAGCACATCGCACCGCCGGGAACAGCAACGGAACCGAGTCTCCATGCTTCGCACTGTCGACGGGGACGGCCGCGCTGGCGCAGCTGTGTCACGGCGCAAAAGCCTGCCGGGGCTTGCAATCGGTCCACCCAGCGCTCCCCCTCCGAACTGCCCGCTGCCTAAAATTCCATCCCCGGGCGACGCTCCCACTGCGGCTCTGCCCGACCTGCCTTCCCCTGATCGAAACTCCTGCAAATCACCACCATTGGCTGGTGCGCGTCCGCGTCGGAAAAGCGTCGTGAGCACGATGCCGCGCATCGCTCCTGTTCCGCCGCCTCCCAGCATTGGTTCGCGGCAGTCACATGTTCTCACATAGCCTGAACCTTGAGGCCAGCGAACCGCTGCCGTTTATTTCTATGATCATATATTACTATCGCTAACATGCACGTGGCTTTGACAGTCGATGCGTGTGAAAAGTGTAGCTATACCGCATGTGCTATCTCATTTCCTTGCATGTTACCATTGATACCAATCCGTTCGTTGCATATACTTGACTCTGCTGTGGGTGATTATTGTTTATGTTTTTTATGCATTCGTTCAGCGAGTTTATCGGCATGTTGCCGCATTTATATACATGCCTTTCTGGCTGTTCATACGTTATATCTGTACATAGAGCAATTGACTCATAGACCATGGTGACTGTCACGATGTAGTATACTTGTAGGTCTAGTCATAACACTGCGGGTTAAGAAGTAGATGCTACCGCAGACTCGTACTCGACAGCCACTCTTGGAATTTGACCAGGGCTTTGTATCGATGGGACAGCCCATTCTATATGGGCTTCTGTCAGCTCCATCTCCCAATCCCGGCAGCGAGTGTATTACCTTGATTTCATGATCCATTTCTGCCAGCGTCGACCCCTGATACTCAAATATAGGTTCCCAACCTGCCACGTCAGTAATCCGCATCCACAAACCAGGTGAAAAACTGGATAGTCTTACCAAAAACCGGCGGCCCCCGCGGCGGAACAATAACACCCGTGATCCTCCCCTGGAACAACAGCGGTTGTCTTCCAGGCCCAGGCGAATACCCAAAGGTGCACACTGCCTCAGCCGTGCGGTCATCAAACCCGTCTAGTAGACGGTTCAGCCCGTCGTTTCCGAGCGCTTCAAAGAAGTATTTACTTCAATTCGATTAGTTTATTCCACGGCCTGTTAGCATGTCATGGAAAAGATGAACGAACACGTATGGCCCCGGCAATCCCTTCATCGCGCGAAACTCCAGCGCCGAGTCCTCGACCAGGACTGGTCCTTGGATCTTTCCGTCTGGTGGTTAGTATATACTGGAAGGGAAGGGGCTGTAATGAGGGGAGACGCACGATCTCAGCAGCCCGCCGGCATTTGGCGATGGCTATCTCTTCGAGGGATCCCTGGATCTCGGGGATGTCGAGGGCGCGGTGCGTGAGAGAGATGGTGTTGGGGAGGATGGCGGTTACTTCGAGCAGTTTGTTGGGGTTGGAGGTTATGAAGGTTATAGGGGGCATTTTGTGGTTGGTGATAGTGGCAAGTGGCAAGTGGTGGTGGTGTGGGTGATTGTGGTGTTTTGGGTTATCTTATCAGCTGTGTTAGTGGGGCGTTACTATTTCATACTATGCTATCTTCAGTTGTGTACGGAGTATAGCCTTCGTTCCCTGGCTGATAGGGCTGATTGACCCGGGTACCAGGTCTACATGTCCTATCAAGCCCTCCAGCCTTCAATATGAGGTAACTCCAGTCCAGAGGCCTTTGGGACGGTACAGTAAACCCAGATAGGAACCTCTCTTACCTTGAGATAATGGATGGGCGAGATGGAGACACCCATGCACTGGTAGTATGTGGGAGAGGGATTCCTGTATTGGGAGAGTGGAGACGTTTGTACAAGTTAACGCTCATGGGGTGGAAGTGATTAAGAGGGAACAATTGACGTGGTATCGAGTTGTTACTAGGTAAATGGAGACTCGTATTGTCTCCCGCGGACTTCGTATAACTTGCGTGAGTCAAGATGGGCCTCTGGAAGATGTCACACATAGGGCGTGGCTTGGCTGTATCCATCTGCCGAGTACACCATCCAAGCATCTATATAAAGCTCGTCAGCAGCCCGCGCTCCGCGTTGATACAAAGACCCTTCTCTCTACAACTGTCAATTGTCATTCAGCAACCATGGTTAAATTGGATACTTTCGAGATCGACCATGTAAGCTTCATTTAGCCCTCAGATCCGGACGATTCAATTATATCTAACTGTCGACAGTGGGTTCTCACTCGCAGCCCGGGAGCAAAGCACAACCTGGCACACTCTTACGTCCGCCCAATCTCGTTGCATGACCTGGAAACACTCTCCTTCGATGGAAGAAGCGATGCCAATATTCTCAAGTCTATCCAGCAAATCCCTCTCGACTATGGCTCCTCCTTCAAAGGGCTCCCCCGGGTACGAGAGAATATCTCTCGCCTCTACCCCGTGGAAAACGGACATCTCTCCCCAGAACACATCCTAACCACGCCCGGCGCATCCTTGGCCAATCTTCTAATCTACCTGGCCCTCATCGGACCGGGAGACCATGTCATCGTCCAGTATCCCACCTACCAGCAGCTCTACTCGGTCCCCGCCGCCTTAGGAGCCGACGTCTGTTTGTGGCGAGCCAACCAAGAAGATGGATGGGGGTTAGACCTAGAAGAGCTGAAAGGTCTGATTCGACCAAACACCAAGATGATCGTGTTAAAGTGAGTCGTTCCCCTGATCCCCAGAGGAACAAAGATCTCACACAAGACCGGCCAGTAATCCGCAAAACCCTACCGGAGCCATCTTGGGAAAAAGCACCCTGGAGAAGATCGTCGAGATCGCCAAAGCAAACAGCATTATTATACTTAGCGACGAGATCTACCGTCCGATCTTCCAATCCCCTCCCCACGGAGACGCCGACTATCCACCCTCGATCCTCTCCATGGGATACGCCAACGTCGTCGCAACAAGCTCTCTTTCCAAGATGTATTCTCTGGCTGGTATCCGCGTCGGCTGGATAGCAAGCAATAGCCCCTCGATTATCGACCTGTGGATTAACGCCCGCGCGTACGGCTTAATCACCGTCAGCCAGGTGGATGAGCAACTCGCCGCCTCTGCGCTGAGTCCTTCCTGCGCCGAGAAGATCACTCACAACAATGATACTCTAGCGAAGCGCAATCTTGAGATCGTCCAGGCATGGATCGACGAGCATGCATCTATCGCTCGGTGGACACGCCCGTCTGCGGGGCCGATCGGTTTTATCCAATTTACTCGTTCAGATCAATCGCCGATAGATGACGTGAGGTTTTGCAATCAGCTGCTTGAGAGGACAGGCGTCCTGCTGGTTCCGGGAAGTAAGTGCTTTGGGCCTGAGTTTGCGGGCTATGTGCGTCTTGGTTTTGGGATGGAGACCCAGGCACTGATCGATGGGTTGCAAGCCCTGGCTGAGTTTATTAAGGAAAGCTATGACGACTTTTGAGGAGAGGTTAGAGGTCTCTAGCACTGTTATCTTCAGAAATAGTACAGTAACCGAGCATATGAGTGTTTCTTCTTCCGTATCTCCTCGCAGAGGAGGAGCAACATTTGTCATTGTCTCACGCGTAACGGTTATAGTTTGGTGCTGGTTCATGAACGCTTCTTGCCGGACTCCGGGTATTGCCACGGAATGTACTCCGTATGCAACGTACCTTGGTCATTTTCCTATCGCAGACATCCATGCAGGCCCAATCCTGACCTGCCTTTGTCCATCGGGAAAATGGCAAGTTTCCCCGGACTCCACATCCCCGCTTGCTGTAGCAGAGTGGAATGGTAGAACTAGGAGTGCTTCAAGTTGAGATATCACTGCTAATGTCCGGCTGAATATATAAATTCAGTCTTCATGACACGTACTCAGACCAAGCTCATTCCACTGCTGACCGGCGAGATGTCGACTACCTCTGATAAACCCCAGGTCTTTACCATACGGGACATAGCAAAAGAAGCCCACAAAGCCCTCCCACAAATATACTGCCGTATGCTACCCGTCCAACATACCAGCTGACAGCTGACACAGATAGAATACTACAATGATGGAGCTGGCGACATGACAACGTATACATCCTCTCCCGTTACATGATCACACTAACCAGTCTAGTCTCTACGACAACGAAAGAGCCTATGACAAATACAAGCTGCATCCTCGCGTTCTCAGAGACGTGCATGATATCGACATGACTACGCAGTTATTCGGAGTAAAAGTATCACCCCACCGCTCATGATCTTACCAGAAAAGCAAGCTGACGATCCAGGTCACCGCACCCATCGGCTTCGCCCCAGCAGCCGCACACAAACTGGCCCATCCGGTAGGCGAGATCGGTACGTCGCGCGTGGGCCGCAAAACTCGGCATCCCGATGTGTCTGTCGGCGTACTCGACAACGAGTCTGGAAGATGTCATCGCCGAGGGGGCGGGGAATCCATACGCAATGCAGGTGTCCTTTTTCCAGGATCGGGAGGTTACGCGTCGGTTGATTCAACGGGCTGAAGGTGAGTTGCTATATCAAACTGGCTTCTGTCCATGCGGCTACCTTCCTATAGAAGCAGGATACAAGGCGCTATTCGTCAGCGTCGACCTTCCGGTGCTGGGGAACCGGCTCAATGAGAAGCGGAACAGGTTCTGCTTTCCGCCGCATGTCACATTCCCCAATATTCAACAGGAGACGGACGACGTGATGAAGCATTACGGGGCGGGATATGGTGCGGTCTATATCCAGTTGTTTATTCGTTGCTAATTGATGCAGACTCGACGCTTACGTGGGACAAGACTATTCCGTGGCTGAGGAAGAATACTACCCTGCAGATCTGGCTTAAAGGGAGTAAGTAGTTACCCCGTTAGGATATGGACTTGCACTGTAACATGTCCAGTCATCAGCCCAGAAGACGTCCAACTCGCAATCGACCACGGTATAGACGGAGTGGTAATCTCGAATCACGGCGGTCGCCAGCTGGACGGACAAGTGTCCACGATAGATGCCCTGAGGGAATGCGGTCCCGTTGCACGGGGGAAGATCCCACTCATACTCGACGGCGGGATCCGCAGAGGATCGGACATCTTCAAGGCGATTGCACTGGGCGCGTCGATGTGTTTTGTTGGGCGGATTCCCATCTGGGGGCTGGCAGTATGGATCCCAGGGCATTTGAATCACCGGATAGATACTGACTGGGATTGATGCAGTATAATGGAGAGGCAGGTGTGGATGAAGCAGTTGGTATTCTTCTGAGGGAGTTCCGGGAGACTATGATGCATATGGGGTATGTGACGAGGAGGAATGTGAGACAATATTGCTAACTGATCCTAGGTGTCGTTCGATCGCTGATATAACTCTAAAGTGTCTCTCTCTGGAGGAGAATGGGCGCATGGCTAAATTGTGATGGCTGGGCTATGGGAGCTCGCCTTAGGTGTATAAAGATGACTGTCTATAGACGCCCTCTTGACAGCCATGTCTTAGGACTTGCAACCGATGAACCGCGATTCGACACCCTTATCCCAGCTATACTGATTTGCAAGAGTCTGCAAGTGCTGCTCTGATGGGAGTGCGTGTAGTACACAACCTGGGGTTGTTAGGATGAATTGCCAAGAGGCAATGAAAAGAACATACCATATTGCTTAGTGCGATTTCCTCTCCATTCCCTAATCGACATCCGCAGAGACTCCGTTGACCTTGCATGTGCATTGAGGTCCTGACTCCCAGGATCAATTCCGGCCGTAAGGGACTTGACGTCCTCAAGCATCTGCGCAGTCGATATATATTGCCCAAGCCACGCGTTCTCAATAACGCGGTCGAGAAGATCGCTTCCAGTTCGAATGTCCGGCATCACCATAGACCCGTCCCGGTCAGCCACCAGTCGGGGCTTCACTCCATGCTCCAGATGATAAATAAGCGACCCCATGATAAACCGGTCCGTCTTTTCAGACGCCAGTGTCGACACAATATCGGTAGGCAGCTCATAGTCCGGGTACGGATAGGCCAGATTCGGCTTTCCAAACGGGCTGCACGTGCTAAAATCACACAGATACGCATAGCGTCCCGATGCATCAAACAGCAAATTGGCCACGCGCACATCCGAGTGTGCAATGCCAATCCCATGGAGATGGGATAGCGCGGCGAGAATATTCACATACCATCGGATCCGACCCTGCTGGCCTGGGATGGCGACTTCGCCGAGCTGCTTATATTTCCGGAAGTATATGCCCTCCGGATAGTGCGTGTCTATCGCCTCGGCGATATGCGGGTGCGGGTGCGGGTGCTTTTGCAGGATGGTGAGAACCGCGCGCTCGTCGTTTGTGACCCTCGTGTGAAAGAGAGTCTCAGAGGCGTAGGACCATCGTGCCCGGGCGGACGAGGCATCCGACGGGGGCTCGAAGATCTGGGAGGTTTTCAGGACGATGTCGTTGGTGACCTTGTAGACCTCGCCTGAGGCGCCTTTGCCCACTGTCTCTAGGCCGTGTTGTTGCTGGCGCGGTGTGTGCTGCGTATTGCAGTTGCAGGTTGGAGTAGAGGCGTTGATGGCAGCAACGAATGGCTTCTCGGTGCGAATGGAGTGGGCAGGGCCAGCCCGCACCAGTAGATGCACTACGACGGAGAATGAACGTGAGCAGTAGTCTTTTACTGCCGTCCATAAGGGAAAAGAATATTGTCTCGGGAGCATCATGAAACGACCCAGGTGCGATTATCGAGCATATCCCCAATATGAAGTATGGATCTGTAACAGCTAGATTGCCTTACATATCGTACATCTTTAGTATAAGAGTTCAAAACTATCAGCATACGTCAACTGCGGTTACACAACAATGTAATTCAAAGTCTGTTGTTGTAGGCATTCCGACTCGTCGGCGTCATCGAGGCACGCGGAGACCCGTGAGGTTCCATAGATCCAGCAACCACTTCATATCAGCTAAATGGACGTCCCAATGGGTTAGCTGGCTCTCAATCAGCGGGAATAGATAAGAATAACTTTAATTCTAAAGTCGATTGACTTTACAGCCGTCCAATTGCTGGAGATACCATAGTTCTATACCTCCGCCAGACTTGAGTAACGGTCACGTTGCCTCTGTCCACTACCAATATACCGTAGTCCTTGTACATGGGCTATCTGGTTGCTTGTGAGTCTTCCTCGGCTTAATCATATCTACATACAAAGTTGAAGGCTCCAAAGCTTTCATGTATGGTATCAATGAACGCGGAAATCACCTTCATATGATAGACATTGAAACGAAGCCAGGGGCCTGATAGAATACAGACCTCAGTGAAATGCTACCCTCCTCCACGGACACTATTCCATATGATCATAGCTTTCCTACACTTTCGTAGTCGGGGGTTGCATACGTCTGTTGGCTTGAAGATACTGCGTGTCCCTACTGAACAACCACGAAGCTCTCATATGTTCACGACAGATCTACCTATCTGATACCAAAGGCGCAAGCAGGATTGGAAGACATTTCTTTTCAATAGAACAGACTTGATACTTTGAAGGAAGTTGACCCCGATCACGTGATTGGGGTTATCTTCGCCATTCCTATACAGAATGTTCAACACAGCCCGATACTAATCCTCGACGTTCTAAAAACAAATTTGCTTACTGACTGCTCGCCAGGGACTACCTTTTATTTCACAGCTGATAACAGGCATCTAGTCCATAGTATCATTCCCCGGACCAAAACACCTACTGCTTCCTATACCCCTATACCTAAGGTCGAATCTAGACACCCGACTATCTTGATAAGACCCATCCCTCTAAAATGATTCCTATGGGCCATATCTTCGTGACGCCTATCGGAAGCACCTGCTCTATCCGTTAAGTCTGATCGCTAAGCAGGTTGGGGTATTTGGAGACGAATATCCCCACTTCCCCTCATACACCATGCCGACGAGATAGATAACTGATAACAGAAACTGAAGGACAGTTCACCGGAGGTATAGGAGGGATCTTTGTTTCTTGATCCTTGCAAGTGGCAGTGTTTTGCTTTATTGTCACCCGCATTGCATCTATAAAAGCAATTTATACGTCGTACATCACTTCTACCATGCCTCCCTCTATACGCCCTTTGGATATCGGGCCCAGCACCTCTTCTTATTTCGCCCCTGCAACCATCACTTCCAGCATCGGCTGCATCCAAGTTTCCGGCCAAGTGGGAACGGCTTCGGGAGGAAATGTACCGGCAGATTACGAGTCGCAGATCCATCTCGCGCTTCTCAATCTCCACAAAGTCATCACAGCAGCAGGAGCGTCCATCCACGATATCGCAAAGCTGAATCTGTACATAGTGGACTATGATCCAGCCCATCGGAGCCATGTTAGACACTTGCAACGGTTCCTCGGACAACATCGTCCAGCCATCACTCTAGTCCCTATCGTGCAGCTTGCCGCCCCGAATTGGTTGTTTGAGGTGGATGCAGTGGTTGCTAAGCCGGGTCCTTGTTTCCCTATTTCTCTACCCGATCCGTTGAGAAAATATGATGTGATCATGATAGGTGCGGGTCTTGCGGGCCTTACAGCCGCAGAGGCTGTCGTCCGCTCAGGACACTCGTGTCTTGTTCTAGAGGCGCGAGACCGTGTCGGAGGACGGACATGGAGTGCTAAGCTTCCAGGAGGTGGCGGCATCGTCGATCTAGGCGCGGCCTGGATCAATGATACCAAACAATCTCGAGCGTATCAACTCGCCCTTCGATCCGGTGCGGAGCTTATTGAGCAAAATACTGAGGGAAACTGTCTGCTTCAAGATGCCAATGGGGATAGGATCACGTTTCCGTACGGTGAATTACCAGTAAGGAGTCTAGGGATGCTTGTATATACATCACGTTCTAACTATACACTCTTGAACAGTTTGACGTGGAAACACAGACCCATCTAGCAGAAATCCGAGACATGGTCGAAGTTGACTGTCAGAAAATTGACCCAGCACGGCCAAAGGATAGCTTGCTCGACTCCATGACCTTTCTGGCATATCTGCAAAGCCGCAATGCCAGCGACAAAGCGATCGCCACAGCATCCGTGTGGACGCGTGCAATGCTTGGCCAAGAACCTCAAGATATATCTGCTTTATACTTCTTGCACTATTGCAAGAGCGGCGGGGGCTTACTCCAAATGCGTTCGGATCGTAAGCACGGCGGACAGTACCTCCGCGTGCGGCAAGGCACCCAGATATTCTCTCAGACAATCCTGAAGTCCCTGCCCCCAGACACGGTGCAGCTCTCGGCACCTGTCACTGCAGTACATCAATTTCAGAAGGACTATGTAGTTGTTCAAAGTGCCAAAGGCGCTTTTGCAGCTCGCAAGGTCATTTCGGCAATCCCGACTACGGTACTGAAGAGTATTGATATCCAGCCGCCCCTGCCTCCACAGAAGCAACTCCTTGTCAACTCGCTCCGGTATGGATACTATACAAAAGTGATGATGGTGTTCAAGTCCGCATGGTGGATTGAAAAAGGGTACTGTGGTCTGGTCCAGTCATTCAAAGGGCCTGTGTCAATCTTCCGGGATACCAGCATCCCCGTCGATGGGAAATGGGTCTTGACCTGTTTTCTTACCGGTGATTCAGGTCGCCTATGGTCTCAGCTGTCCAAGGATTCCCGTGTAGAGGCTATCCTGTCGCAGTTATCGGACATCTACGCCGACCCAGTCCGTGTACGCGGGGAGTATGTTGAGTCCCTAGGCCATGAGTGGATCAACGAGCAATACTCCGGATATGGCTGTCCGTGTCCGTCATTAGCTCCCGGTGTCTTGAGTGTGGTTGGCAATGCGATTCGCGAACCTTTCCGCGACATGCACTTTGTCGGTACGGAGACCGCGGAAGAGTGGAAGGGCTATATGGAAGGTGCAATTCGAAGTGGCGAACGGGGTGCACAGGAAGCCATTAAGGGACTCCAGTCATCTGTAGCGCACTTGTAGTCCTGGCAGAGGCCTCTTACGAAAGAGCAGCGGGAGTTAAAGAAAGGTTCATATGCAATCTTATACAAGATCTATGATGTGTCGCCCAAGACTGACTATTCGCAGTTCATAAGTGCAGGCATATACATAGTTACCTATGCCGAAGTAGAGAAAGCACTGTAGGTTACAGTGCGTGGGCAAGAGTGAGTGTATTGTGTGCTTAAAGAACCCCACATGTTCCCCTCTTATCGGAGTACACCCCTCACGCTTTGATATCACCTCCTTCCTCCTATCTACCTACATACACCCAGAGCACTCTTTGTCAAGCAAGATGGGAACGCATTCCGGAAGAGACAGGTCCCTTGGTGGCTGTGGGACCTGTCGATCTCGCCATACGAAATGCGATGAGACTCGACCAATCTGTAACGTGTGCCGATTCTCCAACCTCAGTTGCACCGGATACGATATCCGGTTACGGTTTTTATACCATGGAGAAAAGGATGTTGGTGATGTTGAACCCAATGCACTCCGCTTCCGCCGTCCATTATACACAGGTCTGTCCTCGTCCTTCGGTCGATGAAGTTGTTTGTTGATTGAGTGTAGAATCGGAGCGGATGGATATGAGTCTGTCCATCAACCGTTCCTTCAGAGGCGCCGATCCAACTCAAGCGCTGGTAGAGCTGGATGAACAGAGCCTGATTGCACAGCCCGAGGAGTACCCATTGTGTCGTGGCCCCTTTGGCGTTTTTCAATTGCAGCCAGCGCTGTCCATCAATCCTTGTTCAATACCTCCGGCGAACTCAAGTCCCCGTGACACTATAGAGCAGCCCATTACTATGTCTGAAAGTACAGTGGAATTTTTTGATTCCATTTCATTGGACTTTGCACTTGCGGACGTGATCGATGACTCTGCGCTGTTCTCAGACAACATCAGCCCATGTACTGATTCACACCTCATGCCCGACGCGAATGCCATCGCCATGAACAACGATGAGGAAGATAGTTATTTCCAACAGATGCAGGATTTTGCTCTGCAAATCAATCCCTCCCCCCTTCTTTCGAATACGTCCCCTCTGTCTGAAGATTCCTGGCCCTTGTTGGCCAATTACCGCGACCGAGTGATCCCTCTGTTAGCGCCTTTGAATACCAACGAGAAATCTCCCTGGCACCACATCGTCCTTCCTTGTGCTATGAACACTATGGCAGAAATGGCAATGGGCGGATCCACCAGCCATGCCAGGATAGCTCTGCTATACGTGCTACTAGCAACGAGTGCGACCCATGTTCAACTCTCTTCTTCCTCCATTCCGAAAGGATCTGGACATGCAGTGGCATATTATAAACAGCGTGCTCGCCATGAACTGAAAAAATGCCTGCAAAAGGAAGCTTCTGCATCGCATAAAATTGCCAAGTACAAGGATGTTCTAATGGCGCTTATTTCGATGGCAATTTTGAACGTACGTTTCTGGTACTTGAGTACCCTGCTCCTATGCTAATCTTCCACGATAGGTATTTGAAGAAGATGCAGACGCTTTACTTGCCTGCCTATTGGTCACAGAACAATTTATCAAACGTAAAGGCCTAAGCAAAACAACTCTTTCTCGCAAGGTCCGCCTGTTGCATCATTGCTACGCCTATCTGCGCATCGTCAACGAAAGCATCATTGTCTCTGACATGTCACCCGATCCCTTTCAGCAACTAGGCGTCTTCCCTGATCCGCGGACAACGACTAGGGCTTCCAGGTTTCGTATCTCTCAATGGTCAGACACTCCCGACTATACGATGACAAAGGTCAAATCCCTACAGCTTGGCCAGCAGGACCTGCATCTGGAGCATCCTGGTCGGTGGGACTTGACAATGTATCCTGAGATCTTTGGGATTCCCGAAGCACTGCTATATCTGATGTCCCATGTCACTCGCCTTGGCAATGAGCGAGACTTGCTCATCAACAGTCGACCTGACGACGCATGTCCCAGCCCACGCGACTTCCTACTGCGCGCCAAGATGCTGGAACGGAGTATCTGCCGCTGGGATCCCACAAAAGACTGTGAAAACGCCTCAGCCAGCACGGCGATGGTAGCTGCTATACAGAAAGCATTACTAATTTTCTTTTACCGCCGGTTTTACGATGTCGAAAGCGCGATCTTACAGGATGAAGTACGCCAAGTTATGGAGCTTCTTCAGAGCTCTAGGGCCTCAGAGCAAACTGTTTATATGATATGGCCGGGATTCATAGCTGCCTGTGAAGCGATCAGGCCGAATCTGCAGGTGTTCTTTCGAGGCTGGTTCGTGGATTGCTTCCGACAGACAGGATTGCCCTCTTTTCAAGCAGCGCTGTCTATCGCAGAGTCCATTTGGGCGAGCGGCGGTGATGGGCGAGGGCCGACTCTGCAGTGGCCTGATATAGTGCGGTCGAACAGGAGGCTCATCATATTCTAGTCACCATCTATATACTGACTAATCGACAAATACACTCCATACCTTGACACAGCGGTCCAGCAGCACGTCTGTTGACCTAATGATTGACGGAGGATATCCATCACTGTGGACCTGCATTGCCAATAGCCATCTCCACTGCTGCATCTGCATGGACAGCTCCAGTGTCAAGAATCGGAACCGGGCTGTCTTCCTCTCGGACCAGGAGCCCAAACTCAGTACATCCCAGAATAATAACCTGCGCTCCACGCTCAACCAAAGACTCCATCACCCCCTTGAACAGCATCCTCGTTTCGTCACGAAACACTCCCCTCGCCAACTCATTGAAAAGTGCTGAATGGACATCCTCCTGTTGCTTTTCATCCGGAACCAAAACATCCAGCCCATAGTTCGAGGACAGACGCCCGGAGAAGTAGTCGCCGGTCATCGTATACCGACTGCCCAACAACCCGACAGTCTTATGGCCTGCCTCGACAATCTTCTGTGCCGTTGCGTCGACAATATGTAACATGGGAATTGTCGTGTGGGCCGCAATCTGGGCCGCAACCATGTGCATAGTATTGCACGCGACGAGGAAAAAGTCCGCTCCGGCAGCTTCAAGGCGGCTGGCCAGCTCTCCGAGCAGCTCTGCGAGCTTGTCCCATTGTCCTACTTGTTGGAGATTCTCGATCTCGTCAAAATCCGTCTGGATGAGGACGAGCTTTGCACAGTGCACGCCGCTGCCGCCCATGCGCTTTGCGGTCAGCTCGTTGATTGTGCGGTAATAGGAGGCAGTGCTGGGCCAGGCGATGCCGCCGATGATCCCGATGGTTTTCATCTTGTTATTTTGTGAGAAATGAAAGTTGTAATGGGAAATTTCTATGTTTCGCAGCGAAGGGTGATCTTTTGACTACAGTGGTGTGAGTCACCGGCATAGTTGACAACTTTCCCTTTCCGTTCTAGCGCTCATCCGATAGCCCTAAGCTAAGCGGATCACAGTACGGCCTGTGCAAAGGCTGAGTTTGAAGAATAACCTCAATTAACGTACACGATAGAGTTGTATAGGCAGTCTCTTGACTGTGATCTACTTTATCCACTTAGACAGATGGTAGTTGCAGAGAGTCGATCATAAACACCGGCCCCTTTTCATCTCCATTTTCACCTGCCCATCAGGAGTATCTGAACCCTATTATTAAAGGGTTGGTTTTTTAGTCCATATCAAATGGTCCATACTATGTGCCGTACGCCCCTTTTGCTGCCTCAACGACTTTGCTCCATAGAGGTCCTAAAGCCATGTCCCCTTCAAACCCCTCCGGCATGCTGCACTTCGAGCTACCCCCTCTCCACGCTATTCTCCTTTGTCCTCTTTCATGGCAGCCTGCAACCTCCGGAAGAGCACAACACTATAGTTAAAAACTTTAATCGAGGACATCACAGCTGAACACAACCCCAAATTCATCACGAGTATGGTTGCCTCTGGCAGGGTAGCATGCGTTCGGTACCTTGGCGTGCCTCTTCATCAGTCCCACCCATGGAACGGTGCAAGGTCTGTGTCGAAATACGAGAAGCAATGCCAGTCCGAGCAGGCCAACGCAGCCACGTCTGTGCAATTTGCACTAGCCGACGCCACACAAGATCTTCATTCGCTTAACCCTTATAGTTAATCGGAGGGATCCGAGGAGTTCAAATGGGCTTTTGACAGGAGGCTCTGCGGTCTGCCAATTCGTATTTTCATGGTTGATGGTGCCGAGCCCTCCCTGGAGTAAATATCAGTATAGCATCGCTCGCTGCATGGTGGAAGAAGGTACCTAGAGCACGATCATTGAACTGGATTGGGGATTCTAGTAGGTTTGGTCTCAACTGCAATGAAGGATCTACAGTTAGACCCTGATGCATCTATTCCGAAAGCGGGTGCCCTAATTGCAGGGTCTCGCAGGTCTCCGGAGTACAATCCGTCCACGCTAATGACCCCTTTGGGGCTTGAGGATGTCTCTAGTGCCATCCCCCTGGTCAGCCTCGCGCCCAAGGACTTGGGTTCAAGGGTCTGGCCGAGCTCGTTTCATATGAAATCGAGAGATGATTCGCTACTCGCAACTTTCACCCGTTCTCGCATGTGGCGTCTGAGTGTCTTGGAGAAGTGCAACCCTGGTCTAGTGCCGTATGGGTCGAATGGGCTGGTGAAAATGTCGTGCTGGGAGGAGAGGTGCAGTATTTGAACGCACAGTACCCCCGACGGTCTCTCAAGGGGTCCATTGAAACAGTCCTTTCGCGGCCGTCTAGCTGGCAATCCTGATCAAGATGATGGAAATCACTGTCGGTCAGGTCTCCGGTCTGTTGGCTTTAGGGTCTTTTGTCTGTATGTGAGCCCCTTTTCCTTTCCCGCTGGAGTATTTTGCGAGAAACGTACTCACGACGCACCACACAGTACAGATCTTGATCCCCACGATCCTCATTCTGGGCTTGACGGGTGTCCTCAGGGACCGAAACAATGGAGCTACCTGGTAATAGACCATATCTGCATATCTCGATATCCTGCAAGACTAACCACGCATGCAGGTCTGTCGCCGGCAGAATCCTCCAGAGTTCCTGGTGGCCTACCATCCTACGCTTCGAAACAGTCACCGCCGATGGTCTGCCTTGGGACATCAGTTTCATCGTCAAGATGGTGCCGCTCTCGCTATTGCTTATCTCAATCACCGGTGTGATCACGCCGTTGGGATTGCATGACACTATGGTCGCTGCCCCTGTGCAGGCAGTGCCTTTTGAATATGCGATGGATGAGTCTCCGTTTGGCTATGGAACGCCTCCACGGAGTAATCTTTCGTTCAATCGTCGTTGCGGAGCGTTCGCACCAGTCCAATGCCCCGGTTCGGACACCGTGATAGTGAGCCATTCAAACGGCAGTTGGGAGTTACCTTATGGCTACAACCTGAACGTTCCGGACGAGGTTTACCAGACGTTCTCCAGCGGCACCGGGGGCAAAGGAACGTCCGTGTCCAACTTTTTCGACATCCAGTGGCGGCAGTACTCCATTGAACAGGAGCGTACGTCGAACAATAACTCGCAATATATCGTTGGCGTTTACCGTCAGCTCGAGTCAATCATCCTGGACACGGACAGGGTTCTCATTGAAGGACTAGTGGTCGACATGAACAACACCCAGGTTGGGCTGCGGAATCACACTGTCCCGACTGGGTCCAGAAACGGCGCTCTGTGGTCGGAGGATCTCCTCTTCATCCAGCCAGAGACCGAGTGTGTCAGTCACAACTTGTCCATTGACTTCACCATCGCCAAGAGCGACTACTACTCCAGCAGCTTCAACAGCCAGACCCTTGCTGCCATCAACATCTCCCTGGTCGATCACGGCGGTTTCACCGACATTGTCCAGAAATACCCGTCAGGCTACTGGACTGACGCGCAGAACGACCCGCAGCTCCGTGAGAGGGCATACAAGGCCGCATGGGTCGCAAACGCGGCGACCATGTTATACTTCAACGTCACGAACCCCAAGTCCTCCAAGAGAAAGTCCTTCTCGTATCTCGACTCCCACATCGGCCGCGAGTTCCCTCTCTTCGGGGACGCAGATCTCAGACAGTTCCAGGGTCTCCGCACGAGCCAACTGTTCGACTTTGCCACAAACACCAGTACTCTCATAAGCACAGGCATTGGGGGCAACGCGACCCGATACCCCAACCCATGGAATGTCGACCAGGACTATTTCGACGAAGCCAGTAAGTCTCCCGGTGTGTCCAGCACACGGCCTCTCTGAACTGACGTCTTCTTTCCAGGGCTCCTCTGCGCTGGCGCTGGCGGACTGGACCGCGCGAATATTAGCAACATCGACGTGAGCTGCGGACTTCTGCTCGGCGCAGCACACCGCGTGGATGGTGTTGAAACGTCCATCTTCGAGCAAGGGACCCGCTGGTCCATGCCCATCTACACCTGCGCAACCGCCGTCAAAACCGCGATCAAAACCGTCGAGTTCAAAGCGCAAGGCACCCGCCTGCGCGACGCACAGGTCGTCAGCATCACCGACAAGGTGTATGACAACAACTCGCCCGCGCCCCTCTGGGGTGTTGAGAACCTCCAGCTGAACCTGAGCGATGTCAGACCCCTCTGGGGCCTGGTGGCCGAGGACCGTGCCAACCAGCCCAACCTGGCCACCGTGCGCAAATCCCACCTCTACCTGCCGGGCTACACCACCGCCTTGGGCGGCTACACGCCCTCGGACAACATGCCGGGAGCCTCCTTCCACGGCGTCGCCCTGAGCCGCGCCTATTCCATCGGCAGCACCAGCATGTACAACGACGACATGGGCGACTACACCGGCCGCACGAACGTCGCGCTGTTCACCCGCATGCAGGAGCTGTCGCGCACCCCCGACACCGCCGCGCACATCCTCAACCTCTTCTTCACCGACATCACGTCGAACCTGATCGTCGGCACGAGGAGTCTGCTGGGTTCTCCGCGGGACGCGGGCTACGACGGCGCCGGGACCGTCAACTCCAACGCCGCGCCCTTGGTCAAGCGCGTCAAGTTCGACTACCTCTACGGCATTCCGGCGTACACGACGCTCGCGCTGTTGTTCTTGGTGGCGCTTGTGGTGCTCACGCTGGTCCTGTTGGGTAGGATTACTCTTCAGCGCGTCCGGCGCCTTCTCGCCCGGACGTCGACCGGACGTATCCTCACCACTGGCATCTACCCGGAGTACTCCAATCTCGACATGAGGAGTAATGACTGGATTCGCAGTGCGGGACGGAAAGATATTGACCTTGCCGGTGCTGTCCCGACCAGCGATACTGAGTTCATACCTCTCAATCAAACACATTATCAAGGGAAGTCGTAATGGTGCAGACGACTGTCGGAGGTCAGTTTGATCGCGTTGGATGAGTACACATACTCGAGAGCCAGTCCTATTGACTTGGCTAGTTCACCCTAATCGGAGGTTCTTTTATTTTTTTTGCATCTGGAATCAATTCCCTGTTTTCTGTGCCTATGAAGTGCTATACTTGTGATACGAATGGCTTTAAACATATCATGATCGTGACATGTTCTCTTTGATGACTTCCCTGGTTAATGCTACATTATCATGAGCCTTAAATAACTATTCGCCGTGAAACGCTCTCTAAACTTCTCCTTATCCTCTTCGTACACCTGTCTACTCGTCTTGCCACTGGTAATGGATGACAGGCCTGGACGCTCATAACGTATCGTAAATATATAGTCGGGTTAGACGCACCACATACGATACGGTCATCTCATCGGTGACGAAACCATTGAATGTCATTGAATCTTGCCATTTTATCCGTACTTCCCAAGTAATCCCCTACGCAAATACTAATAAATCTGCAATGCAAAAAGTAAGGTACAGGCTCGCCGAAAGTAATCTCATTCCTCAGACCATCCATATGCACTTCCACCCGAAGCTGACATGAACCGCGTTACTCATCTGCCTCCTCGACTCTGGCCGCCAAATCGCGCTTCACCGCGCCAGAGGTATCTGGAGCAGGAGTGGCGGTGGTAGTCGCGGACGGGGTGGTGTCCGTTGCTGCAGCCGGCTCAGTCTTGGAGTCATCCGCCGTCACCTTCTTGGACTTCTTTTTCTTCTTCTTGGTCTGTGACAGAAATTAGTAAGACACTATCTTGCGATCATAGCCACAACATACCTCTTGCCAACCCCACAGGGGCTTAAAGCTATCCACGAATCCAACATCCTCGAACAGATTGGGGAAGAGCCAAAGACCAGGAGGAACAGCAAAGACAGTGATGCAGAAAAGTATCAGACGGAAGATCGACATGGCGAAGAACAGGCCCAGCAAGCCCACCATGCCCATACTCAGATACCAGACACCCTGTCGCAACATGATAGGCCACAGCGGGAAGAGAACGATGGCAAAGATACCCGCAACCACCGCACCAGCCATGACTTTCTGCTTCCACTGCGGTCCCTCGTAGAGCCACACGTAGTGCATCATGGGATCAGTCTCCTGGTGTTGCTCGATCTTAACGGTCCACAGACCCTTGACGCGGTTCTTCGGCTTAGCGTGGTTGTGTCCAGCATGGGGATCGACCTTCGAGACGCGCAAGGCGAGAAGCGAGAGCGGAAGAAGTTTGAAAGCATTCTCTGCGGAGGCACGATCTGTCACGGGAGGGAGAAGCGAGCCCTTCTTCGAGGCAGCTTTGGCATAGGCGGGAGACTCCAGAGCACGGATAGCGCGTTTCACTGTCAAGGAAGGTTAGGCCTTCATCAAACAGCGTGTTCACGGAGCAACGACGAAACATACCTTTGAACAAGTCCTTTCTCTGTCCATCCATAATACAAGTCCTCGTCTTCAGGTTCTGAGACCGCAGGAAGTTGGCCACAGCGATCGCCTTCGGGTCGGGGGGGTTCGATGGGTTCACGGGAACCTGATGTGTCGTCTGTTGAACTCTAGCCTGTGGTTGTGGTTGTTGCGCAGAAGCTTCTCCAGACTGTCCAGGCTGGGGAGATCCCTGGTTCTGTCGTTGAGCCTCGACCTGTTTCTGGTGGGCGGCGATCGCGCGCATTCTCAGCTGGGCGACATATTGCTCGGTCGTCATGCCATGCTTCGCCGCTTCGGCGTTCAGCTGTTCGCGCTGCTGTTTGGCGAACTCCTCGGGGGTCATTCCTCGCTTTGCGGCCTCAGCAGCGAACTGTTGCTGCATTGCGGCGAGTTGCTGGGGGGATGGCCCACCTGGCGCCGCCATTGTGATTTAGAGCTATGAGCGTATAGACGGCAACGAGAGGAAGAGCAGGAGGGGACGGAATGAAATGAAAACGTAGGTGTAGGAGAGGCGAGGAGACAAGGGAGATCTGTTGAAACATGAACGACGATCGGCGAAGTGGCCAGATGGTGTTTGTTTCAAACGGGATGCGCTCACCGCCTTCGGCGATTTCCTCTTCTCCGTACATCATCCTTTATCGTCTCTCATGAAGACATCCTCCTTGTCCTCTTTTTCTCCTCCCTCTTTCACCCTGGCCTAAGTGACATCGGATATCTTGTCGCTGCCTCTGCGCGACTGCCATAATCCCCTGTCTGTCATGTATACAGCACCTATAACCTGACAGTTCCGCTGCTCTCCCCCCGCAGCTCATGCCCTTGTCATACAACCCTGATGGCTCCCTTGTAGATTCTACATGGGCCGCTGTCTTCCTAGTACGTTTCCCTCGAGGAATTTTGGGGCTGCCTGAGTACCAAATCTAACTGATACTCGTCTAGAGTGAAAGAGATGTGGCCGGCCAAATCCCTATCAACTTCGTCACGAGCTCGGCGGTATCGATAAGGGCGGCATGCTTTGGCAACGGCATCTTCGAAGACACAGCCGCCGAAAGATGCATATCGAACCTGCTGGCTGTCGGGTATCGCCGCTTCATCGTGGACGTATATTGGTCCGTGACATCCAAAACATGGACCTTCTGTCCCGTGCGCATCCCGGCGAACGCGGCTGTTGAGACCGTCACGTCGGCCTTGCCCTCTGCAACGCCCACGGCGACAGCCGGTGTGTCGCAGGGGAAAGTGACCGAAATCGTCACAGACTCCGGAGCCCATCTCGTCCAGCTGGGACCTTACCTATGCTCGCGAAATTTCGACCTTTCCAGCTTGGTCGACATCTGGCAAGACTACTTCAAGAGCACCACCTCCCAGCTCAATGTCTACACCCGCTACATCTCATTCAACCTCCACGTGGCCGCCGACCCAGAGACGCCGGACGAGCCCGCCTCCGAAGTCCCCAACACCGACCTCCCGGTCGGCTCGGAGCGCGTCGGCGAGCTCATAGACGACCGCCTCCTGGCGTACATATACACCCCGGCGCAGCTCGCCGACGAGCGCCAGAACCTGAACGACTCCTGGTACGAAGTTGACGACGGCTACAAGCCCATCGCGGAGTACTTCACTACCATTGTCGCCGCGGACGGCACCCACAGCACTCCCGATGGCTGGCCGTGTACCAAGTACGTGCAGCTCGCACGCGAGAAACGCCTCCTCCTGGAGTACGGCACCATCGACCCGCAGCTGCAGAACTACGTCCCCGTGCCGGACGACAGCGAAGTCCTCTTCCCCCCGGGGTACCTCAGCTCCATCGTCCCCGTCGCCTCCGCCGACAGCGGGAGCCTCGATTCCGGCTGCTTTTACAACCCGCAGGCGACCCTGGTATCACAGGTGAACACCTCCTGGGCCGTATCGAGCCGCATCCCAGTCCCATCCCGCCTCAACCAGTCCGCCGGCCTGGCCGACCTCTCCGCGATGGTCGTCAACCTCACCGCCTGTGGCCTGACGCCTACCCTCAACGACACCATCTTCAACGTCACCGCCGACGCAGACGCCGCGCCCTACCGCAACATCTCCCTGTCGTCCTCGTGGGCCTGGGACATCGGCGAGCCCCACGACTCCTCCATCACAGAGGACATGGACGCGCCCAAGAGGAATCGCTGCGCGGTCATGGACATGTCGCTGCAGGGCCACTGGCGCTCCGCCAACTGTAGCGAGTCGCGTCGTGCGGCGTGTCGCGTCGGCCATCTGCCGTTCACGTGGATGCTGTCGGACGGACTGTATGATTACGGCGATGCGTACGCGAACGCATGCCCGGAGAACTCCTCCATGGCAGTGCCGCGCACGGGGCTCGAGAACACGTACCTCTATCGACATCTTCTCTCGCAGTCGGCGGATGCCATCGACCCGACGTCGACCGACCCCGCGCTAAGGGAGGTCTGGCTGGACTTTAATTCTCTGGATATTCCGTCGTGTTGGGTCACGGGCGGCCCGGACGCGGAGTGTTCCTACGCGTCTGATCCGCAACAGCTGGAGAAGCGCACGGTGCTGGTCGCTGCTATCGCTGGTATTGTGATTTGTATTATTGCTGCATTGACGCTGTTTGTCAAGTGTAATGCGAATCGGCGCAATTCGCGTCGCGGCAAGCGGGTTATCCAGGGTTGGGAGTATGAGGGTGTCCCGTCGTAATGTGTATATATATCGTCGTAGGACTTAGGCCACTACGCAATCGATATGTGATAATTTAATAACAGGATGCAAAGACATTCATTTACTGCTAACAGCTTAATACATGCAAAGCTACTGTGGAGGACGGAACCGCAGCTACCGCCTATATTAGGAGTAGTAGTTACGGGCTACTTTTACTGTCCACAAACGGTCCGCCGGAGGAAGTAGTTCAACTCCTGCCTAGACTCGGTACCGTCTGTGCAAGGCCCGTGGCCGCCCAGCCTTAAATAATAAATAAGGTATTCGTTATAGATTGTTAGTGAGCAATGTACCGCGAAGTATAGTTATTCGTTTTCTATAAGATTAAGAAAGGAGAAGCTTTGGGTTTGCAGCATAGACTTGGGGTCTTATGGAGACCCTTATATTGTCTCCATACCCTGTAGAAGCAGCCGTATCCAAGGAAAGATAACATACCCTAACAGGCTATTTTTATGGCCAAGCCTTGCTAAGAGCTAACCTGGGGAGATAATACACCCATTATCATCCGATGGCTGCTGTCGCCTCCAACCAGGGAGGATGATTTATTCACACGTACAGATATCATAATCCATTGCTACCATGCTCGTCTCTTACATTCATATACATTATGAACCCCAATATCAGTTAAACTCTGCCTGTCTGTATCAAAATGTCCTGCAGGAGGACGAACGACTATATATCCGTCTCTAACTGCAGGTAGCAGGGCCGGCCCCACCGATAACTTTCATCTCACTCAGACATAGGTTCAGCATAGTTATCTGTTTGTTCAACACTGATATTGACAGTGTATTCCCTCAGTCTCACGAATCTTGCGTTCTCGGGGGACGTATTAAGTGACCTCCCCTTTGGGGGCCGCGGAATAAGACGAACCCCAACAACGTAAGGTTCTGCCCTGATACTGGGATTCAACGGCCACATCGGTTGACCAGGCACTTGCTGATGCAGATAATCTGCCAAGAACTCATAAATTCCCGACGCTGAGCCTAGGGGATGATCTAGACGTTCCCAGTTCTCCTCCGAGCGGCTACGGATGCCGACAGAAGGAAAACTGTTCTCTGTGAGATCGATGATAACGTCATACGCCAATTCCTTCTCCTTGGACTCAAGCCTAATATTGACAAAGACTATTTGGTCGGGGCCTAGCAACAGTTCTCTGTCCGTGGCGTGCTGAAGGAACGAACTTTTGGGCAATGATTGTATCTCTCCCGCCACAGCAGAGGGTCCGAACCTCACTAGATACTTTCCTTCAATCTGGATCTGCTTTGGATATTCCAAAACAAATACCGATAGGCAGGGGTCAGGTTCTGAATGTCCACCGGCCTTGACGAGAAGAGGGGTGTTGTTCGGCTCTCCCCAGCCAGCAAAATCCATGTTTTCAATATCACAAAGCTTGTCGATACTGATTCTTTCATGCGTATCGTTCACCTGCCGGAGCAGGATGCCAATGTGTCCCCTGGGCGGTTCGCCACAATTGAGCCGGACGATGCAGGAAGAATGATCTTCGTGCCGCCAGTGCTTTGCCTTTATCTCTAACCCTCGGTTAGTCATTAAGAAGATATTATCATAATAGCCAAACGCTTTAATTGCTGATGCATCCCAGAAGTCTTTGACTGAGCGTGCGAGGATCCCCGATCTGGAATCTGATTCTACAAGTGGGGGTCAATAATGAACTACCAAATGTTCTCCTGCAGGGAGAGCAAACCTGTCCAATGTAGATGAGGAAATTGCTCAGCGGATGGTCGTTCTGCTTTCCAGGCGAAGATGGAGTCATCATTGTAAGTCAGGATCAGCTCACGCTGGAACCTGCTGAAGGCCCGTGACCTTCCTTCGCCATAGATCAAGGGCAGGCTGATTCCAAAGAGACCCAAGAGCGAGTAGGCCTCATCTTCTTCTACCGTTGTTTCACGTCGAGAAGCCCAGGAGAGTCTCATTGCTATGGAACATGATGTGGGTTCCGTCGGCTTGAAATCTACCAGATGGCGGCTGTCAATGTTACAGGCCTCCTTGATCTCGAGGGCCCAGCTCTCTCGGGTACCGATATGGTGCCAGTGCTGGTCAACAAACATCAAGTAGTGTGGAGCGAGCAGTTCCTGTAATGTCCAGCCTCTGGTGAACCAGTTGGCCTTGACGAAGGACTCTTTGAGTCTCGCGTAGTGAGGGTCGGAATGGCCACCAATTGCTTCCAACCCCCCTGCATCCACGTCGGAAAGATACGCGTAGCAGACCCCAGCGTCCTGATACCATCGAAACATCGCGTTGATGGCTTCTTGGGTGTCACCGGTGCTGGTCTTGTCAATGCAGCATGTATCCATCCAGGCCCACTCCCAGCCATCTGCCTTGGCACGGGTACAGAAACTTTTGATCTTCGACCAGCCTTTTTGCTTGAACAGATCATCCTTTATATCCGCCATCCTCGTTCTTGTATCTTGATAGGTGATTTCATCCCTCGGGGAGATCCAGGTATGAGAGAGAATGGCGTAATGAGGGAACGGGCTGGGGATATCTTTAGCTTCGGTCACCTCACACGTTGCTGTTTTAAGGAGTCGCATCTTGCGAGAAGACCGAGTGAAGTTCCCTGAGAGTATGACTGTAGGATAAAAGGGTAGCTTTGCCAGATATATGCTTGGCTGCGGATGGCTATCCGATGTATCTAGTTTCCGATAGTGGAATCTAGGTCAATGTGAGCAACGCTGGCTTGGTCCGACTGCTGGCGCGGGAGGCTCTGTATACCTGTGATGATTGGCTATGAATCATGTGAATCCAGCTCTTTGCGAGGCTACCCACGTCGCCCAATATCAGGCTGACAGTGCCCGGGCGTTGGCTCCGGCAGGTCTGTGGTGTCCCTCATCAACACCGAGAAATAGTTGCTCAAAAATGACCCTTGATAGTCGCTTGCTTCATCTTCATCTTTAGCTCGAACTAACGGCGACAGGCTTTTGCATTTACCAACCCCTCACAGCATCCGGGTTCCCTTATATCGAACAGAACGCATCAACTTTGAAATCATTGTACTCGCACTATCCACCAAAAGTGAAGGAACGAAGAATGTCCATCTTCTCTTCGGGATCCGAAGCAAGCGGGGGATCGCTGGGCATCGTCCCACCGGTGCCTTGCCCGCCTCTACCGAATTTCTTAGCGGAATGGGCTGCCATTATCCCTCTTGTGTGCCACCTAGCAACTCAGCGAGACGATTACATTACGACAGGAGATATAGCACTGCTGGGCAGATTGCACATCGGCTTATTCCCCCGGTTGGGCACCCTCTCTGGCATATCCAGACTGCTAGAAAGAGGTTCGAAATTCCTCGATTATGCAAGCACCAAGGGAGGCTCGAGCCGGATGGTGTGGGACGTCAAATGGGGAAGTGTATTTCCGTGTGCAAATGGTGCTGCCAGTGCTGCCATTACCAGCTACCTTAAGAGTCGGGACCAACGTCCCCCGAAACGGATGCCCGAAACCCTGGTTACAAAGCCCCAGGAGAATGATCCGGAGTCCTCATCGGGGCAGAATAGCTGCGACATTAAACAAGGAGATCCCACAGTTCAACCTGAAAATCTCGATATCAGAAACGAGGCACCTAGAACTGACGAAGACTTTATCCGACGATACCAGCTTCTCCATATATATCGATTTTACCGCAAGCCAAAGGGGAATTCACTCAGGCAACGATTTGACCGGGTTCGCATGTTCAAAGCATATAGAATATCGTCCTTTGTAATACAGACTTGCCTTGCAGTGTTCCTACTTACCTTCGGATCTTTCGGAACGGCGACAATCCTCATTTGCGCCTCGGTGTCAGAGTTGATTGCACAGGGTATCCCGCTTCGCCGGCCCTCCACATACTTGACGAGCACCGAGAATCATGATGCTTGCATGCTCGTGGCATCACACCAAAACGCCACAGAATGGCACTTGTGCATTGGGGACCGAGCCGTGGTGGACACTATGTTTAACAAACCAATGGTTGTCGTTCCGGAGGGAAAGAAGGCTCGCCTCCTGGCATGCTGGTTCGGGTTTGCCAACATCCTGCAATTTGCGGCAATGACCTTTGTCGCTGGGCAGAAAGGCTGGGACGGTGTGTGTTTGGTGGCACTCCTGGGGATACATTGGGCGTTGCATTGGATTCTACGCGGGCCACACCTACCCCACGACTGGCTGGAGCGCGAGGGGGTCGAGGCGGCTGTCAAATCCTATAAGTTTGGGGGAAGAACGGCAATGATAGGCGCTATACAGGTATTCAGCGACACTAGCATTGTTTGTTGGATGGACCAGATCATGGTGCCACATCCTCGACGAGAAGCTTGGCTCGGTTGTCTTCGGGGGGTAGAACTGACGGGGGAATTCAATACCCATGATATGACATGGATTAAGCTAGCCTCAGAAGCATCTCTTGCAGCGGCAGAGGTGCTGAAAAGGGAATGCGGCCCCCGGAGTGATGGTGTGTAAGTGTTAATATCAGTATCCAAAACGCTGAATCGCATTAATTCAAGAGTTCAATCCAGTTGAAGATTCAATTAGAATGTATATCCAGGCCTCTTTTGATAAGATCCTCGTCCACATAAGTGTTTACTGGCCAACTCCCCACTCTGATAAAGGGGGGCAGCGATCAGAGCGGAAGAGGCCTGACCACCAGTTATATCCAATCATACTTTAATTATCTACTCAGGCGATAGATTTGGGTTTTGTTTTTCTTGCCTCATCTTGCCCCTCGACGACCTGCTGAGCCGTAATTTAAGAGGCAGTGCTCAAAACTAAAGAAGGTCTAATCACCCTGCCTGCAGCAAAAAGTCCAGTTATATCCAATCATACTCTAAGTACCTATTCAGCTGATAGATTTTGGTTCTCTTGACTGTCGATCCCACACAGCCCCTCGGGACATGCTGAGCCGTAATTTGAGAGGCAGTGCTCCGAACTAGAGATGTCTAATCACCCTGCCTGCAGCAAAAGGTCCAGTTATATCCAATTATAGTCTGAGTATCTATTCAGTTGGTAGATTTTGGTTCTCTTTGCCTGTCGTCTCCTCACAGCGCAATACAACAGCTAAGCCGTAATTTAAGAGGCAGTGCTCAAAGCTGAAGAGGTTCTAATCACCCTGCCTGCAGCAAAAGGTCCAGTTATATCCAATCACACTCCGAGTATCTATTCAGCTGATAGATTTTGGTTCTCATTTGGCCGCAACGAGGGGTGGGTCTGCGGCCTGCTGAGCCGTAATTTAAGAGGCAGTGCTGTGGACCAAGACCCAGCAATGCTAGGAAACGGAACTTGGAGTCCCAACCTGTGTGAGAAAGCCTGCCGCTGCTCAATAATATGCAGACAGTCCGCTTCACACACGTACAGAGTATTTAGATAGAAGCCGCGGTGCGGCTGTGCCAACTCGCCATAACTGATGGCTAATCTATGCCCAGGCATTCAGAGACGACACAAGACAAGCCACCCAAATAGTTTATGATTGTGGTGAATATAGTGCCAGTTAGAGTCACAGAACTCGTCTTACAGATAATAGCCTACAAGCAGATATTGCAAAAAACCACGGCGGGATTGAGTCCGACGTTTCTTTCACCATCCAGGAAATAAAGCATTTATGTAGACGCAATTGTGCCAACGCTACCGAGTGAATTAGTGTCTCAGTGACGCCAAATCAACGTCCAGTAATTCCTATGGCTATTAGAAAATGATTGGGTGGCACATTCTTTGCATTTCTTACCAGAAATGGGTTCTTTTCAGATGACAGAGTTTTCGCTCTACCAAATCCACCACTCGCAAGCTGAAGCTTTCTTTTCTGCCGATCCAACACATAGCTCTGCAACAGATGAGCGTTTTAATCAAAGCAGTAGCTTGGGAATACTGACCTCTTCAACCGTACCGGCCATGATATACCGAAAGACAACCACAGGAGTCGTCCGACCTAATCGAAGTGCTCTGCCAATTGCTTGAGATTCAATAGACGGATTCCACTGTGGCTCAAGAGAATAGATGCGGGACGCGATCGCGAGATTCAGTCTGACCATTTGTTAATAAACTGGAGACAATTTACAGCAATGATGACTGGGAAACACTTACCCCACAGCACCAGTCCCCAAGGTCATCAGAAGGACGTTTGGTCCATTGACATTTCGGAAGTTATTCAGCACCTTGATACGTTCAGTCAAGGGAAGGGAGCCCTCGATCATGTCAAGGCGTATTCCATGGTGACGAAGAAGTTCACCAGCAAGGGTGAGAGTGGTCTTCCAGCCAGAAAAGACGATACTAAGGCCAAAAACAAAAAATGGTTTAGTACGAAGAATCGTGCATGTCGAAAGATTCGATACCTTTTGTGTTCAGTGCCAGCACGAATATCGGACACGAGCGCCAACAGCTTTGAAGAGTAATAGGGTACGCCATTTCCACCCGCCGCAAATGGATGCGTATTAGGCCCAGTGGTAGGCGGGAAGACAGGAAAATTCGAGTTATCGCCTGAATTACAGATCGGGCAATTATCGTTTCCTGCACTTTGGTGAGGTAGGCAGCTACTGCAGACCAGATGCCAACAGGATGGTAGGAATTTCGCCCCGTCAGTCCCCGACTGGTCGCTGATACAATAGATAGTCTCAGAGCAATACGCACAAATGTTCTGATCGTGATAGCCCAGGTATGCTAACGCTTCGCTTGAGTGTTCACGAAGGTCATTCCATTCTGGATGGGGTACAACGCTTGTGTTGCCGTTGTTGCAAAAGAGGCGGAGTTTGAAAAGTGACTCGAGCATTGTAGAGTTAATGAATCCATGTCTGCGGTTACTGACTATCATGTTCATTTTAGTCTTGCATGTTGATAGCAACTCGTCGTACGCAGCCTGTTCCAAAGGTGTGAAAGGCAGCCTGCGGAATATTGTAGGGGGCTGGGGAAATCTCAAAATCTCCTTGGTTCTCCGAAGGCAGATGGCCTGGAGCAGAGCTCGGAGGTTTTGAAAGCAAGCTTTCGAATCAGAAGTTGTTGGGTTGGTGATGAATTTTCGAAACAACGGCGGCTTTTCCAGTATAGGAACCTTCAGGAAAGAGACCAAGGACCCAAGATCTTCAAGGCTGTTCTGGATGGGAGTGCCCGTAAGGCACCAGCGATGCTGTGCCGAAAGACTGGTGATGGCTTTAAATTGGTTCGTGGTGGGATTCCTAATATCGTGCGCTGGAGGGTTTGTTAGATAACGAGCTAGCATGGAGGTCTGGCGTTCCCAGGTACCTTCATCAAGAACAATTCTGAACCATTTGATGTGTGCTACCGCGCTTTTGCCGCGGGATACCTCCGCTGCCACTGTAGCATACGTGGTAAAAACAATGTCTTTCTCAGAAAGACGAGCTGCTTCTGCATGTCTCCCCACGCCCAGGTGCTTGTGGAACCGTAAGCCTCCCGGATATGTGTGCCTTATTCAATCCTTAGCCAGCAAGAAGCATACTAGATGCAAATGCGGGGGGGGGGTATACTTGTAAACTTCTTCAATCCAGTTATTAATCAACACTGACCCCTCGTTAGTGAGTGTCCCGTAGCTTCGTATGACATCCAATCTTTGCTTACGTGAAGACGGTGCTATAATAAGAGTTGCCCTGGAGGGATATGTGCGAGGCGGTCCAGTGGAGAGCAATTGGTTCTGCGAGGCAACGAATTCCTCTGCTCGGTCAAGAGAGCCGGCGATTGTTGACAGGATAACTAAAGACTTCCCAAGGCCCATTTCATCTGCAATGATACCGCCGTTGGCCTCATCCGGTTGGCGGCGTTTGGCTCCACTAAAGACATGTTGATAGCTGAAAAATGGCACCGTCAGCTGATAACTTCTGGGATTTCTCGTGTACTGCGGCTCTTACAAAGGCTCATCCATGTCCCGGTCGTTATACTTCCAAAGACTCAATTGAGAGGGGACCTGCCCTTTCTCTCGCTGGAAAACAAAATCAATAGCTTCCTTCTGGTGGCTGTGGTTATCACAAAAAAGTCAGTAATGAGAATCCCTAGTATTCATCGGGAAACGACCTACTCTAGAAGCTTTGTCTTGATACGACCATCTACTGGTATTTCTTGGGTGTCCACATGGTGTGTCAGCGAGTCAAGAATAGAGTCGATTGATTCCTTAACCTGGGCCGATGTCTCTACATGCAGACCAGGAGTCACGATCGGATCTTGCGTAACTGGCAGTGGTGGTGTTGTTAGCACTTCTGGGTGCGCTTCAACCTGAAGAAGATGTGGGTTGTGGTAATCGACCCCATCCAGCCCGTATAGAGGGCGCTGTAGGAAGATACCAGCTCGGGATAGGATGCTGCCAGCCTCTTCAGCATCTTCTCGGGTGCTGTAAACGTTAATCTCTAGGGGCAAAATCGTTGATTGATGACAGACATCCTGCTGGGCAATTCTCGACCAGTGCTCGTCTGGCACGTATCCACGAATTTGCACTGGCACTCTAGAAATGAGACCACGGAGATGTTTGCATAACCCCTTATTGAGGCGTGCTACTTTGTCACCACAGTAATCCAAGGCAAAATAATCGCCCTCTTGCACGATGCTTATGGGCCGTGCTGAGTTGTTGGAGCGAATTTCGTGCTCGCTCCATGTTCTCCGGCTACATATTTGAGCTTCCACGTTAATGATCTGTAGGGCAGTTAGCTCAGAACCGCGTTAGCTGGGATCTATACTTGCACTGCCAAAACAAATTATTTGGTTTGGTTCAGGGTTCCACGTCTCGTTGGTCCATTGAGAGTTCGGGCCCTCTTCCTCTTCGAACACACAGGGCCGTTTCAGAGAAGATCTTGTCCCTTCCATTCTTGCTGGTGGTATTGTCAGGTTTTGGTTTATTTGTAGCAGCTGAGGCAGGTTATCTCTTGACTATGACCTTGGACGGAGTGATGCGGCCTAACATGTCCGAAAATGAATTTTGGGGCAGTGCGCTGCTTCTGTCGAGATTCAGCCTTGTCGGCTTCAACCCCCCTGGTCATCAGTCAGCTGATTTCCAAGCGCTGATAGACCAGTTCGAAATTTTTCCAGCCTTGTCGTTCTTGCTCGCTTTTTTGTCCGTCTTCTGAATCTGAACAGTGCAAATCTAACCGGCCATGGCTAGCAGCCATGATGCACTCGAGTTGGAGAGCGAGAGCGAGAAATTTAGGAATTTCTGGACGAAGAAGGATCAGAAGAACTTCGCAATTTTTTCATTTGAGGAATTTGAGAAAAGCATCGGAGATTTACAAACGAAGCAGCACTCCCAGCGGCGGCTCCAGGACCCTAGTCGCATGGGGCCCTTTCTCAAAGCGCTAGACCAGTACAGAGAGGTGGTTGAAGAATTCTTCCCGAAGAGTGACATCCTTCCCTTTCTCTGTGTCAGTCTTTCTCTGGAGATGCCCCAGAGTCTAAGAACTGACCTGTGAACAGGGCCCTATCGAGTTCCTGCTAAACGTAGGGCATGATCTTCAAACAGAAGCGCGTCACTGGCTAACATAGCAGCTAGTTAGCTGATGAGTACGAGAAGGCCTTCGATGGACTCCTGGATCTATACAAACGTGTTGGCGAGGGCCTTCCCCTACTCTCGCAGTACAAAGGGGTCTTTCATGCAAAACCTCACACAGTCAGAGTTCTGTTGTATCTGTATAAGGACATACTTCAACTACATCGGGACAGTCTGATCTACTTTCGACAGCCAAGTCAGTATCACTTCGCAAACTGTTTCCTTTCTTGTTTTGCTAATTCGTAACGAACAGAATGGAAAAGCCTGTTCGATGAAACATGGAAGACATACAGCTCCCGGTTTGACAGCCTCATTCTCAACCTGGCCCGACATGGAAGCTTGATCGAGAAGGAGGCAAACCCCTCCGAAATCGATGCGGAGCTCAGTCTAACGGCCCCTTCTTCATTGGACAGCGAAATGCGGGTTGAAGACTTAACACGTTTAAATGTAGTGTACAATTGGCTGCGACCAGCAAATGTTGCGAATGACCAGGACCATTTTTCCCATATTAGATCCGAGCATGGTGACACCGGACGGTGGCTCTTGAACAATCCGTCCTTCCAGCGTTGGTTCGATCGGAAGTTTCCTGAGATCCCACCTCTGCTGTGGCTCAGGGGTATACCTGGGGCAGGTAAATTTTGTTCAACTCCACTACTGCCATGCAAGAGATAACCCTGACAGAGGTATAGGAAAGACCATCCTTGCTTCGCTGATTGTTGAAGAAGCCCAAAAGCTCACGCCAACCCCGACAGTGTTATTCTTCTACTGCAAATACCAAAACCCCGAGAGAGACAATTTCCTTGCATTAGCTCGAAGTTTGCTTGCGCAATTCCTGAAACAAAACCCAGGACTATTGCTGCAATTTTATCAGAAGTGTTGCAATAGTGGCGAAGCGTTACTCACTTCACAGGCGCTAGCTAGAGAGCTCCTGGATCTCGCATTCAGCAATTGCAACAGCGCGTACATCATCCTCGACGGTTTGGATGAATGCGAACGAGGGGAGCGCAAATCTATTACCAAGTGGTTCCGAACCTTGGTCGAAGATCTTCCAGCAGAGGACCCTGATAGATTCCACTGCCTGTTTGTTAGTCAGGATGACGGCATTGCCCGAAAAGACTTGTCAGGCATAGAGACTGTCACGATTCGAGTTGGCGATAACCAGCCGGATATCCATAGGTACAGTCTGGTGGAGGCCGGGAGGCTCAAAGAACGCCTTGCACAGTTCTGTGAGCTGTCAGATGAAAAGTTAGGCTGGATTGCTACTACCGTAGCGAAGTCCGCAAACGGCAGGCTCTATAACGTTTACCCAGTATGCAACTACAGGCTGACGAACAATATAGGCATGTTCCTTCTTGCCAAATTAGTATGGATTAATCTGGCCCAAGTGACTTCAATGCGACAACTGAATGATGAACTTGACATTAATGTGTTCCCAAAGGGGATCGATGAAGCGTGAGTCCGTTGTACTCTTGTGCAATCGCAAGCTAAAGTCAACAGGTACCAACGCATCATGGAGAGAATGGAGCAGCAGTCCTCTGCTGTGGCAATGAAAGATACCTTGATGCTGCTTGGATGGCTTGTGTGTGCCAAGAGACCTCTCAAATGGCACGAGATACAAGGTTTGAAATCAATCAATCTGGAGGACCAATTAGTGGACTTTGGACGTGAAGGTTTTGTGGTAGCTCCCAAAGATCTCTGCGGGTCATTGGTTGAAGTCAGGTCCGACGGAACCCTAGAGTTCGTTCACTTGACTACTAAACTGTGAGCCCCAGAGGAATGTATGTGTATGTGCTGGGCTAATACCGAGTTTGGCAGATTTTTGGCAAAGGCAGGCCACATTGACCCAGCGGCCGAAGAGATCAAGTTGGCATCCCTCTGCATCGATTACCTGAATCTTCCCGCCTTTCTCGGTCCACCCACGGAGCGAGGTGTCCTAAATGGCGATTACGTATTTATGGACTACGCTGTTTTATATTGGATCCGGCATCTGGAAGCGGGTGCGGTCCGAGCAGAGGGTAAGGACCAGCTCATGAAGGATCTCGCTGAATCGTTAGAAATCTTTGTTGGGTTTCACTGGGCTTCCCCGCGTGCGACATTGGAAGTGTCGGACCGAATTCACAAGAGGCTACAGTTCTTCCAAAACCTATCCTTCTACGACAAACTCGCCCAAACGGTAGTCTCAGCCAGGAAGCAGTTACGGTGCTTTGGGTCAACGAAGCAGGATGAGATTGCTCTAGATCTCGCTGATATCGTCCAAAATGTTCGTGGGATATTGGAGCGAATGCTATCTTCCCAAATCGAGGTACAGCCAGAAGTTGCGAGAAAATATGGTGGAAATAACCTTTTCAAGTGCCCTCGATTCAGTTGCCATTTTTTTCCGGTGGGGTTTCCATCTGCGGACGAACGGGACAAACATATCCAAAGACATGACCGGCCTTTTCGTTGCACGATTGAAACCTGCCCCGGCTTCGTGATTGGGTTTACGTCTGCAACGGATCGAGAGAAGCATGTGAAGGAGATACACTCGAGTATAACAGCCGAAGACGAAGAGTTCCCCACCGACCAAGAAGTGCAGCGCAGTATCGACAAATCCATGCCGGAAAATGATGTCCCAACCTCAACGAACCCAATCGAATCTTCCGAATCCTCCGAATCGGAGACAGAAGCCATTCACCAGCATGTGCCTCGACCCAAGCGACAACGACAGACACAGTTTGTTTGTGAACACTGCTCGAAGGTCTTTGGGAAACGTTACAATTGGCAGTCCCACCTGCGAACCCATTCGATTGAGCAGCCGTGCAAATGTCCTGAATGTGAAGTCAGTTTTGCGAGACTGAGCGACATGAAGCGTCACATGAAGACGAGTCATATGAATGCAAGAAGGTATCATTGCGGTGGCGTTTTGAGGAATGGAGACTCTTGGGGTTGTGGAAAATCCTTTTCCAGGGCAGATATCTTGCGCAAGCACCATACATCCAGGGTCGGTCGGGCGTGCCTTGATCCTTTCCTGCGAGATCAGGAGCAGGCATATTCGCAGGCTCAATATACCAACGGCCAGCAAGCACCATGATTCCATGTCATACTGAATACTTGCAACAAAGTCCTCTGGATTGAGACAACTATACTTCCTCTATATCGTGTAAATCTGGTATTTAGAAGGTAGAGGCATACAGGGGGAACGTTGGTTCCTGGAAAGCACCGGAGCCATGCGGGCATGGTTAGTCAAGTGTGCTAACTTATCTATACGATTGACCGTTTTGTGACAGAGATATACTACCAACAAGAAGCCCAAGTCGATTAGAACGTAGATACCTTAATAACTTGAAAAGCTTACCGAATAATACTAATACATATTACTTCCTAGGAAGAAACCGCAATCACTGCTTTTTATATTAAATATAGTAGATACGGGCTACTATTCATAGTTAACTCTTATATATGTATATATATATTTTCCTTTCTCCCTTAAGACCTATCTCGCAATAATCAATTGAAGCGTTAGAATCCTGACAATTTCAACTATCTAAGGGAGCCCAGTTACACTACCTAACATCGTCAAGGGGTAATCTCAGAAAGAAAGTTACTGACATATCCATCGTTACAAATCCACCAAAACCAGATCCATCCCAAATAACACCGTCATAGAACTGTGCAAGATCTGCCTTCCCCTCCATATCTTCGTCGAACTTCTTCCCAGGCCCTCACAGCCCAGCGAACCGCGCCCATCCAGCAGCTCTGATCGGAGCTGGACTTTGACCAGCAGGCTTATTGACACCTCCCCGACCTTCTTCCGCCAACTTGCCGCTCACATCCCGCCGTCGACCGACGCCCAATCCAGCGATATATTTCCCATAGGACAGCGAGGAAGCAGTCCCGAGGTGATGGCTGAGATCTGCCCCCGAGTTACTCACGACACGACCCTTGCGGTCACCATCTGCGATAGCAAGGCCGTTGGATTGGCCACTTGGACCGTGATCTTCGCCAACGTCAACATCGTCCGTCTGTCTGAGGACACCATAAGAATTCTTCTTTTGGGTTTTCTGTTTCACTAGTTTGCTTTTCTTCCGGCTTAGTCCGGTGGCGTCTTCGCCGAAGCCGCTGTCCCTGCGAAGCGTGTTGAGTCCGGTGTTTTCTTGGAGATCTCCGTAGAACCGACCCGTTTTTTCCTCTTCAAGCGAGGGTACCGTGACCGGGGGTGTCGGAGACAGGTTGGGAATATCAGAAAGGACCATGCGACCGTTCGTGGGACTGTGATCTAGGTTCTCATCGAGGAATGGCTGCGGGGTTGGAGGGTTCATTCCCAGCGGGTTAAATGGAAGATCCGTGGCGCGTTCCTCATGGTCATCATAGTCCTGGTAAATGTTGATGCGGTTGTCACTGATGTCCTGCTCAATGCTGTCGTATAACTCGTTTTGCCGGCGGTAGTGGTCGTCATCGTCGTGGCCGTAGTATTCATTGATTGGGACCGACTCATACTCTCCCCGATCTTCGTTAATGGTTTCACCAGTCAGTTTACCCCGGCCTCCAGCAGTCACCCAATCCATCATTCCACCCTTCGCAGACGCCGGCGTGTTCGTCCTGCTATACACGGAAGACGGATCACGGCGCGCCGTATCGTCTTGATTGGCATTGTCGACTGGGGATGCTGCCCGAGATGAGTAAGCCACCCAGTTGTCTGATTCCGGACTCGCACACAGGGAACGACTTGGGACGGTAGGAGACGGCTCCATGACGGGGGCACCGCGGGGGATTGAAGAGGTTGGCCTAGTGAAAATGTCTGGATGTTCTTCGGGAATTTGATACATTGAATCGTCCACCAGATCACTGGGTTGGTTGAACGGCATCTGTGGGATAGAAGACCGCGGGCTCTGGGAGGGAAAGAAAGTCTGCGACTGTCGGCTTCCGGCAAAGTCTGAGGAGAACCGACTAGAGCCTCCTTCAGATGACTGGCCCCTGGTGTGCATGAAAGCCATCTTGCGGGGCGGGCCGATGAGCGGATCGTCCGACGTGGCCGAATCCATGGTTGACTGGCTCATATGCTTTTCGGCTATCTCGGACTTGGTTCGCTTGTGGGGACGAGCTGTGAGGTTGTCTTCCAGCGGGTTCAAATCGGGAGGTAACTTGGAAATTTCGCGGAATATCAAGCCTAGGAAGATAGAGATGCCCAGACTGATTGCATGAAGGCCTCCATTAACCACGCTCAGGAGGAAAAGTGACTGTGCGATCTTCTGCACCAGATCATTTTGGGATCCAAGTAAAGTGCTCCAGTTGTAGGCGCTGTTTGCATATTGCATATAACCCAAGTACGCCGAGAACACGTAGAACGGGATGAGTCCAAGGTCCAGAACGCAAGCGAACAGCATGTAGCTAGCTTGGGATCCTGGAGCTCTCATAACTGGAGAGCGACACAAATGATAGATGCCATAAAGACCGTGGAGAATAGCTACTGCTGGCTGGATGGTGTTAGCTCATGCCTTCACATACAGGAACGTCCTACTCACAGCGGCACGAATAATCCATACCATCACCGCTGGGACGTTTTTGACCACAATGGCGCAGAACAACGACCCCAAAGCCCCTAGCAAAGCCAAAACGCGAAATCCAAGTTGGACCTTTCTACCGTAGAACACCTTGGCCTTTGTGCGAGGGCTCATCGGGGTCCATCGCGACTTTCCGTCTGGTATATTGCAGTACTGCGGATGTCATTGTGTTAGCGCATTCCAATTGCACAAAGTCCAACATAGCGTCCTCCACATACAGAATCCGGGTGTCGATTGAAGTTGATTAACGGCCCTTTGGGCTTCGGTTTGGGCGCGGGACGAGTCCAGCTCGCCTCTGTCACGGCCTTGGGGTTGAAAGGACGGTCGGTCGGACCATAGAAGCTGTGTGAAGCTGGGGGACCGTAAAGGAATGGAGGCGACGATCCGCCCATGGTTGCGACGAGGCTCTATGTGATTAAACCGGCGGGGCGTCCACCCACGCGAGATGACGACAGGTGGACACGATGCGAAGCGAACGAAAGAATGCTGGAGAAGATGAGCCGGAATGCTGGACGATGGGGACAAAAATGAAGGACAGAGCCGTGGAACGTGGAATGTCGGAGGGGAGAAAGTGTCCGAGAAGCAGCAACACGCGATGATGGAGCTGGGCTGCACATGCGCCCTGCAGATGTACTGAGACATGCCCCAAAGTGGAAAAGTCAACATCGCGATAGTCGGCGCGGCAACCAGCCCCGATAGCGTCACGTGGTGTCTGATGTAATCCGCCGAGCCGTTCTCCGGAGATCATGGTTAGTTAGCGATGCGCAAGTCGGAATGATTCATCCTCCACTCTGCTCAACCACGATGAACTCCCGCCGGGCGCCGTACGTCTGTGCACAATGCACAGCGCAGATCATCCGGCTGCCTCTGCGTCAACAACTTCGCCATCCCGGGCGGCAATTGCCATGGCTGCGGCGTCACTACAGTCAGACCGTCCAATCTGACCGGCCCTATCGCGTCGCTATTGTCGGCTCTGGCCCGGCGGGCTTCTACGCCGCATATAGACTCCTCGCGAAGGCGGAAAATGCAGTGGTGGATATGTATGAGAAGCTCCCGGTGCCTTTCGGCTTGGTGAGGTACGGCGTGGCGCCCGACCATCCAGAAGTTAAGGTATGGCGTCTACCGTCACACCCGCGAAACCCGAGCATTCCCAACGATTAACCGGAGGCAACTTAGAACTGTGAAGAGAAGTTCACTGAAGTCGCCGCCTCTCCCCGCTTCAATTTTATCGGAAACGTCGAACTGGGCGACAAGCTACCCCTCCAGACCCTCAAACCCCACTACGATGCAATCCTGTTCGCATACGGCGCCCCCAAGGACAAAGAGTTGGGTATACCTGGTGAGAAGGCTGTGCGGAATGTCTACTCAGCTCGCGAGTTTGTCGGATGGTACAATGGGCTTCCAGAGCATCGAGATCTGGCACCCGACCTTACCGCGGGGGAAAATGCCGTGATCGTCGGACAAGGCAACGTGGCTCTTGATGTTGCCCGCATTCTGCTCTCGGATGTGGATGCTCTGCGCAAGACGGATATCGCCGACTACGCTTTGGAAGCATTGGCAGATAGCAAGGTGAAACGGGTTCGGGTCGTCGGCCGTCGTGGACCCATGCAGGTATGCTCGTTGACCGGATAAGCGCATGTGCCCAACTAATGCCTTTCCAGGCGGCCTTTACCATCAAGGAACTCCGTGAGCTTCTCCAACTGCCGTCTGTGTCGTTTGATCCGATTCCAAAGGACTTGTTCCCCCCGGAGGACGTCATGGCGACCCTCCCCCGAGCACAGAAGCGACTCGTGCAACTCCTCGCCAAAGGGTCTACCAACGACCCAACAACCGCCACCAAGTCCTGGGCTCTCGACTTCCTCCTGTCGCCAGAGTGCCTGAACTGGTCTCCGGTCTACCCCTACCGCCTGTCGCATGTCAGGTTCTCGCGCAATCAACTCGACCCGTCCGATCCATACCTCCCCAGCGCCAAGGTGACTCCGAAGTACTTGTCCAGTGGAAAGCCGGCTCATGTCGACATTCCCGCAAATACCTTCTTCCGCAGCGTGGGATACAAATCCCTCCCGCTCCCTGGGTTGGAGGACCTCGGCGTGCCGTTCGACACGCGCCGCGGGGTGATCCCCAACGATGGATTCGGGCGAGTCACGACGCCGGCGGAGACGGGCGACCAGGAACGGCTTCCCGATGGCTCACTCCTGTCCCATCTTCCGGGTGTCTACTGCGCCGGCTGGGTCAAGCGCGGCCCGACCGGTGTCATTGCTACGACCATGACGGATGCGTTTACGACCGCGGACGCCATCACGGCCGACCTCGCCAGTCAAAAGGGCGAGGGCTCTCTGCTGAACTCGCCGGGCACCAGCACCGGACTGGGATGGGAGGGCGTGCGGCCCGAAGCGGAGAAACTGGGCGTGCGCGCGACCACCTGGCAGGACTGGGAGCGGATTGATGCGGCGGAGCGGGAGCTGGGCCGCCAGAAGGGAAAGCTGCGGGCTAAATTTGGACGGGTCGAAGAGATGTTGAATGTGTTGTGAGATATAAATAGCATCACATGTACATTATGTAGCTGACATGTAGAATTGTATATGACATCCCCACTTCCACCCTCGTTACATGACCAAATCCCGAAAGAACCTCATTCAATCCATTAAAAAAGGCACATCTACTGGCCACAGTTCGACTTGGCCACCTCCTGGTAGGTCGCCTGCACGCGGCCCAGGTTCACCGCCTGGCCATTGGTGAGGTCGTTCATGGCCGACAGAGCCAGGTTAAAGCCACCGGGGGCCGCATCAATGGCGGTCACGAAGATGGACTTGCCGCCATAGGTGAGCTTGTAGCATTTGCCGCAGTTGGGGCTGTTCCAGCCGGGGATGGTGGGGGAGCCGCCAATGTGCGGGAACTTGGGGACGCTGCCGAAGGTGGGCCATTTGGAGGTGAGGCCGTTAACGCCGTCGGAGCAGGAGACAGTGTTCATGGAGCTGCCGGCGACGTCGTAGCGCTGGTCGTAGGAGACGGAGACGGACTGCTGGGCGGAGGCGGCGGGGAGGAGGGCGCCGAGCAGGGCGAGGGTGGCGGCGGCGATCTTCATTGTGAGATCTGGTAGATGATTGATTGCTTCTTGGTTTTGAGAGGGTTGAGAGGGTGAGGATGATTGAGTGGTCTGGTGTATGGCATGAGGCGATGGCGCATGGGTTTATATAGCTTTGTCTGACGGGGTCCGACCCGGACGACCTAGGTAGTATATCCGTTCCATGCCTGGGCGTCCGACTGATGTCTCGTACGGACTGCCGGGAATAGAAACGGATGCTGGCGGAGTTTGAAACCGGATCAATCGCGATGATGGCAGTGAGACAGTTCCCTCATCGGGACGTTGGAGAGACGGCATCTTGATGTGCGGAGGGCCATGCGGGGACGCCGTGACCGCCGCTTGGGCCAGTCGGAGGCTGCTCAGCGTGAGACATACAGCTTTAGGCATCCGACTTGCACCGTGAATGACCTCTTGGTGATGTATGCGAGGAGAGAGGCGATCTATGAATAGATCGTCTGCTGATTGCCGTATGTATTATATATGCCAAGGAGACACCAGTGACACAAGGGAATGTTCCAGTACGCCTCCTCCGGCCGGCTTGTTGACCGCCTCATCTATCATGAGATTAGGATGCAGAAGCGGCCATGAGGTGACACCAACAGGATTCCAGATCCAGAATGGATGTCAGAGATTGCTGACTGCGTTGGCAGGATGCCTGATATGACCTGTCTCTGGATGTCTCAATCGTCGGTATAGTGGAGGCCTTGCATGTTGAGTGTCTTGCGAAGCTGTGTCTGAATGCAATCATGCCACAACCATGATATCAGAGGTCGGATGAATGGAGACGGTCTGGTGTCACCGTCTGATGGGAATGTCATTCTCTGCGGTCATTGTCCGAGACGGGACGATCGGACTCTAGACCCTGAACTATGGCGTGCACAAGGTGCTAAGCACATGTTCCTGACTCGATATTCTGTCGAAGCTTTGCCAATTTCCCCGTTCAGAGCTTGTGTCTCCTGAATCCACGGTCGATCGTGGTTGTGATCGGGGAGATGGGGGAATTCCGAATGAAGTATACACACGATACACACCTGCAGGTATACTTCAAGTATGAACCATGAGACGATACAACAGCATCTTCTCCTTTCTTGCTCTCCCTGCTAAAATTCGTCAGTCTCGCCCAAGATGTCTAAGCCACTGACAGGATTTCCAAACAGCATCTAGACCAGCTTCTAGACACACGAAGAGGACGCTAACAGCTCGCGCAATTACGGCTTCCTCGGAGAAAGCCATAGTCCCACTGCAAAATCAGTGCCAGCCAGTGAGATACTCTGTTCGGCATCGGTACTTAGCAGGACCCTCTCGATACGAGGAGATCCGCTCGATATGAACCTGGATGGGCCCCTTTTCCTCAGATCTCCAAACCATTGGGAGATCAGCATCGTCAGACACCATCTTTCTCCAACGGTGGACCATGCCTCGTGCAAACTATGGCCCGCTAACTATGATGTGCGTCTGGTGTTCGCTGCTAAGACTTCCACGCCCATGGAACCGCACCCTGCCCCATACACCCAGTGCCCTGTGCTTCCCTTTTAGGCAAAGCCTTGGGGTAACTAGTTAGAGCTCTGCGATCCTTTTCGCCGGGACTGGCGGCGACGAACCAGAGGCCCGTTATTTCCAGTCTCCTGGAGAGCCATGTCGATCCCACAAAAGGGTTAAATACTTCACGCCTCGCTGCGCCGGTCAGCTGCGCATCCTGACCCTTGCCACGCTCGTTTCGGTTGTTCGGCGTGGCCTGGATCAAAGCATGTCGACGCTCATCCGCGCGCTGCACGCCCTGCACCGCCAGGATGCCCTCGTGTCCCGCGATGTCCAGCCCAAGACCGAGCCTCTCCACGGGGCCGACCATGCCGGCTTCATCGCCATTGGCATCATCGGGCTGACCTCGTTCGTGGCGACGTTCGGCCTCCTGGCGTTCCTGACCTTTCGCTTCATCTTTTGGCGCCGCTACTACAAGCACCCGCTCGCTGCCAACCAGTACGTCGTGCTGATCTACAACCTGCTGCTCGTCGACATCCAGCAGTCGATCGCCTTCATGCTCTGTCTGTACTGGGCCTCGCAGGGCCGCGTGACCATGCCCAGCGCCGCGTGCTACCTCCAGGGCTGGTGGATCCAGACCGGCGACCCGGGCAGCGGCCTGTTCGTGCTGGCGATTGCGTTGCACACGGGCGCCGTCGTGCTGCGCGGCCGCCAGCTGCCCTTCCCCATCTTCATCGCCTGTGTCACCGGCCTGTGGCTCTTCATCCTGATCCTGGGCTTCATCCCCGTCGGCCTGTTCGGCGACGAGGTGTTTGTCATCTCCGAAGCAGGCTGGGTGCGTCCCTGCCCCCCAAACCCACTCAATAAACAACACCCACACTAATACAGACTCCAGTGCTGGCTCTCCCCTGACCACGAAACCGAGCGCCTCTGGGTGCACTACCTCTGGATCTTCCTCGCCGAGTTCGGCACCGTCATCCTCTACGGCGTCATGTTCTTCTACCTGCGGCGGCGCATGAAAGAAGCCGCGCTGCTGCGCCACGGGCCCCAGGAGAACCTCAAGCGCCTCAACCGCGTCGTCGTCTACATGGTCATTTACCCGCTCGTCTACCTGCTGCTGTCGCTGCCGCTGGCCGCCGGCCGCATGTCCACCGCCCGCCACGTCGCCCCCAGCCGCACCTACTTCGCCGTCGCCGGCTGTCTGATGGGGCTGTCCGGGCTGGTCGACGTGCTCGTGTACACGCTCACCCGCCGCCACCTGCTGACCGACACCGAGATCAGCGCGTCCGACAAGCTGTACCAGATCTCCGGGTCGCAGGCGTACCAGACGCACATCTCCACGACGGGCCGCGACAGCACCAAGAAGAGCAAGAGCCGCGGGCGGTTCCGCCGTGGCCTGCAGTCGATCAACGAGACGGTCGACGACGACCGCGCCGACTCCACCGAGGATATCGTGCGCAAGGGCGACTGGGAGATGCACGACATGCGCAACGCCGTGTACCAGGAGACTACGATTGAGATCTCGCACGAGCCGGCGGATCCGGATGAGTTCCACCGACGAGGGCGGGACAGTCCATAGTCGCTCTTTTCGGTACTTCTATTGTTTATGTCTCTCCTTCGTATATACTCCAACTGTTACTATCATTCCTATGCCACAGGGCGAACTTTCATGTACGTATTCTCGACGACGATAATGTTTACATACCTAATACCGAGCACCATACTACCGTACCCGTAGATTACTCTGAGACATCCTCGGCTGCTCATGCTGACGTCCATCTGGATCTTTACGCCGGCATAACGATCTGCACGCCTCCCCACTTGGCGAAAGCTTACTCCCGAAATGAGTTAGCGCTGCGACTCGTGCCAAGATGTGTTCGTACGGAGGAGACCCTGTTAGGGTTAGGCCCGTGAGGTACCTGAGTTTGCAGATTCCTGTTCAGGACTAGCCTGAAGAAGCGAGTACTCCAACTGTGATGGACTCTCCTGGTCGAGATTTGCCACCAACTCACCCCTCCGTACATAGCAGATAAAATCTTTCAAAAGAAAACGTAAATACGAGGAATACTCTTACAGAGAAAGTAAAACAAAAAAGGAGTGCCCCCACTCGGGATTGAACCGAGGACCTCGTCATAGCTGTACTGACTGGATGGCGAGCCAACCAATCAGATACGAGTGACGCGCTCATACCACTGAGCTATAAGGGCTGTGATGTCATACCTGTCCGCAATTTCGTCTCTCATTCCTAGCCTGTACATCGTCCCGAATGTTAGCTACTCTTGACTTTGCATACTATGCGGAGTATATACACTTTTAACTGGAGCCCTTAGAGCACTATTGCAAGCACAACCAGAATTGGTATCAACTAGACACTCGCTACCTTCACACCTCCTCTCAATCCTCCGTCTTCCGCGGCGGCAGAGGAGGCCGGACTTCATCGGATTCCCTACCAGGAAGACGTTCCTTTGTTCTCTCTGCAACTTCCCGCTTCAGCCGGACTTCTTCATCCTCAGCCTGCTCACCACTCTCTAATACCCTCTTAGCCGACTCCCCATCGGGCTCAACCCCTGCGCGACGGGCGTTGCGGATTCGCTCGCGCTCCTGTCTCTCTGCTTTGGCAGCCAGGGCAGCTTCTTCCCGGGCGACTTCGCGGGCGTCGATGCTCTCCAAGCCCACTCGTCGCAGAATATGCCCGATCATAAACTGGTATCGCAGATGGCCACTGATCATGTCACTCACATCCAAGTTCTCAACGCCAACTACTCCCTGCACAGGCTGCAGTCCAGCAACACCGAGCTGCATGCTAGTGGTCCGGTACAGCAACGCAAGAACCGTGTCATTGTCCGAGTAGGCGTTGACCAAGCGTCCGCTGACAACCCTCCGCATCCGTCGCCAATCCTCCGTATCCGAAGGTGTTGGGGCGCCCATCAAGATTGCCGACTCGACTAGGCCATAAGCGTTCCGTTTAGCTAGACTCTGGAGACAGGAGAAAATAACTCGCGAGCCCAGGGAATATCCCATCAGGGTCACAGACCGTTCGCCCTGCACCTTGCTGATCAAAGCATCCGCGAGAACCTCCCCAGCCTTGTCAGCACGCGCCTTTGCGACACTGAAAGGGTTAGAAGCCACGCGAGAAATCTTCATCAGACCCAGGGGCAAGACAACGGCACTGAGTAGGGACGCAAAAATAGTCTTTTTCAAAACCTGTTCCCCAGCTGTGTAGGCCGCACTTGTCACCAGGAGGTCCATTGCGTTCCCAAGATCCATCAAGGGTTCGGTTTCCCAGCGAAGGCCAAAGACTTCAGACTCAGGTCCAAGCACACGCCACGGCACAACAAAGTTCTCCTCTTCTGTTACCCAGCCCGTAATACCGATAGTAACCCGCAACCGATGGTCCTGCTGAGCAGCGTCTTTGTCATTCAACAGTCTCCTGCGAGTGCCGCGGATAGGAAGAAACGCAAAGTCATCCACCTCCTTAGCATATTTGTCCACCATGCGGCCCGTCATCCGACCACCGTACGCACCAAAAAGACCACCAACCACAACACCGCTGCCAGCAAGTGCACCGAGATATCCTGCAGCCGCCGTAGCTCCCAGACCAAGTCCTCCCATGACCGTCCCCAGGCCAGCTGCGACAAGGGGCGCAGCGAGTCCACCCGTAATTCCGATGAGAGTGGCACCCACGACGGAGGCTATCCCGACCTTCCACTTGCGAGTTGGATCACGAGTGCGGCCTTCGGCTTGGCCCTCTCCGTTGGCCGACAACTGGAGGGCAGTATCGAGCAACCCGCGAGCCACTTTTACCTCGTCTTCATTGAGAATCTTGACGTCCAACCCCAGGCTAGACGAGACGTATAGCATCAGAATCCGTGACCGAGCATTGTAGTGTTCCAGACTAAGCAGAAGGAGAAGTAGGGAATGGAGAATTAGAAGCTTTTTAGCTCGGGGAAGGTTGGCAAGGGGAGTGTCCACAGGAGGATAAAGCTCACGGAGCTTTTCCAAAGAGCCTTGGTCTTCTTCTATGGGCGGAGTAGGCAGCGGGCGATTGCCCTGCGAAGTTGTGTTTTCGGAACGTGAATCACCAGGTTCATCGGCTTTGTTGACAACTTCGCCGATGCGGAGAATCACGGCATCTCTCCAGTCGTCGAAGGAGGACAATGAGTTGGCCTCGGACTTTAGATCTTGGGTGGTGAGCTTGAGCTCTCCCAGCTTTTGCGTTGGTGGTGTGCTTGACTCTTCATCCTTATTTTCCGCGTTGTTGTCCGTGGCTGTGGGTTTGGGGCTGGTCTCCGCTTGATCGCTGCCTCCCTGAGGATGAGGTTGGTTGTCGCTTACTGGCGCTGATTTGTGGAATTGTTCCTCAATGCCATTTCGCATGTATGCCAAAATCTCCCCAACGAGAAGGGTCAGTTCTGCGCGTTGCGAGCGATCCAGGATCGTGGTCAGATCTTGGTCGCGGTCGCTCTGCGGGGGAGGCGTGGACGACTGCTCCGACCCGAACAAATTGCTGCCCTTCTCCTTCAGATTTCCCCACATCATGCGGTACAGAGCGAGGCAATGGATGAATGGTCGATCACTGCGGCGTATGTTGACAAGGAAGAGAACCTGGAGATCAAACGAGGCCAGTGGGATGTCTTCAGGACCGATGAGATCATCAGCTGAGTCAGCCGCCTAGAAATGACAGGCACCAATTCAATTGACCATGTTGGAAACTTGTTCAATCTTCCTTGCACCGCGTAGATAGGTAGCAGGGAGTGCTGCGAGGCTGAAACAGCGAGCAGCGCTCAATTCGCTTCCGAGGTGCCCGTCTCAACCACGAAGAACTTCCCTTTAGTCTTCGACGCGTAGCGCAACGCATCCCCATCCCAAGCATCACCGTCTGGGCGCTCATTCCTGGCCGTTTCCACCCGCTGGATTCTCTTATTACGACCGACTACTCGTTCCTTGGCCAGGGCGTCTCGCAGCTGTTCTAGTCCTATGGTGTTCGCCTTCATTGCCTCGGGACTTTCGTCCCGGATGCTTTGCAGGGGCTCCACGCCAGTCGCGTCGACCCGCTGGATCTCCTTTACGAAATGAATTTGCGACTCCAGCGTGTCGAGCATCTTGCGTTCCTCTTCCTGGCTCGACGGCTGCGGCAGAGCGGACAGGCGTAGGAGGTGGTGCAGCTGCGCGGGAGTCACAGACAGCGTAGATGATTTGGCTGTTTCGTCGGGCAGCAGCGAGCGGACCGACCAGGTGGGTTTCGCGAGGAGGGCCTCAATGTCGACGGCTTGCTTTGAGGAGGAATGGCGTACTCGATAGGACGTAGGGAGGAGTCGAGGAGCTGATCTCAGCAGAGAGGTGCGACCGAGAGAAAACATGTTGAGATGAACAATTGCAAGAGAACACCGACCGATAGAACAGTATCAAAACGTCGAAAACGCAAAGATTAGGCTGGTGCAGTCTCTTTGGTGGTGAGCGTGGGAGGAAAATACTCGGCGGAGGATGGAGCGCATCTCGCAGACGGAAATCCGCCCACCGCCTTCTGTCACTTCCGCCTTCACATCAGACAGAACATCATCATCAACTTCGCCTCCTCCATCTGCGCTCTCTCCCCTCTCCAACAGTCTGACCTCATCTGCTTTTCTGCTTCTTTACTGTTGGGGCCGTTTATCGCTCCGCACATCCAACAACATGGCTCAAGATCCCCGAGTCCTGCTCCAGCGAGTACGTCCCTCCAGGCAATGACATATGCATTCCCCTCCCGCCCCGCGATGTACCATATCACCATGCGCTGACCATGCTCTCACGTGCTTGTCCTCAGGCCGAAAAAGCTCTCTCCGGCGCATCCAGCGGCTTCAGCTTCTTCGGCGGCCGCACAGAAAAGTACGAGAACGCCGCCGACCTGTACAGCCAGGCCGCGAATGCGTTCCGAATGCAGAAGCAAAGTACGCCTAACCCTCACGCGGAGGGACATCCGCCCGTCCAGTCGCCTGTGCCTAATCTGACCGTGGTATCAAAACAGACAAGGAAGCCGGTCTCGCCTTCGAAAAAGCCGCCTCCATCCAGACCCAGAACCTGAACGAGCCCGATGACGCCGCCAACACCCTCCAGGAAGCCTTCAAGGTTTATCGCAAGACCGACCCCGAAGACGCCGCCCGCGTGCTGTCGACGGCGATCCAACACTATGTGCTTAAGGGGAACCTGCGGCGCGCGGCCACGCAGCAGCAGCATTTGGCCGAGGTGTACGAGGTGGAGCTGGGCGATCAGAAGCAGGCGCTGGAAGCCTACGAGAAGGCGGCGGAGTGGTTCGAGAGCGACAACGCCGAGGCGTATGTATTCCCGTGCCTTGCAGTGGGGAGGGCTGGGTTGGGCCGGTGTGCTAACGTGCTGTTGCAGGCTCGCCAACAAGTATTTCCTCAAGGTCGCCGATCTGTCCGCCCTCGAAGGCGACTACCACAAGGCCATCGATCTGTTCGAACGCGTCGCCCGCTCCTCCATCAACAACCGCTTGATGCGGTACTCCGTCAACGAGTACTTCCTCAAGGCGGGTATCTGCCACATGGCTACCCGGGTAGGTGTTTGGTTCTCGATCAGAGTTGAAGCTACAGCATACTAACCCTCGGCAGGATCTGGTCTCGGCCTCCCGTGCTCTTGAAGTCTACTCCGATATCGACAATCAGTTCCCCACGACGCGCGAGTACCAGCTGCTCAGCGACTTGGTCCAGGCGATCCAGGAGGGCAACGAGAAGGATTTCTCCGACAAACTGTTGCAGTATGACCGGCTGAGCCGGCTGGACAAGTGGAAGACCACCCTTCTGCTGCGTGTCAAGGACACCATCGAGGGTGGGGAGGAAGAAGAAGACTTCTCGTAGATTCCCATCGTTGTTTGTTTGGTATTTTGTCTCACGCCTACTACTGCGAATGTTATTGTTTCATGGACGGAGAATTTCCGTGTAGTTTGGTCTGGTTGAATGTAGATGTTGATGAATATGAAGTTATGCTGCTATAGAAATTGGGACGGATACCAAGTACCTTCCTACGAACGGACAAAATAAAAAGGAAGATCGTAACTCATTAAAGTCTGACCTACTCTCGACGTCTATATAATTCAATTGCTTTTGTACGCCTGAAAATCTCCAGACATGAATCTCATCAGTCATGCAGAGCGATTTTGTGGTATCATATCATCTTTCCATTCAAGCATGCGAAACCTCCAGAACGGCGTCTCCAGCGCATGAACACGCAAATCAAGCGAGAACCTCCTCCAGCGCGCGCGCCTTGCGCGGGAACACCCGCTTGTACAAGCTGATGCCCACCGAGTCCTGGGGATTGATCTTCGCGTCGAATGTGGCCTTGAAGTAACCGTGCGTGCCCAGACTCTCCTTGATGAAACCGCTGCGGCCACGGCGGGTCCACAGCTGGAGCGCCTTGAACCAGTTGACATCCTCCGAGTTGAAGAACATGTACCGCACGGTGACGACCTTCTTGTGAATCTTGTACGGGTGCCCGGTGAGGATGGCGCGCTTGGCGACGACGCGGGCCTGGTCGGGCGCGACGACGGTGCCGTTACCAATGAGCTCGAGCCGGGCAGTGTCGGGCGGGCCGGTCGTCTCGTCGGCCGCGTCCATGGCCTCAGGGTCTTCCACCGTCTTCTGCTTGAAGACGAGGACGGGCACGGCCCCCCAGGTGAGCGGGCCGATCCAAGTGGCGATGGCGCTGCGGCCCGGGTGTAGGAAGCGGTCGAACTTGTGCACGTTGTTGGGGGTGTTGTCGTTGGAGGAGAAGATGGGGTTGACGACCAGACGGCGGTAGCCGCACTGGACGATCAGCTCCTCCTTCGACTTGAGTGGCTCCTCCACGCTCGAGTTCAGATGCATGTTCACGTTGACGACGGTGTGCTTGTGTTCGTGGCGGAGGAGCGAGAAGAGCGACAGGGGCTGGGGCCGATTGCGGAGAGAGGCAGGCACCGCGCGGAGGTGCACATCGACGCGTGTACCGGGGCTGACGCCGCCGACCAGGGCTTCCCGGATCGTCTTGTTCTTGGAGCCCTTGTAGTCGGCGAACTGGAGCAGGCGGCGCCAGTCCTCTGGTTCGTGGGGTCGGTCCTCGGCCGTCTCCCAGGTGCTGGTTTTGAAGCTCTTCAAGCCTCGGAACCGGGCGAGACGCTCGCGGGCCAGAACGTTCGGGTGGAGTTCGATTTCGTCGGGGAATTCGAGGTCCTCATTCGCTTCCTTTCTGCGGCTGGCCCGGTACTCCTCCAACTGCTGGGCCTCATCTTCGGGCGACGGGTCAAGGAACATTTCAGACTGGGGGTACTCGGTAGCGCCAGCTTCCGTCATGGCATCGTTGTGTTCGGGGAAAACACCGTCCTCGGGTGCTCCGGTCGTGTCCATCTCCATCTCTTCGTCATCATCTTCGTCGTCAACGATGTCAGATCCCGAATCTGAGATATCGTCCAGATACCAGGAAGACTGGTACTCGGACGTGCCCTTGGGCAGGCGCTTTGGCTTCGCGGGGATGTGAGACTCGTCATCTGAGAAGTAGTGGTGGTCATCGAGGAGCACACCCTTCCGGTCCGTCTCGGCCACGGACATGGTCTCGTCCTCCATCTCGATCTCCTCCGGCGCCACCGTCGCCATATCATCCTGATCTGCGGTGGGAGTATCCAGCGTCTGGGTAGCTCCACTCTCGTCGACGTTCATAGCGTCCTCACGCTTGCCTCGCGCGGTGGGTAGGGGCGCGGCTGTGATCGAATCGATCTGGAAATCGCCCCAACCGGGGATATGCACCAGTCGATCCGCCTTCAAGCCCTTGCTGCGAACAATTCCAGTCAATACGACATCGTCCACCACTTCCGCGTTGCTCTCGGGCCACTGGACGTTCTCCACGAGCATCCAGCTCCGGTCATCCCGCCAGCGGATTCCCTTCGGAGTTGCGGTGCACAGAGATCGAATGGCGTTGGAGCATTCCTGTCTCGACTCGGCGGAAAGAACCTTCTCGACAGAGGGGAAGAAATGGTTGATGAAGGACTTGAGAGAGGAGACGACCTGCGGACGTTTCTTGGCGGGGTTGATCTTCTCCAGGCCCTGGTTCCGTTACTATCAACCCATAAGGAAACACAGGAGGCATAGAACACATTCGGTGAAACATACCTGTACGATGGTAACAACGTTGGAGATACCCTGACCCTCAATGGAGCGCAACAGGAGTTCACCTTGCTCCTCGACCTCCACCTCGGCGGAGAGCACCAGCACCACGAAATCCGCCATCCGGCACACATCCAGCGCATTCATGAGATCGTATTTGGCGGGAATGTACTGCAGACTCTGGCGGAACCGGTCCACGCGCACGCGGGTGACTGTATCGAGCGAAATCGCTGCCGTGACGTCCACACTTTCGTTCAGCGCTTGGATGGCCGATGCGACGTCGATGTCGGGGGAGAGAGGGACGACGGCGACATGGCGGGGGGCACCATTCTGGCCGGAGAAAATACTGTTGGCCTGGGACTTCTCCTGGTGTTTGAGCTGTTGCTTCTGACGGGCCTGGTTCCTCCGATCGAGTTTCGACATGAGCTGCTGATGAGGGGTCTTGCGCGTGCCCCGCTCGCTTCGTTCGACTTTGCCTGGGAGGAGTTAGCAATCCGTTGGAGTGTATGGATGAGTCGTCCGAAGTTGTATAAGACGCACCCTTCTCCTTGTCCTTGATGGAGCTCTTGGACGCATGGCGGGACTTGTATGGCTTGTGGGAGGTTTTTGTCGTAGAGCGGTGATGGTGCACCGTCTGCGTGGGGGCCATAGTGGCGGACCCTTTGAAGCGGAAGGGAAGGGAGGCCAGGATGGCAGGTTGAAAGAACTCTATGGGATTGAATGAAGAAAGAAAGAGGACTGCGAGGTCTATAGGTAAGGAATGGTCGGTCTGGATGTTTTGTGGAGGATAGAGCGACAAGCGAAGATTTGCGGAAGGAAAAAAAGTTCGGTCTTGGCATCAAATTTCTGACCCGCCGCAACTTTTCATTGCTTCCGACGCCAACACCTCCCAGCACCACTGCCATTTATTCTACTTATCGACTTCCTCTTTCCACTGTCATCGCTCTACTGGTACCCCATTCCATTCTCCTATCCCTCGTCGATGGCTGAAGCCCCGACCAAGGCCGTCGCGCCGGCCAACAAGCGCAAAGAAAACAAGCGACTCGCAGAGGCGCAAAAGACCTACGGACGAGGAAAGGCCGTCAACCTTCATGCCATCCGGGACAAGAAACTGCGCGGGAACCTGAAATCCATCGAGAACAAGTACAAGGCGGCGGCGCTCCAGGCTAAAGATGCGGAAATTCTGCTCGAACACGAAGCCGGTTTCCTCGAGCCCGAGGGCGAACTCGAACGGACATACAAGGTGCGACAGGACGAGATCAAACAGAGCGTGGGGATCGAGACGGCAAAGAAGGGATTTGAGCTGAAGCTGGAGGATCTGGGACCGTATCGCTGCGACTACACCCGCAACGGTCGCGAGTTGCTGCTCGCCGGACGGAAAGGTCATGTTGCGACGATGGACTGGCGGTCGGGAAAGCTGGGCTGCGAACTGCAGCTGGGCGAGACGGTGCGCGATGCGCGGTGGTTGCATAATAATCAGTTCTTTGCGGTTGCGCAGAAGAAGTATCTCTACATCTACGACCACACGGGGACGGAACTGCACTGTCTGAGCAAGCATCTCGAGCCGCTGTATCTGGAATTCTTGCCGTACCATTTCCTCCTGGCTAGCGTGGTAAGTCTCCCACTCCGAGGATTCGACTCGCGCACACCCTCTGACCCATCTAGCAAATGAGCGGCCACCTCAAATACACCGACACCTCGACCGGCCAGATGGTCGCCGAAATCCCCACCCGCATGGGCGCGCCAACCTCCTTCTGCCAGAACCCGTGGAACGCTATCCTCCACGTCGGCCACCAGAACGGCACAGTCACCCTGTGGTCGCCCAATTCGCAGACCCCCCTCGTCAAGGCGCTGGTACACCGCGGCCCCGTACGGTCGATGGCGGTGGACCGCCAGGGCCGGTACATGGTGTCGACGGGCCAAGACATGAAGATGAACGTGTGGGACATCCGCATGTTCCGCGAGGTGCACTCGTACTCGTGCTACCAGCCGGGGGCGTCGGTGGCGATTAGCGACCGCGGGCTGACGGCGGTGGGCTGGGGCACGCAGATGAGCGTGTGGCGGGGGCTGTTTGACGCGGCGCAGGCGGACCAGGGCAAGGTGCAGAGCCCGTACATGGCGTGGGGCGGCGACGGGCAGCGCATCGAGAACTTGCGCTGGTGTCCGTACGAGGATGTGCTGGGCGTGACGCACGACAAGGGCTTCGCCAGCATCCTGGTGCCCGGCGCGGGCGAGCCCAACTTCGACGCGCTCGAGGCCAACCCGTACGAGAACACGAAGCAGCGCCAGGAGGGCGAGGTGCAGGCGCTGCTGCACAAGCTGCAGCCGGAAATGATTTCGCTGGACCCCAACTTCATCGGCCAGCTCGACACCATCCGCGACCAGAAGCGTCGCGAGGAACGCGACCTCGACCGCAAGGCCGAGGACCCGATCGAGAAGCTGAAGAACCGCGGCCGCGGCCGCAACAGCGCGCTGCGCAAGTACCTCCGCAAGAAGGGGCGGCGCAACGTCATCGACGAGAAGCGTGTCAAGGCCGAGATGCTGCGCAAGGAGCACGCCGCCCGCGCGAAGGAGCGGCTGCGCGCCGAGCGCGAGGACCTGGGGCCGGCGCTGGCCCGGTTCGCCAAGAAGGAGATCTAGTCCGTTTCCTGAGATACCCGATCCATCATTCTTACGATACACTATGCATTTCAGGCGTTTGGCCGGTACGGGATAAACGGGATAAAAGTTCACCCTCATGTCTGTCGTCTAGTGAGCTCGCTCAAGCAATCTGTACAAATTTGTCTCTTCATTAGGATATGAAAGTCGTTAGATCCACGTAGAGGTATACTCCGTATACACGCCGCATCACCCAACCGGCAGTGATGTCTTACTGGTCGACGCTCCCGGAGTTGCGGGGGGCGCCGTTCTTCCAGCGCTCGAGGCTGATCTCGTACGCGCCGCTGGCCTTCCACGCGCTGAGGATCAGGTTCACGATATGCTCCATGCCCTTTCCGTTCTTGACCTCGGCGAACACGGTGGGGCCGCCCTCGCGCATCTTGGCCGCGTCACGGTCCATGACGGACAGATCGGCACCGACGATGCTGGCCAGATCACACTTGTTGACGACCAGCAGGTCGGAGCCCGTGATGCCGGGTCCGCCCTTGCGGGGCACCTTGTCGCCGCCGGCGACGTCAATCACGTAGATGATAAAGTCGGCCAGCTCGCGCGAGTAGTTGGCGGCTAGGTTGTCGCCGCCGGACTCGATGAGGAGCAGGTCAGTCTGGAACTGCTTCTGCAGCATCTGCAGGGCGAGCAGGTTGGCGCTAATGTCCTCGCGCACGGCGGCATGCGGACACCCGCCGGTTTCGATGGCGCGGATGCGGTTGGGGGCGAGGGCCTTGTTGCGGGTGAGGAACTCGGCGTCTTCTCTGTTTCATTGTGAGCACTGTGTGCGGGCGCGTTTGGCGTGGAAGGTGGGGGAGGCGCACTTGGTGAAGATGTCGTTGGTCACGGCGGCAATGTTGTACTGGTCACGGAGCGCATGGCACAACGCCAGCATCAATGCGGTCTTGCCGGATCCGACGGGCCTGTGCGTTGCTGTTAGCGTGCTCCCACAAATAAGGATCATCGGCAACATACCCTCCGATACCGATAGTGAAGGCGCGGTCTTTCCAGTCGCGACCCTCAATGAGGGGCATCTCGCGGTTCAGGTAGGAGCCGGGACCGTCGAGGATCTCGTGGGAATGGCCGTGGTTGTCGAGGGCATCATGGGAGTGGCCGACTCCGGCGTCATGGGAGTGCGAGTGCGACATAATTGCAGTTGTGGAGGTGTGGGAGCGAGTAGGAGGAAGAGAATGGGGGAGAAAAGAGGTGTCTGTTATATGTGGGGTTCGGCGATCCCTTTATCAGTGATGACACGACCGAATCTTCGGCATTATTCATCTCCGCCGGCGTCCGCCGAACTATACAATCCACGCCAACAGTCACCGCAAAAGAGGACTTGATATAGCTCTTAGGAGCCTCCTGCTCTTCGGATTTACAGCAGATGGTCAAAGTCCCCCTTGTGGGCAACGTCCAACGATACTAGCCGGCACAAGGTACATATAGATCTGAGCACGAGCGGAATGCTTAGTGCTGCCATGAGCAAGTGCTATAACCTCATTAAACTGCACCCCAACTAATAACCACCCCCTACTATAGTATGCTCCAGAGGACTGTTTCCCCGTCCGAATGATCACTAGGCCTGCCTCATACTCTCTCACATTCTAAACTGGTGGGGATTTGATCTGCGTAATGAACCCAAATTCCTCCGAGTATTGCCCATGTGGCATTACCCCGTACTCTGCCAATGGCTTGGATGATCTTCCCCAACTACCTGAACAGGAAGAAGGTGCTGCGGACGATCTTCTGTACTTCCTACTCTTGACCACCGAAGGAAGCTGGAGAATATGACAGCGATCTAGGGGACCGCAGGGTATAAAAAGGGTGGTGAATCCAGCGCTACCAGAGCCATCCACCATCCATCCTCTTCATCTCATCCTTCAAGACAAATCCTCTTCAAGTCAAACCCTCCAATCGCCAAAATGGTCAAGCTATCTGCTCTTATCACCCTGGCTCTCACCTCTGTCGCTCTGGCCGTCACCTTCACCGACTGTCAGAATCAGTTGGACGCCTGCCGCTCCAGCTCTAGCAATGCCGCCTGCGTTGCGGATCACGCCACCTGCTGCGCCGATGCTTTCGACACCTGCAAAACCAGCGATGACCCCGGCACCGCCGTCGACTGCGCTATTCAGGAGGCTCACTGTCAGGGCCAGAATTAAGCTCGTCCCGGTGGCCGATACCTCGATACCGGCAATCGTCCTCGATCACTGAGAGGAACAATTGATCTCGACCATTGCCTCGCTCGTATATCTCCAAGACGGAGACAGAAGGGGGGAGGAACGGTGGTCAATGGACAAGCGGTCTCGATTTTATGTTATAACAGTCATTTGGAATTCCTATTGCTTAGAAAAATGGCATGAATCCTTCCTGCCGTAGCTTTGACCTTGGGAAATGCGTTCCTCTTAGCCCATGTCTCCTAACTTATCTCATTGTCCAAGTCAGTACGGTTGTCGGCAAGTAGCAGTATCTGATATGTCGCTAAGGATCTAATAAGTATGTACATAATATTAGGGGTACACTTGGTGCGAGTTGTGTACAACCCGCAGGTATAAAATAGGACCCACGCAGCTTGCGGTGCGTGCTGACGCCCCTATTAACTACTCCATATGCATCGTGACGGAAGAAAGTCCTGATTTTGTCATAAGTTAAATTCTATGATTAAGCTGACTGTCAATCACGGTCCGCCCATTTCTCTATCCGCCTGCGTGCCCGTCGATCAGATAGGTGTCAATCTTATAGACGGGGAGCCGCAGGAGCAGCACATCTTCCTTGCCAACCATAGTCCGTCCCTTTGCCGATCTGCTCAGACGAGCAGAATGTTCTCCGTTAAGTTATGGGCCTAAATGTCAGCAGCAATTTATGTAACAGGGATTGTGTGTCAGCATTACTGCGGTCGAAGTACAATAGTGTACAGATACGTACATCCAAAATTCACCGACAAAACACCTTCCGTCTTAGCGCTATATGATCTCAGGGGGCCGTAGAGGGGCTCTATAACCAAGCATGGGCTAATACTCTCCAATTTTCAGATCTTAGGTAGGTCCGAGACTAACGACCGATACAATGAAATTTCATTGTCCTTGGAGAATAAGGCGACAGCATGGCTACTTGCTTTCCACCAGATTGTCACGCCAGGAAAGGCGTTGGTTGACCTATATTTCGTATACTATTAGATGCCTTAGCAATTCTTATAGTGTGCATGCCTTCAGTTCGAACACTAAATCGTAAGCTCTACAACGAGATATTTTTCATTTATATTAGAAAGCAGTAAAAACAGCTCTAAGCCTGAAGAGGATTGGTAGAATTAGAATATTGTTATATACGCGGTTATCGTGATATATAGTACAGGGATAGTATCCTAAGCTACCTGAACCTCATTCTCGCGCTAGACCGTAGGCGTGATCCCTAAGCAGTCTCTTTGATGGAGATGCTTGCTTTTCCAGCTGTCTGGTGGTATAGAGCAACTCCTGTGGTAGACTATGCCTCTAATGTCTGGACTCATGCTTCTAAAGATAAGGCCATCGGGCCAATTGAGTCTAAAGATTGGAAGCGCAAGCGATTGTAGGGACATTTCTCCGTTGCTTCCGCTACGCTAGTCGCAACGGCTTACATTAGTGCTATATAAAGACGATTCTGGAGACAGCCCATAAAGACCTAGACAGACATCTACACTCTATGTACTAGAAACTAATTCTCTACGTAGGGACCATCCATGCATAGCGCGGTACAGGGCTAAAATAGTAGCGTCACGCTACTTCTATACAGCTGCAATAGCGGGCTGACCTCGGCGCTTAGAGGAGTCTGCCGCAGGACACTCAAACGCAGGCCATTATTTTTAGGCCATTAGAGCCTGGCAATGTAGCTCTAGTCTGTTGGACGCTTAGTCCTGTCATCAGTATTGGTTCAATCACAACAGGGTTGCCCGGTGGCTCCTCCGTCCACGCGCGCGCCATCATGGCGCCGGCACCCAAGGGTTCCTGAGCATATCCTGCCACTGCCATCTGGATGGAGATATAAAGATCAGTGAGCGTCTCACCTTGCCAGCAACATTTCCTCTAGGTACCCCAGTCAATCTTTCATCCGCACGGCAAGATCGATCCTTAAAAAATGCCGGTCATTCCACCACGCCAGAAAAGGTCACAGAGACCAGAAACCGACTCTAAGCGCTGGCTTCCCCAAGAGGCTCAAGATTCCACGCCGGGGCACCTGCCGCTGTACGATATGCGTGTGCAACGCATTGATGGCTATAAGAAAACTGAGAAGAACCACAACCGTTTCTGGTATGGACAGGATGGATCATGGCGCCATATGCACAAGGCACCACCGGCCTACGGCTACATCGTCCAGCTACACAACCCGTCGTCTTCCATTGCGCCCGCAGCGCCCTGCCTCAGCTTCCTGTCGACTATGTACAGCGTTCTCTGTTTCGTCCTTCTAGCCGCCATCCTCATAACTGCCGCAAAAGCACCTCCGAAACGGCGCGGCCGAGGGAGGCTATAGGCTATCTATGTCTGAAGAAGCCAAGCGACAGCCGTAGCTTGTCTGCTGGCCAGACAAGCTCCAGGTGGCTGGCGGGCCACCGAGAACAGTGTGTCTTTCATGGCTTCCGGAAGGCATTCTAATATTGTACATATTGTCACCTTGTCTTGCATCTACGGGACTCAGCCCGTCATACGCTGTAAATTGGAGCATCTCACTAAGCGTCGTGTATTCTTCATGAGTTAACATCACACATACTCCAGCCCTTCGATATATAGCACCCAGGTACTACAGTAACCCAGATGGCCAGTACTAGCCGCCACGCCATTACCCTCAATGATAACACACAAGCATTTAAACTAGCACAACATAACATAACAAGCACTTTTCCCAACCTTACACAACCAACCAAACCCCTCACTTAGTCGACGGATTCGGTATCCCCTTAGTATCCGGCCACTTACGCAGCAAGTCGGCCAGATGATCAATCGGCGCCGTCAACAGCCCAACGGCAGTCTCAAGCGGCGGCTTATCAGGCGCACTCGGATGCGACCGTGAGGGGACAAACATCTTCGTGCGGCCGAAGGATTTCGCGAGAGACTGACTGTCCTCCTCGTCCAGCGCATCCTCCAGCTTAACCAGATCGCTGGTTTCCTCTTCCTCGATGTGGCGGGACAAGTCGTTCATGAGGGCCTGTATGGTCGGGAGGAACTGCGCGTCGGAGGGGTTCATTTGCTGAAAGGTTTTGAGTTCTTGTTTTACCTGATTCAGAGCTTGTGAGTATTGGGTTCCTGCCGGGGATAAGTTAGGGAGGTACCGTCTGATGCTCGCGCCGATCCTTGTCTGCCATGCTCTTCCCGTCGGCGAGAAGGCGCTCAAACGCGGGATACACGACCAGTTCCTCGCCGATGGAGTGGCGCGCCAGCTCCCAGGTGAACTGGTTCTGGTAGCACGTTTGCTCGTCCTTGTCCTGGGACTCGGTGATGCGGTCGTAGTACGACTCGAGCTCGCGGTGGCCTTGCTTGATGGTGTCTATGAGACGAGACATGGCGATGCGGGAATGCGAGAGGAAACGTCGTTGGTGGGTGAGATGTGGGTGTTTGGCTTGTCGGAGGTAGTATGCTGGAGTTCTGTGCATTGTTATAATGGGCAGTGTGTTAAGAAGAGTAGCACGGGTGGCGTGTTGTGCTGTTCGTTATATACCGTTCGCAGGTCCGTCGCGAGACAGCAGACCTGAATCATGAAGTGCGTGTGATAGCGTCAGGCTGATTACACTGAAGTTAGGAGGCTTTCAATGAGCGTCGCTGGCTGGTTTCGGTCGGATCATGGAGCCAACGATGGCGCAGGGAAGCTTTGATATGATCTAGACGCAGGGCGATATAGTTCGGTTCGTCCGTCAGTCACTCCCGGACCAGTAGATGACTTCAGAATGATGGGAATCTCTAGCGTCGGTACTATCAGCCACATGACGGAAGAGTAGCTTATTGTCAAATAATGCAGGCATTGTTTCCTGCACGGGTTGGTTTATGACGGGATATTTGGTAGGATTCGTGGATGTCCAGGCTCCTGTAGACATAATCGCTCCCGCCTATCGTAGACGCCTCTGGCTATATCCAGCTCAACATACTCTATGTCGTAACCAATGTTCTTTTAGACATTATTATACAGTAAGTGGTATCCATCCGTCAATCGTGCAAGTCAGCCTACTCATACATAATATTAACCTGCCGACTAACCATAATCTGCGTATTCCCATCGTGCCCCATGATCTGCGTCTGACTATCCCCATCACTCAATTCGCTATCCCGCTTGTGCCCGCGCAGCTCCTTCACATCTGTGGAGAACTTGCTGCCGTCGCCCTTGCGGTGTCCGGAGAGCTCGTATGCCGGCGCGAACCGCGACGCACCGGAGCGGCCGTACGAGCGACTGCCGTAGTTCTTGCGCACGGTCTTGTTGAGGATGGTGCGGAAGAGCGGACGGAGGGTCGCGATGTTGCCGACTGTCATGCCGAGGGCGTTCTCGGCGAAACCCCAGATGACGACGTTTGCGACGGCGAAGAGGAAGTCGGCTTGGTTGGTCAGGTTGACGGTATATTTCAGGCGGACGCAGGCGGAGACCGAAGCCCTGTTTTGTTAGTCCTTCTGCAGAGGGCGAGGAGGGTTGAGAGTACGTACAAAGCACCCAGACTCATCAGTCCAATAATCGATGCTTTGGCACTGCGCTCCAGCTGCACGTGCCAAAGTAGGGGGATCGGCCTGTTCACGTTAGCATTGATCCCAGCGACAGGACTGTCTGGAACAAACATCATAGCAGTCACCCAGTCGGTCAGGATGTTCACGGCCGTTGTGGCGTAGTAGATATCAGCGAGGACGTGGGGCGGTTGACAATGGCCACCCTTTTCGAGCAGGCTCTTGTCCCAATTGGCTCTATCACAGTCAGTCATGGACTTTGTCAAGGTGTGGGACAAGCGGGGGATCATACTCCACAGGAATACAGTTGATGAGAATGAAAATCAACGCGATAATGTTCATGGTCGCAAACAACCCGATCACGCAGTACTGGATGTAGACGTACATCTTGCGGCCCTCGGCGACGCGGATCAACATCCAACTGATACTGAGCTTGATGGGGATGATGGCGGCGACATAGCCGACTTCAAAGATCAGGAAGAACTTGGCGGATGAGCCTGAGGGTGGACGGAGGATGAACGCTCTGGGGTGGTACCTTCTGACCCTGTGCCTGATACTGCACATTCTCAGGCTTTTGCAACACAGCATTGTGGACACCGATTCCATTGAACGATCCTCCCAAGCAGCCTGCCGCGAGCACACAGAAAGGCGGCTGGTGGAGGAGGACCGTTAGTTTCAAGGTTTGTTACGTCTCGCAATTCCCATCATGAAGTCGACACATACCACTGCACAAGTCATGATCCAGTCCTCCGCACTCCATGATTTCCTCGACACACGGCAATACACCCGCAAGGCGTAGGAGATGAAGGCGAGACAGGTAAACATAATGACGCTGCCCCCCAGCTTGGGCGCATCATCGACAAAGATAGCCATGGTCACGGCGAGAGCAGCAGCCGCACGATATCAAGACTCCTGCGCCGAGCGACGATGCGAAGAGAAATCATCACAGCCGGACGAATTGACAGGAACTCGAAATTAATAAGGGTCGCCACTGTTTGGAGTATTACAGTCCAAAACTCTTCCAGTTAGGATATCAAGACCCATGGCCGTTCGAATCCGCCATCGCATGCTAGCGGGTTGTTAAGCGGCTGGACTGACTCAGTCCTTGTTTGAAGGAAGCCCAGGTGGGCCAAATGGGGGCTCCGCAACGGCAAGGACATTGAAGATCTTTCCAGAAACCAGCAGTCGTTTGAAAATTATCATCGAGAGACCTTGGTCAAGGTCGGCAGGCAGCTCCGCTGTTCCCAGGCCCCGGTGCTGTCAAGCGGGGATTTAATTTCCGCGAAGCGATTTGCCAATGCACTCTAACAACGTAGCCCTTGTCTAGTGCTGTCGTCCAGCACAATACGGCGGAGTATGCCGCCGCTTGGAATGCGTCTGCGATCCCATTGCCACGGCAGTCCCCATTTTTGCCCATTTTTGCCTCTTAGGAGCCGCATCCAAGCGAGCGGATTTGCCGATGGAAAACAAGAGGCACCAGGTCCACCTGGACGGAGGGGCTTCTGGACAGCCTATCCGCGGTCCAGCGCGAGGGTGGGACAGAACCGATAGCAGGAAATAATTCCTTGAAATGAGAATAGAGATAAGACCGTCGAACATTCAGGCCCCCCAAATGGGATTTTCATCTCCTGAAACCACCTTCGAGTGAGCCTACTGATGCTGCTGCATGTGATGGCGCATGTCATAGATGCACGACTTCCTCGGGCCTGTATCGGGAATCATTTCAGTTCCCAGGTCGTGTTGTATCCGGCGAATCCTCCGTACAGGCCTCGGATGAGGAGTGGAAGGACACCGAGGCTCTAAGAGCCCCAAGACGAACCAAGCTCACACCCACCGACCCCCATCAAGCATGACTCGAGGCTTGAATAAACGCACCAAAGTGGATGCCGCCTCAGAAGCCACAAACCCACGGTGCCATCGTGACTCCTGAGCGGAACGAGTGTACAGACTTTCATGAGATTCAATCAAGATAACCGTGGCTTCGGAGGAGGCCGTCGGTCTAGATGCAGCCAAGGACATCGGGAACGGAGAGAGGGAGAATCACTCGCTTATTTTCCAGTCCACCTTGGCAAGGAGGAAGTCTGGAAGCCCAGAATAGAAATGCACATCGGTTGCCTGTTTAGAACAGACTCTCGGGCGACTCCGTAGGGCTAATCGTCGTCCCCTGGAAAGGGGAAGAAAAGGGGCCGATCCGGCAGATTGAAAGAAAGTCAAACGACCGGAGAAGGATTGCCGGAAGCCTATTCTTTCAATGTCCTTTGTATAGTTACTTCTCAGGCCCCCATTAGTGGCCCCCTCGCCTCCATAGTGGCGTCCTCCATATTAATCTATATGCAATAACTTTATTCTCTCCCAAGTCTGGTACCACTTCTTGTGTGTTGTCGAGAGATTTCGTGGAGGTCTGCCGAGCCCTTAGCGACAGGACCGTCTAGTCATGCGAGACAGAGGATGTACGTCGAGATGCGAACAGGTCAAGAAACGTATATTTCCGCCTCTCCTGCCAACAGGAACAGACGAAATGATCAGTGAATTATCTCCAAAGAAACAGAGTCCCAACGCCCAAAGAAGACGAGCAAAAAGAGTCCAATCGCCGGTAGTAGGTAAAACATGGATATCACAAAAAGCGGACCAGCGTTGTAAACAAAATCCGGTAGCGCTATTGGGAATCGGGCTCAACGACTTGAAACCAAAAAAAAAAAAAAAAACACAAATGTCGAACCCCAGAGAGATTATGAAGAGCATGATGGCGTGACAGACTCCAGAGTAAACAGACAGCCCAAAAGGAAAAGCAAGAAAAACAGCAACAGATGCAATCACAGAATCATCAGGGGTGGAGTTGGTCGCGCAGTGCTCCCCATACCTCGACGGACAAAGATCACCTCCCAACCACACGCATCATCAACAGACATCAACGCAAGGACAACAAGACGTAACCCCATATGTTCAATAAGCAAGAGCTTGCCAAACAACAAAAAAGTCATCAGTCGCGACCAGAAATCCAAAAAGTACGCCAACCGCCCTCTTGAAAATGATATAAGATGCAACACAATCAAAGCAAAAGTATTAAGCCTCGTAGCGTAGAAGCAACTCTAATATTAAGCACTGGGCTTCTGCTTCTTGCCAACGCGAGGACTTTGTTTCACCGTCTTGGGTCCTTGACCCACAGCCCCGTTCACCTCTGGTCCACCCCCTTCGTCCATCTCCGTTTTGACCGTGCTGGCCCGTCGACGTTTGTTGCTGACGTTAGGGCTCGCGCTGGCGCTGTGGCCTTGGCCAACATTCGGTTGGACTTGACCAGGGGGCATCATTCCCGGAGGGGCAACAATCTGGCTCTGGGCAGGACTGGGTTGGGCGGATCCGGTGCCGGGATGAGGCGAGCCATGGCCAACCGGTAATCCAAGATGACCCATCGCTGGGGAAGCGAACTGGTTAGGCCCATTCATGTTGGGGCCTCGAGGGTTCTGACCCTGCTGCATGGCAGGGTTCATGGGCGCTGGCATGAATCCGGGGTTGGGATTCTGCGTTTGCAGCGTGTTGACGAGGTTCCGCAATGCGTCGGGAGGCGCAAGTTGCGGGTTCTGCTGGGAGAATTGGAACAGCATTTGCATTTGCGAGATCGTCTCGGCCACCTATAATCCACAGGTTAGATAAATCCATCATGGGTGTCAGCGGCACGCAAACCTCTAAAAAGCTCATCACGGCAGTGGGGACTCCATTGGCCGTGACCATAGACTCTGGTAACGTGAGCGAGGGTTGTGGTGCCTGCTTCTGCTGAGCTCGTTTGCCGGTATTCTTTGACACCTTGGGGCTCTGCTTCTGATCGGCAGCCTCCAATACTTTGCTCCGCGGCAAGTATTCGGTATGGTTCATAATGACAATATCGAGCATCTCTATCTTGTTGTGCATATCAAAATGCGCTCTCAGCGCCCCGTGACTCACCAGCTACGGACCAGTCAGAATGTTGGAAGGGAATATAGGGACCAGAGGGACAAACCTGGGTTTCGTTGGTGAAGTAATAGATGAACGTGCATCTCGTGACCTCGACGATGTGGCCGCCGTTGTGCGAGTCACGCTCCCGAGCGCCCTCCAGAAACATCTGGATACGACTGATTCCGCTATTGAACTGTGTCAAGTACCACCGAGCCAGCGCGGGAGTGGCTATTTCGAATTGCTTAGAACCTGCCGACGGGTTGTACACTCCTTGTCGCAATACTCCGGAGGGCGAATAAAACCGGTCCACGAAATTCTGCCAGTACTGCAGATCAGACGCCTCATTGACTCGGTGGTTGTTCTGATCATCAGTCCGACGCTATACATGGTCAGTATCGATGCACACTAATGCTAGACTGGAAGGATGCGTCCAAATCAAGAAGTGCAAGGCGGATGCTAGAGAAGCACGTACATTGCTAAAAGCGCTGAGGTTCTCTGCAAAAGTGTTGAGGCACAAGATTGATGCGCCCTTCATGTTCATCCGCTGTTGCATCAACATCGCCGCATTATTTTGTTGCTGCTGTTGTTGCGCCTTCAATTGGGCCTCTTGCGCAGTCATCTGCTGCTGCTGTGGGCCTTGAGGTTGGCCCTGCTGGCCCTGCTGAGGAGGAGGCTGTGACTGCGGTTGTTGCGGGGTTTGTTGCTGCGGGACCTGCTGTTGAGATTGCGGAAGCGCTTGTGGGGGTGGGTTCGGCGTCGGTTGTGGTTGGGAGACGGGCTGTTGCTGTTGCTGCTGTGGAGGTTGAGACGAAGGTGGTTGTGGTGGGTTCGGTTGCGGCGTCGCACTGCCCTGGTGCGGTTGTGGTCCCGGCTGAGGTTGGGGTGTAACACTCTGAGCATCGTGGACGTTTTGTGGTTGCGGCGCGGGCCGTTGTTGCGGTGTTTGTTGGCCCGGTTGTCCTGCATTCCCCGCCTGTTGCACTTGCTGTGCTTGATGCGCCTGCGCCTGTTGAGCTTGTTGCATGGCGATGAAATGCTGCTGCTGCTGTTGGATGTTCTGCGGCTGCCCATGAGGCATCTGCTGAAGATGCATCTGCAGATTCATCGGTCGCATGCCTGGGTTCCCTTGCATCGCGGCGATCTGCGCGCTCGTGAGGCCCTGCGTGCCATTGGGGAGTGATACCGGAAGTCCTCCATGTTGTTGCTGCTGCTGTTGTTGCTGTTGCTGCTGATGTTGCTGCTGCTGGAATAGCATCCGTTGCCGCAGGAGCTGTTGCTGTTGGTGGTGTTGTAGCAGTTGCGGATTATTGGCGACTAATTCGGTGGAAACACTATTGTTAGCCCCAGTTGCGATCGGCGACGCATCAAATAACAGGCTAGTCAAGGATATGAAAAGGTCGGCGGCAGAAAGAGGAAGACTTACAGTTCTGGGCGAAATGCGGTTGCTGGAACAAGTGCGCCTGAGCAGGATTCAGATGGGAGAGGGCATGAGCCTGCATGGGGCCACCCGGACCAGCGGTCCCTGCGCCAGGAGGCATGCCTCCCATCATCGGAGCGCCCTGAGTCACCTGCGGTCCTCCTGGAGCGGACACACCGGGATGGACGGGCTGGACCATGCCGGCACCGGGGTGGGCATTTGGGTGTTGTCCGGGGGCCATTGGATGACCGGGAGGCAACCCAGGATGCTGTGGGATGCCTTGATGGGCAGGATATGGCTGCGCCATCATCATCGCTCGGGATGGGACGAAGTCACCGACAACGGGGACTCCTACGGTTCGGTGTAAGGGGGAAGGTCACGATCGATAGGAACACAGGGGGGAGGAGACGGTGACGATGAAGAAAAAGAGGACGCGAAACCCCTCGCGAGGAAGATAATTATCCAAAAGAGAGACTGGGGTAGAAAAGGGAATGGGAGTGGGTGGTCTGCAGGGTTGAGGAGGACAGGCGTCAGTCGGGACTCGAAAGAAGAGCGCGCTTGACGTGGAGGCACAACAGGGCCGCTTTTAGCGTCGGAGCGGAGGCCAAGACGCAGCTGACGGGTGAAGTCCAACAGAACGGAAAAGCATGGATCGACGGGGTGGATTCCTTCGGGATGGAGGATTGCTACCGAACGGGACAAACCCAGATTAGACGAGAGAAAAGGAAAAGTAAGGTATGGAAGACGATGCGGGAAGGAATACGACAGGAGAACTGAAATGCAATGTAATGGAAGTCGGTGTGGAGGAGGGAATCCGTAATGGTGAGGAAGAACGGGAAGATGTGGAGGGGCTAAAGGGGGTCAGAACAACACTTACTGTCGATTAGTCGTCCCTAGTATCGGGAGATCTCTCTGGGTCGCGCGGTCTGCTCTCACCACCACGAACGTCCCACACCCGAGGACGGAAGAGGGGGGGAAGATGAGGAGATTGGGATGACAGAGGAGTGGGGGAGCGAAAGGAAGAGAAATGGAGAAAGGACGACTGATGAAGTCGGAGAGGGAGAGAGCGCGCGAGAGAGAAGGAGAAGGGGAAGAAAAAAAGATCTCCGACCACTGCAGCGTCTCTTGCGGCCTGAGGCTTTTCTCCATCGCGAATCACCGCAGGGGGGTGATCACGTGAGGTGGTGTGGTCGGAAAAAGTATTCCGCCGGTCGCGTTCTTTTTTTTCTTCGTCTTTCTGTGACCCTCTTTTTTTTCGGCGGTCTTATTTAAACGCTTCTCTTCGCTCGCCATGGATGTTTTCTCTTTGATCCCTTCTTCATCTCATCGCTGCGACGACAACCACCGCGTCCAGAGCTCCTCTGCGCATTGCCTCTCGCCTGATGTCGGCGCAATTCTCTGTCTCCTGATACCATAACGCAATGACGATGATCATACCACTGCACTAACCGATCAGCTCACTGCGACTCGATCTTTTGTAACCATCAGGTTAGTCTCACTCCTCTCCTTGTTCATTTGCCCCCGTTTTCGAAGATGACAACATACCTTCTTACTTCTTAATCACCTCTGAATCGTCCATGAGGAGATATTCGGACCTTCCTTTCCCGGTTGGTCTGCTACTTGCCAGTATATTTAGTCTGAGAACATGCTTTCACATCGAATTTCACACACTTCACGATGTTGGATATGAGCTAACTATAGTTCAGTTGACAGGTACACTACTGTTTTCTCGTCGCCTTTTACATAGCCTTTAGCCAATGCATATACCCATTATATTGGACGATCCGGTCAACCACCATACAAACTCAAAAACACATAGTTGTAGTATCAATATCCAAGACCCAGGCGTAGCTGTAATCACTTTATCAAAACTCCAGTTGTGTGGCTTCGCAACAAGAGTTTTCCAGTATATTAGCGTGACGACATCATCTCCAAGATCGTCACCACAAAGCTTATATAGAACAGTTCCGAAGCCAGGTAACCCTTCACTATTGACAGAAACAGGTTTGAAGTTCTGGGCAACACTGTTTCATGGAACTGCAGTGGAGGATCACTGCTCTCTCAAGTAAATAAAGTTGGTGTCGAGATCTACACAGCTGGTAGCAATTCACGCCCTTCCAACCCAGCTTCTAACTCCCACCTGCATTCGAGCTTCTTTCAGTCTCTCTCCAACAACATGTCCAAAGCTCTAAATGCAGTCACGCTCCTTGGAGCTGGCGTTCAAGGATCTCGTCTAGCGTACATGGTGATACCAACATACCCTGGCTCCATCCTCTAAACAACGGAACTAATCGCCCTCGGCAGTGGTCGAGATTAGGAAAGCCCGTCTATCTCCTCGATAACGACAAATCCCAATTGCCTCGCGCAAGAAACGTCCTTGCAACCCTTCTGTCTCGACTACCCACCGGTCACGATTCAGTGACGGTTGATTCAACAGACAACCTAGACATGGCGCTCGCACGCTCATGGCTGGTAGTGGAGGTAGGGCAGTTGGATCCATTCCATGACGGCCGTCTCTAACAAGGAACGGCGTAATATCGGAGGGCAGTGTGTTCCCGAGTCGCTCTCTCTGAAGCGATCCTTGCTCCGAAAGCTTGACAAAGCCACCCGTCCCGAAACAATCATCGCGTCAAACTCGAGTAGTTATAATATCCCCGAGATAGCGAAGGGCATTGCTCTGAAGGGAAAGGATCGCATTGTCAATATGCATCCATGTAAGTATCGAGTAGTGGTTTCAGATATCTCCGATAACACAGGGCTTTAGTTCTGCCGCCGGACATACCTGGTTCGTCAAGTACTTCCACAACTGCCGAAATAAGGTTAAGGAACTCACGTCTACCATATAGCCATTGAAATCATGGGAACGGAAGAAACAAGACAAGATGTCATCCCAAAACTAATGCAAGAAACCAAATCACATGGATTCAAACCCTTCCACGTGCGCGGGATGTCATCGGGGTTCATCTTCAATAGGGACGTTTGTTTTTCGCGTCTGACAAGCGTCATACTAACTCCACTCCCAGGATCTGGGCTGCCATCAAACGAGAAACCCTCTCCGCAATTGACGAGGGGGTAGCGAGTCCCCAAGAGACCGATCAAATCTTCCAATGTGTAACGGGGATGCCGAAAGGCCCCTGTGAGCAAATGGACACCATCGGCCTTGATACCGTGTTACATATCGAGGATCACTACGCAGCTGTACGCCCTGGACTTCCAGAAGGTCCACGAAAGCTCTTGCGCAAGATGGTTGCTGCTGGGAAACTGGGGGTCAAGACAGGGGCAGGTTTCTATTCTTATGAAAGTAAGGATTAACTGGATTGTGTGTGCCTATGACGGTACTACTTGGGTAGGGCAGTATGCTGTTTCATAGACATTTGTATGCAGGCTTCGAGCAGATCGTTAGATCCCATCCTAATAGAAAAGGACTCTAAACTTTATACTGTACATTAAACGAAGTCTTCTAGCCAGTAAGAAAGCAAGCCCTCTTCAGACTTGTGTAAACCCACTCGCGGCTAAGGTCAATCTTCGGCTCGAGGCTACACGAACGCTATCTTGAGTCTCCTTGGAGTATTTGCGCTTGATTGATTTATAACAGCCTTTTGTACTCTAGACGAAATCAGCAAAATCTAATAGTCAGAATCTATCCCTGCAATAATTCCATGCGGGGTAATGGCGTTCATCTACCAGATATATATAACGGCCTCCTCTCACCTGGTAGGTACAGTCAGATTGCTTCCGTCACATTCCGCTTCGATCGACTCACCAGTATTGAACAAATACGAAGACAATGACCATCATAAACACTACCAACAACAATGCTACCGCAAACGAGACCAGATACGCCGTCCAAGAAACACCCCTAGGGTCAACTCGACCTATTCGGGTGATTGCAATCGGAGCCGGAGCATCCGGTTTAAACCTAGCACATCAAGTCAACAAGCATATGTCCAACATCGAGCTGACGATATACGAAAAGAACCCCGAGGTGGGTGGAACCTGGTACGAGAATCGTTATCCAGGATGCGCGTGCGACATCCCCTCCCATAACTACCAGTTCACATGGGCCCCTAATCCGGACTGGTGTGCTTTGTATGTCCAACCGTTCTTGTTATGGTGTTGATCTTCATTACCGGGCTAACAGCGTATAAAGCTACTCGCAGGGGCCAGAGATTTTGGAGTACTTTCGCGAACTTGCGCGGAAATACGATTTATATAAGTTCATTCAGCTCAGCCACCGCGTGGTGGGGGCACGATGGGAAGAGGATGACGGTATCTGGAGGCTTCAGATTGAAAATCTCGCTTCCGGACATGTTTTCGATGACCACTGCCACTTCATGATCACAGCTTCTGGAGTTCTCAAGTACGTACATTGGTCTTAATCAACATGCAACTGAACTGTTCCTCACAGAGCCGCAATATAGCAACTGGAAGTGGCCTGATATCCCGGGATTGGACACTTTCAAGGGACATCTTGTCCATAGCGCTGCATGGGACGATTCTGTCTCCTACAAGGGAAAGCATGTCGCGGTGCTTGGATGTGGATCGTCTGGAGTCCAGATTGTGCCTACTATCCAACCAGGTAAGTAACTTTCACCCATCTTATTTGATGCTAAGTGTATGGCTCTTCCAGAGGTCAAAAGCTTAGTGACCTTCATCCGAACCCCAACTTGGATTACCGCCGGGTTTGCTCAGAGCAAAGCAGGGCCCGGGGGATCTAATTTCCTCTGTAAGATGTCACATGTGACTGGAACATCCCGGAAGATCGTAAGCTAAGGGTATGTATAGTTACTGAAGAGCAGAAAGAGCGGTTCAGATCTCGCCCAGAGGAATACCTCGACTATAGAAAGGACGTCGAAGCCGAGCTGAATAAGAGATTCAAATTTGTTAGTACCATCATTTCCGTCTGATCGGTTCCACGCTAACAGCGCTTGTCCTGAACGACAGATTCTGAAAGACAGCCCGGAGCAAGAAGAAGCAAAAAATTTCTCTCTGAACGAAATGAGATCCAAGCTGGGAGCCGACTCGCCACTGTTGAAGCATATAATTCCAACTTTTGGGGTTGGATGCCGGCGACCAACTCCTGGAAATGGATATCTCGAGGCACTGGGACAGGAAAATGTACGGGTCGCTATAGACCCTATTGCCGAGATTGTGCCAGAAGGAATCAAACTGGCAACAGGAGAAGTCATCCCAGTAGACGTACTCATCTGTGCTACTGGCTTCGATATCTCGTTCCAGCCTCGCTATCCTGTGGTGGGCCGCAACGGCGTCAGTCTGAAGGATCAGTGGAAACGATTCCCCACGGCATATCTGACGTTGGCGGTGCCGAATTTCCCCAATCACTTCAGTATGCGACTACATGACCAGCCTGTGAAGACTGTACTGATAACATTGTCTGTAGTGTTCCTTGGCCCAAGTTCCGCGGTTGGCCACGGTTCCATACTTCCGATCATCGAGCACGCAACCAAGTATATGCTTCGCATGATCCACAAATGCCAGACACAAGGGGTGAAGTCAGTGGAAGTCTGTCAAGAAGCCGTTGACGACTTTGTCGAGCATACTCAGACATTTTTGCAGCGAACAGCGTGGAGTACGCACTGCAGGTCATGGTTTAAGAATGGAACCATCGACGGTCCAATTGTCGCGCTGCATCCTGGCAGTCGGATCCATTGGTTCCACATGCTTGAGGAGCCACGATATGAAGACTACAAGTGGGAATATATTCGGAGGAACCGCTTTTCGTACTTGGGCAATGGGTTCTCGACGAGGGAAGACCCTGGGAAGGACACTGCGTACTATTTTGACCGGCCAGACGATGGGTTTGAGTTCGCGACATGAACCTTTCCGTTATGAGTAGCTCACATAAGTGTAGAAATCAAATGTGCCTCATTGAGTATGAGCTCTGAAACATTTCCGGAATGTGAAGTTGTAGAAGTGACGGTGGCCAGCTTGGGGGCGACGGTTGCACGTGACAGCGGATCGCCCAGAAAGGAATTATCGACAAAAGGCCGAGAAGTCTGAAGACCGACAGCCACTACCACGACTCGCCCCATGTGTACCCCTGCCGCGAGTGTCGGCCTTTTTTGTTAAGTTCATTGTCCGGTGGCAGCATTCGCCCCGGATGTATCCGTCAATGCAGCGAGGCAGGCTGCTTTCGACTTTCGCCCGACCCTGCCGTTTTGTCGCGCATCGCCGGTATCCCGCTGCTGTACCCTCGCGTCGCTTTCACCTCTCGACCGGTTGGCGATCGTCGGCGCCTTCTGACCCCCACGGTGCCCCAGATTCGACCCCCGAGAACGTCGCGGACGATGTGCCGCCACTCAATGCTGGACGCAATGTCGCCGCACATGGTACATCGCCGGTCACAACGCCGCCGGCTGCGCAACCTGGGAAAAAGGAGTCAAGTCCATATGGATCGGCGGTGCGAAGAGCATTGAGGAACAGGAAACCATCGAAGGAGTGGACTGCCCCGACTGCAACGGTCCCTGACTGGTTTTACGAGCGGAATACTGTGGTCAATAGCGGCGAGGGAGAGGCCACGGCGGAATCGCCCGAACAAGTGAAAATCGCCACGACAGTGGAAGCAAAAGAAGCACCTACAGCAGTACAAGCGCGTGGTGGTGGAGGAGATGAACCGATGCCGTCTCCGGGAGACAGTCCAAGCGAGAATCGCTACGCTCTGACACAGCCACTGTGGGAGGAACTTGTCGCATCTGCTCGAGCAGGTCTGCGATTGCCACCCACCAAGTACGCGAAAGAGCCTTCGGCACGGAAATCTCACCTGGTTCTTCAATACCCGGGTAACGATGGCATATTGTTCCTTGATGCAGTGGTCAAAAGGCTAGCTCGGGAACTTGGGGCCGACGTGGTGACGCTCAACGCCCAAGACATCGCTCAGCTCTGCACCGAGCAGGATCTGGCGGATACTGGGACCACAACAGCAATCAGGTCTCTTGGCTACGAGGTCTATCGTCCATCCATGGCGGAGACTTGGCAGGACGACGGCATGAACGAACCGGAGGCCGACGACGATGTCATGGATACCCCCATGCCATCCCGCAGTTTTCGACCGGGTTTGAAGAGCCCGAAGTTTATCACTATTGAAAGCTCGCGAGATAGTGGCGATATCCCCTTGCCCAATTTTCTCGGCCTCAAGTCTCTGGTGGCATCCTTCAACGGGCCACTGGACAACGCAGGTGCCTCGTCGCAAGGCAACATTGACCGCGCGGAGGACCGGCGGTTACGATTGATCAATGAGATTATCTCAGCTGCTAGTAAGCCACGGCAGCCAGCAGAGGAAGAATCGCCGAAGAATTCCGAAGAGGTTAAGCCTCACCCCACTCGCGATGTCATTGTCCAAATCCAGGATTACGGCGAAATCCAGAGTACTCGTGAAGGCGCAAGGTTCATTTACCTTCTACAAAAAGCGATCCAAGATCGGAGAAGATCCGGCTCCCGTATTCTCTTTGTTGGTACGGCAGCGCAAGAGGCTGCCCCCGACTCCGACACGTCGAGACTTATGCAGAACGCTTTTGACGATCAGTTCTCCCAAATGATCGTCGTAACCCCGGCTATGGAATCTTTTGCAGCGGAGAGAATGCTCACGGAGGATCGAAAGAAACGGACGCTCGACGTCAATATTCGCCATATCCAAGACTTGTTAAGAACACGCCTGAATGAGAGCCCGTCCGCTGTGAAAGATAACATTCTTGGCAGTCGGTCGTGGCCTCTGGATGCTGCCATCTTGAAAGAATCTGGCCTCGATGAGCGTTATTGGACCTACAGCCAAGTCCATTGGACCACGACTCTCGCACTCGGAAGCCTCGAGGCCGAGGAGCCCTTTGGCTTCGAGCATATCCAGCGAGGAATTGAGATGATGCAAAGGGCAGATCGGGTGAAGAATGATTGGCTACAAGAAAAAACACCCAAAACAAAATCCACAGATGCAGGCAATGACCGCGAGCGGTTATTAAATTCGCTCCGCAAGACCTGTAACTCTCACGAGAAGAAACTGTTGAATGGTGTTGTGGACGCCAAAAGTATCCGCACCACATTTGCGGATGTCCATGTTCCGCCTGAGACTATCGATGCGCTGAAAACGCTCACCTCGCTCTCCCTCATTCGACCGGAAGCTTTCACCTACGGTGTCCTGGCTACCGACAAGATCCCTGGACTGCTCCTGTACGGCCCTCCGGGCACAGGAAAGACCCTCCTTGCCAAGGCCGTAGCCCGCGAAAGTGGTGCCACTGTCTTGGAGGTCAGTGGCTCAGAGGTTTACGATATGTACGTTGGCGAGGGTGAGAAGAACGTCAAGGCCATCTTCACCCTAGCCAAAAAGCTCAGCCCTTGTGTTGTCTTCATCGATGAAGCGGACGCCATTTTCTGTTCGCGCACTGGAGCCAGCAGCCGTACCTCCCATCGGGAGCTGATCAACCAGTTCCTGCGGGAGTGGGATGGAATGAATGACCTCTCGGCGTTTATTATGGTGGCCACGAACCGGCCGTTTGATCTGGATGATGCGGTTCTCCGCCGTTTGCCTCGGCGATTGCTCGTTGACCTGCCGACGGAACAAGACCGCCTGGCGATCTTGAAGATCCACCTGAAAGAAGAAACCCTTGACAGTTCAGTTGATCTTGCCGAGCTTGCGCGGCGCACACCTCTGTACTCGGGTTCCGACTTGAAGAACCTTTCGGTATCGGCAGCGCTGGCCTGTGTCCGCGAGGAGAACGAGCTAGCGGCGCAGCACAAGGGAGACAAACCATATCAATACCCCGCCAGACGCACACTCACGTGGACGCACTTTGAGCGCGGCATGGAAGAGATTAGCGCATCGATTAGCGAAGACATGTCTTCCCTCTCGGCAATTCGCAAGTTCGATGAGCAATATGGAGACCGTAAGGGCCGGCGCAAGAAGACTCCCGGCTGGGGCTTCAGGCCTGCGGGGATTGAAGAGTCGACCGCCGATGCAGCGCGTGTGCGGAATGACCTGTAGGGAGTGTTTAGATTAGGGTATGGGTATAGGATGGGTATAGACCGGGAATCTTTCACGGGATGAGAGACGTTGTACAATAGTATTTAGTGATATGACCACACATGTACCAATATATTGCCTTGTGGAAAGGTATACATTCTAGCTGTTTGTATAAATCACTATTGATCAAGGTGGTATCATGATCATCCCTCTGGTGGACAAAAGGAAAAAGTGGTGTGATGATCCGTACTGGGAAAATGTGACCCTGGCAGCTCCGCGATGACATCGACGAAAAAAGCTGCTCCTCGTTCTGTCCCCCGCCACCTCCTCTTCCTCTTCCACCTCACCTCTCTTCCTCTCTCCTATCTCGATTCCCGTCAATCTGAGAAAGAGAGGGCCTCATTCTTTACATTCTTCTTCCTCTCCTACACCCAGACTCCTCTCCCCCACAGCTCACACGACCAGCGAGCTACCCCTCTCGCCAAACACACCATCTGACCACCATGTCGACCGACGCACGCAACGCCGCCATTCGCGACGCAAAACGCTACGTGCTCGAAATCCTCCGCAACGACTGGACCTTCGAACCCTCCACAGACTCCGGCCTCCCAGCTCGATGCTCACCCCGCGACCCAGACCACGACGTCCTGGAATGGCGTCTCCGCGAATACGACAGTTCGGGGTCTGAGCTGGAACCCCAGACGTCCCCGGCCATTGGGGGCCCCACGACCCGCGCGCCGACTGCCTACGACGACTCGTCGTCGCAGCCGTCCAGCCCTGTCCTGTCCGCCGCTGGGGGACGCGCTGAGCGCCGTCGCAAACGCCGCCGACAAATGGAGGAGGAGATGCGCTGGAACGAGGGCTTGAGAACGTGGGTGGAGCGACGCGATGCGTGGACCGGGGCTCGGACGCGGAGCGATATTTGTCGGGGGGAGGGTGCGCCGTCGGCGTCTGTCGCGGAAGGGAGTAGCATGGATGGCGGGGCGTCATCGTCGTCTGCGACTGCCGGTGTTGGCATTGGAAGCCAGGATACGTATTCTGGATCTACATCGTCGCGGCCGCTGTCTCGCAGTGGCGAGTCGTCGAATCTGGCGGCGAAGACGGACGCGTGTCTGAGCCTCGCGGAGCAGGACGCGCAGTCTCAGCCGGACCGCGAAGGGGAAGAACGCTCCGTGGATTTGGAGAACAAGCGGAAGGAGTCCACGGAGACGGGGATCACCGAGCCTGATCATACGCATAAGCCGACAGTACCGGAGGCTGTTACGGGGACTACTCCGGCCCCTGCGCCGGCGACGGCAGCAGCTACCGCGATGGCTTCGTCCGTTCATCACCAGCCAGGCGTATCCGAGGAGCCCCTCATACCGGTGGCGCCCTCGCTCATTCCGGCGTCGAATCCCATCCGCGCCTCGATCACCCCAGCCATGTACCCGTCCATCTACTCGAAGGTGGTCATCCAGGGTCTCACGCCGACGGTCCCCATCAACCTGGCCGATGTGACTAAGGCAATGGTGCAAGGGTGGAAGTCCGACGGACAATGGCCGCCTAAACCGGCCACGACGAACATTGTGCTAGCGGATGATGCGACAGTGCCCCGGGTTGACGACGCGGCGGACAAGCCGGCGTCGCCAGAGTCGAAGCGGAGGTCTAGTGTGGCCAATGCAGTGCGCAAGGTCTTTAATTTCTCAGGATTCCATCCACACCCTTTCCATCGCCGTGGCTCCAGCCATAGCAGCAACCAACACCCAGAGGCTCACGATGGGCAAGCAGCCGAGGGTAGCAGTGTTGCTGCTGGTTCTGCGAATGCTGTGCACCCGGAGCGGCGGTAGTATATGATTCATGATGTTGTTCTATTTGAACCATATTGGGTTTGGGCGGTTCAGGAGTTTGGCGGCCAGACTGAGGGTATCCCCTCCTGTTTCCGCTTGGTTTGTGTCGATGCATTTCTTGCTCATGGTCATGATTACGATGTATTATTCACGCATGCATTGTAAAGCTTGCTTAGTGTTGATGAACCCTACTATACATTCGTGCATTTTGATTCCAAGGCCTCTGACGAAGACTAATGGTTGCAGTTATCTCGAATATCAGCAGTAGTTGAAACATGTAGGCAAAACACAAGCTTGTAGTCTGACAAGGGAGTGTATACATTGCGAATCGGGACAATTTTAGTTCAGCAAGTGATGCGGCCACTCTAATCCCATGGGCTTCTTCTGCGATTCAGCAATTTCAACGAGCTCCTCCTTCAGGGTGACAAGACACTCAGCAGAGGCTTGTGGAGTGATTAGCGGTCCCAAAGAACCAGCCATAAACGGAACGATGTGTTGTGCAACAGTCCTCAATGAATCGGGAAGAAGTCGCCTCATAAGTAACGCTTCAGATACCGTCCACTTACCAAGGTCCACCATAGTGTCTATATAGGCATGGATTCCACCAACACTGGTTTCATGATGCTCATGTCCGTAATCATCCACTACAGGACTCAGTATGAATAAAGCCAAGCACAAGAGATCGTGCAAGGCATTCCGCCGGACTCGGTGCTCCCCTTAGTGCTGAGACAGGTCAGTACGCCACTATCATCCTATTTCGTTCGTCCCGGGAGAAATGCTTGAAAGTCTGCAACTGCTGCTGACCTTATATCGAGCATGCGAGGACGCACTGTGCATCCACGGAACAGGTGACAAATTATAGCAGCGGGAGACAAAGATAACATCGATGGAGCAGGCCCTTATTGTTGGGTCAAGTGGTGGAGGCTGTTTTCCGTATATGTGAATCAATCTCAAAAGACAGCCTCCTTCTGCAGTCCATAGTGCATTACTAGGCTGACTCCTGTTAGACGGTCAACGGGGGCGTATCACTTGGCGGGTGGCCACTGTTCAGATGTTGGATCTACTTCAAATGGAAGGTATGGTTTTGTCTATAACCCGCCCAATTTCTTGATGGACGAGGCACATTGAGATCCGAAACATAGTTGTGTATTGAAGATTATAGCATCGTCTATGCAATGTGGTAAAGGAAAGTCGAGAATGCTCTAGGAAAAGCCCTGCTCCAGGGCCTTCAGACAGCGCTCTAGATCCTGGAGGTTTTTAGCTGCCGCATAGATGATGCTGTCTGGACGGAGGATGAAATATTTCGCTCGGTGGTCGTTCAGTCGGCGCTTGAACTGGTCGACGTCGTATCCTGGGCGAACATTATACCCCGTGAGAAGATGTAGCGGCGCTGGAAACGATATAGGCCACAGGTTATTGCGGTATCCACCACTCGGATTGTCCCTGAGGTCAAAATGGACGCGGGATTTGGACGAGAGGATGGCCGAGTGGATAGTCGATCGCTGGAGAAGTTGCTCTAGCTCCGCATTCTGCTCGTCATCATGGTCAGACTGAATGACCAGCAAGCTGAAAACTGTGGGAACTCGTCGCAGTGCTTGGTCGGAGAGTTCAATGACGGTCAAATTGCTCTGAGGGAAGCGCGTTTGGACGTATATCTGACCCAGCCTGCCTCCGCCCCCGGAGTTGGCTAGAAATGCGCCCCGTAGACAGCCATGATACCCACTGGCTGCTGCTTTTATCGGAGAAGGTGGCAATATCGCACCTCGGGACAAAAAGAGTAGTAGTCTCAAGAGTGCAATCTGCAGCGCGCCCAACCAACCGGGCTCTTTGTTGCACCATTCCCCGTTCTGCAGCGTCAAACGCGCGGACATGTCCACGCCCGACCGTCGCTCCTCGGCCCAGGACTGCAATGTTTTGGCTCGTAGGGGTGCTGAGGTTAGTTCGGCCTTTTCCAGCCTTGTCAGGACAGCCAACCGCCAGGCCAGGCCTTCGGCATCCGCAACACCACAGGCAACGCCCTGGCCACCAAAGGGTGGGAAGACATGAGCTGCATCCCCAATAAGAGCAATGCGCCCAGAGAACCATCGATTGACGACTTTGTGAGAGAAGCGGAATGGGCGGCAGCGGAGGACTTGGATGCAGTCGCGTGGAAAGGTGGCGGTGGCCGCTCCCTCTGGACTAGGCACTGGTCGAGTGATCATCGGAGTGAGGTGTTCCCAGAAGACGGTACTCGCCTCTGCTGAGTCGTCGTCGTTGTCGTACTTCCACTCGGGGACAGCAAACTCATGTCGCCAGAGTCGCTCCGATCGTGGACCAAATCGTCCGCACGCAACTGGCTTCCCAGGTGGTCGGCAGAAGTGCCAGTTGGCCGGCCAGAACAAATCGTATACCGCCTCCTCGGTGTATCCGTATGCCCACAGCGGGAAATCCGGATGAGACTCTCGTGTCGGGAGAGTGATCTTCAGGTTGGCCGCAATCCAGGTACCTTCGTACTCGAATATTCCCGCCTCCTGCCGAACGCCGGCGGATTTTTCAAGAAAATGCTTCCGGACGATACCTCGTTTTCCGTCTGCTCCGATCAAATAGAGAGCGTGGATCTGACAGGGCTTTCCATCGCGGTCTGAGTAATGGACAATGACACCTTCTTCATCGGGCTCGTGCGCCACGACCTCGCATGAGGACTGGAGTGTACAGTACTCCGAAATGGTTACTAGGTCTCGTAGAGCAAGCTCTTTGTTACATATGCGACGATTAGAACTGAAACAACTCAAAGGAAAGCTAAGTTCCGAATCACTCACCTAGTCGAGGCTGACTTTGAAGGATAGTAGTAGGGAGCGCATGCTCCATAATATCCATCTCGAGGGGGATCTTCAAAAAGGGTTCGTTTTGGATCGTCGTCTTATGAAAATTAAGACTGTTGAGCTCTGCGAATTGGGCGTTAGCCCTCTATCTCACCTCCTGTGACATATGGCCTCGGCCGACCGGGGATAGAGAAAGATATCACCTTGTCCTATCCACGATATCCGCTTCCCCAAACCCAGCTTCCACAGAGATCGCAATGCATCGCCCGTTAATACCACGCCTCTCGGATCAGTGGTGACCTCGCGTTCCTTTTCGAGAATAACTGACTGGATGTACATGAACAATGCGTCAGGAGCGGTCTGTACGCGAGGGAGAAGCAGATATTGGGATTACACCGTGCATACCTTTACTCGGAACTGAGCCAGGAAAAGCCCTAGGACCAGGCCAGATGGTCCGCCGCCAACGATTACAACGTCAGTATTCATTAGTGAACGGTGTAAGCTGATTTCTTGTGCAAAGTTGGTTTCTGATCACTCGGCAAATGCAACTGTGATATCAAACCTACTTCCCGGCCTTTTATAAGGAAGTTAGAAGCTCTATAAGTTACAAGGGGTGGTCACATCATACTTAGGTTTCAGTAGATACAATTGCTCTCTAACCCGATACGTGTTCCTAGCGACTGAGAAATGCGACTCGGCCATCTCATGGGTTGCGGCTACACTGGGCCACCGGCATAGTTCCTCCGCGGAGGAATAGTACGTACTAGTGAAGTCTGACCGCGCATCGGGTGGGTATCACGCCGATCGATGCACCTCTCAAGTCTGCTTGACAAAGAAGTCGGCAAAGGAAGAGGCCTCTGGGCCTCAGTCCACAATTAATCAGGGGCACGAGGTGGATTTGAGAGCAAGGTGACGCGCAGAAAGCCTAGCTGTAACTATGGCTGTGTTAGGCTACCGACTGACCCAAGAGTAGGTGCTCAGGTAGCTGGGATATCACAGGCGACTTCCAATATGTTCAGGGTGCCAGATTACCAGGTCCACTCAATAATGCGCGAAAAATAGGGGAGATAATTCTAAAGTAAACCAAAATAACCCAGTTGTAGCTTGGGAACTCTAGATTTCCCTCCCAGCACATAATCAGAACTCAACATTCAAAATACAAAAGACTTCTCCAGCAATCCAATCCAGCAAAGTCATATCAACCAGAGACTAAACCTATACCAGAGTTTTGCTTTGACTAGCTTCCACGCAAGTACTCTGTTTGCCCATTCCAACGAGGTCTCGAATCAGTATTCATCTGGAAGAATGGACTTAGATCTGCGGACGTAGAAAGCATTCGGGCCCGCAAAGGAGGGGAAAGGAGGAAAGCCTCACAAGATAGAATCCTGCCCTTCCTCAAAAACGACTTTGTTCTTCAGTTTGCCCAATCCAGTGACTTCAATCTCGATCTCATCCCCATTGTTGAGAAGCTGACGAGGTTTCTGGAATACGCCCACCCCCGCCGGGGTCCCGGTCATCACGACCGTATACGCTGGGATTGTGGTGCCTGCAATTTGCGCATTATAGATTAGTCAAGGAATATAACAACGATGAGACGCATAGCTCACTTTGGCTCATCCAGCTCAACACTCGTTCCGGAGAACAGATCATGTCGTTTTGGATGACAGTGTTTTGCCTCACTTCTCCATTAACGCGGGTAACTAGGCTCGCCGTTGCTTTGGCCTTGTGAAAGATATGCGGGCTCGCAAGGACCGGTCCTATGGGTGCAAACTTATCAAAGGCTTTTGCGTAGAAGAACTGGCCGCCGGATTGTTCGGGGAGCTGGAAGAAGCGGCAGGAAAGGTCATTGCCGACGGTGTACCCGAGGATATATGACGAGGCTTCCTCTGGGGTAATGTCTCGGCATTCGCGTGCCGTAACAAACACCAGTTCGCCCTGAGAATCGATGTCAATGGTTGCTTCTGTTCTGGGGGTGTGACGGTAGGCGGCTTACTTCGTAGTCGGGGAGATGTGAGGCGCAGAAGCGACTGACGGGGATAGTTTCGTTTGGCGCCGCTAATGAGGCGGCCGGTTTAGTCCATACCGGGGGATTGGAAGGAACATTCAGCTGTTTTGTGTGATTAGAGATTCGATGGCTATGACGATCGTGGTTAGATGACATACGCTGGCCTCTTTCGCGTGACTTTTATAGTTGAGGCCGACGCAGTAGATTGGGAGGTCGGTTTGCGGGATTGGTGGCAGAAGCTGTTGGAAATCGAATCATCGTCAGATTGATATTCTCAAAGTAGCCGATGCGATGTGGTCCATGCCTTTGTAACTGTGGCCTGCGTCGCATTCTCGTCCCCCAGCAGATCCTCAAAAGTCGGGTATGCGGTGACTGTGGCGCCAACGACGGGCTCTGTCGAGTCGCCTTTCGCAAAGAACCCTTCCCCTTTTTCCGTCTCGAAACAATAGAGGTAGTCAAAAGTAGCCATCGCAATAGCGCTGGGGATGTGATTGAAGGAGGAACAATGTGGGAGACTGATAGAATGAGAAGGACCAGCTTAGCTCTCGAACAGTTAACTTATTTGAATGACAAGGACGGAACCATCAGAGTTGCTCCGCGGAGGATCTTCACCCCCATCTAATCCAGCTCCATATCCGAACTCGAGTCGCCAAAGAAGAGGAAGCATGCCCTTACTTTTTGCTGGTAGGGTTCTCTTTATGGATCCTCTGTCCTTCCTCGGGCTTTTAAGCAAGTCATTACCACCCATCTGCTTGTCTCCATCTACCCATCGACGGCGACACTTTTGGAGCTGCAACTATGTCTCTTTGGATGCTCGACGTGCTGGCTCTTTTGCCCCAAAGCTGGCAAAACTGGATCCTCCCCCCATCTAGCATTCCGACTGTTCAAAATGACCCGTCAAAGGTCCAACTAAGCCGCATCGCGCATGTCTACTTCGACCATCATGACCTAGACGCCTTCGCCAGGTTTGCCAAAGATTTCGGATTCGTCGAGGCAGAACGCAGGGGCACGACCATCTACTACCGCGGCTATAGCAGAGACCCTTATATTTACGTCGCCTCGCAAAGCGGCACATCCAAGTCCCGGTTCAAGGGCGCGGCCTTCCTCGCAAAAGACCAGGAAAACTTCAACAAGGCCGCGAAGCTACCAGGCGCCATCCGCAAGACACTCGATGACGCCCCGGGCGGCGGCGAGATGATCACCTTTGCGCGTCCCAACGGGACCTTTCTGCATGTGGTGTACGGCCAGGCCGAGCGCGAGATCGACGGCGAGAAAGAACCACCGACGGCAACGCACGAGTCTCAGGGACCGTTCAATTACCCCTTTGAAAAGCCTCGCAAGGGCCAGTTTCAGCGATACCGCGACGGCCCGGCCCTGGTTCACAAGCTGGGACACTACGGCTACGTGTGCAAGGAGTTCCAGACCGAGCTGGAGTTCTATACGGGCAACTTCAACTTCGTTCATTCCGATATCTTGTATCTGCCCCAGCTCCCGGATCGGGACGTCATGACGTTCATGCATCTCGATCTCGGCGAGGAGTATACCGACCACCATACGTTATTCCTGCAGCGTGCTCCACCCACGGTTCGCGAGACATATGTCCATCATACTTCGTTCGAGGTGGCAGATTTCGATACACAGCTGATGGGCCACCACCATCTTGCTAAAAACGGGTGGAAGAGCGTGTGGGGTGTTGGGCGGCATATCTTGGGGAGTCAAATCTTTGATTATTGGTATGACAGTTCCAAGTTCAAGATTGAACATTATGCCGATGGGGATGTGGTGAATCAAGATAATCCAACGAGGAGAGAAGCTGTTGGACCGCTGTCTGTTTGGGGTCCGGAGCTGCCGAAGGACTTTGGAGACAACAAAGCAACATGAGGGCTTGCTTTTGCTAGCATTGTTTCGTTTGCTGTTGAATGCACCTTTCCTGTATCTTCGCATAGCAACCGTTATTCTCCTCAAAAATCAATTCTTCTGAAGCCCTTGTATGCCGATTTCCAAGATCTCGAGAATCTCCTGACTTGTTCTGGGTGTGTGTTTTATATCAGTATTGTAGCATCTCTTGCACACCTTCCCAGACATCTCTGTCTGTAGAAATGTCAACGCTCTACTTTCACAGAGGCTAGAGCCTATCTCTCGACTTGTATTAGATCCTTTAGTCCGTCACATGCAACAGTAATGTTCTATGCTTTCTGCCTCGGTAGTGGTGTCCTTACCCCTATCAATAGGAGAATATTGAGTCCTCGTATGCAATCGGCGCCGGAGGAACTGCTGGTGTTCCCCAAAGGATTAATTGTGCCGACCAACCGGCTGTGGCAGACGTTTTTACGTGATAAGCACTTTATCCGTTATGGCAACGGCTGGTGGCCGGGCTTATGCCATCAGGGACATATTAAAGGATTTGTTCTGCTGCTAGCACTGCTTCGATCTGTAATGAAATACCTGGCTCTGGACAATCCAATTCTTTCTCACTGTAAGCAGAACAGCAACTTCATCCTTTCTGCGCTCCCTTCATGGCACAAGAACCGATGTTCGCGCTCATTACCGGCTGCAGCAGCGGAATCGGAAAAGACCTCGCAATAGCCTTTGCAACCAAAGGGGTTACCGTGCTTGCGACGGCACGATGTGCCGAGTCGCTCGGCGACTTAACAAGCCACTACGACAACATCGAAGCCTTTCCCCTCGAGCTCTGCAAGCTAGAGAGCATTGAGAAGTTGCGAGACGCCGTATCGAAGCGCACGGGCGGCCGCCTCGATTTCCTGGTCAACAATGCCGGCACCCACTACGCATCAACCGCAGTGGACCTGGAGATCGAAGAGGTCGCAAAACTATTCCAGGTCAACGTCTTTGCCGTCATGCGCCTTTGTCAGGTCTTCGTGCCGCTCCTCCGTCGGTCGCCTCGCGCGCGAATCGTGCAGATTGGGAGCGTGACGCGGAGCGTACCGGTTGTATGGCAAGGGCCGTACAATGCTTCGAAGGCGGCTCTGAGTCAATATTCCAAGACTCTTCGATTGGTGAGGCAATAGCCAGCACAGCACATGGTCTATTCCATAACAGTTTTTTCTAACGGGATTCTAGGAGATGATGCCGTTGGGGATTGAGGTGATTGAAATCGTGACTGGGTTCGTGCAAAGCAACATCCTACACCATGGACTGCACGCTCCAGAGAAGTCACTCTACCTTCCCATCAAAAGCACGGTTGAGGATGTCAAGTACCGAGGGAATGAGAACGGCATGTCGCCACACGCGTACGCTACCTCTGTGGTCGCCAAGCTGATGCGGCCACGAGTCAGCCCTGAAATTTGGGAAGGCGCTTTGGCGAGATGGCTTCGCTTTCTTGTAACGTTTCTTCCACTGCAGCTGTTGGTAAGTGTCCCCGCAGCTTTACAGCCGGGTGGTTTTCCTTCTGACTAGAGCTATTTGATAGAATTGGATCCTCTTCCGGCGGTTTAAGCTGGACCTTGTAAAGGCCGGATTGGACGTCACGCGACATGGGGCTTCTGCTTGAGGATTAGTACTCGGTTATGTAAAGTAAACACCTACTTGGGCTCTCTGAAATCTCTGTAAAGCCATAGTCAGATGGATGATCTTTGGAGTCTCATAAAGTTCCTCCGCGGAAGAACTTAAACTTCGCTCCGCTCGCACTAACCCCAATCGGGGCTACTCGGGTATTACCCCGGACTCCCTCCTCGACTGCTTCTCCTCTCTTCACCTTCACCAGATAGATGCGTGGTAATTCAACTCTTCCAGGCCAAGGATAACCTTGAATGTAACACAGCACACATGCAGCGGCACAACGGGGGAAGGCTGTCTTCGAGGGTTTGCGATAGGTGTATTCGGTAAGTCATCTCCACAGAACGAGAGCCGTCCGCTAACGTGTGAGATACTAGGAAGAAGGTCAAGTGTATGCGGCTGAAATTCTTCCGGAATGTTGCTCCGCTTACTCAATCCAATCAGGCAACCAGGCACGGCCGACTTGTTCCCGCTGCAGCGAGCTCGGGGAAACGTGCAGGTACAGCTTGATAAAGCGCAAACCGGGCCCGTTGCGTGGTTCACATCATGCGTCCATCGCGGCTCGTGGTAACATCCTTCCCGTTATAGCCGGTTGTGCATTTTGTGCTGATAGTTACTGTAGGCCGGCCGCGTCATAGTGACTCTTCGAGCCTTCGAGAGGAGGAACATACCCCTTCTCCGAACGAGCATATCTCCCATGGCACGTCTAGCACAACAACCCCTGCGGGTCCTCTCCAAGACGTAGGCGACAGCAGCCCTCAGTTTTCCAGTCCTCGATTTGCAGGTCAACAACGGTTCACCCCTCAGCAGGTGGAGTTACTGTACACACTTTCCCCATCGCTTGCTGCGCGTATGTTGTCACTAATTGGCCTGGCTCAGTCTAACCAGTTACTTTGATAATTTGCAAGACGCAAACCCAATCTTCTCCAAAGAAGCCTTCTTGCATCGCTATCGAAGCTCGCTGTGTGCGGAAGACCTGATCTCCACAATAGTCATCATCACCGCGAAACTAACCGGTTTCACCGCAAACGAAGAAGATCTCCAGAGTCTGAATACCGAGCTAGATCTCTTATTGGGCTCTAGTCTGCTAGAGGATGATCTTGTCGGGGATGCTCCATCCCTCGACCAGTTTCGCAAAGCCTACCTCCTCGCATTCTATGAATTCCACCAGTTCCCAGGCCACCACGCATGGCTTCGTATAGGCAGGGTGACGCGCATGGCCTACCGCATCGGACTTGACCGTCTCGACCACGTTCGCGCGACCTACCCTGACTGGAGAAACGTCAGCAGCGAGGATATCCAAGAATGGCGGTGGATCTGGTGGTGTATCTACCGCCTCGACTGCTACTCTAATCTCTCGTCCGGAATGCCATATTTGATTGACGATGCCGCCATCGGCACTTCGTTCGTTCGAAGCAAGACTATTCTCGATCCCGACTTCATGGAGGAGTTGCCCCGTGAATTCTTTCTCCCGCCGAGCCCAGACAATCTGTCCAAGATCCTTCTTGCCGCCCCTTTACACCCAGAAACACTGCTGAGAAACATCCACACCATTACATCCGCTATCCTACGACAAGCTGGGCTGGTTTTGCGGATGCACTTGGTACGCTCAGCTCAAACCACCCTTGTGGAAGTCGCCAAAGCCGAGAAACAACTAGCTACCATCCGTAGCGCTCTTCCATTCGGGTGGCTAAACCCTAGACGTAACGCACTTTCTAACGAATCACACATCGACTATCACGCACGTATGGTGACGATCTTTCATCTGCGAATGGCACAGCTGCTCCTTTCAATCGTGGACTGCGGCCAGCGACAATACGCCGATGAGTGCCTAACAGGCTGGGAACGGATTCTCGAGCCCTGCCAGGATATAGCCTCAGTCGCCGATCACTGGGACAGCTCCTTCTGTCTCGCAGTCGATCCGGCCGTCTGCTTTACTTTTTTCACCGCGCTCGTCTTCTTGGATCTTCACAGGAAGACGATGACGACGACCGACGCCTGCACCGCGGAGCACGATCCCAGCCACGGCATCTTTGACCACCACATTACAGTCTTATGCCTCCAACTCCAGCATTTCGCAAAGATCTGGACATTACCGAGGCTTTTAAAGCGTAAGTTGTCGCAAACCCGGCACATGTTGGACCAAGGACTTGACTTGTCAGCTAATCAGACCCACGCTACCAGTTTCCTTCGAAAGCTTCAATCAATCGGTGTCCGGGCCGCTCTCCCATCGCAATATTGCTCTAATATTGTCGCACTTTGAAGCGCCGCTGCATCCCAGGTGGTTGCACTTTCTCTCGACGGCACATACCGTCTTGGCAGGCTCTTAGAAGGACTTTTGATATATCGAGTTGGCGTTTTTTTCTGTGCCCGTTTCTGACACAACATCGGAATATGTATAACTACACTAATTCACGAATCTTCTCTGGAGACAGTCAGACTGGGCGAGCTGGCTGGAATCCAGATATCCATATGTCCATCGGGCATAACAGCTCGTCTTTGCCATGTAAAAATCTTCGCTCTTCCAGCCAACTGCTAATCTGGAATTACCTCTTAGTAGAGCTGGCATTCGATCGTTGGGCGTCTCATCACTGGGTCATAGTAAAGATACTTTAAATACTGGTCGTCAGGAGAGATAAAGAACTTCCAAGAAATATTATCCCCAGTCTGGGCTATTGTATGACAAGTCTAGATTTAAGATGCCAAGCACGACCATGTTCATTTAGCTTAATTATCTATCTGCTGCGGCTGTGCGCCATGTTGTCACATGTAAGTGGCAGTGAAGATCGCCAGGGTCGTATATATTTGTGACCAGAGACGTCGACGGACCTAACGTCTCGTAGGCGGAAAACAGGGTAGTTTAGGTCAAGCAAGAAAAGCAATCGCTTGGAACATCGACGTTGATGGGGTTACTTATATGTCTTCCTTATCCGGCAGGTTCTACCTCCTGGCGAGACCATGTTTCTCTCGTAGCTGTGCAATACATTCGTTTCCATCGATTTCATTTCCTTGTCAGCACTACCTGTTTCCAACCGTGCGCCCTTTGTAGTTACATACTTCTATCTTGATATAACTCGCCTAAACGCCATATACACCATGCATCTCAGCCATCATTGGAAAACCATACACAAGTCGTCATTTCAATCATAAGTACCAAACAAATCAAGAGCTTCCAGCGTCTCAAAGAAAAAACCTGCGGCGTCATCAAATGCAGCCGTCGGGCAGGTTGCAAGCCGCGCCGCGATGGCGGGCTCAATCTGTACTTCCTGTGGCTGGTGACAGCCACGTCTCGTAAAGTAGTATCGCCCCTGGTGCCGGGACCAGCTTTCGCTGATGTACGCCTGGAGCTCGCGAGTGGCGGATTGGCCAATCTCCAGGAAGAAGGCGGCGGTTTTGGAATGCGTGGGAGGATCGTGAGTGAAGACCTCGGCGAACTTCGTGAAATCTTCAGTAGAGGAGTCAGATAGTGGACAGTCGTGGATGTGGGAAGTAATGAAGAGGATGATTTGGCGGAATACCCGCACTTGGGTGATAAGAGTTTCTCCTGCGTTTGTGGCTCGGTCTATATAGTCGACAACGCGCAACGCGGCTGTGATCATCTCGACCATGGAGGAAATGGTCAGGATGATGGGAGGTTCTTTGAGCCGGTTGGTGTTGTCGATGATGGTCATCAGCGATTGGTACGACGCGCGGAATACAGAGCTGAAAATATCAACCAGGGATGAAACGCAGCGAGGGTCTGTAGTGTCGATGTTGAAGAGCAGTTCCTCGAAAGTAAGCATGATGGTTTGGATGATTGGCCGACTGAGGATCCATCCAGTGGAACTGCTGAGCGCAGCCTCAAGATAAGCCGGGAAGGCAGATTGAAACAGGAAGGCTCTCAAAGTAGGTCTGCTAGGATCCCCAGACTCATATGCCTCTTCCATGGAGGAGTGCAGTTGCTCGACGAAATAGGTCTGCCGGCGATCAATAGCAGCTCGTTCAGAGGCAGATTGGATGAAGACGATTAGTGCCTTTGCGGACTTTCCGGACGACAACTTGGGCTCGTAGCTCTTCACTCGTGCAACGATGTAGGTCGGGTCGTCCAGTGGAAGAGGGAAGGAGCTCGGGTCAGTGAAGAATTGATCGACGGGACAGATATCCCGGGTGTATTGCTGCAAGAATCCCACAACACGATGGACAAATTCCACATAGTCGCCTTGGGCCACTTTAGTACCAGTGCCCAGTTCCTGATAATTTGACTTCATGGACGACATCATCTCTTGAACTAGCTCTCGGTACTCTTGTCTGGCAGTGGATAGGTCGCGGCTACCTGCCTCCTCGAGTCGGAGCACATGTGTGCGCATATTGGACAGCAGACTCGATATCAAGGACAACCTACGCTGGCTGAGTTCCTCGAGGGTCACCGAATAGCGTCCGTCTGTACCGTCACGATAGAATGGCAGGTTCTGTAGCATAGGGTGGTCATTGTCGCCATTCAGCAGAGCCTCAGTGAGACTATGCTGAAATTTGAGCATCGAGGATCGCTCCACCAAGCACGACATCCAGAGGCTATAAACGTGGATCTTACACTCTGCGACGAAGCTGTTGTCTTTTTCAATGCAACTCGCTAGGAATTTCGGTGTGTATTTCCTGGTCTGGATGGTAGACCGGAGTGCAGCCCAAGAATCGCTATCGTAGCGGCTCAGATAGCTATCCCAATGTCGCAATCCGTACTTAACAAGAGTCTGTGCAATGGAGGTCCAGCAATCCACAACGCTCAGAAGGATGGCATCTTCCGGGCAATCGTCCTCTCCAAAACAGTTTGACAAAAGACGAGACACCTCAGGATGAAAAGTCTTCTCCACGAGCTCGATCCCTTGAGGCAAGGCTGATGTTGTTTCACCCTCATAGAAGGCTTCGATAGCAGTCCAATCGCCGTAGTCCTGGCTGTCGTCTTCTGCAGACGGATTCGCGGCCCCCACGGGAGGGACAGGATTGCACTTTTGCAGATAAGCAACAATTACCTGGAGCGCCTCGGATACAGTAGTATTCACACGAGACACTCGGGGGTTGAAAAGTCCCAAGACGGCATTGAGAGGCGCTTTGCGGGCGAGCTTTTCGGCATGTTCTGCCGTCGGTGCCGCGTTGATGGCGCTCTTCAGACCATTGAGGGCAGTTTTCAGTAAGGACTCGATGTGACGTTGGTTTTCTGCGATTGTGCGTTCAATCAGTTGATGCGAAAATTTGTTTCCCCCAGTGTTTTGGGCCTCAGTCTCTCTCCGAGCAAGACCATGTTGCTTTAACAGCTCGGTGACAAAATATGAATGCCAGTCCGCGAATTGCTCGAGCCCTGAGACGTCTTCATTCGTCGACAGCTTGAACCGGACGAGTCTAGCCCATGACCGGAGACTGATATTGCAGGTCTCACGATGGGAACTGGCCGGGTCAACGAGGTTCTTTATCGCCTCTAAGCGAGGGCGACATCCATCAGGCACCGCAAAATACAAAGTGCAGAGGAGGTCATGATGGTTTCTCAGGGCGGCCAAATCCGTCTGCTGAAGAGGCTTCTCTTTGGGATAAACTCGTCCGTGATTGGGCAGCAGGCGCCAGGCAAAATTCCGAATCTTCTTTTTGTCATATCTCTGGGCCAAAAACCGGAGACCGCTTGCGATGATCTTCAACAGAACATGGAAACAGGGCTCACCTAACTTGATGTCAAACGACGGAGCCCGGTCGAGATCATCAAGGAAGGATGGAGATCCATAGCTTTCCTCGTGTTCCAAGTTGTACAAGGTGTTTTTCGCAAAGAAATCGTAAAGCGTGTCAAGGATTCGCTTGCAGTCACGCCAGCCCCAGGCATTGATCAGATGAAGACACCTGTGGAACAATGTTCGACAGTAATTGTTGTACGAAATGGGTGTCTCCGACTTGGGGTCGTAACTATCCAGCACTGGCCGGACCAGACGCTCAGGTATTGTCCAATTATCTGGAGTATTCCTGAACCGGGACCCAATACGTGCAATACCAGCAGCATCAATCTCACTCAAAGGCAGCATTATAAAAATCAGATACCACCTATCTTCCATCCAATTGACATCTGTCGAACGTACTTTCTCTGGCGCATCTGACAGCGAACATGCTTCAGCAAGAACCTCCTCGAATGAGCCTTTGAGGCCGTCGGCACCATGGAGAACATGGTAGGCAATAACATAGGCATCAACACACGGATGGTCCTCGCGTACTCCCGCTTCTCGTTTCTCGTCTGACTTATTCTCTTCGAGGAATTTGCGTATGTCAGCTTGGCCTGCGGAAGTTGAAATAAGCGCGGCGACTTGTCTAGCAGCGTTTTTCACAACCTTTACTGCTTCGACCCTAACGCCTTCGGTGACAACATCGTGACAGGCAATTCTATATGCTTGATTCGCAAACAAGAGGTTATATGCCGAAATCCTTGCAAGCCAACCAGCCTTGTTTGTCTCTCCCAGCGTTGCTAGGCTATCGTTCAATCGGGAGACGAGGCCGTGGGCTCTTCGAATAAAGCCTGCCCTATCGATAGGGTCGATGAAGGTAAGGCCATCTGTGAAATACTTCACCAGTAACCTATATAGAGTGCAAGCATGGCTGAGGCGGTCCTCCGGTTGTTCGGCAGAAGTATGACTGCTTTCGATTTCTTCCAAAATTATATCGAAAGCGGTACCAAGTTCCGAGGAAACAGTGTCGTTCCACGGCCCCCAACGAAAGCTCAGGGTTCCTGCATGAAGATGAAAGACGCTGGCTGGACGGTCAAGGTCCCGTTTTCCGAGCGCAAGAGAGCGAGGAAATTCTCCACTTCCAATGAACGTGGACTCGTGGAAGAACGTCCCAGACTGCAGGGGGGTTATGTTGAAGTCTATGGTATACGACCGGCGGTAGCCACTTAATCCTCCTTGACGGCTAAACGGTGGGGTCCCTTCATCCACCAAGCTGAATGGCTCGTCTTCCAAGACTAAAGGAGCCAGCGTCTCTTGTCTTTCGGGTGCATTCAGGTCGATCCTCCTGGGTGGACGCTTGCGAACTTGGGGCCGTCGTATTTGAAGACGCGCAGTGGGAAGCATATCATCGGATTGGGTTGGCACTGGGGCCTCAGTCATTCGCCGGGGCTTGTCCGCATCGGCTGGAGAAGAGCCAAGGAAACGATCCAGAAGCAAATTAAGATCCCGGCCTTTCGGTAATCTTCTGGGTTGACGGCCGCGATTCAGCGTTGATAGGGGCGCTTGGAAACCTGCTGATCCAATAGTGCTGCCCACGAGATCAGAGATCGCTGGTCTGGGAGCATTTCTCTTTAATGAGGATATGGCCACATTTCTCCGCACAATCCAATTATGACCTTGCCTGTAAGGTTCAGTAGGCTTAGGTTCAGTGTCACCATTTCGCGATGCTGGATCTGGGGCAGGAGCTTCCAGTCGTGGCAGGGCATCCGCACCACGATCTACTTGAGGATGATTCGTAGATCTATCCCGCGTTCTAGACGTTTTGCTGATCTCCTTGGCCACAAGGCTACCGAGCGTCTCTTTCGGGTTAGAAGACAGGTCCGCTAGGGGCTGCCTCTCGTGGGGCTTCGTTTGGTATCCCGAGAGCCTTGTCTGTCGCAATTTGCCCTTGCGCCATTGACGCAATGACACATTGGCGTCTTCCGTATCCACCCTTGAGCTGAGTTGGAAAACCTTGCGAGAAGGGCTTCGTCTTCCTCTGTCACGACGGGACCGCGCGTTGCGCGCAGCAACTCTCAGGAACTGCGGCTGCTCGTTTCGCGGCCTGGACGCTACATCTGGTGCATCTAGGATGCCAATCATGGGTGGAGCCCGCGATGTCCGAGACTCCTTTCGAGCACCATATATTGGGTCCGTTAGTCTAGCCTGTCTCTTGAGGCGAGGCCGCTTATTGATATCAGTGAAACGAGAACCAGCCTTGCTTTGACTTGGCCGTTTTGTGCTCGACTTTTTGGTTCCAGATACAGATCGACCCCGAGGGTTCGAAGGAAACATGTAATCAATCCGGTTATCCTCGAGGACATCGTCACCCATATCTTGGTCCATGAAAGGGTCATCGAACCCAACCAGTCTAGCGAGTTCCTGACGAGAGTCGACGTCGATATCTTTATCGCTTCCATCGCTACTCTCATGGTCTGCGAGCTCTCTCAATGATGTTAGGTGACCTTTCGCGCTCGAGGGCCTCGTAGAGCCTCTTTTTGTTATTTTCCGCGCAACTCCCTTGGCATTCTCCTGTCGCGAGTCTCGATTTCGTTGTGTAGAGGAAAACCTATCTTCAGTTCGTTTTTGTTGGTCCAAGCGCAGCCATGAGGCTGGGAGGACACCTTTGATCCGACGTCGAAGCTCGCGGACAGCATTTTCGTCACTGCTTTGCTCTTCTTCTTGTTCGTCATCTTCGTTGTCTTGCTCCCCGTCAGAGTCCGGCTGACTTTGGGAATGTACGGATTGGACGTCTCCGGGATCCTGATCAAGCATCGGCCCGCTCCAGTCCATAAGGTCCGTATCTGGCTCGTGGTGACCCTCATCTCTCCTCTCCGCAGTCAAGCTTATGCGTGGGCTATTCCGCGAAGGAGGCGAAAATCCACGTGGAAACCGGAACTCCTTATAGTTTGTAGTCTGTGGCGATGAAGCGCTCCCAGACCGGGGTGGGCTCTGCGGATTATCAAATATCGAATCGCTGTCTATCCGCGTGGAGGATGGAGACGTATCGATGACTACCTGTGGAATGACCATTCGGCGTAATTGTTCGTATTGTTCATCGTCTGCCGGCCGGCCTACCTTGCGCCTCTTGTGGGGTCGATGTCTGGAGCCACCCGGCGAACGATTGAGCAGGTCAGATGCTCGCAGAGTTGGTCGCCGGAGAGTGGTATTGCCTGATCTCTCAACGGAAACGCGGCGAGCCGCCACAGGAGACGACGGTGGTGAGCTGGGATTCACCCCAGGGCTACTTTGCGGCGGGTCAGCGTCCTCGCCATATTCCCTGTTCTCACTTGCCTGTGCGGCCGCTCGGAGCGCTTCTTGATACTGAGCAATGCGTATGGGCCGTATCCCTCCTTGTTTCATAAGCCGACGATATTTGGCATCTTCGAGGAGATACGGGTGTAGTTGGATAGGATTCCGCTGCCGTAATGACCGTCGCGTTGGTTGGGACAGTTCTCGAAGGACATCTTCCGGAAGGTTCAGAGGAGCCAGGACGTCCTCGAAGTTGTCCTGGGGCGGGTTCCCAGCTTGCCCTTGGGCGCCATTCTCTTGAGCGCCATTCTCCGTTTCATCAAAGCTCAGCGAGTGTATAGACGACAGCGGTGATGACAGCGGCGATATCTCATTGTTCGGTTCATTCTTGTCCTCAGTTTGTTCCGGCAGTTGGCTCTCATTTTGCATTCGCTCGGGGAGGACGTTGCGTCGGCGTGACGGAAGGAAGTCGAGTTGTAATTCATCCGGCGAGGAAGACAGGGTATCCCAAGTATCCCGCTGAGATTTTGGCTGGGGAGTCGAGGGCGGGCTGGGCTCGTGAGCGTCCGACAAGGTCTGAGAGAAGTCCGCTGTCCTTGCGAGACCTTCCTGTTGCGAAGAGCTCTCCAATTGTGATTCCTTCCACTCTCCACGCGCAGCTGCAGTCGGCGTCCTGACACTCGAACCTGACCGGCGATCTATGCGTTGTTGCGTCGGAGTATCCGAGCCCAGCTCATCGTCATCGTCGGAGGTGTTCGCAGAGACCGAAGAACGCTCCACATCCCGGGCGATACCAGTACCAGCGTCGGCGTTATCGTTCGTCTTTAGCGAGTTCTGGCTGTCGAAACCATCCTCCTCGTCCGAGTCCGGTACAAACCCTCGTTCCCGCCATGATTCCATTTGTGTTCTAGGCGATGGCCCATCTCCCTAGATCGCCATCACTCCGTGTCGACAAGAGGCTGGTGGCAAGGCCGTTGACCGCTGCAATAAATTCGCAGGTCTCGAAGGTTGACACGTGAAAATCGAGGAAGATTAGCAATCGACGCTGTGGTTGAGGTGCAATTAATTCGGAGAGCCGCAGGGGCGGAAGACGCGTCGAAATTGTGGGGAGCACGCTGGGAACGCGTGCCCGTGCCGTGCCCAAGCCCAGTAATTTGGCGATTCCGGGCTAGGCCGCCCGCTTTCTAGAACTTCCGTCCAACGTCACTTTGGCAGCCAGGCTATTTCGCTGCGTTCAACCTTTGACTCCGCGCCAAGATGAGTCGCAATTGGTTTCCAGCCATTATGGCCATCGGCATGGGTGTTTTCACGGGTATGCACTGCGTGCAGATGATGGGTACGCTTCGCTAACCGCTGTCGGCAGGGTATTATACCTTCCAGCCTGCGTTGAAGGAGTTGCAGGTTGAGAAAGGCCAGGGTCAGAGGTACGTTTAGCTGTTATGTGGTATTCACATTGTGTCTTCTCCTAGCTAATGCGAATTGTGTGTCCAGAAGCCAACCCCCAGCTCCAGACCAGCAAGCTTCCTCTCCCACCAATGCCGCTCAGAAACCTGCGACGGACGCAAATCAAGACCAGAAGTGATTCCAGTGTAAAAATTCGAGTCGGATGGCAGATTTTGAAGTGCACTATACCGTGCCTGATGATCGAAACCAAGCCGCGCCCTGCAGGATCCTTGGACAGGCACGGGCACCATTTCGCCCATTGCAAGGTGGTTGCCAAATCCATGCATAATGCCGGAGTGCCGCCTGGAAAGTCTTTCCCGTATCAAGTCGACGATCTTCGGCCCTCCTCATGGCGGCTGGGTCGATTGACAACAATAATCTGACATCTCGACGAAGAGACTTGGCTGTCCAGAAACTACTGGACAGTGATTGTCGGAGGTTATGGGCTCGTCTGATCCTCGATACCTCAGGAATAGCTCATAGTGTACAATATACCTTACCCAGAATGATACCCAGAGCTCGGTGCGAACACATACTTGAATGTAGTACCATTCATTCATAAGAACTATATCGACCAAAGAACTGAAATACCCTTTCCGCATGCAATTAACCTACATAGTCAACGTTTATGGTTCCGAATGCGCCCTGTTCCTATACGCCAGCCCAATTTCTTGTCATACTTCTTCCACAAGCTTCGTAGATCCGCCATTTCTTAATGGCGCTTCTCCAAACACTCGACCCGCTGGCGTACCGAACCATTCCTCTGGCACGCCCACCTTGCTGCCCTCACGGCCCGTAACCCATCTGACCATGATCGGGTCCGGTCGCTCAACTTCCTGCATTTCCTGATCGGCGGAGGCGTTTTCGGCTGCTTCGGCCGCGGGGATACGACCACGGCGCTTCGGCGCTTGCTTTCGCAGCAGTCGGTTGATCGTATCCATCTGTTTGCGGTTAGTTTTTTTGTGCGGAACTGCCCGAGTGGCCCGAATCAGAGAGGCGTACCTTTTCTTCCTCGTTCCGCTTCTCACTGAGGTTCTTCCGCCGGCGGGCCATCTCCGCACGGCGCATGGCACGCTCCTCCGCTGTAAGATGCTTCTTCACCTGGGGTTCTACATCGCAGTCAGGGACTATGCACCAAATCAATTCTCGGGAACAGCCAACTCACCCATCGGAAGCTGCAGGAAATCGTTTCCGAGCGACCCTCGTTGCCGCTTGGTCATGCGACTCGAATCGAGCGCAGGCGTCTCATCCGTCACTGTCGAGCTCTTCTTCCTCATCCTCCTCGTCCCAGCTCTTCCTCCCCGGCGTTCACAGTGACGATCCCGCTTTCTTCATCAGGCTCGCCCTCCGCGTCGGAGTCTGGTTCGGAAAGTTCCTCGTCGTCCTCGTCTTCGTCCTCTTCGAGCTCCATCTCCTTCGCCTCGACGCTCTTCACCGATTTCGCATTCGCCGCCGCAGCCTTGGCGGCTCGCTTGGGCGGCGGCTGGGGCGGGGCATCGTCCATATCGAGATCCCCATCAGCATCGACCTCCTCGTCGTCTTCCCCGGGGGCGTCTTCCTCGTCGACCTCATCTTCCTCCTGGTCTTCCAGGTCCTCCTCGTCGCTGGTGTTGACTTCGACCAGCCGCTTGCGGGGCCGACTTGTGCGAGGCCCCGTGACGATGGGATTCTCTGTGAAGACGTTGACGGTGCGGCGCCCACTCCGGGTGCTCCCGCTGGTTGCTTCGCGCAGCTTATTGGACGGCATTTTCAGTGTCAAATAAAGCGATCTTTTGGAGTCGTCAGGTGAACCGGACGAGGATCGCTCAATCGTCACGGATGACGAGGCGATGGCACGAGTCAATCGAGTAGAAGATCTGACAATGGGGTTAGAATCCATTGGTGATGGTTCATCCCGCACGGTGCGGGCTCGCAGAGAGCGACGTAGAGACATTGCAGACAGGGATCGCAGATGAGACAGGGGGGATTGAGGTGGTAGAATGGAGGAGAGTTGGGGGATTTTAGTCGACACGAATCACTTAGTAGACCGACTATCGGAGAGGCATGGGACGATGGTGAGGGGAAGTTGGGAAGAAGCGATCAACATGATCCGGAGAGGGGGAAGGAAAGAGAAAGAAGGAGGGGAAAAAGGAGGTTGATCCAGACGATGGACACGAACAGACGACAAACATCGTGTAGAGGGAAATAATAATAATAATAACGATGAATCTGGGCCAGACGCAGAGCGGAAAGGCACAGGCCTTCCATCCACTCCCTATCACATCCGGAGCGCCACTGGGAGAGGGAGAGCGACAGTAGGAGAGAGAACCAATGGAAGCCTCCAGATCTCGGATCCCAGGGATTCATCTGCGCGGTGAAGCCAACAACAGCGGCAGTGCGCTTGCGCCAACCTGATTATCCCCGGCGCTGGTTGGGACTAGGATGAGGCGAACAGGGGTGAGGGGGCAACACAAAAGGGAGCAGTTGACTGTAACCATCACAGCCACTCCAGTAATGCAGGAGACAAGAGGGACAAGAGGAAGTACCAGGATGACGATGCTGGGATACAGGTAGAGGAACTCACGCACCAGTTCAGAAAAGACAGGAGCCTGAGGCGTCGCGAGAGCTTCTCCGGACGTTCTCCGGGTAGGTATCGTACGTATATATATATAAGTCGATCGACGTAAAGACAAATCGGCAATCCCAGAGGATTCTTTGATCGCAAGAGTGCAACAATGATTGCATTCACTGCTCATCCTTTTTGGCCGACGCATTCTGCCGGGCGGTGGAACAATGACTAAACCGGCATAATGACATAACCTGCACAGCATAACTAACCATTCATACTCTATAGTATTCAATCATTCAATCTTTTAATCTACCGACAGAGATGTTATTATTTTCCTAATATCTATTTTGTATTGATAGTATGACGATCCTCATTACTATATTCTAGCCTAATAATAAAGACCTGAACCTATGTCCACCCAAGAAACAATTACTAGGTACCTCAGGTACTAGCCTGTATGTAATATCAGAACAGCCGAGGTCGGGGAAGACTCCGGATTTCCGCTCCTCACATGGGGTCAACTCAACTCCATCTCCGTCTATCCTCACTCCTTCTCCTTCTCCCTATTCTTCTCTCCATTTACTTCACTATTCATTCGCAACCATGTCCGACTCAAAGCCTAAACCCTCTATTCCTCAATGGCAACAACAACAACAACAACAACCACCCTCCGCCACCTCTAGCACATCGCCGAGCTCCGACGACACATCCTCCCGCGCAACGCTCGTCGAACAAGCCTCCAAATTCCTACAGGATGACTCCATCCGCGACGCTCCTCTCGACCGCAAGATCTCCTTCCTAGAATCCAAGGGTCTGCGCAACGACGAAATCGAAGGTCTTCTCGGCGTGGCGCGCAACCCCGAGGCGACCAGTCCGTCGGCCTCAACAACCGAGGACAAGAAGTCCACCGACTCAACCCCTACACCATCGCCAGCGCCAGCATCGTCAGCCTCCGCTTCAACTTCCACATCCACTTCTTCACCGCCCACTCCCCCCACCCTGTCCACAAACACATCCCCCCGCGACGTCCCCCCAATCATCACATACC